TGAAGGCTTGAATATGTCACTGACTTCTACATCATGTTGTATGTGCTCTTCTTGAGGTGCAGCTAGCAAAGTTATGTCTTCTAATCTAATTATCTTTTGGGTATTACAGTCCCTTTCCGATAAAGGCAAAGGTCGTTTAAATGAAGGCCCTCCCTGGTCTACTTCCGTTGTGGTAACTGTTATGTTGGTGTTACTTTCCAAAGTATCTATCCCAAATGTGAGTTTTAAAGGATCTAAAAATTAATGTATCGTTTTTACTTGAACATACAACTTTTCTTCTATTTAAATCTATACAATATGATCAAAATGTCTTATGTACAAACATGCTTTGAATAAGCACAGTTAAACACTTCGTATGAAAATTTACATTAGTATTTTATAACTGTAAAAGTCAAAAGTTTACGTGATACCTAATAAAACTTTCTGATAGTATTCCTATTTAAAAGTACAAGATGATCATGCTGGCTTTAAGTTCAATAGTTACAAATGAAAATTCTAATAAGAACTGTTTTTCTGTCAAAGTTATACAAGTCACATAAATATAAACCTTCTGATCACATTGTACCTGTTTGTCGATTAATGAATGGAAAATTATATTTAACTAATGAAGCTAGAACAAATAAAATGTATGTATAATTATTTACCTGGGAGATGTAAAGAGGGCACACAGTTCTTTATTTTCTTTAGTAGCAATTCTACATCACTACTAGTAAAATGCTTATTACAAATATACACTTTCTTGTATACTTGTTCTGGTGTCAAGGTAGAAAATTTAGCATTTCCTGTTGCTCTCCACCAAGACAGGAATAAATCCCATTTATATTTGGGATTAGGAATACGAAATAAATATACATTTTCATCGTTGCGGTAGCTTCTACCACAACCAAACACTCCACAACTAAAATGAGCCATTTCCTAAAAAATAAATAAAAATTAACTACTTTTACAATGCAAAACTATTTATAATAAACTTACTGTTTATACGTACGTTGATATATGCTAGAAATAGGGCACAAGTTAATATTATAGTAATCACGAAAGAAAAAACTCAGCAAACAAACGATCAACACAACAGTTCGCAAGCAAATAAAAATTTTGAAATCGACGCGTGCCGCGTACTTCACCTGACAGAAAATGGCTGACTTATAGGTGTTTAACTGGTTGCATATGGGATGCATTCAACACCTAGCGCCATCTAGTTCAGCAGCGCTAATTAATTTCTTGAAAATATTTGGCCTATAAAGATTCAGGCCCCTGTCCTAGTGTCAGTCATTATTTTGTATAATATCGTGTTGTTGTTGAATCTTTGTAATTTTCGTTTTTTTTGCCTATTTTTATAGTGTTTTTTTTTAATTGCACTTTTAAGCACAAACAGTTCTTTCAAGAACTAAATTTTCGAGATTTTGTATTGCATTTCTTGATATTTTGTGTTGAAAATATCCAAAAGCATTTAAACAGTCGAAGCAGAGAACTTGTGGCTTCCCTGTTTTTTTTTTAACTATTTTGAACGAGAACGTGACGGTAAAGGTCCCTTATTACCCTTGACTGCAGTCAGAAAAGTTAGTTTATATCAAATTATATGATTATTAGTTCGTGCATTAATAGAACCCTCTTACTTGTACATACATCAATAAATAAATAACCCACAATAACGCTTATAATAATCTTTATAATGGACTAGTTTTTGCCAATATGTAATAAGTAAAATAAGCTATAAAACAAATAACTCAATTAATCACTAAAATATTAGTTATTAAATTAAAAATAAAACTCTTTAAAAAATGATATAATAAATATGTTGTTTGTCAATTTTAGCTGAATTAAGGCTGTATTCCGTTGCAAAACCAGGCGAACCAGACCGGTAAACTACGGTAAAGAGCGGTTCCCGAAAAACATCGGTTTGATACTGAAAGGTTTGGTAAAATACTGGAAACGTCAAATGTTGACGTTTTCTAAATTTCAATACCTCTATTATAAAATTTATCTTTAATGCATTTTTAATGTACCTATTATCTGCTTTTACGTTTGCTTCTCCTTTTCAATGGAGTTTAATATTGAAAAGTATTTTATTAATAAACTGTTAAACTCGTTAGACAGCTCAAGTGAAGACTTGCAGGTCCAATATTAAAACAGATCAATAATAAATAAACAAATCTAATCAATATTTAAATTTTTATAGCTTACAAAACAGTCACGATTACTTGTTGTCTTGTTTTTCATGTTTTCTTTAAATGTTCCTGACTTTAAGAAAGAATGGCTGCATGATAAGTTTAAATGGTCCTAAAAAGTCATTCTATTTAGTTAATGAAATTTATTTATCTTTACTGCCTACCTCTATTACTTTTGGACGTATATACAAAATATTACAAATTTTAGAAATTAAATGAGAATTTCATTCGAACTTCCAATATTTGCTTGATTTCTGTCACATAAATGACATTGATTGACAAACAAAACCAGAAAAACCAGCCTTCTCGCGCTGGTTAGTTTGGTGACAGTTATAACCGAATTTTTCAGAAACCGTGTTCCGTAATAAGAAAACTTTCAGGAAACCGATAGAAACGGAACATAAAACCATAACCAAGGTAAGCAACGGAATACACCCTAAGATTCATCTCATAAATCCATCACAATCCGGCAGCGCTGTCGCCATCGCTTGTCAGTCAAAGTTGATCACGTGCATCGGAAATTGTTTTGCGATTACCATAGATGCATTTTGTCCATTTTTTCGAATTTTGGCAACCAAAGAAAAACTGCCACGCTTTTTGCGAAAAATTTACCGAGAAGCTAGTGTACTAGAAAAATGGATAAAAAATCATAAAAATAGTACATATAGTAGTTTTGATAATATCTGAAAAAATTGAAAAAAACTGTTGACTGTCCTTTAGACGTGAAATTTCTTTATACCACGGTCCGTATCCCCAACTACATGGTCCCCAATCGTAGTTCCATTCATTATTTTAAGTAGTATTATTCAAAAAATAGATAAGTTGTAGTACAAAAAAAACTCTTCAGCTGGCAATGACAAACAAACAGCAGTATGTCCACAGCACACAAGAACATTCTTCTATTTGTTTGTCTGCCGTCAATGGACATACAGAACTTAGAAAGTCTAAAGGCGCATTCTCACGACTCGTGTACTTGACAAACATTTGTTATTGGAATATACTCGCCATGTCGTGAGAACGGTTTCCTTGATTACTTGTCGCGTCCCCACTCTCTGTCGGTAAATATAGCCCGAGTCAAAGGATAACAATAATTATTCGTACACTTTTCAAACTGTACTGGGCCAGCCTTGTCTATACTTGCCGAGGCGCAAAAAAACGACTAATATATATAAATAATTGACCTGTTATAGAGTATGTCCCGTTTATTTCCGGATCGTAGTGTTTTTCGAGTTAATTGCGGATAATTTAAAATGTTAAAACAATAATAGATTATATAATATCAAATTTACATTAATAACTTCAATATTGGCGACATACCTAAATCGTTCTCACAGCAATAAATGGAATGGACAAATGAAGACTACACGGGAAAAACCAGATATGTCACATTTTCATGGAAATTAAGATAGTGATACACTATCTTAATAATAGACATATTAATATCTTAATTAGACTATACTTAACAATAGACAAATGTTAACGTCATTCGAGAAAAAAGAAAGCAGTAGTACCGCTTAGTCCCAGAGATATTACAGCGTGGCTATTCTGCCGTACAAAGGAAAAACCAGAGTAGTCCACGTGTAAATGGCAAAAACCAGAGATGTACTTACGCATGGACGATAAGCTTGCATCTTGCAATTAGTATTATTATGTTATCAATTTATGTATTGTAATAAAAACCTACTTAAATATTAATTTTCTTCCTACAACAAAAAATAATAGTTTAGATTTAGGTTTTATACAACCTTTAATTGGACATCCCTGGTTTTCCCCTGTTTTATTTTGCATTTTGACATTTTTATTTCGGTATTTCAGAGATGGCGATAATTCACAATATTAATAATTCAGAATTGATAGTACAGTACGTCTGTCCGTTCTGTAGCTACGGGGTATCCGTGAGAGGGGAAACGATATTCTCTCGATGTTTTTCGTAAAAAATTAGACGACGCGTCCCATCAATAAAAATTCGACAAATTTGCAAGTAGCCAATAAAATGAGTGGGCGGAGCGATTTGCGGTGACGTACTCGTCAAGTCGACGTATAAAATATATTGCTGTTTATTTAAATGTTTTTTTGTCCGCATTCCTTTCATAGACACAGATCCAGCAGACGAACTGTAATATATATTTTTCTAATTATTCAACCGAAAATAACATATTTCTTTAAAAACACTAAATTGTATTTTTCTCGGCTCCAATTAAAATGGACAAAACTGGGTTTTCCCGTGTAGTCTTCAAATGCTGTTGTTTTGGAAATTATGGATTTATACGAAAATGAGCGCTTCATATGGACGGCCAAACATAAAGAACATAGAAATCGTATTGCAGTGTACAGTAAAAAAACTTAAAAAGAAAAAAGAATCACTAGCAACGACAATTTCGGGACGACCGGTATCCATCGATGCGACTATACTGTTTACTTACCAAGGATTTAAACAATGTTTGTGCTGGCGTACTTGTTGAAATGGACACGTCGTGTGAGCGCCACACTTGCCGATGTAGTTTACAAAGTGGGGACTGGTGGGATACTTGCCAAGTACGCAAATATTGGCGTACTTGCCAAGTAGACGAGTCGTAAGAGTGTGCCTTAAGATATTTTTGCCATTTAATTTGAATGGGATAAAATGTATTTAACATGTCGCTTCTGTCATCATATTGTAACTCTGTGTATGTAGTTTGCAATGCCACTTCTGGTTGAAAATCTTAAAAAATGGACAAAATGCAATTAGTAAGTCTGCTCCTCAATTACATGAGGTGTTTTTTTTTCAAGATTCTTTGTCAAAGATTCTCTCTTTTTGCCAAATTAGCTATATAGTTAACTACTGTTTTCCAGGTAACCGGTGAAGACAAAGAAATAATAGCGCACATGAAGGAAGCCCACGAGTGTCGTTTGTACATTTGCGACGTGTGTGGCATGGACTTTAGAAAAAGAAATTTGCTGTCTGCGCATGTCGACGAACACGTGGCCAACGAAGAGGGCGACTTCCAGTGCGAAGTTTGCAACAGGATATTTACCAATCTCCGTCTCTTTAGAATTCACAGAAGGTAGATATTTTTTTGTTTCTCCAATGGTGATATCATTCAATATTATAGAAAATCTATGTAGAATGTAGAATGTAGAATGAGTGAGAGGGGGGTTAATCACCGCGACCTTAAAGATCTATTGTGTTCCCTTTTCTTGAGTTATAACTCATCATACATGGAGATTTTTTGTTGGGGGGACAGGGTATTTTCCCTCCTCTGACAACAGATGTTCTTCTGCCGAGGAGTTTTAATTGTTAGTTAACCGGAAATGACAACAACTTTTGATTTTTAAATGGCACCCTCAGTATATTTCTACTTTATTCAATAGAAAATAAAACTGAATAGAATGACATATTATATATATATATATATATATCAACTATTGACATTTGAGTGTCAGTGGTGAGCCAGGGTGGGGCCTGAGATTACAAAATTGCTGCTTGGACGTAAACCTTATGTTTTTTTATTGTAGAATGCATTTGCCCCCAGCCAAGGCTTGGAGTTGTAGTACGTGCGCAAAAAGATTCAGCAGCAAGAATTTGTTGGACGAACATGTTAACATGCACCTGGGCGTGAGGCCTTACGTTTGCAACGTTTGCGGCAAAGACTTTGCTAGCAAATACACTTTTAAGGCCCACGAAAGAACGCACGAAAATAGACCAAGACCTTACAGGTAAGTTACATAAATGCACGCATTTGTATCTACTGCTTATCAGGGTTGAAAAAACATGTTTTTTTTATTTTTAGAGGGTGTCTTAAATGAGCGCAAAATTTTTAGGGCTTGTAGATCTCGACAAAAAAAACATATTTTCTCTTTGACGTTTTTCAAATAAGTCCAAAATAACCGAGATATTTTACTTTGAAAATTTCAAAAAAAATGATTTTTCGCTTAAATTTTGAGAACCACTCAATCTTTTCTGGGTTTTCTTTCTTGTAATTTTAATCTACTATCTATGTTTCAAAAAAAGTCCTATTGGTATTTCGCCACTGTAAGAAAATCTACAAAAAAAATAGTTATTTTTAGTAGACACTGCTGCGTTAATCCAACAGAGACTAATTTGTCAGCAATGGTTTACTAATAAACAAATTTGCCTAATGGACAAAGAAAAATGCTTATCGTTTTGGAAAGTATATCTCTTTCCGTCGTCGGAAGCAAAAAAAAACAAAAAACTATTTAAAATATCTAAATGCAACTATTCCAGAATACTTTATTTTTTTTGAAAACAGATACGTCTATAAAAAACGTTGACGTTCTGTTAAAATGACATTATATAAAGAAAAAAAGTTTCGGAAAGAGATATACTTTCCGAAACGTTTTTTGTCCGTTAGGCAAATTTGTTTATTAGTAAACCACTGCTGACAATTAGTCTTCGTTGGATTAACGCAGCAGTCTTTACTAAAATAAATATTTTATTTTGTAGATTTTCTTACAGTGGCGAAATACCCATAGGACTTTTTTGAAAAGATGAATCCGCCACAGAGGTATAGACATTTTTTACTATCTATGTTGCCATATTATGAAGATATTATGTTTTTTAACTGAAAATTAAAAAAAAAACTCCAAATTTTTTTTGGCGAAAAAAACCTCATAGACGTGTTTCTGGAGTCGAAATATTCTACTCCTAAAAATATTTGCACTTATTTAAGATTCACCCTATATGACATGCAACTATACAATGTCACACATTATATCATAGCCAACGACACACGAGAAAAATGTTATACCTATAAGACTTCTGTCATTTTTTAAAGGTGCGAACAATGCGGTAAGTCGTTCCTGAGTCAGCAGAACTTGACTCAGCACGAGAAAACTCATTTGGGTATAAAAGAGTTCGAGTGTCACCTGTGCAACAAGCAGTTTGGATCAGCCAATAACTTAGAGGTAAAACTACATACAGTATTTGCCAAATTATCGATATTCTATTCTGATTATCGCCAAACTCCTTTAAATCTAAAACTTATTTATCAGGTACATTCGATCGTGCACACTGGCTACAGGCCGTTCATATGCGGCCTTTGCGGCAAAACGTTTGCCAGAAAGGCTGAAATTAAGGATCACGAGAGAACTCATACCGGGGAACGACCGTATCAGTGCGAATTCTGTGGAGCTACATTTAGTCAAAGGTATTTTCTGCGTTTTCGTTTGTATTTCGGAATATTTATAATTTTATTTGTCTTTTTGTAGGTCCAACCTTCAGTCTCATAAAAGAGCCACTCATTATGATGATAAAAGATATAGATGCGAGGTAAGTATCTTTTTACTTTTTATTCTTTATTTATTTCCATGATCAAATACATTTATTGATGTAGGAGTACGTCTATATACATATTCACCATAATTCACATAATTTGTAAATAGAGTAAAACAATCTCAAAACATATAAAATTCTAAATATCTACAATAAACACTCAAAGTAAAAAAACAAAAATATTGTCACATACATGTCCTTAGACAGACCTATCCACTAAATATTCATTGACACGGTAGTAGCCTCTATCCACCAAAAACCGCTTCAATGGCCTTTTGAATTGAGGTATACTGTTGATTCTCTTTAATTTATTATAGAATCTTCCTATATAGGATGGAGATCTCTCAAATAAAGCAATTATAGCCAAATCTTGTTTCATAACCATGCAAGTTTATGTTATTATCACTCAACTTGCAATATTTTCTAATGTATAGAATACAGCAAGCATAATGTATTATGTAGATTGAAGGGAACGTCAAAATGTCATACTTCTGGAAATGCATATGACCACGACTGCCACAATTTGCAATCTTACTGACAACAAATTCAATAATTCAGTATCACTGATACAATCTTTTGCCAAGTCTTAAACATTTTCATCCTACTGACTGCGCCATGTAATAATGTGTTGGTTATTAAATGATTTATTTAGTAACAGGTTGAAATAATTTATTATAATCTTTTGTTCTCCTATGATTAAAAATTAGTAGTTTTAACACAACCATGGCACTCTAGATTGGAATTTAAAATACATTTTTTTAAGCGAAAATGTCAAAAGTTGACATATGATATGTCATTCTATTCGGAATGTCATTTTCTATCAACTAGAGTGAAAAAATATCGAGAGTACCGTTTAAAAATCCGCAGGCCTGCGGATTTGGTATGTGACAGGCTTGGTCCGTCACAGACCTGGCCCGCCACACAAACACAAAATTTTATCCGCGGATTTTGCTCGTGTCATGTCAAGTTGTTTAACTTTACCGCTGGTGTATGGCGGGCTATTAATTTACTTAATTATAAAATTAAATTGGCAGTGTTATAACAAAGTAAAGTAATATTTTTTTTTATCATATTATGTAGTATTCAGAAAAATGTAACATGCCTTTTTACACTTTAAAACAGGATTGTGGTAAGTGCTTCAAACGCAGACGACTGCTGGACTATCACATTAAGGCTGCCCATACTGGAGAGCGTCCATTCAAATGCGAAGTATGTCAAGCTACTTTCGTCTATCCAGAACACTTCAAGAAACATCGGCGCATTCATACTGGCGAGAAGCCCTTCTCTTGCGAGGTAACATACTTATTCTCTTTATAATTAAGTTATCGAAGTATCCTTTGTATTAAAATACTAAGGAAGGAGAATACCAACAAATTTAGGTTGAGCGCGAAGGGAGACTTATTGACCGACATTTAAAACGTGTAAAAATATAATGTAACTCAATATTTTTTTGGTTTTGTTTTACGTTGTCAACAAATGTTATTAGTTACTAAAATTGTTACAAAAATGTATTTTTTGTCATACGCTCCCAAAAACAGCTATTTTACGGACTCATTTCAGTCCGTAAAATGTTTCTTTTTCGGCCTAGGCCGTAAAGGTCGTCATGGCAACCTTTATGGACTAAAATGTCTAAATTCGTTATTTGGTTGTTTTATTTTGTCATTCGAAATTTGTCACAAAATCACATAAAATTATACATATATTTATAATTAAATTATTAAATACTAACAATATCAAAAGCTAAGTTATTTGTTTAAAGTAAGTACCTAGGTACCTATTTAAAAGAGGCTTTTAAATTAAAATATTCTTAAATTACAGTCACAAACATTCAAACCATCGTCAATTTGGTCGAAATATTCCATGCTGAGAGCAGTGTTAAGTGTTAAAGAAGATATTTATATTGACAAATTTCCAAAACTTTTGCTTTTTTGAAGAGGAATTCGGTTGGTTACGAGCCTAAAAAGTCTAAGGTTTTGTCCATAAAAGAGATCGGTGATTTTTTGGCCACGGCTAGTGATGAAACTTATTTACTTACTAAGGTAAGTTTGCGATAATGATTTTTAAAATATATAGATGGTTTCTTATTCCATTGTATTTGATTTTTAAATTATTAAATACTAACAATATCAAAAGCTAAGTTATTTGGAAAAATAAAAATGAAATGAACAATTTTGTGCATTTTGAAAACTTGCATCTGCAATCGAAACGACTCCTCCATTGGCAGGTAAATTTACTTTCTGATGAGGTGGAGTAAATGCGAACGATGATGTACTTGGTAATACATCCGTGGAAGTGGTCGCGATTTTCTTTTCCCCCATTAGCAGTTTGCAAACTTTCTTCTTTTTCTCAATAGATTCTTCTATGTAACCTTCGGCCACTGTGGACGACCTAAATAATTATTGTTGTTTAGAACAAGATCGGAAAATATTAAAATTTTTACCTCCAACCTCCTAGGCGTTTCAGCGATGTAAAATCCACATCTGCATCTGCAGCAAGAGTAGCAGAACTACGTCGGAAACAATGACCTGTATATTCGTTTGGGTTCGACAACTTTAAAAATGCTGCTACAATCGATGGCATCTTCCCAAATGAATGAATGCCGACTCGTTGCACGGTGCATTTTCCTTTACGATAAGAGATGAAGACATAATCATGTGGTACATTTTTTGGCCTAAGACAAGCATATTTTCTATACAACTCAACTGGATTGACAACGTTCCCTTCGTTCACCACCGGAAACACTCTTTTGATATTAGTTTTTGTATCCGCAAGGGTAACTAAAAGGCAGCTGTTGTCTTTTTCTATGATGTCTTGCACTCGTAGAGAGTACAATTCTTCTCTTCTACATGCTCCACAAAGGCCAATGACAAGAGCTACCTAAAATCAAATACAATGGAATAAGAAACCATCTATATATTTTAAAAATCATTATCGCAAACTTACCTTAGTAAGTAAATAAGTTTCATCACTAGCCGTGGCCAAAAATCACCGATCTCTTTTATGGACAAAACCTTAGACTTTTTAGGCTCGTAACCAACCGAATTCCTCTTCAAAAAGCAATAAGTTTTGGAAATTTGTCAATATAAATATCTTCTTTAACACTTAACACTGCTCTCAGCATGGAATATTTCGACCAAATTGACGATGGTTTGAATGTTTGTGACTGTAATTTAAGAATATTTTAATTTAAAAGCCTCTTTTAAATAGGTACCTAGGTACTTACTTTTCGTGGAAATAATTTAGCAATACATCTTCATTTACAACGAATACGCCATTTTTGTCTTTCCATTCATTAAAAACATCATATTCTTTCTGGTAAATGGCACGAGACTTCACAGGAAGTAAATCCAACACGATTTCTTTGGCCTTATTAGCAATATGTTCGGGATTTTGGAACATTTTAAAATTGTTGATGAATTTGTGTGATTTTGTGACAAATTTCGAATGACATGTCAAAATGCGATGAAATAAACAAACTCGTTACTAAGATATGAATTTATAAGCCAACTTTTTCAAACATTATAATTTCAAATATGGAAAATTTGCAAATATGCGTTCTAAAAAACTGTAAAAAGCGTATGACAAAAAATAGTGTATGTAACACGTACCTAAATTATGTTTTTTAGGACTCATCTACTATTTCGGACTCGGCTAACGCCTCGTCCGCAGACAGTAATGATTCGTCCTAAAAAACATCATTTTAGGTACTAGTTACATAAATAGCTATTTTAATAAAAATAGAGAAGCTATAATAATTATTTAATAACTTAAATATCAGATGCCGCTACTGAAACTTCTAAGTTAAATTGACGTATCCTAATTATTTTTGACAAGTTGTAAATAAAAGCGAAATTGCAAGAACGGATACATAATTAGTTAATTCTAAGTGAATTCCACAATTAATTTGTCTACTCACGTAACATTTATTGAAAATTATTCCCTGATATATCTCAATTTTTAGATAGGTATTTTCTATTTCTGAACAAAACCAATTGTAGTAAAGTTTGTTCTTTTTAATTGTTTTTGTAACACGAGAGAAAAGGGGACCAGAGAGGAGTTGTGAAAAATAGCTGAAATCTGTCTTAAAGGGCTTTAGAGAAAGTGGCATTCATAGACACTGCAATTGTGAAAAATAAAAATACGATTGTTATTGTTAATACTTTACAAAAAAGTTTTATTTTCCAACAGTCAAACTATTGGTCACTAATGGCTAAGTTTCACAGTTTTGTTTGACGTCAATTGAAACGTCAAACAAAACTGAAAAATGGGAGTTCATGCTGTTGTTTCCATCTCTAATGCATGAATGAGAACAGGACGAGAGAGGAGTTGTGAAAAATAGCTGAAATCTGTCTTAAAGGCTTTAGAGAAAGTGTCTCTCATAGACACTGCAATTGTGAAAAATAAAAATACGATTGTTATTGTTAATACTTTACAAAAAAAGTTTTATCTTCCAACAATCAAACTAATGGTCACTAATGGCTAAGTTTCACAGTTTTGTTTGACGTCAATTGAAACGTCAAACAAAACTGTGAAAAATGGGAGTTCATGCTGTTGTTTTCATCTCTAATGCATGAATGAGAAGAGGACGAGAGAGGAGTTGTGAAAAATAGCTGAAATCTGTCTTAAAGGCTTTAGAGAAAGTGTCTCTCATAGACACTGCAATTGTGAAAAATAAAAATACGATTGTTATTGTTAATACTTTACAAAAAAAGTTTTTATCTTCCAACAATCAAACTAATGGTCACTAATGGCTAAGTTTCACAGTTTTGTTTGACGTCAATTGAAACGTCAAACAAAACTGTGAAAAATGGAACTTCAAGCTGTTGTTTCCATCTCTAATGCATGAATGAGAAGAGGACGAGAGAGGAGTTGTGAAAAATAGCTGAAATATGTCTTAAAGGCTTTAGAGAAAGTGTCTCTCATAGACACTGCAATTGTGAAAAATAAAAATGCGATTGTTATTGTTAATACTTTACAAAAAAAGTTTTATCTTCCAACAATCAAACTAATGGTCACTAATGGCTAAGTTTCACAGTTTTGTTTGACGTCAATTGAAACGTCAAACAAAACTGTGAAAAATGGGAGTTCATGCTGTTGTTTCCATCTCTAATGCATGAATACAACACTTTTAGGATAGCATAATTTTCTTTCTTTAATCTTTTTATTCAAAGAAAGCTGTATGTAAATATCTAATATTTTTGTTTGACAGAAATTTTATAACTTATGGCTAATATTTTTTTAAGATTTGTGGGAAGGCTTTCAATTCGAGAGACAATCGTAACGCTCATCGCTATGTCCATTCGGATAAGAAGCCATATGAGTGTCTTGTATGCGGAGCCGGGTTTATGCGAAAACCTCTTTTGTACCAGCACATGCAGTTGCAAGGTCATCTGAACGATACCATTGTGGTGAACCAACCCAGACTAACATTAGGTAAGTTTCCTTAAAAAGCTGCTTGAAGAAAATAATTATCAAATTCAAAATTCAATAAGAAAACGGTAAAAAGGTGTAGTGGACTGTTTATTTACCGATGAAACGTAACTCCTGGCTCTCAATCGTAACAACTAATCGCCATTGTAATAAAGTTTATACAAAGTTCACTACACACAAACTGTTAAAAATCTCTAAAATTGTCGTTGATGAGCAGCCGATGACTCATCGTTACAACCATAAATATGGCGTCTAACATCACAAATTCGACTGCAGCCCGTATATTGGCGTTTATATGTCCTTGTATTCTTTAGTCATTGCGTTAAACAGAGTATATTATATCTAATTTTATCCTATTGTAGACGATAAACTAGTAATGGACTCGGAAAGCCACCTGGTCCGGGTCGAAGAAGAATCCAGCGCCAACGAATCGAAGCTTTTTATAGCCGCGGAAGACGGCAACGAGCACATTATCATCGACGGCCAGCACATCACCTTCGCCGAAACCACCTCCGACAACGAGGACGATAACGGCGAAGTCATAGACGAGATCGAGCAAGTGGTCGGGACCGAAGAGGCCGAATACGAGGAGATCCTCACTTCGGAGGCTCTGACAAGCAGCGAGACGCAGATAATCGATACTCCCGACGGGCCGATTCAGCTGGTTAAGGTGAAGATCCCGAACGAGCACGGCGAGGAGGAAGAAGCCTGGATCAAGATAGTGCCAGAGTGAATTTGGAAGCGTGGATGTGTCATTTCTTAATGCTCTATTTTATGTAAATATATCTATGATAGCTCTAATATAGGTTTTTGTTATAAATATTTCTGTTGTTTTAATGTGAATAGATGCTAAAGAGTGCGAAAATCATTTAAGAACAGGGTTGGGTAACGACGCGTAGAAAATTAATTTTCTACGTGTATGTAGAAAAGTGCGTAGAAAATGTAGATTATGTAGAATATCAAGCAGAAAATGTATAAAATTTGAGAATAGGTATAAAATTAATTTTGTATATTTAAAGCCGTTTTTTTTTTCACTTTAGAGGTTTATTCTTCCTTTCTATTTTCTTTAAATTCTTGTCATCAACCTTAGGCTGTATTCCGTTGTAAAACCAGGCGAACCAGACCGGTAAACTACGGTAAAGAGCGGTTCCTGAAAAATATCGGTTTGATACGGAACGGTTTGGTAAAATACTGGAAATGTCAAATGTTGACGTTTTCTAAATTTCAATAGCTTTTATGTATTTTTAATGTACCTATATCTGTACCTATTCTCTGCTTTTACGTTTGGTTCTTCTTTTCAATGGAGTTTAATATTGAAAAGTACTTTATTAATGATCCGTTAAAATCGTTGGACAGGTCAAGTGAAGATTTGCAGGTCCAATATTAAAATAGATCAATAATAAACAAATCAATATTTATATTTGTATAGCTTCACACACACACAACAACACATTCACAATTACTTGTCTTGTCTCTCATGTTTTCTTTAAATATCCAAAAACAGTCTTTTGTGGGGAGTGTCAATTTTTTGTCTAAGGTTATACATCTTCAAAGTATTTAACAACAAGCCAAGTTCAGAGACACCCAGTCCAGAGTATATTAAAATTATACAACAAAATGGCGTCACTTTTTTCTTAAAATTTTTATTATATTTTAACAAATTAAAAGTTCCTATTTTGGTCACATCCGGTCGCAATATGCTATCATCAACAGGTTTATTATACAGGGTCGCTAATATGTGTGCATTATGTATGGGAACGGTCGATTATTAGGCAAAATATACGTAATATCAGTATACAAAGATAAAATATACGAGGTACCGCAAAAAGTTAAATATAAAACTAGGAGAATAGGAGTTATATATATATTAGGACCTATATATACAGGGTGGTCCGAATTGTATTTTGGAAACTTCGGCAGCATATTCTGCAGATAAAAATAAGTAAAATAGTTCATATAAATGTATGTCCTAAATTGCTTAGTTTCGGAGATACAGGGTGTAGAAGTTTCATTTTTATTTCCATTTTTTCTAAATAATTTCTGAAGTAACGTCAATATCTGGATGAAAATTGGTATCTGGGAGTTTTGTGATACGAGAAATTTGATTTTGATGTCAAAATGGCTCCTATTTGTAGGGGGCGCCACCTACATGCGTTTTGACTGTTTTGAAGAGTAATAACTTTTCGACGGTACCTGTATAAAACTACTGACTAAAAAAATATACATTTCCATGACTTTTTACGTAAAAAATTGTCTTGGTGAAAATCGCTACGAGCAACCGTTCTCAAGATATTTAAAATGGAAATAGTCAATACACGTCATTATTGATAAAAAAGAAGCATACGTTGAATAGAGTTATTTGACTGAAATAATAAATTTTTATTTTTTTAAATCAATCATAATTTTTTCTGCGAAAAAATGATGATTAAACAGTTTCTGTTGAACTTTTGGCACAAAGAGATTTCAAATTTAAGATTTCAGTCTAATAACTATTTGGTCAACATGTTTAATTTGTCAATGATGACAGGTATTGATAATTTCAACTTCAAATATCTCGAGAACCATTACTGGTAGCGATTTTTACCAAGAGACCTTTTTTATGTAAAAAAAGTTGTAACTGTATATTTTTTTACTCAGTAGTTTTATACAGGTATGGATGAAAAGTTATTACTCTTCAAACCAGTTAAAGCATATGTAGGTGGCGCCCTCTACAAGTAGGAGTCATATTAACATGAAAATCAAATTTCTCATGTCCAAAAACTCCCAGACACCAATTTTCATCCCAATATTGACGTTACTTTTTAAATTATTTGGAAAAAAATTGAAATAAAAATGAAATTTCTACACCCTGTTTCTCCGAAACTAAGCATTTTAGGACATACATTTATACGAACTTTTTTACTTAATTTAATCTGCAGAATATGCTGCCGAAGTTTCCGGAATACAATTCGGACCATCCTGTATAATAATCGACCGTTCCCATACATACAGCGACCCTGTATAATAATCGATTATTCCACCTGTAAAATAAACCTTTCACCGATTGTTCACTGCCACAGATGTCAGTAACATCAGGTAACATCAATAAATCAACTTTCAAACTACCGAAAGTTTGATCAATAAACCCGTTTTTGTTGATATAGGTGTATTGCCCGCTCTTCTAAGTAGACCTCGTAATATTTTTCGCTAAATATGTCCGTAATATTCATCACTCAACACGACGAAAACATCTACAACATAACGAAATCTCAAATCGATTTGCAACATAAATCACCCAAATACAAGAGCAAATTCCGCGACAAGAACAAGCATGCTCTTCATTTCTACGCTAAAAACATCAAGAATCACGCTACGATGGGAATACCCCAAGAGGAACCACCAGATCCTCAGAACTATTTGAAAAAAAGAACGGGGAAACCAAGTTACACTAGTAATATACCGAAAAAGGAACCAAAGTTATGCAGGAACTTGAATTTACCTCATAAAGAAGATACGCCTTTGGTTAAAGATTTATTAGAAGCGTCTAAAAAGGTAGGTACTTATAGAGATGAGTTGGTGGGATGAGCAAATGCGAGACCAAGACTTGGACATAGAAAATCTTTAAAAACAATAGTATTTTAAGTACACTTCCCCAATAAATTAACGTACCACAAAAAATAAGTTTTTGTCAAAACCACTTATCCGATTTGGACGATTTTTTTTTGAATGATAGGTTATTCTTTCCACAATGTTGCTATACTAACACTAACTGTATTTTGATAGGAACCCTTTTTATACTGTTATATGTACCCTTTTTATACTATGATATGTTAATTAAAACCAATATTAAATCATGTCATTCTATAAAATGTCGTTTCTCGTGTAATAAGGAAGATAATGGAGTAAATAAAAAAATAAACTGTAAAAAAAAGTTAAGGCTAAAATGTGATTTCAATTTTAACTTGATACTGTAACTGATCAACTCTACAGGGTGTCACAAATTTTATTAAAAAAAACAAGTTATAATTGCTACACCCGGTATTAGTATAAAAAGGGTTTCTATCAAAATACAGTTAGTATAACAACATTGTGGAAAGAATAACTTATCATTCAAAAATAAAATCGTCCAAATCGGATAAGTGGTTTTGACACAAACTTAACTTAAACTTTTGGTTATTTTTTTGTGGTGCGTTAATTTATTGGGGAAGTGTAATTTACACAACATACATAATTTGTAAATGACACTTTTTCTTTCAAAATTTTATGCAAAAATCGGGAATCCCCTTTTTACAATAAATTAAAACAATAATTTAAACAAATAAGTAACTTTTTCGAATAGTTCAAAAAACGAGCGCCTTTTTTACTGCAATATTCAGTATGTTTCGACAAAAAAAAGCTTTTATACTAATCTGGCTTAAGCCTCATACTATGCGCTGTTACGGTTCGGCAACGCATCGACTTGAAGAGTAGATGCGATTTGATGGCTAACGAATCGCATCGACGACCGCATCATAATCACTATAATATGTGTGCATGGACGCATCAGCGCAATATACCATAAATCACATAGTTTCGCAAAAACCTTTTTTATTTTTTATTAAATAAATTATAGGGGATAAGGAAATATAAATGTATAAATGTCATATTATTTTTTTTTAATAGCTATCAAATTGATGGATTTGACGGAAATGTTTGAAAAAGTGTATTCTGAAATGTTGAAAAAGTAATAAATAAAAATTAATAAATAATTTGATTCGCTTTTACAAAATTCCATTCTCCCTTCGGATACCAGGACTCCATTCGGGTACCTCTATCCACGTGCCGAGTTTGGTTCCAATCGACCCATAATTAAGAAAAATCCCGATGATTCCGTCCATTTAGAGGCATCGGTCTGAAAGGTCGATGGCGTCATCCTTTAGCCCGTCCCCAATTATGCCGATATCGAACCACATTTTTCTTCAATATCAATTTCTTAGTCCCACCCCGATGAAGATGTAAACGAAACGTCGTATCCAACTTTGCAGGGGACCGTGTGCACCGTCGCTATATCGACATACCAAATTTTATTTAAATCGTACGATTTTTTCGCCATTAATGATACGGTTTCATAGTGCGCGAAACGTTATCAAAATACCATGAAAAAATGGAACTCTTCGATCCTCGAGCCCCGTATATCTACATTTCGAGTTGCAGCCCCCTAGCTCACATAGGGCCCGAGTTACGACGACCAAAGACCCATCTCAAATTCTTCATATATCACTTTTTCGATCGTTAACACTTTTCGTGACGCGTGTCGTGCCGCTAGCTAGTGTATCACGGTCTTGAATTTTTACTCCCAGCGCGCGTTTCACTTCAAAAACTTGAAAAAAAATATAACACCTCAAGAGCCGTGCATGCTGGGTCTTGGTCTTGCATTGTTCGGCCTTGGTATTAGCCTTGTTTATATATTCTTAAAGTTGTTCAACGGGCTAGACAAAATGTGCTGCCAACTGGAGGACAAATCGTGAACCTTTCGGGGCGGAGTCAAAAATATCGATTATTTTCGTTATTTTCCTCAGAGTAATGTAATAATATAGCCCCGGGTTTCTGCGAACTTTAATAGTAATCAGCTGATTAAGAAATTTAAACGTAACTTTTATTTTATTGTAAATTGTGGATTATTTTTGCCTGTTATTTTAAGAATTCTAAACCGTATTAACAAAGAAATTATTATTTCGATATGTTGGTACATTATTTATAATTTATGATAATGCTAATTGGTGTTAATTAATATTTAAAAAAAGTTACATACCTATTTTAATTTGATTTAATGCAGGTTTATAAAAGAATCATTTCATTCTTAGATTATTTTATTCTAAATTGAGTGCTTTACCAATTTTACGATATTTTTTTTTGAAAACATAACTTTTTACATTTTTGATGCCAACTAATTGGCATGGTATTATTGGTATGGGAATTAGCCAAGAAAGAAAAGAATTGGCTATAACTTGTAATTTTTCAAAAAAAACATATACCTATATCGCTGAAAAGCTTAAAGAATGGGGCTCTTTATGAAGTCATGGCCAACTAGGGTTTCCATTTAAAAAAAACATAATATTTGTGTCATATGTCAAAAATGACAGGCTTTAGAAAAAAAACAGAAAACACAAACTCATTAGGTATGTGATTATCTACAACTTTTATCTGAAAACTTTTTGTCTAAAATACCGTATGATCGAATAAAAACAGCGTCAGCGATGGCAATGAAATGACGATCGATGATATTTCCCATATAATTTTACATATAAAATGACAACGATCTTCATTTCATAGCCATCGTTGACGCCGTTTTTATTCGATCATACGGTAGATTATAATGGAATTAGAGACAAGTTTTAAAATAGCCAAAATTTGTTTTTTTTTCGAAATATCTAGTAAGCCTTGAACTTCTCCGAAAAATCCGAAAGGCGCATATTTATGACCCCACAAAACTGCAATTCTTTCCCTATTTAACCGACTCTCTGTCTTAATTTGATTAATAAGACTCGATTAATTTATTTTAATATAAATTTGATCAGATTTTTTTTTCGTATATTCTACTACCAGAAAACCAAAATTATATGATAACGCACTTTTCAACGAAGTTGAAAGAAGATATAGTGTATCTATCACAATACTTAATAGAATTACTACAATTAGAAGAAAAACAAAAAGAAAAAATACCCAAATACCTTCACCTACTACTCATCTACAAAATAAACGAATATGATCTCTTATAAAAACACTACACAACTACTTCTTGTATTTTACACTGAAAAAATGATCAAACTTACTAATTAACCAAACAAAAATAAAAAATAACCAAATTATCCCTTCACCTACTACTTAACTCCAAAATAATAAACTATAAAAACACTACTAAACTAATTCTGGTATTCTACACTAAACATTATAATTAAACTTAATAAAATAAATCTAATTTTACACTACAACCCCTACAACTACAAAGAAATAAGAACATTTTTTAAAACTAGAAGAAACAGAACTTCGATACGTGCGACCAGTATAATAGATCAAGCTGACAAAGAATATAAAATACTTTAAAAATGTGCATTCAGAAAGAAAAAATATCTCGAAATTTATCTAAACAAACAATTTTTTTTCTTATTCAGTGGAAAACATCGGCCTCGTCGACCTTGCGGAATTTGTCGGGTATTTACAATGGTCGAATTGTATAATTTCCAGCTTTTATAGCACATCTAATAGACAAAAAGTATCTGGTGGATTAGTAACCAATTGGCACAGTCCGAAAATTCTCGATTTTTATTTTCTTTGTTTTTATTGGTCGCTTCAAAATTCAGAGTAACAAAAAATATTTTTCTGTAGTAATAGACTGTGAAATACGCCCCGCCATCTGGTGCTTTACATCCATAAACGTCTTAGGTTGAGCTACTTTAAAAAATCATATACAAGGGTGTTAGTCTTGATTTTAACTATTTTCTTTCATTGGTAATACGCACAAATATATGACTAGGTACATCTAGATATTCATTTTTCTTATATAATTTATTGTTTTATTAGTTCGATAGAGTCGCCTTCCTAGTGCAGTATATTTTAAAACAATAATTAAAACATTTTAGCATGAGAAAGAAGTACTGTCTACTAAAGATTTTATTAAGGATAATATAGCTACTGTAAAAAGCATGAAAACCAAAGAGCCAGATCACAAGATAGTCGTCGATCGGGTCGGAACAACTGTTCATCCAGAGGCCAACGGATGGGAACCAGTTTACATTAAAAAATCAATTTTTGGAAAGACACCTAATTATCTAGTCAGGTAGGTATAAATTTGATAATGTTAATCTTGTTATTGTCAACATTAATCTTCATTTCTTATTTTTTATTTATTTCTTATTTTATTTTATTATTTATTTAAATTATGTTTATTATATATTTATATCAAGTTTATATAAGTCAAACGGGCTTGGACTTTGACAAATGTAATTTCCCATAAAAATCTATCATCATACAAACACCATTTGGATTATATTGAATTTGAGCGCATAGCATGAACATACCTATATGAATGTAAAAAAAATGTCTAGCTCACACCCATGTAATTTTTAACTTTTATTAATTAGGTTCAATAAAATTAAGGAAAAAGAGTATCAAATGCGCAAAGATGCCTCTGGAAAACAGCAACCAAAATGCAGATATATTCGTAGAGATGAAAGAGAAGAACTGCTAAAGGTAAATGAATTTAAATTTCTTCGTATGTGTTGGCCACTATTGATTCTGGTGAATACACATCAAATAAATAAAACACTAAATCACCACAATTAATACACCAAAACACTTTTACACTAGACGCTCGTTTCTTCATTTTTTTTTTCATCAGCAGATGATAAACCTAGTTTAGTTTTAATCATCTACTGTTGTAACACCAAAGGTTCCAACTCCCAACTGTAATAAAATTATCAGATTGTGCCACTAGAAACACAAGACCCGCCATTATATTTATTTTCAAAATTTTTTATTTTGGTTATAGTTTTTTGTAGTACTTTATTTTGTATTTATATATTTATATCTCTGTCTGGTAGTAGTGCGTCAGGCATCTGTAGCTGCTAGAATAAAAAAATTAGGATATTTGTTTAAGTGCAAACCTAAATGTATGTACTAAGATGTATTTCTGGAAAATATTTTAACTTTTATAGGGGTACTCAAAAAAGTGTGAGTGGATCGGTATATTTTTTCTTAAATGGAACATCCTGTATATTATTGCATTTTTTGTTTTTCTTCCTTTCAGATAACTTTACATGATCCTAAGATACGAGTAAATATATTTCGGTAGTCGCAGAGATATTAATAAATAAATAAAAAATATATATTTTTCAGCTTTTAAAAAAAAAAAAATAAAAATACAAGAACTATCCTGAAATCAAAAACTATATTAGCCTTGATAAAGAAGGATGTTCGGTATTTACTTTAGATGGTCTGTACTTACTTTGCTATAAATATGACAATCGTAAATCATACAGGATGTTCAAAATTCTACGCCAAACTTTCTAAAATATAAAATAATTTTTCTTCATTTTTGAGCACCCTGTATATTATTTTTTCAATAAATGGGGACTTAAAAAATGAACGTTAATATATGAGGAATTAAAAAATGAACTTTTAATTTGTTGTATTTAGAGTATTTCAAAATGTTACTGTTAACGGTTTCGCAGATATTGGCGGTTTTATATTTTATATGGCATTTTCCACAGTAAACTTTTATCAAAGCCACCCAATGATTATTCTCTTGTATTTTACCGTTGAAAGAGCCAAATCAAATAATACTGCGTGTATCTGCGAAACCTTTAAAAATTTTGAAATACACACACCGGAAAAGTCTAGGGATATTACAATTTTATCCAGCCATCGTCAGTAATTTTATTATTTGCATTTCTGATATAATAAAATTAAAATAAACAAATAGTTTACAGGACGTATTGGAAACAAAAATGCGAAATTTACCGAATTTTCCAAATTTACCTTGATTTTTATTGAACTCAAAAAAATATACACATTCTTTTTTATTCTAAACTGTGAATTAAAAAAAAAAGATAAAACCATTTTTACTTAATAAAGGGTATAGCCTCCTCTACTGTTCATTACAGCCCTACATCGTCTCTCCATGCTCCTGATCAGGTTGTCGATCTCTTCTTGAGGTACAGCCTGCCACGCTGCATTCACGGCCCGAACCAGATCCCTACGAGTTTCACGAGGCATACCCATTCTCAAAATTCTTCTTTGGACCGCGTCCCATACGTGCTCGATGGGGTTGAGGTCAGGAGATTGTGCCGGCCAGGGTAAGATGTTTAATTGATGAGCATTGATAAACTCACTTACCACTCTGGCTGTATGAGGCCGTGCATTGTCATGCATGAGAATGAAGTTTCTCCCAAAATCATTGGCATATGGTAACACAACAGGCTCAAGAATTAAATCACGATATGTGATTCCTGTTAGAAACCTTTCAAGAAAAACGAGATCGATTTTTTTTTTCAAACCTAACTGGTCTCCTCCCCAGACCATAACTGTTCCACCTTGATAAGGGTGCACTTCCTGAACATGTTCCAACCGAATAAGATTTCCCGGTTTTCTCCATACCCTAAGCCTTCTCGAATCCGGATGAATTCCAAAGGTTGACTCATCCGTGAAGAGAACATTGGCCCATTGTTCATTCGACCACTGAACATGATCTTGAGCCCACAAATATCGTACCTCTCGATTTCCTCTCGTTAAGGGTTGAGCTCTCCAGGGGCGTCTGCTTCTTAAGTTGACCTCTCTTAATCTATTGCGAACAGTGTCAGGACTAACGGTTACATTATGTGTTTCCTGGAGAATTAAACTAAGCTCTGATGCTGTAAGAGTCGGTCGGCGTCGAGCATTTAATTGTAAAAAATGATCTTGCTGAGGGGTAGTAATGCGATGTCGCCCTGTGTGCCTTTCAGCAACATCACCACTTTCGCGGTAGCGTGCACTTAATCGCGATATTACACTTTGCGTTGTATTTAATGCTCTAGCTACGTCGATTTGGCGCATTCCAGCTTCGAGCATACCCATGGCCCTTAGCATTTCGTCTCTGTTAAGATGTCGCTCCATAATGTCGTTTAATACTAAACAGAGTTATTTGAATGAATTCTGGCCAGTTATCATAAAAACATAGCCAGTACAGGTTAAATTCGAACAATTGATGCTAGGTGCTTTTTATACATTTGACAAAAAATGCACAAACACTTCTGCAAATATCCCAAATTTAGAAATAACTAGTGTGACTACTTCGTTTCAATCGAAGTAGAAAGAATCGGCCTACAAAGATGTGGTTGTTTATGCAAAACATTTATTTTTAACTTTAATAAAATTATATCCCTAGATTTTTCCGGTGTGTGTACTTTAAATACAAAAAATGTTCATTTTTAACTCTCCATCTAATAAAAAATAATATATAATTATTTTATATTTTACAAAGTTTGGCGTAGTATTTTGAACATCCTGTATGATTTACGACTACCATATTTATAGTTAAGTACAGATCATCTAAAGTAAATACCTAATATAGTTTTGATTTTAGGGCAGTTTTAGTATATTTATTTTTTTTAAGAAAGGCTGAAAAATATATATTTTTTATTTATTTATTTATTTCTCTGGAACTACTACTATTGAAATATATTTACTCCTATCTTAGGAGTATGTAAAGTGATCTGAAAAGAAGCCAAAAATGCAATAATATACAGGGTGTTCCATTTAAAAAAAATCATACCATCCACTCACACTTTTTTGAGCCACCCTATAAAAGTTAGTTAAGGTTTGCACATAAACAAAATTCTCAAGTTTTTTATTCTGATGCCCGACGCACTATTGCCGGACCCTGTATATTTATAATTTTTTTTTATTTTTGAATTAAAATTTTGTGCTATAAAGTGCTTAAATTTTTTAGCTTGAAATACGAGGGTGATCTGATAAGTTTCCGACCTCACCATCAACAGTCACGCAATAAAAATTATTTTTATTAGACACTGGAATTTTAAACCATCAACATTCATTAAATAAATTTAAATCCAAAAGAAGAAAAAGACTTAAGTCTTTTTTTTCTTCTTTTGGATTTATAAACCAGATCTCTTTGGGAATAATGGACGCCTTTTTTAAATAAATTTAATATTAACCACTCCTATTTTCTCTATATTTTCAGGGTTTGAAACAAAATTGGGAAGAATTGCAGAAACAATACCAAGGCCTCCCGATTCTGACTGATACGATTCCGAAAAAAGTGCGCAAATCTAAACTCGAAGACGAACTGAAACAAATTGAAAAGGACATCGTGCTGGTAGAAAGACATCCCTATATTTACATTTATAATGACGCAGAATTTCCATAACCCATCAGTGTTTCGTGTGTACATTTTCAATTATTGATCATACAATTTTATTAAATATAGATATTTTAAAATACAGGTTTTTATTTTTTACCTTTTTTTACGCTTAAAAAGTGGCTGTTTATCAGTAAGTACAGAGTGTCCTTTTTTCACTACTTTTCACATTATGGCGCCAGCTAAATAAATCATATTCTTCTATCCCTCTTTATTTCTGAGATACAAGGTCAAATTGAAAAACGGGACTTTGCGGACAACCCCCGTAACATTTATGAGCTTTTCAGAAATATATAACCCGGACACTTCGCTACTCTATTTTTCGATTGTTCGTGATTCTTAATTAAATATTTGTGATATTTTTTAACTCCATTTTCAAATGTTTTAGTTTGTATTTTTTTCAAACATAGGAAAATTTGTGTCAATTCGACATCATTTATCTACGGATACAGACCCGGATAATGCCAGGATACTCGCATACATTTGCTACTCTTTTTATACTTATTTCTGGCATATATCAGCTTAATTCATTTTTATGCAACCAAATATACGTAAATTTAAAAACAAATGCACATCTTAATTATATACTTATATTAATAAGCTAATAACGTTATTGCATAAATACCCAGCATAGTCGATTAATGTTTATTTATTTTATTAAATAATCAAATACTGTATGAATATGTTGGCAACAGTTGGCCCAGTTGGCAATACAAGAAACTGTCACTAACTGTCAATTCAAAGGGGTAAAATGTCAATGTCAAACTTTTTAATGAAAGTCGAAAGTTGTGAATAAAAATATTGTAATTTTTCCTTAAAGAATTATTGTTCAGGCTTATTATATATAATTCAAGGAATCATACATATGATGGACAAGTAAGATACAAACAATAACTGTTCTAAGTATTCTAAAGTTGTCACGTTTTAGACCTGAAAGGAAACATAGTATATCAAATTCCGAGAAAAATGAAGAAGCCCCACCAAAGAAGAAGCACAAGAAAGAACATAAGCATAAACACAAAAAGCACAGCGCTGAGAAAGGCGAGAAACCGGAGAAACATAAGAAGCATAAAAAACACAAGAAACATAAGCAGAAGAAGGAAGAAAAGACTCAGGACGATTCAGAACGCTATACTCCTGAACGAATAGTTCAAATTACGGATAAAGAAGTGACAAATGGCAAGATCGTTGAGGAAAAGGCAGACAAACATGTTCCTAAAGATTTACCTACACCTACTGAGGTTAATGAGGTTACATCATTTATTTCAGAAGGCTTAACAAATAATACACCCCAATTACTCGAAATTATATCTTCAGAGAACGACAGCATGGATGTCCCGGAACAAGACTGCGACTCTGATGCCATTGACACCAATGTAATTGAAGCAGATATGGATTTGGAGGAACTTATGAGACAGAAAGAACTACTTCAGGCCCAACTAGCAAACGCATATGTAGAAGATGACCATGATGTCGGTGATCAAAAGAAGAATGAGGTAGATAAATCAAAAACCAGTAATGATGACGTGATATTGTTGTCAGATTCAGATGAAGAAAATAGGAAGGTTCGTAAAGATAACTTGAATGTGCAGAGGCATAAAGATAACCGAAGAATTAGAAACAAAGAGAGGTATAGTTTTCTTAATTAAATAATAATAATAATAATCTTTATTTCAAAACATATAAACTTCACAAATTATACATGAAATGAAATAACATTTGCATTTTCTTATAATTTAGACTTTTATTATTTATACCCATGGAATACTAACATTTTAGATTATTTTTAAAAATGTAATAAAATTTTTTAAAGAGTATAGATACTAATATTGTTGATATAGTTTGTTTATTTCATTATAAAATTAAAAAAAACTGTTTAAATATTTATTAAAGAGAACCAATTAATATGATTCCAATATTCAAACTACATTAATTGACTGTTTGCGTTGATTAATAATAATTGCTCCAAATACTAAAAAACTGAATTTTGTATGTGTATTAGACAGTGTGATAAAACGTAACACCTTAAAAATTTTATTTAATTTTTTGACGAATGCTTATTTATTTATAACAACAGAGACTCGTTTTCATAAATTATTGTTATATTGATTTCTGGTTGAAATCCACATTTATTTAGAATAATTTATTAACTAACACAATTAAGTATGTAATTAAATAATATTTGGGCGGAAATAATGGTGGTATATTTAATTAATGGTATACTTTTTTTATAAAGATTTAAATAGTTTCTTTTTGTATACAAATGGGCTAGTAATATTATCGTTTTTAGCACCTGTACATTTTGTACATTTGTTGCTTTAAAAACAATCTAAAATGTCAATATTCCATAGGTATATTGATAAATGAGGTCTAAATTATAAGAAAATGAATTTTCTACAAAAACTTGAAGAGATAGGTAAAAAATGGTATAATACAATTTGATAAACAATTAAATTGTGCATCTGATTCTCGTAAAATATACAGGGTGTTCCATTTAAATTATTAAACAAGTTATTGCCGTTTAAAGCTAGAAATTATTTAAAATAAATTTTTAGACACTCTGTATATCATTTTTATTATTGCAACACAATAACTGATCAATAAATAAAGTTCAGTTAATATTTAGTATTAAAAACTATGATGCCCTGAGAGAAATGAAGCCTTAAAATTTGTACTGCAATTTTACAAAATTGAAAATATTTCGTAAACGGTAAGGTTTAAGTGTGATAAACCTTAATCAAATTTATCTTTATTTCAATGGTAGAATCTAAAAATTGAATAATATACAGGGTGTTCCGTTTAAAAAAACACAGCTATAATATTTTTTAGTTCTCTGGGACACTCTGTATATTGTAAAAATTAGTGATGGGATTACTCAAGCGAAAATTTGCTCGAGTACTCGATTATCGAAATAACCAAGATCGCTCGATTATGAACGAGCGATGCACGTAACGAGTTACGTACGACGATCGCAAGCGATCCTGGAATGAAATAAATGAAAATCCGATTTTAATGTGACATACTCGATAAAAAGCCGAGTGAATTTTCTACATACATTGCAGGTAGCAAATTTATACGACGTTATCTGTTGCGTATCTGAGGCACAACATTTTACGATCTATATCGACAAATAAACTAAAATTGCTCTGAAATAAACTAAATCAAGCGATCAAGCGAATCGCTTGCTACTTACCATTCATCACTGAAAGAATATGTGCCCTGCGCACGCAACTTACTGCTTGGCGCTTGGCGTTAACGAGTACTTACAACAAGCGACGCGACGGTCGTAAACCCGTATTTTTAAATACGAGCGATCGCTAGATTATTGCAATCGTTTACTCGAGTAGTCGATTATTGAAATTAATCGTTTTTTCCCATCACTAGTAAAAATATTTTTAAGTTGTAGCTCTAATAGTCCTTCAACGAACCCAAACTTACAATTTGTAAAAATCGAATCTTCTAGCAACAATACTCCGTGTCGTATGTGGTGAACAACCCTGTATATTATTCTGCAAGCTTATTTTCCAACGCTTCATAAGAATGACTGGCTCTAACTACGATTCTGTTATATGATTTGACAATATTACTCGCAATCGATTATTATACAGACCGGACCACCGTAGTAGTAACATAGGCAGAACCGGACGAATTAGCGTATACCCGTCCGCCGGATAAAAAGCAGGCGAAAAAATGCGATAAAATAAAAATAGGTATCTCGCTACAGCTCTCGTGTAAAATTTATTTTTTAAGTAAAATAATGGATGTTTACGAAGTTCGTGAGAAAATTCAAAATGTAAATTGTAAAATGGTATTTCCAAAATAGGTCTTATCGGGATATACAAACAATTTTTCCACAAACTTTTGTAAACAGGCCAATTCCATCTTTACCTACTATATCAAGTGTTATTAATAATTTTGAAACACATGGGTGCGTGTCCCCACAAAAACACAAAAAGCCTGATGTGTTGATTAATGAAGAACAGGAGTTAAAGCAAGTGTTTGGGCTGGTTTTGTAGGGGAGCATATGATTGGTCCATTTTTTATAAAGGGTAATTTAACTGTTGCAAAGTATTTGGACTTGTTACAGCAGCAGATTATCCCTAGAATTTGTGAGTTATTGGGAGAAAGATTCCACAATGTCTGGTTTCAACAAGATGGTTGCCCTGCCCACAATGCCCGTATTGTTCAAGAATATTTGAACAATACTTTTCCCAACCGTTTAGTTAGTGGACATGGAACTATTTTGTGGCCCGCTAGATCACCAGATCTTTCTCCCAATGATTTCTTTTTGTAGGGTTATGTAAAATCCAAAGTGTATGGTCATAATAGGGCTAATAATCTGGATGAGCTTCAAGTAAAAATATGAGGGGCTTTCCAAACTATTAGCCCTAATATGTTAGCCAATGTCAGACGGGGATTTTAGGACTGCCTAGGCTTCTGTCTAGCACAAGAAGGTGGTCTTTTTGAACACTTGTTATAATTTTTTTTATTTAGAGTAAGATTTTAGTTTTTTTCGGGTTTAGAGAATTTATTTATTTTTAATTTTGGCTTGTAAACACACTCAAATAATAAATATTTAAGTATTTTTATTTTAAATGTTACCTTAAGTGAAGCTTATTGTCACGACCGACCCGTCCAAGCACAACTGCAACTGCGTACTGCCTGACCAGCCGACTAGCCGGCAGCGAATCTCTAGTACGAACGCAAATCGGGTAAACGTAAATTCGTCAGGCAACTTGTTATGTTACTAGTAGCCTGGTCTTCTCTGTATATTAATTATCGCTGCGATGCGATTAGATAGCAGTTTGCGATTTTCTGCTCATCTCTACAATAAATATTTTAATTTCAGAGAAAAGCGAATGAAAGATTTGTTAGAAAAGGACAAGCAGAGGGAAAGAGAAAGGGAAAAGGAACGCGAACGAGCTAGAGAACATGATAGATCAAAACACCACGCCAGGCATCATTCAGCGGAAAGATCGAGAAGTCGACACAACGATAGGATCTCTAGAGACGTTTACGAAAATTCTAGAGACTCGCGCGGCGACTACCAGAGAGATCTCCGCGACTTTAAAAGAGACAAGGACAGAAACCGTAACAGTAATAATGTCGTTAAACACGATAGAGATAGAAGGTTTGATGATAGAAGGAAAATGCAAGAGCGGCCATATGAAAGAGACAGGAGACATCATGATCGGCATCATAGAAAACCGAACAAAGACCAAGATAAGTTTAAGGATTCTTTGAGCGAGGGGCAGACAAAGACCAAAGATGGATCGTCGGATAGTGATGTGGAAATTGAGCTGGATATAGATCTGGAGGAGGAGGATGAAGAAGCAATTATTGAGAAGAGAAGGAAACAAAGAGAGGAACTTTTAAAGGTAAGTCCAGTTTAAAAAAAAGTGTGTGTGCACTATCTTCTTCTTCCTGTGCCTTGTGCTTAGCCGCACGTTGGCGATTGTCTGTACTCTTCATACAATGTGTAGAGTGCCGTTTTCGGCTCTTCGAAATATGGTGGCTGCGTCGCTGATGTTACACCAATCCCGTATGTTTCTTAGCCAGGAATGTTGTTTTCCTCCTGGGCCTCGCCGTCCCTCTATTTTACCTTGTAGAACCAGCTTAGGAATGTAATATTTGTCTCCTCTAAGGATATGGCCGAGGTATGAGACTTTCCTTTCTTTAACTATATTAAGCATTTCTCGTTCATAGCCTGCAGTTCTTAAAACTTCTTCGTTGGTTGCATGTGCGGTCCATGGCACACGTAAGAGTCTCCGGAGAGTCCACATTTCGAAAGCCTCGATGCGGTTCAGGATTCTAGCCTTGAGTGACCAGGTTTCTGCGCCGTATAGTAAGATGGGCCATATGTAGCATTTCACTACCTGTAGTCTAAGTGTTAGCGGGAGACTGCGTGCTAATAGGAAGTTTTTAAGTTTAAAAAATGTCGACTTTGCATAATTCGTTCTAAGTTTAACTTCCTCATCGCAGTCCCATCGTTCATTGATCATGGCACCCAGATATTTAAATCGTGGAACTCGCCTTATAATATTTCCATCCACGGTCAATGCGGTGTTGATTGTAGGCTGGCGTCCTATTACCATAAGTTTGGTCTTGGCAGCGTTGATTTTAAGACCGAAACGATTTCCCATGTCCCCTATCTTATTTATTATTTGCTGGAGATCCTCTAAAGTTCGTGCTAGTATTGCCGTATCATCTGCATATCTTATATTGTTAATTAGAACTCCGTTAATCTTAATTCCTCCACTTTCTCCTTCCAGGGCCATTTGAAATATTTTTTCGACGTATATATTAAAAAGTATTGGTGATCTGATTCTCGTAAAATATACAGGGTGTTCCATTTAAATTATTAAACAAGTTATTGCCGTTTAAAGCTAGAAATTATTTAAAATAAATTTGTAGACACTCTGTATGAGGTAGTATCATTTTTATTATTGCAACACAATAACTGATCAATAAATAAAGTTCAGTTAATATTTAGTATTAAAAACTATGATACCCTGAGAGAAATGAAGCCTTAAAATTTGTACTGCAATTTTACAAAATTGAAAATATTTCGTAAACGGTAAGGTTTAAGTGTGATAAACCTTAATCAAATTTACCTTTATTTCAATGGTAGAATTTAAAAATTGAATAATATATTTTTATTTTGAATAATATATCTTTATATATTAAAAATTATTGGTGACAGTATACAGCCCTGGCAGACTCCTTGACAGACATTGAAGGTGTCTGTGGATAAATTTTTGTTAACTCTTATCTCTGCGGTTTGGTTCCAATATAGTTCCTGTATGATTCTAATGTCTTTGGCGTCTATTCCTATCTCGAGCAGTCTGTTTAGGAGAATATTGTGTTTAACGTTGTCGAAAGCCTTCTGATAATCTACGAAGCACACAAAGACATATTGGCGTTGATCATAACATTTCTGGATTAGTAACTTGATTGAAAACAAAGCCTCTCTGTTACCCAGCCCCTTAATGAAGCCGAACTGTGTCTCTCCGCTTTTTTCTTCACATTTCGAGTATATACGAGCATGCATGACTCGAAGAAAAAGTTTCAGAGCATGACTCATTAGACTTATAAGTCTGTAGTCACTACAGTCTTTTGGAGATGCCTTTTTGGGAATTGTTATAAAAGTTGATTTTAGCCAGTCGTTTGGAATTTTACCCGTATCGTATATTCGATTGAATAGATATGTGAGATGCTTTGAGTTAAATATTTTAAGAACTTCTGCATGCACGTTGTCATGACCGGGGCTTTTTCGATTTTTCACAGCTTTCATAGCATGCTGAACTTCAGATTCAAGAATTTCCGGGCCCGACCAGTCTTCACAATTGAGAGGTTGTCTGTCTTCTCTTTGGTCTTCAAATAATAACTGTGCATAGCTTTTCCATGTGCTGCATAGATCTACTGGGTCTAAAATCAATTTTCCATTGTGTTTTAGGGCAGGTATTGGTGCTTTTTTTGTGATTCCAGTAATTTGTTTGAGTTTTCTATGAAAATTTACAGAGTCGTGCAGAGCATGCATGCCTTCCGCCTCTTGGCATTCTGTAGTTACCCAGTTCTCTTTAGCTTGTAGGCATTGTTGTTTAATAGTTTTATTTATTTCGGACACTATAGTGTGCACTATAGTTGAAGTGAAACTTCTTACTAACAGCTATTAAATTGAAGGATTTGAAGGACATGTTGAAAAAGTGTAGTTTGAAATGTTGAAAAAGTAATAAATTAAAAAAATATTTTTTTACGGGTAAAAATATCTTTTTGCATGTACAAGTAGTTTTGTACATGTAAAAAATAGCTTTTTGCGTGTAACAAATAGTTTTTTACGGGTAATAAATAGTTTTATACGCGTAAAAAATATTTTTTTGCGTGTAACAAATAGTTTTATATGTGTAAAGTAAAAGAAAAATAATAAAATAATTTTTGTGTAACAAATAGTTTTTTACACTTAATAATTTGATTCACTTTCACAAAATTTGTATTAAAATTTTGTTAAAGGGGAGTAAAAAATTGATTTTTTACTCCCAGCGCGCGTAAAGAAATTTCACTTCAAAAAATATTTTCTAGAGGATAATCTTTTATTTTATACGCAAGAAATAGCTGTCCATATTTTAAAGATTATTCAAATACATGTATTTTCCACTAAAATTGTAGTGCTTAAGTAGAACATTGCATTTTTATCATGTGAACTTGAAAAGTTTGGTTTCAGAAATACCATATTATCACAATCTCTACCTCTTGATTTTTGGGTAAAATTTTAAACCTACATAATTCTCTCAAGGATATTGTAGGTAAAAACTCAAATTATTAATTATTATTATTTTATGATAGCGTCTTTTTTAAAACTAATCATACTAAGCTATGCGATATTGCGTATAAAATGTATATGTTACGGTTAAAGTCCGATGTCCGGTTAATGTCGACATTAACACGTTAATGTTTGGGTTAGGTTATGTTTTTCGTTGTTTTGTTACGTGTTATTCTCAAGATTAACCGGATAATGTCGACATCAAGCGGACATCGGACCTTAACCGTAACATATATACAGGGTGAGTAAAAAAAAAATAACCATTTTTGTGGAACACCCATGGAACATCCATTTTTTGCAACTTAACTTTATATTTTAATAAACACCAAGATCGTAAAATTATTAAATATAATGTAATTTATAGATAATTAAATAAATATTTATTCCATATACAGGGTGACGCCACTCATACGACGTGGAAACTGCGAGAAGAACGTCAGCTTGTATAGAAATGAAATGTTGTTAATCATATTATGTAGGTTAATCTAGAGCATTTTTTAAAAATATAGTCACTACTACGGGGTTTCCCCAAAAAAAGTTACACATCAAAGTTGTGTTTTTTCTAATGGAACACCCTATATTTATTACTTGATTTTCGGATTCTATGAGAAAAATAAATGTGGGTTTCATTAATTATTAACATTTTAGTCACAAGTATGTGACTAAAATGTAAGGATTTTGACATATATTTAACATTTTCTAAAAATGAAAAATAAATTTTGAGTTTCAATAAAAGATACCGAAACTGGAATTTACCCAGTATAATCTAATACATATGTAGTTCAAATAACCATTGTACTTTAAATCCAATTAAACTTGACCCGAAAAGTTAGACACGGTACAGTACGTCTGTCCGTTCTGTAGCTACGGGGTATCCGTGAGAGGGGAAACGATATTCTCTCGATGTTTATCGTAAAAAAACAGTCAATGTAAAAAAACAGTAACAGACGACGCGTCCCATCAAAAAAAATTCAACAAATTTGCAAGTAGCTAATAAAATGAGTGGGCGGAGCGATTTGCGGTGACGCACTCGTCAAATCGACGTATAAAATATATTGCTGTTTATTTAAATGTTTTTTGTCCGCATTCCTTTCATAGACACAGATCCAGCAGATGTACTGTAACTAAAAATTGATATTGAACATTGGTCACTTTCGTGTTTTAAATGGAACACCCAGTGTATTATTCCGATATTCAATGAAGAATTTATGTCTCATCGAAATACTACTAAGGTTGCCTACCCCTCAGACAAAGCTTTTCTTAGATATTTTCATTTTTGTAATTAATTATCAGTAGATCTTTGTTTCTATTATTTGAAAAATCTAGGTGGCTGTGATATGCCTGACGATGATTCAAAACCTGACAAAATTTCCTCTTCCGTCATGTGAGAGGCGCCACCTTGTAGATTTGTTTTTGAAAAAAGAAGAATTTTGGAGAATTTGGCGCTTAAAAATCCTTTGGGAATATCACACTTCAATTATAAGTTTCTATAACAATTAAATGTTATATATTTTTTATAGAGACTGGGAGCCAATAATGAGAATAAAGAAGATCCAACACCCCCTAGTCCAAAACAAGATAGTTTACCACAGCTTGAAACTAAAGATGAAGAATCAAAGGACGGTGTTAATTCAGATAGCAGTAGCAGCAGTTCAGAGAGCGAAACAGAAGCTACAGATGATACGCCTTGTAATCACAATGGTATTTTATAACTATTTTATTTATATATAAGTTTAACAAATTAATTATTATTTTTAAGGCAAAGAAAAGAAGCCCATAGAAGAGGATCAGTCACTAACACCACCTTTATTGCCAAATATGAAACAGAAAGAAACCGATAAGAAATCGGAGAAAGACGGTAAAAACAAGAGAGCCGAATGGGACATGTTTGCCGAGCAGGATGTCTTTAAATCAAACACTAATGTAAGATTTATTCTTTACTGACAGTTACATTTAATTTTCTGCAAATGGTTTGCTTATAGGCTTGGTGCATTTCAGTTGATTTCAAAAAATTCCGACCGCGGCTTTGTATACGGCAGAAATCAGAAATTTTCGCTATGTTTTTCACGCCGTCCCGGTTACAGTTGATGTTGATCGCATTAAAATAATATTGAAATAGTGACTTTGTCATAATATTTAAGTATTCTAGTTTTTTGCTAGTGCAGTTATTGAGACTATAAAACACTCAGGTACAAGGTGTGATGTAACGCTGTTTCGGGTAGTAAAAAATAAGTGAAAAAGAATTCGAACTATAGGCGTCGCGTCGTAATGTTTGATGTTGTGACAATTTCGAATGTTAAGAAAATTGTCGAAAAAATGTAACTCGTAAAGGAGAGCGTGATTAGGGCGCTGTTGGGTGCAATAACATTCAATAACTCAACTTTCCCGGATATTCAACTCTCCCTCCCGAAACAACATTTTATAGCTTTATAGTTTCTCACACCGATTTGATCAAAAGCAAAAATGTATTCAAGAAGTTCGACGAAACAAGTGAGTAAACAAAATGCACGTTACATAATCAAAAAATTAAATAGACATATACTATGAGGGGATAAAATATAATTTACAATATTTAATGGTTTACTTTTTAAATTTACCTTCAAAAAATTTCGTTATAGCCGTAATAGCCCCAATTATGACCCCACTAGCAAAACCGGTGATTAAAACTATGCTCGCGTTAGTTGAACTCATCTAAAAATATATTTAAGCTGGAATAATAAATTATAATACATATTAGGCCTTCTGTAGATATCAAAATATTTGCTTTTTTATTTTTATTTTTAGAATTTTTACAAATTATACTTCCTAACATTTTTAGAATAATTATATCATCACACAATCTTCGTACCTGAGAAGTTTATAGTTTCAGCAACTGCACTATTTAGTAAAAATTAAAATATAGCCGGGCAGTTCTGATTTTTACCATACCTAGCGCTGCTGTCGAAATTTTAAAAAAGTCGATTGAAATGCACCAAGCCCATAAGAAACACCCTTTATATTCTACTTGATTATTTTTAGTCTCCCAGTACTATAATAAAATCCAAAGGTCAGGGAGCAGAAAATCCCGCTCTCACAGACAACTGGGACGATGCGGAAGGATACTACAGGTATTTCAAATTGTTTTCTATGACTTTAGTATGGTTGACAATGATTTTTGTATTTCAGAGTAAGAATAGGTGAAATTCTGGACGCCCGGTACATGGTTTACGGTTATACGGGCCAAGGCGTGTTCAGTAACGTTATAAGAGCGAGAGACCAAGCTAGAGGTAGTCAGGACGTCGCAGTGAAGATAATTAGGAACAACGAAATCATGTAAGTAGCAAAAAAGAGAAGTTTTAAAAATACGTATAGTTTAACCAGCGAAAGAGTATAAAGCAATGACAGTTGTCTGTTGCCATTTTAATTCAAAAGTAAATTGTTTATCTCTCCATTTTTGGATGTTATATCTCGAAATCGTCCTTTCTCTCGCTGTACAGACTATTTGAAATTGTTCGAGAACCACACTGGAGCGGTGAGTTCATTTGAACTACTAATATCAATATTGCCGTTTCTTTAAAATATTTTTATAACTATTCTTTTTACCCTGAACTTTTGTGAATTATTAATTTTAAAAAATACATTTTGTTATTTTGTTTGCAGGGTCTCCCAAAAAATAAACAAAGTAATAATAAATTAAAAAATACCCTGAAAACATTATTTTTTTGCCATTGGACATGCTAAATTATTCCACATAAACTTTTTTCTTAAATAATACAATAATAAAACCTCTTGGCGACACTGTACAGGGTGAGTCAAAGAAAATGTTTATATTGTAAATTGCTTTCAGAATTTCGAATATATTGTATATTGAATAGTTTTATCATTACAAGGGTTTTCGGTAACGTTAAGAAGCATTAAAGCTAAAATCATTTTTAGATATACGGGGTGCCTTAAAAATGTGACAGATATAGGTAACAATCTTTTTTAAAATTAGAACTCCATTTATTATTTTATTTTTAGATTTTAGATTTAGTGTAAAATTCTCTAACGTTTTTGTATGTAATATTATGTATTTAAAACTAGTATTTTTTGTAATATTCGATTTTATAAATAGGTACTAGTTTTCGGTGAGATAAAAATAGTCACTAGCGCTATTGATCCTGACGTTCATGGTTCAGAATTGACGAAAGATATTTTTATAGTGATAAATACAAAATATATAGGTAAAAATATTTCATTTAGGTGCTACAGGGTGCTCAAAATAAATTTATGAATTTTTGCTATTATAAATGAAAAAAGTCTTCTCTCTTTTTAAATAGCACACGACTGTATCTGTGGCTCATTAGCATATTTGGAAAAAGCATTTTTTGCGAATAATTTGATACCGCACACTATTTCAGTCAAATTTTCGTTACGGACCGCATGTTATTTCAAATAAACCATATGGTGAAAATGTCAAAAGTTGACATATGATATGTCATTGTATTTAGAGTATTATTTTCTGTCAAATAAAGTAAAACAATACTGAAGGTGCAATTTAAAAATCAAAAGTTGTAGTCATTTCCGGTGAAACAGGAAGTGTCCGAAAACAATTGAATCAATCCTAATTTATGTCATATACTAACATACCAAATCTCGTTTTTTTTAACTGAAAAAATAAATACGTTGTAGGGGTGAGCCACTTTTGAGACGCACCCGGTACGGTCAGTCCGACACTGCAGTTTTAAGGACTTTGAGTGCAAGCAGCCTTTTTCTTTTTGAAATGTCTGTCATTCATATAACTTAATAACACTGTGCCACACATTGTTTTATCTATACTAATATATAAAATGCTTAAGTGACTGACATACTGATTAATCACGATCCTGCTCAAACCACTCAACGTAAGAACCTCAATTTTGGCATGCAGGTTGATTCTAGGGTGTAGAGGTTCGATAAGAAGAGATTTTTCGAAATTCCTGTTCCAAGAGGGTGAAATCACCCCTCAAATATTACAATATTTTTTATTTAAAAAACGGTCAAGTTTCCGAAAAAACGCTTAAACACGTATATTTTATTTTGTTTTTTTTACATATTTTAAGATTTTTCAAAAATGTATACAGGGTGTTTCGAAAAATCTGGTCATTGATTAATCACGATCCTGCTTAAAGCGCTTGACGTAAAAAGCTGATTTTTGGAAAACAGATTGACTTTAGGGTGTAGAGGTTCGATAAGAAGAGATTTTTCGAAATTCGAATTCTAAGAGGGTGAAACTATCCCTCAAATATTAAAATATTTTTTATTTAAAAACCTGTGAGTTTTTCGGAAAAAAACTCTTAAACACGTATATTTTATTTTGTTGTTTTACATATTTTAAGATTTTTTATAAATTTGTACAGGGTGTTTCATAAAATATGACCATTGAGTAATCACGATTCTGCTTAAACTGCTTGACGTTTAAAGCTGATTTTTGGCAAACGGATTGACTGTGGGGTGTAGAGGTTCGATAAGGAGGGGTTTTCGAATCTCAAATTTCAAGAGGGTGAAAACGCCCCTCAAATATTACAATATTTGTTATTTAAAAAACGGTTAGTCTTTCGGGAAAACGCTTGGATAAGCATAATTTATTTGGTTTTTTTACATATTTTGAAATTTTTTAAAAAATCATATAGGGTGTTCCAAAAAGTTCGGTAATTTCTTAACCACGATTCTGCAAACTGCAATTCTGCAAACGGATTTTTCGAAAGTCAAATTGCAATGAGATGAAACTACCCCTCAAATATTATCAAGTTATATAATAATATCGCCATATTGTTTTTTCTCATGCTGACATAAATGTGGGAACATTTTATCCAGTTTGTATGTTAATGGAAATTCTTGCTTTGCTTTATCATCACCATTACAAATGATTAATTCGACGCGAAGTCGCTGGTACACGCTAGTATGTTTTATAAAAGATATTGGTTATTTGTATTAGGAAAATAAATAAAAATTATGTAAGAGTTGTATCCCTAAATACTATTTTTTCAGGCACAAAACCGGACTTAAAGAACTGGACATCCTGAAAAAACTGAACGACGCCGATCCCGAAGACAAGATGCACTGCCTCCGCCTCATCCGGCACTTTTTCCACAAGCAGCACTTGTGCATGGTGTTCGAGCCTCTGGCCATGAACCTGCGCGAAGTCCTCAAAAAGTACGGCAAAAACGTCGGCCTGCACATCAAGGCGGTGCGCAGCTACACGCAACAGCTGCTCCTCGCCTTGAAACTGTTGAAGAAAACCGGGATTCTACACGCCGACATCAAACCCGACAACATTCTGGTCAACGACAGCAAGCTGGTCTTGAAACTGTGCGATTTCGGCTCCGCTTCGAAGATCAACGAGAACGAAATCACGCCATATTTGGTGTCGAGGTTTTACAGGGCGCCGGAAATTATCCTGGGAATCCCCTACGATTACGCTATAGATATGTGGAGCGCCGCTTGTACCATTTACGAGCTGTACGCCGGAAGGATCCTGTTTTCGGGAAAGTCGAACAATCAGATGTTGAAGTTTTTTATGGATCTGAAGGGGAAGTTTCCGAATAAGGTGATCAGGAGAGGAGCGTTTAAGGATCAGCACTTTGATTCGAATTGTAATTTTCTCTATCATGAGATCGATAAGGTTACAGAAAGGGTAAGTTGTTTTTTTTTTAATTATTAACATCCTCTATTATTTTTACTTAGACTATAAAATTCCTTTTTGAATAATGCATTACTAAAATATGTCTATACCTATGTGGCGGATTCATCTCTTCAAAAAAATCCTTTATGGGTATTTCGCCACTGCACTGCAAGAAAACCTACAAAATAGAATAGTTATTTTTTGTACACACTTCTGTATTAAACCTAAACGGACACTGCTTGTTAGAAGTTTTGTTTACAGTAAAGTTATAAAAATTTGCCTAACAAAGAAAAAAATGCTTAACGTTTCGGAAAGTCTATCTCTTTCCGTCGTCAGAAGCAAAAAATACAAAGTAAGAATGCAATAAAGAAAAAAACTATTTAAAATATTTAAATTCAAACTTATGAGAACACTTTAAAAAAAAATATGTTTTAAACACTTTAGTTTTTTTAAAGCAAATACGTCTACAAGAAACCGTTGACGTTCTGTTAAAATAATATAATATAGTTCTGTTATATAAAAGAAAAGAAATCTTATGTAAACGTCGTACAAAATAAAAACCGTTGCATGTCATCGACCACGTGCTTTTGAAAAATTTACAATATCTAAGATCTATTAAAAAATCTAAAATAAACTTTAAATTGTTAACAGTTTTAAATAGTTTCAAGCAGCACTGAAAAAAAATATTTTTAAACAAAACATTTTTTTTTTATTGTTTAAAACGAATTTTTATGGTTTTAAAGAACATTGTAAATACAAAGTAGAAAATATGTTTAAAACACTTTTACACTCTGTTTTAAACCATATCGTGTTGAGTAATGATAAAGCCAAAGGACAAAACTTAATTCGATTTTAGAAACCGTAATGATGCTCCTCCAAGTAGTAATACAGAATTAATAGTTTATTTAGACAATATTAAGTTGAGCTGATTACTGTTTTTTATTCCTTTTGTATTATAGTTGCTTTTTTATTTTGAAAGAGTTTTTCTCATTTTTTATTGAAATAAACACCTACACACCAAACCTATTTAATACTGTGTTTTAAACAAATATTTAAGACAAGTAATGGTGTTTTTTAAAAACATTGTTTTAAACATTTTGTTTAATTAATATCTTTTGTTTAATTAATATCAGTCTGGGTTTCGGGCTATTCAAAATATTATCTATTATAAAGAGTGGTAAATGATTATAAAATATATAGGCAACTTTTTGAAGTATTTCAAGAATTAATAAGTATTTTCCATAGAAGATTAGTAGGTTTTGTTTCTCAAAATAAAAAAACTCACTTCACTGGTCTACTTTAAAATACATTATTATAATATAACGAGCCGTTATTGTCCCTTTCTTTCTCAAAATATTGTATCAGATGGCACTAATTCTTGGCACCGACTATTAAAAAAACTAGCAACTACTACACAAAATATTCTGAAAACAACAGTTTTCGATCGATAGATAAAGGTTCTAAAAGATACAATACACACGAGACACAACTCTCAACTAACGTTCAGAAAATTCTGGCAAATATCAAATAAACGTGGCACCGCTGCAACCGCTTCCTCGGCGTTGCCAACACAATATCGAGTGGGAGATAATAAAACTCATTGAAAACGTCCCATAAAGGCCATATTTGTGTAGTGGTAGCACTGCACACATTTATTAGCCTAATCGATAGCCCGCAACGGTTTTTATTTTGTACGACGTATAAATCAAATGTATTAAAAAGAGATAAAAGATTTTCTATGCGGTATTGCCGGATTTTGCATCAAAAGTTCAAACCGCACAAGTAGGCGTTTATGGAAAATGTTGCATCTAGGGTTGGAACCTTATTTTTCACAATTAGTTACTTATTTTACTACAGATGTAATAGATTATATTTAGCTTAGATATATTATCTGCATTTCAGTTGTATACATGAGAGTTTTTAAAATAGTTTATTTTTTTCTACACAAATTTTCCTACAAACGTAAAAACCGGCAACGCTGTATGCCGCTTTGATTTTGTCTCTCTGTCAACCGGTCATTTATATTATTCTCTGTCTTACACGTTAAAATCCAGACCACACTTCTAAAATGACCAAATCGGTATATTGATAAGTATACAGGGTTCGGCAATAGTGCGTCAGGCATCTGTAGCTCATAGAATAAAAATCTTGGGAAATTTGTTTAAGTGCAGATCCAAAGTATATTATGTACTAAAATGTATTTCAGCAAAATATTTTATCTTCTATAGGGTGGCTCAAAAAAGTAGCAGTGGATCGGGATAATTTTTTTTTAAATTGAACAACCTGTATATTATTTCATTTTTGGCTCTCTTTTAGATCAATTTACATAATCCTAAGATATGAGTAAATATTAGAGATGAGCAAAACTGCGATTTTCCAATCGCAGTTGAAACTGCGATTGTGATTTATAAATCGCTGCGACTGTAACCTGCGATTGCGATTTTGATATTTTTAAATTGGTACGCTGTAATCTGGGAAGCTCAATCCCAAAATTTCTAATAAAAAACAGAATAAATAGCGGAATAATTTTTTTTAATAAGAAACTGTTGGGTGTTTTCTTGATGCTATGTGCCTTTTAAAATTTGTAGTGCGTGTTTTTATGATATTTTGCTGCACACATATTGCACTTAAAATTTTCATCAATTACCTACCAAAAAAAATCCACAAATAACTTAGTTTCCTTTTTTTAAACATTTTTGATTAGAACAGACCGAATAAATTTAAAAGGGAAATTAAAAATACATAAAATGTTCAAAATATTCGAATGTGCTTTTAGACAGTAGGTATACTAACGAAAAATTTATTATAAAAAAAGTTGCCGCCAACCTTAATTCAGATAAGTAGAAAAAAAAACTGTTTATTTTATCTTGTTTTCTTTTAAAAACATTTTCTTTATATGTAACTCAAAAGAAGCCGACGCCGACGGCTTTGATATGGCCCGTCCAGTGCAAGTGCAAACTTTCGAACTTTTAGATAAATAAAAGGACAATATCACATTTTATATTTAAAATTTCTCTAAAATGAAAAAACTGATTGTAAAGGATGTATTTAAATTAACATAGCAGCGGATCCACAACTGTTAGTATATTCAGAAAATTATATTATATTATGGACTGTTATAAAAATGTTTATAATAATATAATATATAACAAAATATAATAAATAAAAAGGGATGTTTCTTTTCCGTGCTCTATATCTTCTAGTAAATAAAGGATAAAAATAGATAATTTTTTATAATTTGAATCCAAAACTGTCCTTATCAATCATTTTACCTGAATCATTACCGGGGAGCAACTGTAACTATAATTAGTCATAACCGAAAACAAGAATTTTTTAACCTTCTCAATCCATAATTATATTATAAATCTGAAACTATTATCAAAATTTAAAACTAATTAATTATATATATTATGCGGTATATAAACATATATAAGCCTATTTTCCAACGCTTCATAAAAATTACGGGGCCCTGATTGCGAATGTGATTTTGCGATCTAGTCTAGGCCGATGTGTTGGGAGCTGCGAACGAAAATCGCAATCGCAATGCTGGGATGAGCTGCGATTTTCGTTCAGCTCCTCGTTCGCCTGTCCACTGCCGTGTTGAAGACGCGCCGCCGCCGGCCGGGGCGTACGAGAATCGCAATATTGCGATTTTCGTTCGCAGCTCATCGTTCGGCTTCTCAGAGCCGTGTCGATGCAACGCCGGTGCGAACGAAAATTGCAATGCTGTGATTTTCGTTCGCAGCTCTTCGTTCGCGTGCCCACTGCGATTGCAAATCGCAACTGGTGTAATATTGGTTGCCTAAAAATCCAAAATCGGCAGATATATGTTTCAATCGCAAGTCGCAGTTTGCTATAGAAAGAAATCACAGGTTGCGATTGCGAATTTACAATCGCTGCGATTAAATCGCAGTTTGCGATTTTCTGCTCATCTCTAGTAAATATATTTCGATATTTGCTGAGATTGTAGTTGATAAATATTTAGAAAATATATACAGGGTGTTTCAAAAAACATGTACCATCTCTCGTGGGGGCATTCCTCAAGTAAAAATAAGATTTATTTTTCATATCAACATAGGTCCGATTCTGCTTTGTTTCGTAGCTACAGGGTGTTAAGTCTTAATATTTTTTCGATTTATTATAATTTTCTTCCAAGTACTTTTAGCGTTTTGACTGAAATTTTGAGGGTAAAAATGAAAAAGTGTCGATATATTCACCAGGGACGTGCATATATGGGTTATCACTGGAATAATTTTCTTATAAATAGCATGTACGCCACTGACTTTTTTTCTCTTGTTAGCGAAATAGTGTAAGTCGTTTAATGCCAGTTAAAAGATGTCTCTTGATATTTTGTCGATTTCGGCCTCCTTGATGAGATAAACGCAATTTTATTAATTTGCCTTGATCCAAGTCTAATAACAACCTTTAAAAAAATTTAATATCATTAACTTGCAAAAGTTTTAAATAAGTACTCATTGATTCCTTATCAAAAAATATAAAAAAAAGTTCCTATAAACATGGGTATGGAAACGCATAGTTTTAGAGTTACAGGGTGTTAAAAAATTTTAAAATTAGGTTTTCTGTAATCTTAAATACCATTATTTTTTTATTTGAAATTGCTGTAGGTTGAACTAACAGTAATACAAACTAATAGCAATAATATTTAATAATAAATTAGGTAAAATATATAATTTGTTAATTTTATTTTAATTTTAATTTTATTAATTGCGATTAATAAAATTTCGTTTCATCAAGGTGGCCGAATTCGACAAAATACCAAAAAATAACTTTTAATTTGCATTAAAGGGCCTACACAATTTTGATATCAAAAGAAAAAAGTCAGTGGTGCACATGTTTTTTTTTTGAAAAATATTCCAGTGATAACGCATATGCACGTCCCTGATGAATTTATCGACACGTCTTTAGCATTAAAATATGTAGTATACTTATAGTAACTTTCACCGTCAAAATTTCATTCGAATCAGTAAAAGTACTTGGAAGAAAATTATAATAAATCGAAAGAAGGAAGACTTTAACACCCTGTAGCTACGAAACAAAGCAGAATCGGACCTATGTTGATATGAAAAATAAATCATATTTTTACGTGAGGAATCTCCCTACGAGAGATGGCACATGTTTTTTGAAACACCCTGTATATTTTTCAGCCTTATTTCAAATACAAGTACCTGTCCTGAAATCAAAACTATATTAGATATTTATTTCAGATGGTCTAAATTTACTTTGAAATAGAGCTATTCAAGAACACCCTAGTTTTTTCAACAGATACCTCTATAAAAACCGTTTTGTCTTTCTGTTAAAATTTCTTACTTTAAAGTCTTGAAAAAAACTTGTATCTACGTCATAGAAACCCTATCTACGTCATATTCATTAAAATACAGACCAACAATTTAGAATGACCAAACCGATATGTTTTGTAACTTTTAAATAAGAATTTTTAGGAATAGTTATTCAACGATTTTTTTAGGAAAAGGTGGTGGTAATGACCGTGATCAAAGTAAACCGAGATCTGCAATCGGAACTGGTAGCAGGTCAGGCATTGCCCCCCGATCAGCTCAGAAAAGTAGGCCAGTTAAAGGACCTTTTGGAAAAAGCCCTTTCCATAGACCCAGCCAAACGGATCAGTCTCAACAACGCCCTAACCCACCCTTTCATCCAAGACAAGATTTGATAGTGCACACAGGAGGTAAAACCCAGGGCAAAAAACTAAAAAAAAACTGAAAAATTGTGTTAATTCATGTTTAGAATATAAAAAGCAAACGAAACAAACACTCTCAATGTTATAATTATATAAAATGAAGAGACACTTACTTGTAGGGTAAATTTTATTAATGAAATTTGAATATTGTCCAAGTTGGTGTTGAAATAAACATATTTTAAAGCAAATCAGGCTCCGGATTTTGTTATTTGTATTTTTCCTCGATGTACGGATCGACCTTTTTGTACTATAAACGATTTTTTCTTTATTTTGCAGAATGGACCTTTTTGGCGTTTGGCTGTGATAAGTATGTGGGATGTTTCTACCTAAACTGGCCTTAGAACTAAAGGTAGTTTATAAAGGAACAAGTGATTTTATTTTTTGAAATTATATTGGGTTGATTTTTACTCTCTTATGAAAATGATTCAAAGCTGTCTCAGTTTTTTGAGTCGTTTTCGCTCTTATACAGGGTGTTATAGTACATTTTGTTCTAAGTTTCTTAGCAAGCCTTTTACAGAGTGTTTACATCTATTTTAGAGAATATCTATCTTTGTAAATATTGATTTTAAGTAAAATGTTTAAATTATGAGTTGAAAAAGTTTATTAATTTGTGTTGAAATGATAAAAAAAAACATCGAAACTGTCAAATTTTCATGTAAATTACAATAAAACTTAAATATTAATTTTTGACAAGTTTTGTGGAAATGTTTAATGAAGGCATATAGACACTGGTCAAGCATAAATTATCATCGTTATCATATCAGAGGTTATCTTGGCGGCGATTTTTTTTCGATCAAATGGTATTACTGTTCATTCGTTCCTGACGAAAATATCAAATACAAATTTCTGTTAGATATTGGCCGTAATTATACTACACCCTGTATAAACATGTTTCTTAATTTATATTTTATCTTTTGTTTGGTAGAATTAATTAATAATTCTTCTATTTTTATTATCTTTTTCAGAAACCGGTAATGTGACTAAAACTTCTTGAAGATAGGCCCAGAAAACAGGCTAAGTATCATATTTGTACACTTCAAAAATATTAAGGCATTTTTTCTTTTAGGGATGTCAACAGAAAAAAAACAGGGTGGTCCAGTGTTCCGAAAAAGGTCTATATCAGGATGTTTGATATTTTTACCTCAAAAGTGGCTCAACTATAATAGCTGCAACCCCTATAACTTCTTTATTTTTTCAGAGAAAAAAACGAGATTTGGTATGTTAGTAGTATATGACATAAATTAGGATTGATAGACGTATTCAATTGTTTTCGGCCACTTCCTGTTTCACCGGAAATGACTACAACTTTTGATTTTTAAATGGCAACCTCGGTATTTTTTTACTTTATTTGATAGAAAATGACACTCGGAATAGAATGGCATATCATATGTCAACTTTTGACATTTACGCTTAAAAAAATCGTATTTTAAATTTCAATCTAGTGTTAAAAACACTAATTTTTAATCAAGGATCCTCCGAAAAAAAATAATTGTCTGTTGTTTTTCGTGTGTTGCCCTGGCCGATTAAAAGATGCTCAAATCGTATTTTTAATCATATTTCAATTTTTTCAAATGGAACGAGGGATTAGCATATTTAGGAAAAGCATTTTTTACAAATAATTTGGTACCACACATTTGGTATTTCGAGTCATATTGTCGTTATAAACCTCATGTTACAATTTACCATGCCATATTATGTGAAAATGTCAAAAGTTGACATATGATATGTCATTCTATTCAAAGTGTCATTTTCTATTGAATAAAGTAATAAAAATACCGAGGGTGTCATTAAAAAATCAAGAGTTGAAGTTATTTACGGTGAAACAGGATTCAATACAAAGCACTTGAATACGTCTATCAATCCTGATTTATGTCATATACTAACGTACCAAATCTCGTTTCTTTATCTAAAAAATAAAAAAGTTATTAGAGGTGAGCCACCTTAAAAAAATAGTTATTTAATATCTTTTAAGAATTGGATAAAGAATTAGAAAGCTGAGAACCGTAGAAAGAGTAGGTATTGGTATATGTAGTTACTATAAGTGCTACATATTTTAATGCTAAAAAATGTCTGAATGATAAATTTATCAGGGACGTGCACATGGGTTATCACTGGAATATTTTTCAAAAAAAAAAACATGTGCGCTACTGACTTTTTCTTTTGATATCAAAAATGTGTAGGCCGTTTAATGCCAATTAAAGTTATCTCTTGATATTTTATCGAATTCGGCCTCCTTGATGAGATAAACGAAATTGTATTAATCGCAATTAATAAAAATAAAATTAATAAATTATATATTTTACGTAATTTATTATTAAATATTATTAGTTACTTACTATTAGTCCAACCTACAGCAATTTCAAATAAAAAAATAATGCTATTTAAGAGAATTACAAAAAACTTAATTTTTTTTAATTTTTACGTGAGAGATGGCACATGTTTTTTGAATCACCCTGTGTATACCTAGTACAATATTTAAATATTAAAATCGTAATCGCAGGTTAGAGTTGCAGCGATTTAAAACATGCAGTCGCAGTTTCAATTGCGATTGGAGTATCGGAGTTTTGCCCATCTCTAATATTTACGTTAGAAAAGAGCTAATTTCACTTCAATTATATAAAAACTTCTAACAAAATATAGTCATCCACTGAATTTATTCAGTTCACTAAAATCATCAGACGACAAAAAACTTTTGTCTCTTTTTCGTTTTTGAGATAAAAAAACAAAAACTACTTCGTTCCTGGGACAACATAATAAAAAATTATAAGTATTATATTCATAGGGAATAATAATAACAATTTTAAGTAAAAAAAATTAAAGTTACTTGCCTTTATTTTTATAATTTCTAAGAGGAAAATAGACTATTAAAATTGAAAGAAATTAAGTATAGCCCAGTTTTTAGGAGTTTAAAATTTTCATTATGTGTCCTAGAGACATGCGCTATAGAATGTGATATCTTTTATGAACAACTTTTATCTGAAAAACGAAACATGATAGGGAAAAACGTTGGAATAAATGAATAAAAAGATTATATTCAAAGGAAAAAGCTCAAAAGACCAAAAAGGAGTATTATGTCAGTGGCGTACTTTATTCTAATTAAGGTTAAACTAGCCTTTTCCTGTCGTAAATTCTACTGGCAAAAATCAACAAAATCAACTCAGAAAATTAAAAAAATATAAAAAAACGATTTATTTTTAAGTTTAACACCCTGTATATTAAAAGGGAAGCATTTCAAGAAATAATTTTTTATCAGTACATCTCATATTTACAATAAAGAATATAAAATACATTCGGAAGTATAAGAAGAAAGTCCAAAGATCTATAAATAAAATTGGACGAAAAATACATGGGAGGGTGGTAACCCTTTCGAACATGTAGAGCATTAGAAAGTAGTTTGTAGAAGTTGTTTTATTTATAATAACTACGATTAATATTATGCATATTATTAGATCGCACACTGAGATTTCAAATTCACAAAAAAAGTTAAAATTAATATTTTTAAATTGCTGACCTGGATATTATTTATTTGAATCTTTCAACTGGCTCGATTTTCCTTATTCAATGTTAATTAGCGCTGATCAATATTGTTCCGATGAATATAATCACATTCAATAATTTAAAAAACCAAAGTCGGACCTGAAATTATTTTAAATAATAGTTTTGTTGTTGTTAAAGGTACGCATAACAAAACAAAAGTATAAAGTGTGGCATATTGTACTCAGAAGACCGAGTTCTTTCAAAACCTTAAATAAAAATGCAGATCCGTATTTAAAAAAAATAAGTTCGCCTCTGTATCTCACAAATTATCAGCTAATTTGAAAATCTAAAAGCACTATTAGATAGCCCTAATAAAGTGACTGAGAATGTGCAATTAGTTTTTTGATTTTCTAAAAAGTAAAGACAGGAAAAAATAAGTGATTTAAAAAAATCGTTTTTTCTAAAAAACTTTAATCCTTCAAATTATTAAATATTTTTTTGATGGTATTTTGGTGAACATTCCAAAGCGGGCAACTTTGCCCTAATTTAACCATGTTCGTATCTATTACAGTTATCGAGATACCAATGCTCGTAAAGGAAACGCCACAAATGTTTGGGAGTGATTCATCGCTTGATGAAGTTAGAATCGACACGCACGCTATCATTTTTACATTAAAAACGTAAATTTTTACCGCAGACGTAGGTTTTTAAAGGCCCGGTCTAATCATCTGCCTGCGCTCCTCCTACTTATTCTAAAATGTTAGTGTGATTGACAAAGACGACACTATATCGCGTTTCTTTGATTGATTCGTTTTTGTGCGTCAGTCCATTGCCAATGGGGCATTCCAGTTTATATTTATAACCAAATATATGTTTTCACAAGACTTTGACAGTTAAAACAAACAAATTACAACAGATTATATATTGATTATTAAATGACTTGAAACACCACGGCACTGGAATTAAGTTTTATGTGACCTTGAACAGATTAGTTCACATGGTAGCGACCGACGAATCACTCCCAAACATTCGTAGCGTTTACTATACCCCGAATTTGTAACACCCTATATTTTAAATATATCTTATTTTAGTAAATTCGTTTTGAAAATCATATTTTTATAAAAAAATTAATTAAAAAATGTTTATGCTTTGCGATTTTATATTTTTGAGAGATAAATTTTTTGTTAAAAATTTAGTCTAAAAATGGTCAATTGCAAAGGGAATTTACGCTATATTCACCAAGTGTAAAATTACCGCATTCCATTTAAAAAAAAACTTTAAAATTAAAAATTTTAAAAAACAGTAACAAGCATTTGAATCACCCTGCGTATGTTTAAAAAAAATTGGGGTGGAGATCTAAAATAGAAAACCTGACATAGAGCTTTCTCAGAACGCTAGATTAATCTAATGTGTAGGGAATATAAAATTCGATAAAAAAATAAGCCAGGTAAGTACGATAACAATATATTGTTAATAATCTCTTCAACATTAAGTACAATAAATATTTAAATTATATAAATAAGTCATTATGTTTGTTTTTGTTAAGTAATTTGCTTTGGCATTAGTTACGTTATAGGACTACAACCATTGTTTGGACAAAATAAATAGGAATGAAACTTTATTTATTTTTCATTAATTTAATCCCTTTCCGGATAAAATTGTACCAGTTGTTTCGCCAATTGTTCTGCTAATTCCTGATTGCTGGCTGCCAAAACTCTCCTTGATAATCTGTCAATCTTTAAAAAAAATATAAATGAAAATCTTAACAAAATAATATAAAAAAACATTTTCAATTGAATTAGTTCTCTTAAAACAGACACTACAATAAATTTTCAGTATAAAAATAAATTAATTAAATAGGTTTAACCATAAGGTTTACCTATTTAATACGGTAATCGCAAAACATTTTCCGATGCACGTCATCAATCATATCGAAATTGACACTAAAACCTATAAACCTGACAAAAATAAAATTTTGGTAAAAATGTTTAAATTTGTTGTATAATTTAAGATACCGTGCAGCTCTTCATTTTACTTCATAGAGCAAATGATTGTAACAAATATTTTATTTAGATTAAGCTGCAAAAATTAATTTAAAGCGATTTTTATTATCGCCATGTTGGTCACGTTGTGCCGCGATCAGCAATGTTGTTTATTATTTGACAATTATCATAATGTCAGTCATTATTTTGTATAATATCGTGTTGTTGAATCTTTGGGAGTAATTCTGTTTTTTTTCTCGATTTTCAGAGTCTTTTTGAAAATTGTACTTTTAAGCCCAAACAGTGTTAAGAACTAAAAAATTGTGTGTCGAAAATATGCCGAAACATTTAAACAGTCAAAGCAAAGAGCTTGTAGCTTTCCTGATAAACTATTTTTAAAGAAAACGTAACAATAAAGGTCCTTTATTACCCGTGACTGCACTCAGAGAAGTAAGTTTGATTGGTAAGGACATTATACCACTTTCAAAGTTATTTCTACTTATTTCGATTTGTAGTGAGTAGGTGCTGCTTTAAATTTAAATATTGCTACTGTGAGTGTTAGTGACTACTGTTAATAAATATAAATTAATTACTAATTATTACATTAAAAATAAAACGTAAAAATGATATAATAAATATATTGTTTCCCAATTTTACATTAGTGTTCGTCTCATAAATCCATCGCAATCTGGTAGCGCTCTCGTCATCGCTTGTCACTCAAAGTTGATCACGTGCATCGGAAATTGTTTTGCGATTACTTTAGTTGCATATTCAATTGAGCGTCCGGATTGCACAACGACCTTAGTGTGCGAACACAGTGCAAGCAGGTTTGCCGCTTACTGGTAGTCAGCGCCAATCTGGGCACCTATTCTTGACATCGTTCGCAACTTTGCGTATACGCATCACGTGTATTGTTATAAACAGGGTATCCCAGAAATAAGTGCAAGTATTTTAAAGGGTGGTAGATCTCGATAAAAGAAACATATTTTCTCTTTATCGTTTTTCAAATAAGTCCAAAATAATGGAGTTATTTTACTTTGAAAATTTCCAAAAAAAAATTATTTTTGCTAAAATTTTGAGAACCTTCTTCTTCATGTGCCTTCTCCTCATCGGAGGTTGGCGACCATCAATTGGAATTCCTCCCTGTCTTGAGCCAAACGGATAATTGCACTGGCCTCTCCTATATTAAACCACTGGCGCAAATTCCGCAACCAGGAAAACCGTTTACGCCCGATGCCTCGTCGTCCTTCAATCTTTCCCTCAACGATCAGCTGTAGGAAACTATATTTGTTATTTCGAAAAATATGCTGCTTTCCGTCGTTTTATTGTAGTCAATAGTTCTTGGTCCTTACACATTCTTTCCAATACTTCGAGATTTGTTTGAGAACCACTGGATCTTTTCTGGATTTTATTTCTTGTAAATTTAATCTACTACCTATGTTGCCATATTATCAAGAAATTATTTTTTTAAATAAAAACTAAAAAAAATTTCAAAAAATTCAAAAATATTTTCAAAAAATCCGAATTTTTAAAAAAAATTATTTAGAAAAAAACCTCATAGGCGTGTTTCTGGGGTTGAACTATACTACCAGTTAAGTTAAAATACTTGCACTTATTTCTGGGACACCCTGTATATGATTACATAGTAGCGCCGCGCCGCGCCGCCTCGCGCTTATAACCTTGAAAAATTAAAGCGTGTTATCAAATCGGCTAGTTCACAGTGAAAGCAGGCAGGCACCGTCAACCAGCATTCATCGGCGTTCTCGCTTTTACCGGAACGAAAATTTATTTATTTCTACTTTTGCACGCGCCGACGGCGCACAGGGAAGAACTAAAGTTGGCCAAAATTATGTTTTATGATTTTTTTGCTTTTTTGCTAGTAATATTGATTATTAATTAGAGGAGAGGTTGCTAATATGGAACCCCATTTTGTTTTTCCTACCAATATTTTTTCCTCTACTCTGAAACCCTTTCCACCGATCAAATAGGGCCATTCTGTGCAAAACCAAGCAATTGGATGAGGATGCTAGAACAAGAAAGTAATTTGTATATTATAAACGATATTTGAGCCAGGATGGGTGTTAATAGGGTAAAGACTATTTCCTTTGAGAATCTATTTAAATTAATGTTTTTTTTGGAAGTGGCAAATATTGGCAAAATTTTTGTGCATATTCCAATGCTGGAGACTTTAAGCATTGAACGGATACTAATTTCCATGCGGAATATTGCCGAATAGTCTTACACCTTATAAAAATGCCACTGATTTTTTAAATATAAAACATAAAAAAATAGAATAGAAGGAAACGTTTCAAAATAAAAATATGGCATAAAACAGAACAGAGCAAACAAACAAAGCTGGCTCTGTATCCATCATGACAGTTATTATGAACAATTTGCACACAAAAAAGCACTACAAACAATTCCACTATTTTTATAATCTTAGAAATATTCAGAATACACTCAAGATAATTCATACTTTTAACTGAAATATATTATTTATTTGATAGTCAACTTACGACTTAAAAAAAGCTAATAAACGTGCTTACATTTAGTATTTATAGATTTGTATTCAGTTAAGATAAAAAATGAAAATAAAAAAATATCACTTTTGGCCAGGTTTATAAACCAAATACATCTATGTGCGGCCCCGGCGAGGCGGGCGCGGCATTTGAATATGGTTTGGTTAGGTTAGGTTAGTTAATCAGGTAAATTTCCTCTTAGTTATCTACTTCCCGTATCCTTCTCGCATCTCCGAAATAGCCATATACAATACACGTGATGCATATACGCAAAGTTACGCATCTGTGTATTGTTATATGGCTTTTTAGGAGATGCGAGATGCGAGCGATATTTGAAGATGCGAGTGGTCAAGAATAGGTCCCCAGAGACGGCGCTGGTTGCCGGAAAGCAGAAACCTGCCTCCACTATGTTCGTACCCTTAGAGTGTGGCCGCGGGCAGCCCAGTAGGCAAGCGAGACAGCGACGCGCCGATTTAACAAAATAAATAAATAATTTTAAACCTGCCGTCATTTCGTTAATAATTATCGTAGCGTGTTGATTTTTGCATAGAAATACTCATGAGTCTTTAGCGCTTCCGACAAGCCTAAATAACTGGATTATTTTTTTATATTTTAGATTTGTTTACATTGCCCGAGCATATTATAACTTTGAGATAAAAATTTCTGTTATAAATTTTAAAACTGACAGATATGAATACTATCATTTAATTATTTATACATTTAGTTACAACATATTCAAAATTTAGGTCTATCGGTTTAAGTTAGCAGTAATAACGAGTATAAATAAAAAAATGGTTAGTACAACGCTCGCCGTTTTTAGCGCACGTTCAGCTTTGATTTTAGTTTTAGCGCTATTTTTACAGAAAATAAATTCTGAACTTTGATCAAATGACAAGAACATTATCATTGCCGATATCTCCTGGTTATAATGTAGTTCTTTTTTCAAAATATTGCATTGTTTTAGCTTAAAAAAAAATTGAATTATGCGGCTTTTTTTGCGAGAGCTACCGGAGCTGCGTTAATAAAGAGATGGCTATGTACGTCAATCATAGCCACAATAGACTGTAATTTTACCTCGTCACGAGATTTTTTGGTAATATTGCTCTTCCATTTATTCGGATTTCTACTAACTTTTGACCTTTCTTTTCGGCCGCATTTCCCTCTATTTAATAATAAATAATTTTAAAAAACGCACAAATACTACTGGTAGTAAACAAGCTGTGGCAAAAATTTTCTATACTCCGTGTAAACAAAAGACTATCGCAAATACTGTCTTTCGATTGACGATGGATTGACGTACATAACCATCTCTTTATTAACGCAGCGCCGGTAGCTCTCGCAAAAAAGCCGCACAATTCAAGTTTTTTTTTAAGCTAAAACAATGCTATATTTTGAAAAAATAACTACATTATAACCAGAAGATATCGGCAATGATAATGTAATGTTCTTGTCATTTGAAGTTCAGAATTTATTTTCTGTAAAAATAGCGCTAAAACTAAAACCAAAGCTGAACGTGCGCTAAAAACGGCGAGCGTTGTACTGACCATTTTTTTATTTACACTCGCTATTACTGCTAGCTGAAACCGATAGACCTAAATTTTGAATATGTTGTAACTAAATGTATAACTAATTAAATGATAGTATTCATATCTGTCAGTTTTAAAATTTATAACAGAGATTTTTATCTCAAAGTTATAATATGCTCGGGCAATGTAAACAAATCGAAAATATAAAAAATAATCCAGTTATTTAGGCTTGTCGGAAGCGCTAAAGACTAATGAATATTTCTATGCAAAAATCAACCCGATACGAAAATTATTTACGAAATGACGGCAGGTTTAAAATTATTTATTTTGTTAAATCGGCTCGTCGCTGTCTCGCTTGCCTACTGGGCTACCCGCGGCTACGCGCTAAGGTCTTGGAATAAAAAAAAAACAAATTTCACAGGCATAGAAAATATAGATTAAAATATTGGATAAATGAACTAATGCCGTTTCACATTGCGCGGATCGGCCGTTCGGATGAATTCGTCCGACGGCCATTCGTCGAGCCCTTGCCGAAGGACCATCTGCGCGCTGGTGTGCTATATGATTAAAAATGTTCTCTCACAACGTTCTCTCAAAAAAACGCAACGGAAATTTTTAGTCAAATATTTTAAAGTGTCATATTTTTGTTATTTTTAGCCCTATTGTCATAATTTTTTAGCAAGCTGTATATAATTTTATCAAGTTTAATTCGTAAACTCAGTTTAATAAACTTTAGTATTTGGCATATTATACAGGGTTAATCGAGAGGTTATTTTTTATCCTAACTTTAAAATACCATGTGCAATAATTTCGTGTGTAAGTTTTCCTTTACGGTTGTGTCTCCAGAGCCTTTTGTTTTTTGGATCATGTCAATACATGTCTTGGTTAATTTTTAAGAGCGAAATAAACTGATGACGATCAATTTGCAATTTTTTAAATTATCATTACATTTTGATGTAATTTTTTAATATGACGAGATGGTTTTAGTGACTATTGTCGTAACGTCATAATACGCTAAAAACGTTAAAGATTAACGATACAACCCGGGTTGTAATAAACATTAATAACGATAACAGAACTAACGATATTAAAGAAATCTAATACTCAAGTATACAAACAGAAAGAAAAATGTAAAAAATACCCTAATACTTTGTATTGCTTCCCTTGGCTGCTATAACTGCCTGTATAGGTCCGTTCATACTGTCACTGAGGCTGCATATATCATATTGCGTTATGTTTTCCCATTCTTTTTTAAGAACCAAGCGAAGTTCATTTAATGAAGCTGATACCGCTTTGCGACCGCTAACCCTCCCCCCAAACATTTCTCAAACGTCGAACATGATGGGTAAAAATAGTAAATAGTTTACAATAATCACCAAAGCAGCCTTATTATATTGTAAAATAACATCAAAACGAAATGATAACTTAAAAAATTGCAAATTGTTGGTGGCAAGTTCATTTCGCTCTTAAAAATTAACCAAGGTATGTATTGACATGTGAACCAAAAAACAAAATGCTCAGGAGATATGGTTCTGACCTGACCGTAAAATTATATTTTAGGAAAACTTACACACGAAATTATTGCACAGGTTTTAAAGTTAAGGTAAAAAAAAAATAACTCCTCGATTAACCCCGTATAATATGAAAAATACTAAAGTTTATAAAAAACTGAGTTTACGAATTAAAGTTGATACAATTATATACAGCTTGCTAAAAAAATTCATGAAAATAGGGCTAAAAATAACAAAAATATAACACTTTTAAATTTGACCAAAAATTTCTCCGTTGCGTTTGAGTGTACATACATATTAACAAATATGTTTGTTTGCATAGTTCATAAATAGCTAAATGAAATAAACATCATTGTCATGGACTTTAAGATGGAAAGTTTTTTTCTTTGAAACCTATAATACAGGGTGGTCCGAACTGTATTCCGGAAACTTCGGGAGCATATTCTGCAGATAAAAAGAAGTAAAAAACTTTTTATAAATGTATGTCCTAAAATGCTTAGTTTCGGAGATACAGGGTGTAGAAATTTCATTTTTATTTCGATTTTTTCGAAATAGTTTCTGAAGTAACGTCAATATCTGGATGAAAATTGGTGTCTGATAGTTTTTTGACATGAGAAATTTGATTTTGATGTCATTATGACTCCTATTTGTAAATGGCGCCACCTACATGGGTTTTAACTGTTTTGAAGAGTAATAACTTTTTGTCCGTACCTGTATAGAATTGCTGAGTAAAAAAATACACATTTTCGTATTTTTTTGCGTCAAAAATGTCTCTTGGTAAAATTCGTTACGAGCAACCCTTCTCGAGATATTTAGAATGGGAATAGTCAATACACGTCATTATTGACAAAAAATAAACATGTTGAGTAGATATACTTATTGGACTAAAAAGATAAATTTGGAAAATTTTTATTTTTTTAAATTAATCATAAAATTTTCTTCGAAAAAATGATGATTGGTGATGATTTGGCACAAAAACATTTCAAATTTATGATTTCCGTCTTGTAACTATTTAGTCAACATGTTTAATTTATGTCAATGATGACAGGTATTGATAATTTCGATTTCAAATATCTCGAGAACTATTACTCGTAGCGATTTTTATTAAGAGATCGTTTTTACGTTAAAAACGTCGTAAATGTATATTTTTTTACTTATTGGTTTTATACAGGTATGGACGAAAAGTTATGATTCTTTAAACCAGTTAAAAATATGTAGGTGGCGCCCTCTACAAGTAGGAGCCATAATGACATCAAAATCGAATTTCTCATATCAAAAAACTCCCAGACACCAAATTCCATCCAAATATTGCTGTTACTTCAGAAATTATTTGGAAAAAATCAAAATAAAAATGAAACTTCTACACCCTGTATCTCCGAAACTAAGCATTTCATTTTAGGACATTCATTTATAAGAACTTTTTTACTTATTTTTATCTGCAGAATATGCTGCTGAAGTTTCCGGAATACAGTTCGGACCACCCTGTATACAGAGCGACAATGAAATGAATAAGTGCGAAAAAGTTTTAGAGTTCATTGCTTTTTGACAAATTAAAGGGGTCTGTCATATTTTATTTCATTTTGGCATTTCCCCACAAAGGGATCTGATTATGCAGGGTGTACCAAAATCATAATACATCTCAATCTCAATTTACTCATACAAGTTCATTTGGTAGAGTTTAGAGTGTACTGAGGAGAGTACAATGTACTTAATATTGGGTCAATATTATAGTTGAAAATGGTGATTGGCCTACGAGTTGTTTTTTTACGAATTTAGTTTGCTTGTTCAAAAAATGTGTAAAGACAAAAAGTCTATAAATTGACTATTTTACACTATTTTTGAAGTGAAACTTCTTTACGCGCGATGGGAGTAAACATCGAAGGCCGTGACGCACGAGACGCGAGAGGAAAAGTGGTAACGATCTTGAAGCGTCGTAACTCGGGCCCTATGCGAGCTAGAAGGCTGAAACTCGGAATTTGAATATTTTGACATATCAGTGAAACAAATAAAAAAATCGTCGTATTTAAATGAAATTTGATATGTCGATAGATTGGACAGAGCAGGCCAACTTGAGCGTGTACGACACGTATCACTGTGACAGTTTTGACGTAAGAAACGTCAAAAGTTGATGCGGTCCGACCGCGACCAAATTTGGTGGGAAGGCTATGTGAGCGACGATGCAAACGGTACCATCCTGCAAAGTTGGATACGACGTTTCGTTTACATTTTCATCAGGCCTAACGGTTTGATATTGAAGAAAAATGTGGGTCTATTTCAGCATAATTGGGGACGGGCTACAGGATGACGCCATCGACGTTTCGAACCGATGCCTCTAAATAGACGAAATCATCAGGATTTTTCTGAATTATGGGTCGATTGGAACCAAACTCGGCATGTGGATAGAGGTACCCGAATGAAGTCCTCAAAGAGACAGACTGACGGAAATACGAAAACGTTTCATTTCAAATATGCGCACATTAGGCACACACTTTTAATATTTCAAAATTACCAGTATAATATATATAATAAAGTGTACCAGCTGTTTGGACGTCCTGTATATAACTTATCCAATTATTCATTCTACCTAAAAACGCGACTTGACTTGATTCATGACATCCACACTTCAAATGTCAAATTTTTAGTTGAACTGTTTTTGAAAAATGTCAATAATATTGTGATTTTTGTTCACCCTGTACATGCAAATCATTATTATGTAGGGAAACCTCTATGAAAAGCTCGAGTTTATTTATAAAAAAATACTTTTTTCACACTGATTAATTTACATGACACCCTGTATATATAAAAATAATTTTTAAGTAGGTAAACATTTCTTCCTCACAATTCACAATGATGCACCACATTTTTGCTTCTTGATACAATGGCAGTGTATGTTATCAGTTACTTTTAGATATTGCAACATTTCTCACAATTTAATTAAATTTATATGCTTCTTGGCTCTTATCCAATTTTTTTTTTATAAATAGACATTTAATATCATCAGTTTAGAAATTAGATCGTTCAAACAAGTGGAACATTTCACAATGTGAAAATTTATTTTCTAAAATATGTGAAGGACTTGAATTGAATTACTGATAATATAAAATATAACTGTAATTAATAATAAAATTACATTGAAAAATACTCATATTATGCATATAGACTGATTGATATAGGATCTTTCTTATAAATTAACTATGAAGGTGTTATTTTCATCTCAGCCAAACTGATCTTACCTCTCCACCAGCTGGATCGATAACAACACCACCTGCTTCCGTTATAATCATTTCTCCAGCAGCAATATCCCAGATATGAATTCCATATTCGAAATATGCATCAGCAGCACCACATGCTACCATGGCCATGTTTAAGGCTGCAGAACCTAAAGCCCTGAGACTAGTTGAAAGAAAACAATTAATTCTGAATTTGTAATGATTTTTGTTGCTTACCCATGCACCTGAGGCATAAGATTCTGTTGATTCTCCAAAATAACTTTCCTCCTTTCTGGATCCCTGCTTGTACCAAACTCCATCATGATCAGGGCATCTGCCAGTGCTTTTGTCCCAGAAACTGTAATTTTCTGTCCATTCAGATAAGCGCCTTTTCCTTTTCTTGCGGTGAAAAGTTGATCAAGCATGGGATTGTATATGATCCCAATCACAGGCAGTTTATTGATAAACAAAGCGATAGAAATGCAAGAGTGTGGGAATGAATGTACAAAATTCATGGTGCCGTCTACCGGATCTATGATCCAAGTAGGGGCATCGGTGAAATCGCATTGGGCTCCGCTGGAAACCGTTTCTTCTCCAATGAACTTGTGATCTGGAAATGCTTTTGATAAACCATCAATTAACAATCTCTCTACGTCTTGATCGGTTTCAGTGACGAAATCAATGGCTCCCGTTTTCGTTTCAACTTTTTTGGTCCTCGAAGAAATCCGTTCTTTGATCAGCTATCGTAAAGAAATTTTATATATCGCTCGATGACCTAATTTAAAATTTTAGCGGTATACCGCATTTTGTAATATCTATAATGCTATCCTACCTGTCCACAATTTTTTGTCAAGCTCAGTACGACATCGTAAAATTCGTTTGTGTTAATTTGGGCAGTTTCACTAGACATTTTTGCAAAAAATTTACAACTGCACTGGTTTTGAAAATTGTTTCTGGGCATCTGGCGGAAAATCACTGATATATCACTCGGAAGCGTTTCAACGCGCAGCCTCAAATTTCTATTTAATCTTTTTAGATAGCGAGCAATTAACATCACCTCTGTTATATTCTTAGCTGTTCCATAATATGTTGTTTAAAAACATTTTAAATAAACAAATACTAAATAAATTTTGAATATTTTTAAATTTAAACTGACATATATAATCAGGGTTGCCAATGGTATAAAACATGTATAAAACTTTATACGATTTCTCAGTTTATACTTCATTTGAAAAATATAATTCTCTATCTCTTTTCAATTCAAAGGCAATTTTATGTATGTCTCTGTTGGTCATCATAAATGTCAAAAATGGAGTGACATTTCTCCTGCGTAATTTGCCAAGTGAAAGTGTAATGTTTTGACGAGTTATTTTTCCGAAAATTAAACGAATTTTATGTCTCATTTGAGGAAAATTCTTAGAATGAACGATGCCACTGTGGAGTATGTGTACGAGGATGAACATGGGCAGCAATTTACCGCACATCAGCAGCCACAAGACCCGTTGGAAGGAGATGGACACAAGGCTGAGGTGATGATAGTGGAGCAAAGCGATCTTCAGAATGATGTTAATGAAAGCAATGCTCCTGAAGAAACTACTGATCATGCAGATCCCGAATGTCGTCGCAGAGGTTAGTTCTTCAAGAAAATACAAGTCATATTTAGAAATATTTTTGTATTTTTCGTCCCGAAAGGTGTAATCATTTAAGTATGGGGGTCATTTTCGACAGTCATTTTATCTTCTCTTTCACTCGCTCATATATGACATGACAGCTAAATTTTTAAATATTGTTATATTTTCTTTTTGAAAAATAATGGAAACTACTTAAATTCCTCAGAATATTTTGTTATTGAAGATTTAGAAGAATATCCTGAATCAAAGGTAAATAATCCGTATTTTTTATAATTTTGATGGTATGCAACCAACAATACAATCAGATATTGTTCATCGGTTTTTAAATTATCAATTACTCCTGTATTACCCTAAACAAGGCTATTACAACAAACTAATTTATTATAGTGTAGTTTGTCTGTGCTATTACCATTACCTATTGTATTTAAAATAAAAACTATATTTTTTAGTGCATGACAAGTCTAAAAAGAGTTTTTGGAAGATTTTGTCTAATAGAACGTCACGCTATTTTTTCTATAGTTTGTCCAAGGAGTCAGGTAAGATTTAGACAGATGTCATTCAAAAAATGACAGGAAATTCAGTTTACTTTTGAATTAAAATGGCAGATATAACTGTCATGGATTCCCTCATTGGACAGACTATACATACAGCATTTTATTTAACAACATGAAAAAAAATTACACCCCAGGTTGGTTTGGTGATTTGGTCATTTTGTCAATGAGGCCGTTACTACTCTTTTGCTTTTTTATGGCACCGTTTTGTAGGAAACCGAAGCTTAAAGCTCGTCCGTCAAACGTACAGTCTCACCACGTAAAGTATTATTTTTACTCCTAATAAAACAATCTACTATTGTTTAAAAAAAGAATATGTTTTTTTTCAACCCTGCATGGTTTTCAGTCTATAATTGATAAATACTGTTCTGGCGACTCTTACCTTTGAGTAGGTATTGACATGTGTGGAACTAAATCGCATAGGGATTTTATTAAGTCGGAGTGAGAGAAATGCGACGGTGTGCTGTTGCGGCGTTGCCACATTTCTCCGGTACGCTTTTCCCTATCAAGAAAAGCAAAATCGCTTATTTTTAAAAGACTTTTTATCGAAAAACTAGATAAAATCATTAGATATGTTTCTGAGCATCTGAAATGGAATTATAAGGATATCGTTAGGATGTCCATATTTTATATAACGAGAAAACGTCAGTAAGCGCGATAATTTAAAAACTCAACATATGTGATAACACGTGATAACTCGAAAACCACATTAGATATTGAAACTTTTTTTATTATTTTGAAATTGGGATCTTTTACAAGTTGAGAAAAATTCGATAGGCTTGTTTTTTTTTTCATTCAAAAAATTTTAAAACCTCCATTTACTTTTAGTAACTTTATGCTTTTAGTACATAACAATTTTCAGCAATCGTGTAACTTTTTTATTTGTAAAGATCTTCACATACTGTCTGTGAAGAAAATATAGCAATAATATTAAGAAAGTTTTTGAAAAAAACTACAATCATTTATTTCTAATGAATTACGAGATGTCGATTTTTGAATTCAGTGTTCTAAAGCTGCGTATAAATATGTCGAGACGAGTGCGAGAGACACCCGTAACGAGTCAACCTCAAGCGGATTTGAGGTTGACTCGTCATATTGGGACGGGGTCTGAGCTTCGAGCCGAGCCTATGCCCAGCCGGACGGCGTTGTCTCCGTTTTTTCCGGAGCCTTTGGCGAACCATCAAAAGGATTGGGGCGTCTATTTGACCAGTGGCGTATACACCGCGGCTCCGCGGAACAATTGCCTTGAGTCTCAAGGGGCTCGGATTCCACATCCCATTTTTATATAAAAATAAATATTCTTTCCTTTATTTGTAATAATGTTAATAATGCATCCTAACTAGAAAGATGCAATTTTGTCTTCTCTAAAATAGTATAGGTAAGTTAGCCAAAGTAGGTAAATCTCATGTACAAAGATTTATTAGTGATTTCTTTTATAAAAACATGAAAATTTTATGAAAAATGAATAAACGTAATGAACTTTTCGTCGAGTTATTAACGACTCAAACGTAAATTATGCGCTATTTCTGCTGAACGGAATTAAAGATGTAAAACAAGCTTCTTTACATATAGGATACATAGAAGATAAGAGAGGCAAATCGAGTGTGTTGAAAAAGGTGGCCATGCTCTCAGAAGTTTCTTACGGTACTCTCATAAATAAAGGGAATCGACAAAGAAAGGAACGATTCGATATAGAAAAATCCAGAAATTTGAACTATCCAGACTACTAAGAAACTTAATTTATGGCAAATATGAAAATAATAAAGTTCCCGCCATAGATATAATTAAAAAAAAACTCTCTGAGCTTTAAAAAAACCCTGTTCAGAAAGCACATTACGGCGAAGGTTTAAAAAACTGCATGGGAATTAGATTTAAAATTATATACATAATAATATTTTAAAAATTATTAATAAGCGTGCTGCAATGATGGAAAGCCATAGAATGATAATGTGGCGAATGGAATACCTTGAAAAAATATACAACTTTAGAAATGAAGAAATGCAGATATATTATTTACAATATTTGTTCCAGGTTAGTTATTGGCACTTAAATGTAGATTTAAATTAATAATTTAAATCTTAATTACATAAATTTCTAATTTTTTAAGTAAATAAAGTCGAATTAGGTCTTATCTTACAGCGCTTTCAAATGGAACGGAGCGTCCGCGACTTCGAGCAAGTACCATGAGCTTATATGAACAATTTCATTTGGGTTGCGTATGCTCCGTCCGGATGAGCTATCTTGAAAAAACATCCGTGTGGACGCTCTGCGCGTACGGTCCGCTCCATCTGAAAGCGCTGTTACTCTATTTAAAAATTTTATAGATATACAAACCACATACAAAATATATTATTGAATAAACTAATTAAAGACTCAAAAAAACGGCACTGGCAGAAGGCTCCGCCGCCGCCGCTGCTGTGCCGTTATCTCCAGGTATCTCAGTCGGCGTTCTCCAGTTTTTTTTAATGTAAACAGTTCGAATATAATTTAAATTTATCATGAATTCCTTTAATTTATCTAGCTTGTTTTTTACCTATTTTGAAATTAAACAAACATATACAGGGTGTTTCAAAAAACATGTTCCATCTCTCGTGGGGAAGTTCCTCACGTAAAAATAAGATTTATTTTTTATATCAACCAATCCAATTCTGCTTTGATTCGTAGCTACAGGGGGTTAAAATAGGGTTCCCAACCGTCCTCTATTCCAGAAACAGTCCTCTTTTTGATCTGATTGTCCTCTTTTCTCTCACGTATTGAAAACTTTGTTACATACTAACTTCAAAATCTAAAAAATATTCGTTTATCGCCACAATGCTTTAAAGAATTGTTAATCTGTGTCTTTTATGTAATTTTATGTTTACTTACTGTTAGTTTATGTCTTGAAAAAAAGTTTGTTGACAATGGTTTGCTTTATTTTAATAAGTTTTGAGTATAAATATTTTTGTGTATTTTAAATATTTATCGCATACCGTTTATATAACTTTTTGGTAAATTCTCGACATTTGAGCGACGTTTCAAAAATGTTTCGCCTGTGCCTTTTTTTATCCTCTCGCCCCTATTTTTTATTTTCAAAGTTGCCAACCCTAGGTTAAGTGTTTTATCATTTTCTTCCAAGTGCTTTTAGTAATTTGAGATCGTTTGATGACTGATTTAGTTCTGATCCGGGTAGTTTTTTGTATAAAACAGTGCCACCATCGTCGATTTTTTTCGTTAAATGCGAATAAGAAAATATCCTGATTATATTCTGGCCCTATCCCTTATTATTTTTATTTACAAGCGATCTTAAGTTTATAACATATACATATATTTTATTTAATTGTTAACATTAGGGTAGTTTTACCAATTGTGTATGTGTGGAATTCCACTGATATGTGTTTTAAGTTGTTTGTTAAATTTTTAAAATTTTTTGATTGTATTTTGCTCTCTTAACTTTGTAGTGTCCTGAAGATGCAAATAAATTTTGCGAAACGTCGACAAATTTAAAACAAAGGACTTCTGTTGATTTTTTTCGATCCTAATCCAATTAAAAAACACATTATACTTAAATTTATTAATTAATTTTTTAAAATATTGAATGGTATCGAATAATACTTTAATATATTTATCAATATTTTAAAGTATCGATACTTTATATTCAATACAACCGATACCAAAATATCGATACTGCCTCAGTATCGCACAGCCCTATGAAGAATTTTGTGGGTTCGCCAAAGGCTCCACTGAAAATGGATAGCCGCGAGACAACGCCGTTCGACTGGGCAGGGACTCTGCTCGAGGCTAAATCGCTCGGCTCGAGGCTATAATATGACGAATTCCGCTTGAGGTTGACTCGTCTCGTCCTCGTCTCGGCATATTAGTACGCCTTTTGGAAAGAATTTGCTATAGCCTCGTTTCATACTCGTTTCGGGTTTGTCTCGTACTTGCCTCGGCATGTTTATACGCGGCTTAATAGCGCGACCACTGTCGAACACCAACTCAATTCCACTTATTTTTACCAAAAGTGCAAATGTTTTTAACTTGCACTTAAACATTTACAAACTATAGGGAAAATTACAACGACTCGTTAATAAAGAAACAAAAAATAAAGTATCACGAGACGTAATTAAATCGTAAAGCATGATATACACCTCTCTCTAGAATTTAAGTACTGAATGGGTCCACCGCGACGAATCTGCTGTATTCCTTTCCACGTGCACCGATTCTCGGTTTATACTATACTACTCATACTACTATATACTCACTTCTCGGTTTATACTGTACTATAATTCTTCTTCATACGTTTGGCAACGTTTTTACTGGTTCTCTCTTTGTTCAGTACATTATAAACGAATTGTACTCTTCTTACATACGGAAATCTCGACCCAAAACTAACCTTTGCCAGCCCTTAGTATAAAAATTTCATTTAGTTTCTTATATCTATTAAAAAAATTGGTCAAGTGCGAGTCGGACTCGCGCACGAAGGGTTCTGTACCATTCATTATCTATACAACATTAGACACTATATTATTATAAACTTTTTTTCCGATTTAGCTGAAATTTTGAATGCGCGTATAGTAATTTAAAAAAAAATGAAGAGACGCATTACTAAAAATTGTATTTGGTTAGGTTGTAATAAATATGTAAAAAGTAAACATAAATATGTAAAAATATGTAAAAATTAAAAAAAAAACGATTAAAAAAGTCGCCTTGGCTAGGATTCGAACCTGCCTTACTATGGCTCCAACGTCATAGCAGCGTAAAGTCCTAATGCTTTAACCACGCGGCCACCGAGGACTTGAAAGATTCTATGTAAAATTCTTACTTAAAAGATAATGTTTAGTGAAAGTACTTTTTTATTTATAAACATTTATTTAATTCTGTTTTTAGTATTTGTTCTTATAGTGGCAACATAGATACATTATCTGTAAAAATTTCAACTGTCTAGCTATAACGATTCATAAGATAGACCTTTGTGACAGACGGACGGACGGACAGTAATAGGTTTCCCGTTTTTACCCTTTGGGGACAGAACCCTAAAAAGCTGCGAATTAATATAGATTTTTCTCTTATTTTCCAGACACGCATCATTGTTGGGGCGTCGAACAATCCCTAAAACTAATCGAAACTGTGAAAGAATTCAAAGACCAACTAGGCAAAACAGGCAGCCGGAAAGAGACCTGGCAAAAAATCACCAAAGCCGTCCGAACCAAAGGGGTGGACGTCAACGTTCAGGAATGCCAGAACAAATGGAAAAACCTAATCCGCAGCTACAAGGAGTGCATCAAGATGAAAAACAGAAGCAACATGCGGTTTCGGTACTTCAACGAAATGTCCGACTATTTCGGCGGAGATACCTCCTTGCTCAACTTGGAACACGACTACAACAAGACCAAACTGACCCTGATGCCTTTGTTGAGTCCCGGCAACGTTCCAGGGTCCAACACAGCCCCTCCGACGGTCACTTTCCCCCCTATATGCTTCACCGACCGGCAGTTCGTGGAGTACACGAATATGAAGAGGGAGGAGTACGCGGCTAGGCAGAAGCGACACGACGAGGAGATGGCCATCAGGCGGCAGGAGCTGGAGGTGCAGAAGAAGAAGTTGGAAGTGATGAAAAAGGCGGCGATGGCCAACGTGCCCTCGAACAAGAACGTTAATTTCGGTAAAAAGTCTAAACTTAATAATAGTAGTAATGCGATTAAGGAGGAGATGCAAGTGTACGAAGGCGATAGTCAGAGAAACATAGAGATTACGTATCAGTCTGTACCGAATATTCAGATTCTTGAGAGTATGGCTTTTTGAAATGAAAGGTTTTATCGTTTTTTGAACTTGAAAATGCTTTATCGATAGGGATATTTTATTGTTACTATCTTTTTTGGGAGTGTCGCCATTGAAACAAAAATGCAATCAAAAATCGGTTTCAAGCCTCGTCTATACATACCGATTTACCTGTCAGTTTTGCGAGTCAGGTAAACCGGACAACCGTCTAGAAAACTGATGGCAGTTGACAAGAATATCGTCCGTCTTAAGACGGGATTTTCATGCATCCGGTTCCAATATTAATTTTATTGATTGAAATTTAGTACAGTTAATCTGGCACCCTAACTCCCACCAAGTTACCCCCGCTCTCGTACTTTGCCAGTCGTAAGTGGTCCACTAGAAAAGCTTAAATTCGAAAATTCGTATCCCCCCACACCACCGTTTTTGAGAAACTCAAAAAAAATTTGGATTCAATTTTCTGGCTGAACCGTAGATAATTAAATTCTCTACATTTTCATATGGAAGTAACAAATCTCTAAAACCTACGGGGACAAAGTTAGAGGGCGCCAAAATCACTGAACCGCAGGTTTTTGCATTTTTCCTTGTGAAACCATTTTTCTTATTGTCGGAAAGTTTTTAAAATTAAAGAGCATAAAAAATCCTACCGAATTGATATGTAACTTTTTTTACGTTTCACTGTTTACAAGATATAACGTTGCCAGTGTCGCGGGCTGCTGCGCAAGCATTTGAGGACGCAGCTGTCTCTTGGCCATTTGTAGGCCTCCCTCTGGTCCGCATTTCAGCACTAACTAGTCGATCAGCTGACGTCTTTCAGCAATTTAACTGCGAGGGTTTTGACGTAGTAAGCAATTTTTTCGTGTGCGGAGTAAAAACTTTGTCTCGGTAGGTTTACAGTTTTGCTACTGAAAAATGAAATTGTAGAGAATTGAATTCTCTTTTGAAATTTTCTATTTAGCCAGAAAATAGAATCCAATTTTTTTTGCCAATTTTTTTTGCGCACCTAAAAAACACTCAAAACGATTAGAGAATATAATGATCCTCAGTCAGTATTTCGAGTGAACATCATATTCCGCGAAGGTAACTTGCAGTACCCTATCGACCGTCATTGATTTTATGAAAGTTGCATACACATTTGCTGTCCTCCATTCGCGAACTTCGAGTTCCGAGCTTTACGCCCTGGGGTTACTCGAGAACGGTTCTGAAAGGAGCTGTGCGCGATAGCCTCGTGCCTCCATATGGCGCGGAACAGTTCTGGAACTTTATGACTCAATTGAATGGAGTAAGAGTATCGCGTTCTTGAACAGTTCAGTGCTGCTCAACTGCGTGAAAGGAGGACAGCAATTGTGGGAATGAATGCAATATGTCTCATAAACAGTAAAACGTAAAATAAGCAGAGAAATAGAAGGGATAGAGAATGAGCGTCAACATGCGCAGAAGGTCTAATCAAGTTGGGCGCCATATTCCAGGTCTTCGTGTCATTTTGTATATAGGTGGTAATCTATAACTAATCAAATATCAATTTGCTGTTTTCAACCATACGGGGGGCAATTTAAATTTAGTGAAATTCTATCATTTATTATGGTTAGTTAACATTAATATGATTTATTTAATTATCAGTTTCAAAACTGCGTACGATATTGGTATATAATACACTAAATATACGAATATTCTGACAAAAGACGCTACGGACAGATGACCTTTTCGTCGTTAAACACTCGAAATGATATTAAATAAGTATTTACAATATTTCATGTTTACTTGTACTGAATTACGCGTTTCAATTTAAAATTTTTGCAAATTTGGTAAAAATTGTTCTAAACAACTTTTTGTTCAAGTTGTATATTCATAAAAAACATTTGGTTCATAATTATTTTTGATGATTACCTACCTTGTATTTTTAATATAAACCTAGAAAAAATATGTTTTTGTTTTATTTTTTTTATTCGTCCCTTCAAATTATGTTTCAAAAACTGTTACATAACATGTCCTCTAACAAATATTTTCATAATACATAAACATCATTGATTTTATTAAGGGTATTATTATTAGTATTTATCCTGGTTTTTGTCGACAATAAAAACTCAATCTTGTAATAGAACATCAATTTTATATTTCGTAAAATTATTTTGATACAAATTCGATTTGTCAAAATTCAAGTCATTAATATATTGATAAACAACCCAAATTATTCCTAAATATTTTATTATAAACAAAAACTGTTACCGGTAAGTTTGTAAAACACATTATGGTTTGTCGTAATACTAGAAAAAATCATTTATTTTTTGCACAAAAGAAGCTTGTCGATCCTTATTTGTCCATAACAAAATTCTGTATGTACATATACCTAATTTATTATTAAGAAAATTAGATTATATGATCTCAGAATTTTAAGAAATTTTTTTTTAAGATAAAATAGTTTCTTCTCAACTGTAATATTGTCAACTTTGGCCTGTATTTTATCTATTTAAAAACATGGGATTGACAATCCCCTTACTAAAATACATACTGGAAGGTACCGATTAAGTTTCATTGCATCAAATACCTTTACTATAAATCCTGGCTCACAACTCACAATTTAAGGCCATTGCAAAATGCTTTTGAACTTCATCATAGATTTTACAAGAATAAAAGTGTAATATTGAAACAAAGTAACACTGTAAGCTTCATGACTAATAGTCTCATTTTTAACACTCTTTAAATATCATCTCGTTAACAATTATGAATATTATATGATTTTTCTCAGTGATTTGTGGCACAGATACAAATTAATATATGCCCCATAACAGTTTTTAAATAAGAAACTTCTGCCTACAGATTTAATTTTCTTATTGGCATATACCCTTTCTTCCTATATAAATCTTGCCATTTTTTCAGTCCAATGTTCCTTGTTTTTACAGTTGTAGGAATACTAAAAATGTTGACTATAGAACTTGATACTATGTTTGAAAAAGCCTTCATACCTGTAACTCTGCATAAATCTAATTAACTGAATTCTCCTCCTCTTGACACTCTGAACACTGCTGCTGCTAATGTGAAATATATTTAGCACAAAACTACAACTACCTACAACAAACTTTACAATAAAAATTTTCGCTGTTCGATTAAAATACCCTATCTTATGTTTTCTTTTCCTCCAAATAATCTTCTTGTCAAGTAAGGACCAATCTTATTTGACATATTTCTGGTACACTTGAACTTGTGCTTTCATGGACACTATAAGAGTGCACTGTTTTACAGAAGCACGAACATTGATTCCAAGTATCTTCTTCCTCCACACGTAATAAAAACATCCTCTTTAAATAGCCACATCATACACTTATTTTTGACCATTCCCAATTACAATCACGATTTTTACAAATCGCCTTTAGGAAAACTAAAAATAAACAGTTTTGGATCATCTGTAAACACGATTATGTTGTATAAACTTACACATGAAAACTAATGAACATGAAAACTAAATTTTTCCCGGCGTATTAGCTTTCTTAGAATGACTATGACAATATACAACAAGCCTTTTTGAATTAGTGTTTAGAATAATTGAGATAATAATAAATTTTAACTAGATAACCACACAAACGAAAAAAAAACAAAACAAACAGATGTCAATTAAAGAGGGGAAGTGACAGCGAGACCTGGAAGATGTCTGCCATCTTGCCGTCGACAAGAATTTGGATGCGCACTCGTCGAAGCTCATTCTCCCACTTCCATATCTCTGAAAATAAGTTACACATCAATTTCATAGGTTTTTTATCATCTTAACTTTTAAAAACTTTGCTTCAGTAAAAAAATGGTTTCGTCCGGAAAAAATGCAAAAAACTGTTTGCGTGATTTTGGCGCCTTCTAACTTTGTTCCCATAGGTTTTAGAGGTTTGTTACTTAGAGATGAAAATGAAGAGAATTTTATTCTCTTCATTTTTTGTTACATAAAATGTTCTGTAGGACCTACGGTTAAACCAGAAAATTGAATCCAAAATTTTTTTGAGTTTCTCAAAAACGGTGGTACGGGGGGAAGTATTTTTATTTAGCTTTTCCAGTGGACCACTTACGACTGGCAAAGTATGAGAGCGGGGGTAATTTGATGGGAGTCCAGACCTTTTTTGATGCCAGGTTGACTCTGTACTATTTTAGAGTTTGGTTAGAAAATTCCGTAGTTTATAAATTTATTGCACTGATACATTGTGATATGTAAAAATAGATAGGCACTCATTACAGACTTAATTTTTAAATGTGTTTTATTTCAATGGCTATATTCTTAGAAAACTGCAGTAATGAACCCACTACAGCGATACATACATGACTTCTTTAATTCTTGTTATTGTTGTTGAAAATAAAAAAGTTTTTTGTACTTGATCTCAGAACAATAAAAAAAGGTATCAAATGAGAAAAAACTAAAATAAAACATATAAATTATTAATATATAATCTTTTTTTTTCTAATTTTTTGCTTTAAAAGCTATATTAATTTAAATTAAACGTGTGATGTGTGATCCATTCATTATTCTACTACTATACTTATTGTTTTGTAGGTTGCTTGTATATAGTCTATATGAATTCTATCGTATTAAAAAACAAAAGGTTTAAATATATTATATAAATTATACAAAAAATATTTTTGTGTATTAACTACATACTGTAATACCAGTATGGGACATGAATTGTAGGCCTAATTGCTGACGTAATCCCACCCCAAAATAGCAAATATATGCCTTTGATTAAGTGACGTAGTAAAAGTAATCAACTTTTTTTTTAAATGAACCATTTTTATTGTTTAAAAAAATATATGTGAAATAATTTTTGCAATCTTTTGAATTTAAGCAATATTATGTAACGAAAAATTATTTGTTGTTTTGTTTACGTCGCAGCTGTTTGGTTGTCTTCCTCTCACGATGGTAATGGTCCCATTTGTACTTTACTCTCATCGTGACTATCATTTTATTCAGAACATTTTAATCTCAGTTTTGGTACGGGTGACTTTAAAATACAATAATACCAATCACATCTAAAAAAATATGTCACTGAATAATATAATTATGTTTTTTCCATAGCCAACTGCAACTGTTAAGCTTATATCCATCTTATATCTATCAAAAATAGTAGATAAAATAGTACTTTAACCGCAAGGGTAGATTAAATGATACTTTAACAGCGAGGATAGGTTAAAAACTTTATTTCTTCTCGCACGTTTTTTAATTGCTTCCATTTTTGAAAATTTTTGTATTCCTTTTCATAAGTTATTCGGGATTTAAATGGAAGTAATTTCGATATGGCGTTCGGCCTCAGCCTGAATATCTGTTGGTAATTTACTTATTTCGTTTTGAGCCATTTCTGGCTCCAATTCAATCAGCAATCGACACGAAAGAGAATTAAAAAATATTGACTCAAAACTGACAACTAAAGAGACAAGAGTCTTGTATAAAAAATAACTATTTTTGTTTGCTTTTAGATTGGATGTCATTACATTGGACGTAGTATTGTTAATAGATTATTATTTTAAATGATTTTAATTTATTTTATAATTGTAAAAATGTTTAGCTTTTTATTGGTTTATAAAGTATTATTAGTAAATCAATTCAACAATATTCTATTATATGTATTGACATTTCTAATTTAAAAGTGAACAGAGAAGATATGTTTAAATATAACGTAGGTATTTTTAGTCAACTGCTTTCAGGACTTTCTCTTGTAAAAAATCTTTTTATATTGTTTTGAGGGTTTAAACCTAGATCATGTATTATACCACTCAATCTATTATACGAAAATGGTACTAAACTGGTTTTATTTAATTAGTATTTAATTATTTTACTTCCTTTTTATTTAATTTTAAATAATATAAGTGATCTAGGGTGATAAAGAGTAAGTTTAACTCGTAGTTTACATATGTATATACTAATATATATCATATTGTATTTTCAGAAATTTAGAACTATTTTTTCTAAATAAAATTGAAGGATAAAATTTAACTTTGTGTTTTTATTTTTCTCATGACAATTGCCTTCCTACACTTCGACCCAGAAACATTTGTTATGACGGTTTATCATTTATAATAATTAAAAACAGAATATTAGTGGTCATCATGATTAGGACATCGATTTTGGATATTAATTTATTTATAAAAACAAAGGTGGATATATACCATACAGGGTGTCCCAGAAACAAGTGCAAGTATTTTAAGGAGTGGTAGATCTCGATAAAAGAAACATATTTTCTCTTTATCATTTTTCAAATAATTTCAAAATAACGGAGTTATTTTACTTTAAAAATTTTCAATAAAAATTATTTTTTACTAAAATTTTGGGAACCACTGGATCTTTTCTGGATTTTCTTTCTTGTAAATTTAATATAATACCTATGTTGCCATATTATCAAGAAATTATGTTTTTAACTAAAAATTACAAAATTTTTTTTAAAAAATTCGAATTTTCAAAAAATGTTTTCGCGAAAAAAACTCATAGAGTAAACGCCACGAATGTTTGGGAGTGATTCGTCGCTTGAAGAAGATAGAATCGACATGCGCGCTATCATTTTTACATTAAAAAAGTAAATTTTTACCGCAGACGTAGGTTTTTAGAGGCCCGGTCTAATCATCTGCCTGCGCTCCTCCTACTTATTCTAAAATGTTAGCGTGATTGACAAAGACGATACTAGCTAAGTTCGGTAATAACATCCAGATGTCGACGGATTTTTTGTCACGTGATCACAGATTGGATGGAGTAATCTGAAATTACCGAACGGTTTGGAATGTTCAGATCGCTAAGGGAAAAGTGACAAATTTGAAATCCCAATTCCCAATTGAAATCTTTCAACGTTCAAAGACAAAAAGACCAGTAATTTATTTTTTGAGTTTTGAACGTCGTTTTGCATTAAGCAACAAAATAAACAATTTAAAACTTGACAACAACTAAAAATTTAACCTCACTAATTCAAATTAATCTGTTTGCTCCGTCAAAATTCTCCGAGCAAAAAGATCACCGTCCGATTGCTCCGATTTTATTTACCGAACGGTTCAGATTTACTTCCCGTACATCTGGATGTCATAAACGAACGATCGAGATCGATCCGAGCGGTCGGACGTGAATACCGAACGCGCCTACTATATCGCGTTTCTTTGATTGATTCGTTTTTTTGCGTCAGTCCATTGGTATACTTGCAGTGCGACCAATGGGGCATTCCATTTTATATTTATAACCAAATATATGTTTTGACAAGACTTTGACAGTTAAAACAACAAATTACAACAGATTATATATTGATTATTATATGACTTGAAAGACCACGGCACTGGAATTAAGTTTTATGTGACCTTGAACAGATTAGTTCACATGGTAGCGACCGATGAATCACTCCCAAACATTCGTGGCGTTTACTATAGTAGTGTTTCTGGGTTTGAACTATACTACCAGTTAAAATACTTGCACTTATTTCTGGGATACCCTGTACATATATATTTAATTTAGTACATTTTTAAAATATATGCCATTATTTTATATACAGTATGTCCCCGGATTATCCTTACAAGAGGAAAATCTTTTTTATTATTGACATTTTGAGAAAAATTCATTATTTTTAAAAATTTTGCTTGTTGTAAAATGGTTAATCCCGTTTATACTTTTCCAAATTTTCATACCGTTTTAGAGAAAATTAAAGAAAATATGGTTGAAGTCCTAAAGATCAAAACGCGTTTCAAATCGGGAAAAGGTTCTTAAAATATCAGAAAAAATGTGTTTATTTTTTTAAAGTTTGATGTCCCTCTAACGGACAAACGAAGCACTTTTGTATAGGGATAAACTATGTCCAATGAACCTATTTTGATTCCAAAAATACATATTAGTTCTATGTCCGCGGAATATAGGGGACACCCTGTATATCAAGTTGGTCGTACTCTTGTTTATATATTATGGTGCGTTTAGACTTGAGCACGCACGCACTGATCCTCCGCGAATGCTCAAGTGTAAACGGTCACTCTGAATCTGAATGTGCGCGAGCAGCCGCGAACATGAGCCGTCTGGTGTCGGTTTTTGGTCCGTGCTCAAAGGGATTTTATGTGTGCGCAAACGCTCAGTTTGCACCGGCTATTTGTTTTGTCTGCGTTCGTGCGTGCGTGTGTGATTTTTTTTCGTTTTCTTTATTAAAATTATGGAGTGGATCAATGAATCTTCGTTATTATTAATTGAAGAATATGAAAAGTTGACTATATTATGGGATGTTAAACATTCTTTGTATTATTAAAAAATAAAAAAAACGCATGGCAAGATCTTGTAAATAAAATTAATATTGAATATGTCGATATTAATGAAATTGCTATTCTAAAATTTGTATCTTTTGTTCGTAATTTTTAATGTTCGAAAAATAAGTTTTTAATTTGAACGGAGCCGAAAGCGCGAACGAATGCCGTGCGCGCACGCTCAGCTCGTGCGTGCTCAAGCCTAAACGCATCTTCAAGCGTGGTGCCATAAAAAATGAACTCAATCATATTTTAAGTTCGTTTCACAATGATATAAACTAGGTATTATATATCAAATGAAGGGTCTAGGGGAAAACATGATAAGTGCAATTTCACTGATTTTCAGGAGAGCACTGGACGGCTGGTAGTTATCAGGTTCTTGTCGTGTATTCTATATTTTTACTAGGCATATATCATAGGATTTAGCAACTTATTGCCTTGCAGAGTTTATACATTCTATAGGGACCAGTTAGACCTTCTATAATATTAAAAAATACTTAAATTAAGAAATTGGCGCTTATCAAGTTTTTCCGATGAACCCTTCAAATATAATTGTTTTGTAAAATTTATATTTTTTTTTGTAGATTTTCCTTGTCGTTGGCCAGACGAGGCTACTTCGTTACTAATTTCGATCATACGCAGACGAAAATACGAAATAGCCGACAAAGATCAAACGAAAAAACCCGCCTTGTGGAATGAGATAATGGCGGAAATGAATGAGAACGGATTTCCCATCACAGTTAAGGAAATTAAATCAAAATGGCGAAACCTTATCCGATCCTACAACTTAAGATGTAAGAATCAGAGACAGAAAGGCTTTAAATTTAAGTTCTTCGGCGAAATCCAGGAGTTTTTCAGAGAAACGGAATCCCTAGGTATCGACCCGGTAGTTTTCGAAGTTTACGCAATTGAATAGTTTATTATGTTCATATTTATATATATTTTAAATAGTTATTTATATAGATACAATGCAGTTGATTGGCGAGAAATAAATTGATTATCGTTTGCTTATTATTCCACTTTTAATATATTATCGATATTATTGAAGTGTCGATACTTTAACATCTACCTATTAGTAGTTCAAATAAATCGGTTATCCTCGTTATCCTGAATTTAATCTTCTATTGGCAACACTGATGTTTGACAAATATGCCTACTTTTTGTGAATTAACTAGAGGTGGGCCAGTCTGCGATTTTTGTGGAGCTGCTACGCTCTGCGACTGCTCCAATAAAAGCACTGTGACAAGTAGCAGCGATTTTTCGGAGCAATTAACCTATAACCTATAAATTAAAAATGTAGTTTTATAGGTTAATTGCTCCGAAAAATCGCACTCGGTGTTCGGCACCGTTCGTTGCATTTACTAAAAAGTACAGGACTACAGGTGTGATTATGATAGGCAACATCATCGTCTAGTTTTTATTTATTTATATCGTATGATGGAAAAAACGGCGTCAGCGATAGCTATGAAAATGAAGATTGCAGGCTTTTATATGTAAAATTTATGGGGAATGTTATCGATTGTCATTTCCAAGCCAACTGGACGCCGTTTTTTATTTCGATCAGTAGTGGCGATTTTAACGTCTGTGCAATCGGGGTAAGTCACCGACGGGCCCCAAGCCTCCCGGGCCCTTGCGAACAAGATTCGAACTTTTCCGAACTACGGGCCCCTAGAGCTCTTAAAATCGCGGCTGTACGGTACTATACTGATGTCTTAGTTTGATAGATGTTGCTATATTTTTTTAGTCTATTCAGAAGAATTTGAGTGTTTCTAAGTACCAAGCACTTTGCTATAAATATCTTAAAGAGTCTGTTCATTTTCACAGAGTGGTGGCCCATGGTAAAAACTTAATGTTATATTCAATTCAAAGTCGAAACTGTCAAAAAAATCTTTATTAGTGACCGGTTTCGGCTATTTAGCCATCATCAGACCTTAAAAATAGATATAAATAATAAAACTTATATGAATGTATAAGATCAAATAAAAGATTTAGGATATACAACAAAACACAGATACAAAATTAACTAACAAATAAACATACTAACAAGTTAAAAATTACCTTTGTCAAAAACATCTGTTTGTGATTAATATATAATACATAAATATCTTATTTAGATTCATGAAAGAAAAAGCGAACGCTGCTACGTTTCCCGTTCCCAAACTCCCAACAGCTCCAGTACACAGAATATACTCAATATACTATGCTCCAGTCGACTGCGACCTGCGACGACTGTGACTGGAACAGTCTGACCGGGCGACGGGGCTAGGAGCATTTTCAGAATTTACACTATTGCCTGCTATTGCTCCTATTGCTACTCACGAGCGCAGATGTCCTAAACTTGTAAACTGCTCCGAAATGTCACTGCGATTTTCTTGGAACTGGAGCAGTCACATACTGCGACGTTGGTGGAGCTGTGACAAAGTAGCGGACTGCGATTTCACAACCCACCTCTAGAATTAACTAACCTCAATTTTTAAGATACCAAAACAAAACCGCAGTAAAATTTTGTATATTTGTTATAGTATTTATTACATTATTATATGGAATTGTTTTTGGAGATAGTTATAATTTAAAAGGAATAATATATTTACTTTTAAGATGCGGTAAGTTTATTTAATACAAGATATAATTTCAGGTATTAAATTAATGTTGTAATTTTACATTTTAGGCTGAGTGTTGACGGTTTAATAGTATATTTTCCTTACGAGTATATTTATCCTGAACAATATGCCTATATGTGTGAGCTTAAGAAGGCTCTTGACGCCAAGGTATGTATAATATCTATTAAATACTTTTTTCTTTCAATATTGACATAAAATTTATTTAGGGCCACTGTTTGCTTGAAATGCCTTCAGGAACAGGTAAAACCACGACCCTATTATCACTTATAGTGGCGTACATGATTGAGAATCCTCACGATGTTAGAAAACTTATTTACTGTTCTCGTACTGTCCCTGAAATAGAAAAAGTTATGGAGGAACTCAAGAAATTACTGGATTATTATGAAAAACAGGATGGACAGTATCCTAGTCTAGTTGGTTTAGTTTTAAGCTCAAGGAAAAATATGTGCATTCATCCACAGGTAAGTCTAAAACAGGAATTATACAATACATATGCATTTCAATGTTTCATAATAATAATCTTTTTTTGTTTTCATAATCTAAAGGTTAGCACTGAGAGGGAAGGAAAGATTGTAGATGGAAAATGTCACAGTCTTACAGCCAGCTATGTAAGAGAGAGACACAACATAGATGATACAACTCCAATTTGTCAGTATTATGAGGGTTTTGCATTGGATGGTAAAGAAAGCAATTTACCATTCGGTGTATATAATTTAGATGATATTAAACAGTATGGAAGAGATAGAAATTGGTGTCCATATTTTTTAGCACGCTTTGCTGTGAGTTTATTTTATTTAAATAGATTTAGTAGCTTGATTATGCAATTTTTTTCAGATAATTCATGCAAACATTGTGGTATACAGCTACCATTATTTATTAGATCCAAAAATAGCAGACGTAGTATCCAAAGAACTTGCCAGAGAGTCTGTAGTGATATTTGACGAGGCCCACAACATAGACAATGTTTGTATAGACTCAATGAGTGTAAAAATTCGCAAAAGGACAATTGAAAGGGCTTCAGCCAATATAGGAACTTTAGAAAAACATGTATCTGAGTAAATCTAAAAAGAGTTTGTATCCAATAAAAATATTTATTGAAATATTTGTAGAATGAGAGACGAGGATCACAGAAAGCTTCAAGAAGAATACCAAAGGTTGGTTCAGGGGTTGCGTGATGCAAGTGTGGCCAGAGATACTGATTTAATATTATCAAATCCTATTTTACCCGATGAAGTTCTGAAAGAGGCAGTTCCAGGGAATATTCGTAATGCAGAGCATTTTATTAATTTTTTAAAACGTTTTTTGGAATATCTTAAAACTAGGTGTGTACCTATTTATTAATTTTGATGATATAAACTAATTTTATTTATTGATTGGTGATTATTTTACAAAGATTGAGGGTACAGCACGTTGTGCAAGAATCTCCAGTAGGATTTTTAAAAGACATCCAACAAAAAGTGTGTATAGAAAGGAAACCTTTAAGATTTTGCGCCGAGCGTTTGGCCTCATTGTTACGCACTTTAGAAATTACTGATATGACGGACTTCAGCCCTATTATTCTTATCACACATTTAGCTACACTTGTATCCACTTACACAAAAGGTTTTGTAATTATAGTGGAACCTTTTGATGACAAGACACCAACAGTCTCGAATCCTATCTTGCATTTTAGGTAAACTAAATGTTATTTAGAATACTCGAAAATTAAAAGGAATGTTTTTAGTTGTTTAGACTCCTCAATCGCGGTAAAACCAATCTTTGATCGGTTTCAAAGTGTGATCATTACTTCAGGAACTTTGTCTCCATTGGATATGTACCCTAAGATATTGGATTTTCATCCTGTAGTTATGTCTTCCTTTACAATGACTTTGGCTAGGCCGTGTTTGCTACCAATGGTAAGTTTCTTGCTTATTTAAATTATAGATATTTAATAGTTTATTAAGAATTTTATGATAATGTTATAACATTTTTATTAAAGTATTCCTATATTAAATATTCTAAGAGTTATTACAAACAAGTCAAGATAGAAAAAAGAAAATTTTAATGCCTACTATTCATCTCATTTTTTTTTTATTGTAACATAGAATTTTAGAAATAATTGAAATAGTTATATTTTCTAAAATGTGCCAACACTCGTGCCATAAAAGGTTTGTTGACAAGATTTTCTACCACACTACTTCACAATTGAAATATTTTTAAATAATAAATATGTTATATAAAACAAATACTTACATTTTATCTTAGGTAGATATTATAAACCGTAAAATTAACTAAATATTTTTTTAGATAGTTTCAAAAGGAAATGATCAAGTAGCAATCTCTTCTAAGTTTGAAACACGTGAAGATAATGCTGTGATAAGAAACTATGGCCAACTTCTTGTAGAGGTATATATTTTATTTAATTTTACCCTGTCTTATAATATAATAATAAAATGGTCCACAGATATTTCCATCATGAATATACACATCTACTATCTATGACCCCTATGTTGCCATATTATCAAGAAATTATGATTTTTTATTAAAAACTAAAAAAAAAATTAAAAAAATGTCAGATTTTCGTGAAGAAAAAAATCATAATCGTGTTTCTGGGGTCCAAATATACTACCCTTATAAATATTTGCAGTTATTTAAGACTCACCCTGTATTGGAAATAGCACCAATGAAACAAAATTCTTACCAATTCAAATATAAAAAGTTCCTAACGGTTTTGGAGATATTAGCGGTATTATAATATGGTTCTTTTAACAGTAAATTTAGGAACACCACATAGTCAAATAAAAATAGTATACTATATGCAGAATTTTATCCTGATGTACAGAAAAATAGAGGTTGTAATTTAAAAAAAATGTACAACTTCATTATATCTTTTTTTAGGACACCCTGTATACAACAAAATATTTTTAGGATATGCATTTTTATAAACCATGCAACATTTATAATAAACTTTTTTTCGTACCTTTGTCAACAACCTAACCTAACCTGGTATATATTTTTTTAAAAAGCTCTGGGACCGAATACTGTAACTCAGAAAACGCTAAGCGCTTTAGACGCTCAGCGTATATGACGTTAATTTTCGCTTAGGCGGCACTTAACTACCGATTTGGGTATTCTCGTCTGACGCGCTTAGTGTCTTTACTGATTGCGCTAAGCGATTCGAAAACGGCTACCTTAAAGGATCGTTTTGCTTGTCAAACTGTCAGTAAAAATAGAAAAAATTGTGATTTTGTGCCCGTCCTCTTGCTCCTTAGTGAAAACTACTGCTTCTTCTATAAATTCTTCAATAAGTAATTGATAATTTACGACTTGTTCAAAACATCGAAAATGCTGAGAAGCGTCTTCAATATTTCCCCCGTATAATAAGAATAATGACATATCCATAGAAAAATAGGTCGACATAACTCAACAATAGGTTATGAAATTCAAGTAAAATTGACATTTTTCATTGTTTTGTCCACATTTGACTATTAGATACCTGAGAAATTGCGATGCTGCGGGTAACGGTTGCTTTTAACGGGTATCCAGAAAACGATTCATAAGGCAACGAGAATACAAAAATTTACTGCTTGACGTTTCGCTAAACGATTACTTTCGCTTACCGCTTTGAAAGCGTAACGTTCTTATGTCGAAGTTCCAGAATTCGGGCACTGGGCTCAGAATGTTCTGATTTATATCTCTGGAAAAGAGCCAGCAATACACAGCCATCAGACACACGATGCTGTCACGACAACTGACAGAAACGGAAGTCGTTAATTCGTGTTGTTTTTTAGGTTGCTGCCAATGTCCCCGACGGTATAGTCTGCTTCTTTACCTCCTACCTGTACCTAGAATCTGTGGTGGCCGCCTGGTACGACCAGGGCGTCATCGACAGCCTCCAAAGGTACAAGCTACTCTTTATAGAGACCCAGGACTCGGCCGAGACCAGTTTCGCTCTGATGTATTACATAAAGGCCTGCGAGTCGGGCAGGGGAGCCGTGCTTCTGTCGGTGGCTAGAGGAAAAGTCTCGGAGGGTGTGGATTTCGACCACCATCTGGGCAGAGCAGTGCTGATGTTCGGTATTCCGTACGTGTATACGCAGTCGCGGATACTGAAGGCCAGGCTGGACTATTTGCGAGATCAATTCCAGGTAAAGTGTAGTTTTTAACTGTATTTTTCCGTTTTTGCGCCTGGAAATCAATGTTATGATGTTGTTCCAAGGAAAGGGTAAAATCTATCGAGATATACTCCTTGTTCGCGCCGGTTAGATGCCGGATGAGATCGGATATCTCGTGAATAAGAGTCGATTTAGATATTGATTAAGTTGGTAGGCCATTATATGACGAGGACCGCGGTTCGAACTCCTCGTAAACAAATAGTACCCGTCCAAATTAGCCCTTGCAGCAAAAAGGAGCCTTTAATTTAAAATACTTTACTATTTTTTTTGCGAAATTTTGATTGTGAATGTTCAATAGTAGTTCCAAAAATCAAAACGCGTTTCTGTGGTAATATAATTTCGTTTTCTCATTATCTAATAGATAATTTAGTTCAATGTTACGGAAAAGGTGATACATAGTTATTGGAAAGGACATAGGTGATACATAGTTATAGGAAATATGACATGATAAAAATTAATAATGACATCTATAGTCTGTCCAATGACAAAATCCTTGAGAGTGATAGATGTGTCTATCATTACTAAAATCTATTATTTACCTATCGTGTGGTGTCGTTATTTTACAGCTACTGGCAGTACCATATACGAGATGGTATACAAACTTCATTGGACACCAAATATTAACTATAAACTGTGCTCGGGGTCTACAGTTAATTTTCCCTCGATTTCCTCCACTTAACTTTAAAAAACACAAAACCGGTAATTACACGAACCAAAATGCAAACACGCAAATATTTGACACAATTTATAACCTATGATTTGGTAAGAGTTTAACAAGCTTCAAAATTCTTAAATCGGGATCGTACGCATCTGCGTCCGTGCATCGTTCATCGTTCCGTCACTCCAATAATATTGAAATATGATCTGTCAGTTTTGAAATAAATTTTATTGATTAAATTTATTAAAAACAACAAGACACCGACGCCATGACCGATTTATACAGGTTGTTAGTTTGTTCATTACTCGCGGCAAGAGCTTTATGGTTGAAATATGGCAACCTCGGCTCGCTCGTCGATAGACCACGCGACACGACGGGACGAGTCGGCAGAAAAATCAATAGTGCATGCGTTCTCAATAGGCAATGTTGCCATTCTGTTCCCCTATAAGTAACTGTCGAGTTAACAACCTGTATATAAATAAACCCATCCACTGTTAACTTAAAAAATATTAGAAATTTTTTAGTGAAGTAATAAAACAGAGTAGGTATATCACAGAATAAAAACTAAACGATAAAACTAAACGCGTTTTGATTTTTAGGACTTGAATTTTTTTTCATATTTTCATGTTTTTTCTTAATTGTCTCTAAAACTGTATAGAAATTTGGAAAAGTATAAACGGAATTAATCATTTTAAAACAAGCAGTTTTTTTATAAAGAATTGAATGCATTTTTCTCAAATTAATAATAATTAGTCGAGATTATAGTGATGTCCACTATAATCAATACACCAATTTAAAACTGATAGTACCACCATTTTACACAAAGTACCGGCACCTGTGTCGGTGTTGACACTGGTACAACAACTAACAAACGATTTGTCATCAACATCTAAAAAACCGGTGTTCAAATCTGAACACCAAACAGGTCTAAAGCCCAGGACATACTGTGGAATGCCATACCTGTGTTTATAACGACAATTTGACTAGAAATACCAAGTATGTGGTACCAAATTATTCGTAAAAAAGTGATTCTTCTAAATATGCTAATAAGCCAGCTCTAGCAAACAACTATTAAGAAAGAATATGATGAAACACTGCATAATTAGAAAGGATACAATGCTGAAGAAAATACTTTTTTAGCCTTTAACATAGACTAAAAAAGTAATTTTATTAGGATTAGTAATTAATGTTATAGTATTAAATCCCAATAAAACCGTTTCTGCGTGAAAATAACATTTTTATTACATTATCAGATGTTTTTTCATATACCGGGTGCGTCTCAAAAGTGGCTCACCCCTATAACTTTTATATTTTTCAGATAAAAAGACGAGATTTGTTAATATATGACATAAATTAGGATTGACTGACGTCTTCAATTGTTTGGTCACTTCCTGTTTTATCGGAAATACAACTTTTGATTTTTAAATGACACCCTCGATATTTTTTTACTTTATTCGATAGAAAATGACACTCTGAATAGTATGACATATCATATGTCAACTTTTGACATTTTTGCATATGGTTTATTTGAAATACAATAACATGCGGTTCATAACGACAATTTGACTTGAAATACCAAGTGTGTGGTATCAAATTATTCGTAAAAAAATGCTTTTTTCAAATATGCTAATGAGCCTCCCTCGTTCCATTTGAAAAAATTGAGGTATGATTAAAAATACGATATCGGCATCTTTTAACTGGCCAGGACAAGACACTAAAAACATTAGACGATCAAATCTATTTTTCCAAGGCTCCTTGATTAAAAATTAGTGTTTTTAACACAGCCATGGCACTCTAGATTGAAATTTAAAATGCAAAAGTTGGCATATGATATGTCATTCCATTCAGAAAGTCATTTTCTATCGAATAAAGTAAAAAAATACGGAGGGTGCCATTTAAAAATCAAAAGTTGTAGTCATTTCCGGTGAAACAGGAAGTGACCGAAAACAATAATTGAATATGTCAATCAATCCTAATTTATGGCATATACCAACATACCAAATCTTGTTTTTTTTATCTGAAGAAATAAAAAAGTTATAGGGGTGAGCCACTTTTGAGACGCACCCGGTATAAAATTTTCTACCTACCCAACCCTGACATCAATCAATCCTGATTTATATATATCGGTCATATACATACATACCAATTCTTCTTTTTTTTATTTGAAAAAATAAGAAAGTTATAGTGGTGAGCCACTTCTAAAATCACCCGGTATAATATCGAGGGACTTTAATTCGCACAGTTTATCTTTTAACGGAAAAAGGGTATAAATAAGGATGTTTTTTTAACAATTTCAGTCGAAAGTGACTACAATAAGAACAATATCTTCCGACCGGGAGCGTGGCGTCTCTTGTAATCCAGCTGCATGGAGGTCGGATTCGGCGGATGGTTCACGGTGTCGGGAGGTCTAACGCGAGCATCTTGCTTACGGAGCGCTGCGTTTATCGCCTATACCACTACCAACACCTGGAGGAAGCCCTCGGTGTCCAGGCCGTCCTTTAGAATTTTATAACTGGGCCAGGGGAGCGGCTCGGTAGCTGAAATTCTTCGCGACGGCGGTAGTAGGATCGCGCCTGAGAGCGGGAACCTTGCGCGGACCCCACCAGTAGAACTAGACCCGAATCTTTTTGCTGTTGTTTTTTCGGTTATTTATGATTTTTAATTAATATTTCTGGGGATTTTTAATTTAATATTGTAATATTTTAGTTTTTGTTTTTTTTTGGTACCTATACTGGGTACCTTTTGTAGGCCCGGGCCCGACCGAGGCTCGAATCTGCGAGCGAGAACTCTGTATAAACCCCACCTGTACAACTGCACTCGAATATTTTTGTTGCTGTTTTTTCGGTTATTTATGATTTTTACTTGATATTTCTGGTGTTTTTTAATGTAATTTTCAAATATTTTAGTTTTTAGTTTTTTTTCGTACCTATCCCTGATATAGCTAGATCCGGATTCTTTTCCTACTCTTTTTTCAGATATTTATGATTTTTAAATAATTAATTTTTTTTTCATATACTCTGGTAAGGGTTAGCAACTATAAAACTTCAATATTTAAGCAATTTTTAAAATTTTCAAAGAAAAATGAGATATTTTTCTATCTAGCTATATTCTGTGCTATATTTATATATCTAGCTATAGTCTGTGCAACGGGAGGGTCTCTGACAGGACAGTTGTGTCTGTCATTTTAATTCACAGGCATATTGTATTTTCTGTCACTTTTTAGATGTCGACGGTCGAAATCTTCCCTGACTGGTTGGACAGATTTTGTGTTGGACTTATTTGAAAAACGGCAAATAGAAAATATATTTCTTTTATCGAGATCTAGAAAATATTAGCACTTAATTTAAGACTCATCTTGTAGAGTAAATACTTATTATGGGGCGGTCAGACGACTCGTGTACTTAACAAACATTTTTTATTAGCATACAGGGTCCGGAGATAGTTCGTCGGTCATTTATACAAAATTTGTTATTTATTATAGACGCTACGGCGCACTATCGCCGGACCCTGTATACCAATATTTTTTTTTTCAAACGTTACAAAAGTATTAATTTTTGTGACGTGATTGACAATATAAAAAAGTCATTTTAACGCCTAGGCATAAAAGAAAAGCACTTAATCTATTCTTTGGCTCATTTCTATAACTATTTTAGATTAGAGAAAACGATTTTCTGACGTTCGACGCTATGAGACACGCAGCGCAGTGCGTTGGCAGGGCAATTCGGGGGAAAACCGACTATGGTATTATGATCTTTGCCGACAAGCGATTCTCCAGAGCGGACAAAAGGTCTAAATTACCGAAGTGGATTCAGGAACATTTGAAAGATAGTTCGTGTAATTTGTCCACAGAAGAAGCCATACAGGTAAGATTATTTTTCCTTATTGCGCGGATAGTATTAATAAGTCTTTATTTTATAAATTCGAAAACAAAATGCTCAGAATACATGGTTTTGATAGAAAAATCACGTTTTAGGAAAATTTTCTCACTAAATTATTGCACAGGGTGTTTAAAGTAGAGTAAAAAACAACCCATCGATTAACCCTGTATAATAAGCCAAATATGTACTAAAGATTACAAAAACTGAGTTTACGAATTAAAGTTGATATGAAAATACGGCTAAAAATAAAAAAATATACAGAGTGTTTCAAAAAACATGTGCCATATCTCGTGGGGAGATTTCTCATGTAAAAATAAGTTTTGTTTTTCATATCAACATAGGTCCGATCTGCTTTGTTTTGTAGCTACAGGGTGTTAAAGTCTTAATATTTTTTGGATTTATTATAATTCTATGAAATTTCGAGGGTAGTTACTATAAATGCGACATATTTTAAAGCTAAAAAGTGTTGACATCTTCACCAGGGACGTGCATATAGGTTATCATTGGAATATTTTTCTAAAAAAAAGCATGTACGCCACTGGCTTTTTTTTTGGTTAGCAAAATAGTGTAAGCAGTTTAATGCCGATTAAAAGTTGTCTCTGATTTCGGCCTCCTTGATGAGATAAACGCAATTTTATTAATTTGCCTTGATCCAAGTCTAATAGCAACCTTTAAAAAAATTAATACTATTAACTTGCGAAAATTTTAAATAAGTACTCATTGATTCCTCATCAAAAAATATGAAAAAAAACATTCCTATAAATATTGGTATGGAAATGCATAGTTTTAGAGTTACAGGATGTTAAAACTTTTTAAAATTAGTTTTTTTGTAATTATCTTGAATACCATTATTTTTTTATTTGAGATTGCTCTAGGTTGGACTAATAGTAATACTAATAGTAATAATATTTAATAATAAATTAGGTAAAATATATAATTTATTAATTTTAATTTTATTAATAATTGTGATTAATAAAATTGCGTTTATCTCATCAAGGAGGCTAAATTCGTCAAAATATCAAGAGATAACTTTTAATTGACATTAAACAGCCTATACAATTTTGATATCAAAAGAAAAAAGTCAGTGGTGCACATTTTTTTTTGAAAAATATTCCAATGATAACCCATATGCACGTCCCTCATGAATTTATCGAATTTTTATCGTAACTTTTACCCTCAAAATTTCATTCGAATCACTAAAAGTACTTGGAAGAAAATTATAATAAATCGAAAAAATGATTAAGACTTAACACCCTGTAGCTACGAAACAAAGCAGAATCGGAAGTATGTTGATAGGAAAAATAAATCTCCCGTTATTCTTGAATGAATGAAAATGAATCCCATGATTCTTGAAGGATTTCCTTCAAAATAAAGATAATATAACCACGCTCGGGAATGATGACGTTTTTAAATCCAAAATCCCTTTTGGGCTCCACTACTATTATAACTAACTAATATTGTATGCATTGTTGCAGATAGCAAAACGTTGGCTTAGACAGATGGCACAACCATTTACCAGAGAAGACCAGCTAGGCGTCTCTCTATTAACCTTAGAACAGTTACAGAATTTAGAAGACAAGAAAAGACAGGAAAATGGCCAGGATAAGATGGAATTGTAACACTTAGTTTAAAAAAATGTATGTATATTGAAAAACAAAATAAAACTTTTTATCTAAATAACATCAGTCTCATTAAATCATTTTAATCTAAGACTAGAACAAATAATAGTTCAAGAGTTCATTGAAGTCTCCAAACCCGCTGGTATCGTTATACCTCCGTTATCCACAGTTTCTTCAATATGCTCGGTATTTAGGAAGCAGTTCTGTGTTTCCTCGTCAGCCTAAAATAGTGTTTTTTAGTTAAAGTTAGTTAAAATGAATTTATAACAAAATAACCTGTAAATCAGTTTCGTGATTGGTTTGTTTGTCATCAATTAATACCTCTGTACCGCTTGAACCTAAAAACAATAATTCAATTATTAACGTTGACTTTGGCTTAAAACGGAATATTATTTATAGGAAAATCAAATCTCATTGACATTATATACCATGCTGGCAACGCTTACTTTTGTGTCGGTATTTACTAGTGATGGGAATAATCGAATTATTTTCACCATCGAATAATTAGTAATAATTCAAATTTCATAATCGAATTAATAATACGAATTATTTAGTAGTATTATAAATTTAACCTAAAAATAAATTCGTCTCAGCTAGTGCTCGTCTAGGGGCTATTTTAAACAAATTCTGAACCATTGCCATACCTATATTCTATCACTGAATAAAAAATAAAAAAAATATTCTTTATTTAATGTATTCTATTAACTGTGCCGAAGCCGTTTAATAAATTAAACCATAATTTAAAGTTTTAAATTTAAAAGTGCCGAGTTTATGATTGTTTCAATTCCTATTGAAAAGCTCATATCTAAAATAAAAGCTTCTTCTAAAACGATATAAGTATGTCCTTGTTTACGTGCGGTTCGTATTTCTTTTTATTTTATCAGTTGCAATCAATAATTATTTAGATAAAAGAAGAAAATTAATTTTAATGTTCGGCAGGTGTTCGGTGAAATTTGGGTGGGATGGAAATGAACCAAATAATAGTAGTATTCTTTCGTTCTGAACGAAATGAAAATTTTCACTTGAACTGATTTATTCCTACGTCATATAGGAAATAACAATGATTTCTGGATTTTTCTATATCAGATCGTTCCTTTCTTTGTCGATTCCCTTTATAAATCAGTTTAAGTGAAAATTTTCAGTTCGTTCCGAACGAAAGAATACTACTAATAGTACTATACTAATTTTAATATTCGTATTCGTACATAAAAGGTTATGTTTTATGTTCATTTGTAATTCGGTTACCACAGATATAAGTAAAGTAAAATCAAGATTGCAAACACCTTATTTTTAAAAGACTTTTCGAAAAGATAACTAGGTAAATCATTAGATATGTTTCTGGGCATCTGAAATGGAATTATAAGGATATTGTTAGGGTGTCCATTTTTTTATAACGAGAAAACGTCAGTAATCGCGATAATTTAAAAACTCAACTTTTTAACACATAACACGCGATAACTCAAGAACCACTTTAGATATTGAAACTCTATTTTATTTTGAATATCGGATCTTTTACAAGATGTTTAAATAAGAAAAATTCGAGTCTTGTTTTTTTCCATTCAAAATTTTGAAAAACCATCCATTTACTTTTAGTGCTTTGCAATTTTCAGCAATCGTGTAACTTTTTTATTTATAAAGATTTTCACATACTGTCTGTGAAGAAAATATAGCAGAAATATTAAGGTTTTTGAAAAAACGGCAATCAATTATTTCCAATGGATTTCGAGATATCAGTTTAGAGTTCTAATAGCGCGACCACTGTCGAATACCAACTCACTTATTTTTACGAAAAGTGCAAGTGTTTCTAACTTGCACTTAAAAATTTACAGGCTATAGGGAAAATTACAACGACTCGTTAATAAATAAACAAAGTATCACGAGACGTAATAAAATCATGAAACTGAACGCATGATGTACACCACTCCCTAGAATTTTAAGTACTGATTGGGTTGACGTCGACGGCGACGAATCTGCTATATCCCCTTCCACGTCTCTTAGCAATGTACAGGGTGGGTCAAATTCGACGCTTTTAAATGGAAACACCCTTTTCTATAGGAGATAGACAAAAACTAATATCGGTGTCTGGAGTTCAATTTTTGTAAAAACCATGATGGTGAAAACCGCATATCGATATCTGTTACCGTTTCGGAGTTACGGGGTGTTTTTCAAAAATATGCACTTTTAACAAATCGCTGTAACTTTTTTGCTATGGAAAATTTTGTATTTTTATGAAAACATTTCCAAAGCACCTTTTTACGTAGAATTTAATGGTTTAAGTATAATTTTTTTAAAATTAATAATTTAAGGATTATCAACAGAAAATTTGATTCTTTATATGGGACACCCTGTATATTTTTAATTTATTGAAAATAATTTAAAATTACCTTTCCAAAAATATCACACACTTGATATTTTGCTCGATTCCTCTTCGAGATATGGAGTATATAAAAATTCGCCCGCTTTAAATAAGTAGGATTTGAACGGCACCGGCTGTAATGCAAAAAAATTCTAGCTGTGAGCATCAATTAAAACGAAAATAATATTTGCTATGAGAGATGCAGAATTTTATAACAATTTAAAATATGTTCAAACGTCAACACATTTAAACTATATCTAATAACAATAAAAATAAATAGCAAACTAAGACATGAGATTTTGCTACAAGTGTTCGACATATCGACCGTCTTCTGTTATGAACAAACGGGGCAGTTTTTGAACATTTCTCGCGGAATTCATGTGAAAGATACCCTCTCATAACAGCTAAGTATTTCTAATTCTTGTCTAGATTATCCGGAAGAATAAGGAACCTTTATTCTTCCGCAAATATATCCATAGGATTAGATCCATGGGCACTAAGTCTGGCGGCCTCGACGGCCAACGGCTGGGATCTTGGTTAGCTATTCAAATATTCTTGAAACTGCAAAAATTTGCTGATAACTTCAGCGTTCAGAGGCGGTGCGTCGTCTTGCTGGAAAAATATGTTTTCGAGTTCCATTAAGGGAATATCGTCATCAATAAGGGGCCAAAGCCTACTAGTTAAAAGTGGCGAACTTTTAAAAATTCTGTATTTCGAAGGGGATTATAACAAAATATCAAGTGTGCTATATTTTTGAAAAGGTAATTTTAAATTCTTTTCAGTTAATTAACAGTTAATTAAAAATATAGAGGGTGTCCCAAATAAAAAATCAATTTTTCTGTTGATAACTCTTAAATTATTAATTTTAAAAATATTAAACTTAAACTAATTCTACGTAAAAAGGTGCTTTGGAAATGTTTTTTTATATGGGACACCCTGTATATTTTTAATTTATTGAAAAGAATTTAAAATTACCTTTCCAAAAATATAACACACTTGATATTTTGCTCGATTCCTCTTCGAGATATAGAGTATATACAAATTCGCCCGCTTTTAAATAAGTAGGCTTTGAACGGCACCGGCTGTAATGCAAAAAATTCTAGCTGTGAACATCAATTAAAACGAAAATAATATTTGCTATGAGAGATGCAGAATTTTATAACAATTTAAAATATATTTAACCAACATCAACACATTTAAACTATATCTAATAACAATAAAAATAAATAGCAAACCAAGACATGAGATTTTGCTACAGGTGTTCGACATATCAACCGTCTTCTGTTATGGACAGACGGGGCAGTTTTTGAAAATTTCTCGCGGAATTCATTAACTCAGTGGGGGTGAAAGATACCCTCTTATAACTGCTAAATATTTTAAATTCTTGTCTAGATTATACGGAAGAATAAGGAACCTTTATTCTTCCGCAAATTATTCCGGATTAGATCCATGGGCACTAAGTCAGGCGGCCTCGACGGCCAACGGCTGCGATCTTGGTTAGCTATCCAATTATTCTTGAAATTGGCTGCAAAAATTTGCTGATAACTTCAGCGTTCAGAGGCGGTGCGTCGTTTTGCTGGAAAAATATGTTTTCGAGTTCCATTAAGGGCATATCATCAATAACGGGTCCAAAGCCTACTAGTTAAAAGTGGCGAACTTATAAAAATTCAGTATTTCGAAGGGGATTATAACAAAATATCAAGTGTGCTATATTTTTGGAAAGGTAATTTTAAATTCTTTTCAGTTAATTAAAAATATAGAGGGTGTCCCAAATAAAAAATCATTTTTTCTGTTGATAACTCTTAAATTATTAATTTTAAAAAAATTATACTTAAACCATTATATTCTACGTAAAAAGGTGCTTTGGAAATGTTTTCATAGAAATACAAAATTTTTCATAGCAACAAAGTTACAGCGATTTGTTAAAAATGCATATTTTTGAAAAACACCCCGTAACTCCGAAACGGTAACAGATATCGATATGCGGTTTTCACCATCATGGTTTTTACAAAAATTGAGCTCCAGACACCGATATTAGTTTTTGTCTACTCCTATAGAAAAGGGTGTTTCCATTTAAAAGCGTCGAATTTGACCCACCCTGTACACAGTTTGTCGGTTTATTTAATACATTTGGCAAACGGTTACAGTACATTATAAACGCATTCTACTCTTCTTACATACAGAAATCTCGACCCAAAACTCACCTTTGCCAGCCCTTAGTATAGTCTTAGAAAATGTGTATACTGGTACATGGTGTCTCAAGGAAGTATAAGCTGGTGAAGGAATTTTTTCTTAATGAAACACCCTGTGTATTATCGCATTTTTAGCTTCTTTTTTGATGACTATATAATCTTAGGTTATTATTAAATCCATTTTGCTAGTTCCAACAAAAAAAATACAAAGGTATATTTTGCTGCATTTTTTAAAAAATCACTAAAAATACAATAATTATGTTTTTAAAGTATTTCAAAATTTTTAATGGTTTCGCAGATACACGCAGTATTATTTTATATGGCTTTTTCAACGGTAAAATTTGAGAGAAAAATAATTGGGTGGCTTTCATATAAATTTACTGTGGAAATATATGAAGTATAAAACCGCGAATATCTGCGAAACCGTTAAAAATTCTGAAATACTCATTTTTGAATTCTAAAGTTCCTTTAAAAAAAACGAAGAAAAATGAGTTTAAATTTTAGAAATTTTGGCGTAGAATTTTGAACATCCTGTATAATTTACGATTAGCATATTTATAGCAAAGTAAGTACAGACCATCTAAAGTAAATACCTAATATAGTTTTGATTTCAGGGCAGTAGTTCTTGTATTTTTAATATTTTATTCAAGAAAGGCTGAAAAATAATATATATATTTTTATTTATTAATATCTCTGAAACTATCGAAATATATTTACTCATATCTTAGGATTATGTAAAGTGATCTGAAAGGAAGCCAAAAATGCAATAATATACAGGGCGTTCCATTAAAAAAAATCATCCCGATCCACACTTTTTTAAGCCACCCTATAGAAGTTAAAATATTTTTCTGAAATATATCCTAGTACATATTTTAGGTTTGCACTTAAACAAAATTCCCATTTTTTATTCTAGGAGATACAGATGCCCGACGCACTATTGCCGGACCCTGTATTTTATCTTGTATAGAATTCAGAGATATAACTCACCATTAACTTCTGAATGCTTCTTTTCGTGCGCCTCCAAAAACGTCGGGTTAATCGTTGTGTAGGAACAGTAAGTACAACTAAGCGTTCCCCCTTTTCCTTTATGCTTATTCGTAAGATGGTACTTAAATGAACCAGACTGAATACACGTATAAGGACAATGAGGACATTTATACCGATATCCCTAAAAATTGTAATATTGATTTTTCTTTATTATGGAAGAAATCTTTAAAACTTACGCCGACGTGCTTCAATGCGTGCTTCCGCAAACAATTGTAATCTCCGGTTTTGTAGGGACAAAAATCGCACTGGTGTGGTTTTGCGCCAGTATGTTGCCTCAAATGGAGCTGAAATAATATGATTTAATAAAGCATATTGTTAAACTTATTTGTTTATAAAAACATTTGTTCCTCAGATTAAAAAATTGGCGCCGGGAGGCACGTATAGCCGCCCATACTAAAATATGTTAATATCTCGAAAACTGCGACTTTGACTGATTTTGTTATTACAAATTTTGTTGCAAATATTATTCCTAATCTTAATTTGAAAACCGCGTTTCGCAAGATACTGTAATTTTGGAGTTACGATTTTTTAAAATGTTTAACCCCCTCCCATACCCCCTTACCAACCCCCCACCCCCACCAAAAACTAATGGCCAGATTCTCGGGTGCCACAGTATTTTTGTGCCAAATTTGGTTAAAATCGGTTCAGCGGTTTTTGAGGTATCGTGTTACAGACGGACAGGCAGACAGACACCATGAAAATATTTTGTATTTAGGTCATTTATGACGCAAGTAACTCATTTTGAGTGAAATTAAAAAACCTTTTTTTTGCCGATCCTAATAGCCTACCATACCTATTGGTATGGTCGGCTAAAAATAGTTCCGCTATTCCGCTATTAGCCTAGATATTTTGAAATTTAGGTTTGTCAAACAGAGTTATGGTCATAGGTTATGCCACTACAAAATAGCGTTGATTGATTTTTAAGGTCCGACAGTCTGTAAACTCGATCATACCCTAACTTATTTCGGTATATTCCATTTTGTTGGGTTTTCAGTTAATTTTGTTGGTTTACGTTAAATAAATAATCCTTTAAGTAATGTACAGGGTAGGTCAAATTCGACGCTTTTAAATGGAAACACCCTTTTCTATAGGAGATAGACGAAAACTAATATCGGTGTCTGGAGCTCAATTTTCATCAAGAACATAATGGTGAAAACCGCACATCAATATCTGTTACCGTTTCGGAGTTACGGGGTGTTTTTCAAAAATGTGCATTTTTAACAAATCGCTGTAACTTTTTTGCTATGGCAAATTTTGTATTTCTATGAAAACATTCCCAAAGCACCTTTTTACGTCGAATTTAATGGTTTAAGTATAATTTTTTTAAAATTAATAATTTAAGAGTTATCAACAGGAAAATTGATTTTTTATTTGGGACACCCTCTATATTTTTAATTAACTGAAAAGAATTTAAAATTACCTTTCCAAAAATATCGCACACTTGATATTTTGTTATAATCCCCTTCGAAATACAGAATTTTTAAAAGTTCGCCACTTTTAACTAGTAGGCTTTGGACCCCTTATTGATGATATGCCCTTAATGGAACTCAAAAACATATTTTTCCAGCAAGACGACGCGACGCACCGCCTCTGAACGCTGAAGTTAGCAAATTTTTGCGGCCAATTTCAAGAATAATGAATAATTAAATAGTTAACCAAGATCCCAGCCGTTGGCCGTCGAGGCCGCCTGACTTAATGCCCATGGATCTAATCCTATGGATATATTTGCGGAAGAATAAAGGTTCCTTATTCTTCCGAATAATCTAGACAAGAATTAGAAATACTTAGCAGTTATGAGAGGGTATCTTTCACCCCCACTGAGTTAATGAATTTCGCGGGAAATGTTCAAAAACTGCCCCATCTGTCCATAATCCTAAGACCGTCAATATGTCGAACACCTGTAGCAAAATCTCATGTCTTGGTTTGCTATTTATTTTTATTGTTATTAGATATAGTTTAAATGTGTTGATGTAGGTTAAATATATTTTAAATTGTTATAAAATTCTCTCATAGCAAATATTATTTTCGTTTTAATTGATGCTCACAGCTAGAATTTTTTTGCATTACAGCCGGTGCCGTTTAAAGCCTATACTTATTTAAAGCGGGCGAATTTTTATATACTCTATATCTCGAAGAGGAATCGAGCAAAATATCAAGTGTGTTATATTTTTGGAAAGGTAATTTTAAATGCTTTTCAATAAATTAAAAATATACAGGGTGTCCCATATAAAAAATCAAATTTTCTGTTGATAATTCTTAAATTATTAATTTAAAAAAAATTATACTTAAACCATTAAATTCTACGTAAAAAGGTGCTTTGGAAATGTTTTCATAAAAATACAAAATTTTCTATAGCAAAAAAGTTACAGCGATTTGTTAAAAATGCATATTTTTGAAAAACACCCCGTAACTCCGAAACAGTAACAGATATCGATATGCGGTTTTCACCATCATGTTTTTGACAAAAATTGAGCTCCAGACACCGATATTAGTTTTTGTCTATCTCCTATAGAAAAGGGTGTTTCCATTTAAAAGCGTCGAATTTGACCCACCCTGTACATAACTGAAAAAGTAGGTACTTAAGGAATGGTGGCATTCTATATTTATTTATAAATACCGCATACGTGACGCGAACGTAATAATACTGACAAACTTTATTAATAATAGAAATAAATAAGTATTTCCTTATTAAAAGACGTACTTCTGGCTCTATGAGCCACTCCTATATAACCCTAACATAACGTTCTCTAAATGTCAAAATAGCGCATGTCGTCTTCTCTACGTAAATAGCGGCATGCGGTAACGTTATTAGCGCATAAACACTTATTATGACACTTTAACTGTCAAATTTGCCAAAATAATATCACAGATTATACAGATTATAATCTTTGTTTTTTCTTTATTGTTTTTCGTGGTTCCAATTTTCGGAATCGGTCACTAGTTAGGTGACTAGTTTGCGCACATAGCATGCCCACTTATGGCCTCTAAAATTGTGCACAGCTCCTGACCGGCACAGTTATTAGAGAGATATCGGAAAACCGAATAGCGTCATCCAGTATTTACGCGTACCTTATTATGTTACGATATGCGCGAGTCAACGCAACACCCGTTAATAACGTTACCGCTTACCGCCTGACGTAATTTGCGGATCAATTACACCAAGCGCTCTTTCTAAATAACCTCTGGTAACGTTTAAAAATTGCTTAAATGGGCATGTGCGGGTATTTGACAACCGGAGCCGGCCGGCAAGATCTTTTATTTTAGGTTATGTTTGAATTGTTTTGAATTATTGCTTTAGTTTTATTAGGTAATTTGATATTTAAGTAGCTGGATTAGTTTTAATTAAATAAATATGGCCTAAAATATGGATTCCACCTCTTCCAATACTAAAGAACCTATAAAGAGTCTTAGGTTTACAGCAGATGACGACTTAGCCCTTCTAAGAGAATGTGTTGCTTGTTGTCCTAAACCCATTGGCAGACGTTGAACAATAAAGCACTGGAAATAAGCACTTAGCCCTTTAGTTTTAAAATACCTAGTAAACAAAACAATTTCAAAGTTTTAAATTCAAAGTTAGGTTAAGTTTAAATAGCGGACGCGACGCGATCAGAATTCTTTCCGATCCGATAACTATAAATCTAAGCTATAAATCAAGAGAGTTAATACCACCTCACGTAAAGGAAATAACACCTGGCCTTATTAACGTCCATGCACGCTATTCGGTTTAGCGATATCTCTCTATTACGCTGTTTATTGTTATTTTACGCGAGTTTATTTTTGCGCACAGGAAATTTGACTCGTTTGCACATCGTCATAAAAAACAATTTTCGTACCACGAATTAGGGACAAGATTTTTATCTGTATACTTATAGGATACCTAATCTGTGATAATATCTCTTAATACCGCGTATAGTTACCAAATCTCTCGATTATACTTACTTCTAACATATATTTTCGAGTTGTCTTATGTCCGCAAATGTTGCATATAAAAGGCTTAAAATTCTCATGCACCGATTTGATGTGAGTTTTTAAACATTTCATGTTGGCGAAGAATCGCTGGCACGTATCACATTTCTTGACTTTACACCAAGAAGGTAACTAAAAAATCGAAGTATAAGTAAATTTAAAATTAACATCAATATATTGTCTATTTACCTCTTCAGGCACTTTATGAATAACTTCATGATTTTTTAACTGATTCCATTGTTTGAAAGCTTTCCCGCATTCACTACAAAGAAATGGTTTTTCATCTGAATGGATAACCATATGCTTTAGAATGTTAACTGAAAATAATATATACATAGATTCTATTAAATTATGTAGTGTTGTAATAGAGAAAACAATCCCATTTGTGATGAGGAAATGTTCAGGATCATTCAGAACAAGAACATTCCATATAAACATTTTTTACATTTTTTAAAGTGATTCTTTTGATATGTAGGGTCTAAATAACATAAGCTTTTAACAACAATAGTGTTTTCTATATCAAATAATCTTACCAGTGCTGTAACTTTTCATTGTATTACACATAGGACAACTAACCATGCCAAAATCGAGTTTGTGTTCTTGGTACATATGATTCCTGGCTATTCTCCACATTTTAAACTTCTGATCGCATTCAGAACATTTAAACGTCGACTTGCTTCCATTACAATGTAAAGCTTCATGTTTTTTACGTACTTCTTCAGTAGGAAATCCCGCGTTGCAACCTTTAACTGAACATCTAAAAGTACACATAAATTAATTTTATAAAATTGCAATTAAAATCGCTTTTTTACTTAATCTTTTGCAGTGATCTTTCCTGTCTTTTCATCATATTTACTGTAAGATCACCTAAAACAGATGATTTTCTATATATTACACTAGGAGACTTATTTTCTTCCTTCTCTGGTAATTGCTCTTTTTCTGGTTCTGTAATTAATTTATGGGTCTAAAATACGAATAATAAAATAAATATAGATAAAACTTAATTAAATTAAAATCAAACCTGAATCATATGCTGTCGTAAATCATCTTTATTCGTACACACATCATGACAAACACTACAAACATAAACGGTATATTCTTTCCGTATTTCACTAACACCATTATTTTTCTGCTGATTTTGTGCTAATACTGATATACCATTTCCATTGAATATTGCTAAATGCTTTTCGGCTATATGAGCCTTAATTTGTTCTAAATTTTCACATAGGTAGGAACAAATCTTACATTTATTCGCTATTACAGTTGAGAACAGATCGTTAACGTTTTTTACTGTGTGCTGTTTGTTTGCTGACTTTAAAACAGATTTATTTGATGTTAATAATGTTTTATCACATTTATCCAGTTGTACTATTTCAGTTTCACATTCTATATCTTCTTTTTCGGCAAAAATAAGTTCTTCAGTATTGTAATTTTGCTGTTCAACTTCGGTATTGCACAGTGTAGCGTCCAAATTATGATTACCTTCATCTTCTTGTGTTCTGCCATTGGTATCATCTGAACCACTTACCTGATCTTCTGGATTAAAGTAAATTAAGAATTATATAAAATACCTAACATGTAACAAAAATATTTACCTTCAACATTTTCAGTAATTAGTGGATTAGTAAGTAATAAAGGAAAACTATCTGGAGGCCAGTCAGCAGTATCTATTTCCGTAAATATAGGTTCTTCTGAAAACATAGCCACTTCGCTCGTTTCCAATAAGAATGCGTTCTGTGTTTCGGAATCATTTAAATACTTTAAATATGAATCTTCGGTATCCATTGTGGTGGAAAAAGAAATGTTTTAAAATCGCTTCTAAAATTAAAAACATAAACAGAAAAGTGAGGTTACTAACTGTCAACTGCTGTCAATTTTTTTAAATTAACATATTACCAACATAGCAATGTGGCAAACTGTCTAAAATTAAAGTTAAGTAAATTATTCTCCTTTCGTTTTAAATCAAAACTGATACAACTCTTGATTGCAACTTATCCTGCAATGTAAATTATTTAATGTTTTACTTGCTAATCAAGGAAATAATTTTTTTTTAATATGTATTTTGCAAATACGTTTGTAATATTGGCAATATTGCTTATCAGTCCTGTCAGTGCCTGTCAGTGTCAGCTGTTAAGTCCGCTAAATGTCAATAAATAAGAAAAATATTTGCGCTATTTCATATTGTTTATAATTACGTAGAATAAATAATAAAGTTTATATATTTTGTTATTATTTATTAGAAAAGTCGGAGACGGTATAATTTTTGCAGTAACATAAAATTTACAATAAATAATTTAAAAGTACTTTTCAGACTGAAAAATATCATTTTTGATCATACAAAAGAATATTATATGGTAAATAATTTTGCTTATAAAAAAAACAAGTACAAAATTATTAGTGATAAGTGTGCCGTTGAACTTCAGCTTTAGAATGAGTGTTATCATCTTTTAACATATTTTATCTGACTGTTTTGAATCGCTGTTGTACTTGAAAAACCGAGTATATATAGTCGTCTCATTAGCTGTTCAGGGCTATGAAGATACGTAATATTATATCGTCTTTTCGGGCGAATAGAGGGAGGAAGTTAACCCTGTCTAATTCAGTGAGTTTTGAAGATTTTTGTAACGAAGTACCCCCGGAGCGCTACCCGAGACTAAAGGAATCTTCCTTGAACAGTTCTTTTGATATTTCTCCAGTAAAAGATAGAGTAAGTTATACTTAATTGTATTTAATTGTTTAGCATTAAAGTTTAAAATTTTAGCCCACTAATTACGAAAGATTTGCTCGTGACGAAGATATGGAGTTTACATCTTCCCGTCCCAGCTTAGCAACTGTGTTGCTTTTTATAATTCTTTCGGCTGTGTTTTTGATCCTTCCAATTATATATCTACTCAATTGTTTTGATATTATCTATGAACACCAGAACATCAAGCACAACCCCATTTTGTCTCCAGTAAGTTTATTTTTTTAAAGTCTTATTTGAGTTCTATATCTAATTGTTCTCTTTAAGGATTCTTCTGAACTGAATACAGAGGTTCAGGATGCTGCTCAACTCAGCAAACCCATATCCTTACCATCGCCACCAGCTCCAGATTATGATCAGTGTGGTTTGACAGCACATGATTATAGATTTGATTGCTATCCAGAAGGCGGTGCCGATCAAAACAGTTGTGAAGCAAGGGGCTGTTGCTGGCTGTCAACTGAAACAAAAGCCAGAGCCAAGAACACATCTAAAATCCGGCAAAATATTGCGATGCCTTACTGTTTTTATCCACCAAACTATAACACTTATAAGTTTGTAAATGTGAGTGAAACAGCATTTGGTTTGGTGGCTTATCTGCAAAGGTCTTACCAAAGCGGATATCCAAATGATGTAGAAGTTATTCAGTTGATAGTTAAATATGAAACTGAGAATAGACTACATATTAAGGTAATTAATCCTGTAATTTGTTAATACATTTACTACATGTTTTAACATAAAACTACATTTTTTATATTTTTGTTTAGATTGTTGATCCACTAAACATCAGATACGAGCCAGCATATCCTGAACTACCTATAGTAGACACTGCTGCTGAAAATTTGAACTATATCTTTGAGTTGGACACGTTTAAAGCTGGATTTAAAGTTGTACGAAAATCAGACAATGCTACACTGTATGTAGATGAAAATTATACAAAACTTATGCATGATAATATTTTTATCTGGACTCTTTTAGATTTGATGCCAACAATTTTCTTAACTTTATTTATGCCGATCAGTTCTTACAAATTAGTAGTAATCTTCCTTCGAAGTATGTCTACGGCATAGGAGAGCACACTTCAACTTTGCTTTTGGATGTTGGATGGAGCAGATTTACACAGTGGAATCACGATGCTCCACCAAGTGAGAATGTAAGTGTAATATCAAAATAATTAAATGTGTTTATTTAATTTTGGCCGCTCTTAAATAAGGATTTAAGTAATAAAAAGTAGGATGGGGGGTCTTATATATAATTTAATAAAATATATAAATAAAATTTTTTTGTCTTTATGTGCCAAAAAAAAATAATACAATATTGTGATATAAAAAAAAACATTTTAATCTATAAAATTCTGGTTTGAAGGCTTGCCTAACTTTGGATAGAGTATAAACTGTATAAATATGTTTTTTTTAATTCTTTGTTTTATTTAACAATAACAATAATCGCATTTTTTAATGTTTATCTAAGAAAGAAATTATTGTTTATCTTTTGTTAGATAAGGCTGGACAAAATGCTGACATTTTTATGCATTTATATGAGTCATAAATGTCCTTGTTTATAAATAATATTTATTCAAACGTGTAGAAACATTTATTAAAAATATATTTTTAAGATTACAATATTTTATATAAAAAATATTTCTATCAGAGTGTGATTTTTTAAAAATAGTTAGATTTAAGTTAAATCAATAATTGTTTTTTTCATATCCTAAACACCAAAAAATTCAAGAGATAATTACTTTTTTTAAAACAAGGATTTTTTATTCATATATTTTTTTGGATTTGGTGTTTTCTTACAAAGCTGTTTGGTTATACAGGATGAGTGTTAAATAAGTGCAAATATTTTCAGGGCTGGTAGATCTCGATAAAAGAAACATATTTTTTCTTTACCGTTTTTCAAATAAATCCAAAATATCCGAGTTATTTTCCTTTGAAAATTTTCCAAAAAATGATTTTTTGCTAAAATTTTGAAAACCACTGGATCTTTTCTGGATTTTCTTTTTTGTAAATTTAATCTACTACCTATGTTGCCATATTATCAACAAATTATGTTTTTTAACTAAAAACTAACAAAAATCAATTTTCCATTTTTTTTGGCGAAAAAAAAAACCATAATCGTGTTTCTGGGGTCGAAATACACCACCCCTAATATTTGCACTAATTTAAGACTCACCATCATATGGTGCACCAAAATTAACAACTTATTTTTACATAGAGCCAGTAAACTAGGAAAAAAAGTAAAATTCTATATTAGTAATCCCATTAGAACTGTATATACAGAATATACACCAAATTTGTAAAAAACGCTGTAACATCTTAAACTACAAATTACTTAGTAATAATTACACTCTTATTACTCTTTGTCTCGTAAATAAGTTGGAGTAAATTGAGTGACAGTATACAGGGTCCGGCAATAGTGCGTCGGGGATCTGTAGCTCCTAGAATAAAAAAAACTTGAGAATTTTGTTTAAGTGCAGACCTAAAGTATGTAACAGGATGTATTTCCGGAAAATATTTTAACTTCTACAGGGTGGCTCAAAAAAGTGTGAGTGGATCTGGATGATTTTTTTTAAATGGAACACCCTGTATATTATTGCATTTTTGGCTTCCTTTCAGATCATTTTACATAATCCTAAGATATGAATAAATCTATTTCGATAGTTTCAGAGATATTAAAAAATAAATAAAAAAATATGTATTTTTCAACCCTTCTTAAAAAAAATATTAAAAATATAAGAACTGTTCTGAAATCAAAACTATATTAGATATTTACTTTAGATGGTCTGTTCTTACTTTACTATAAATATGGTAATCGTAAATCATACAGGATGTTCAATATTTTACGCCAAACTTTCAAAAATATAAAATAATTTTTCTTGTTTTTTTTAAATAGTATATATACTAGTAATAATATATATACCTATGTATACTAGTAATACTATATAATAGTATATAATAGTATATATAATAGTATATATATGTACCTGTATATTATTTTTTTATCTGATGGAGAATTAAAAAATGAACATTTTTTGTATTTAAAGTATTTCAAAATTTTTAGTAGTTTTCCGGATACACGCAATATTATTTCATATCGCGCTTTCAATGGTAAAATACGAGAGAAAAATCATTGGTTGTGGCTTTGATAAAAATTTACTGTGGAAAATGCCATATGAAATACAAAACCGAATATCTGCGAAACCGTTAAAAATTTTGAAATACTCTAAAAGCAAAAAATTTTCATTTTTTAATTCTCCATCTATTGAAAAAATGATATACAGGGTGTTCCATTTAAAAAACCAAAGAAAAATTATTTTACATTTTAGAAAGTTTGGCGTAGAATTTTGAACATCCTGTATGATTTACGATTTCCATATTTATAGCAAAGTAAGTACAGACCATCTAAAGTAAATATCTAATATAGTTTTGATTTCAGAACAGTTCTTGTTATTATTAATAATTTTTTTAAGAAAGGCTGAAAAATATATAATTTTTATTTATTTATTAATATCTCTGAAATTATCGGAATATATTTATTCATGTCTCAGGATTATGTAAAGTGATCTGAAAGGAAGCCAAAAATGCAATAATATACAGGGTGTTCCATTTAAAAAAAGTCATCCCGATCCACTCACACTTTTTTGAGCCACCCTATAGAAGTTAAAATATTTTCCTGAAATACATCCTAGTACATACTTTAGGTTTGCAATTAAACAAAATTCTCAAGTTTTTTATTCAAGGAGCTACAGATGCCCGACGCACTATTGCCGGACCCTGTATATTGTGTATTTGGGCCACCCTATATAAGAAAATAATTTTATAGTTAGCGAAAGCCAATTTTCTAAAAATATATATGAACAAGTCCTTTTATATTTTACAAAGCAATCATTTATTTATTTACAGCATGTATGTAAGTTAATTTAATCTAATTTTACTATTACTAATACACCACATATGGGATTTTATTCATTAAAACGTAAAGTATCCATTTTAGCAGTTAAGTCAACCCTTGCATATCTACAATTATTCTGAACGATTTTTACTCCCGTATAATAAGAGATTATAACAAAAGAAATGTAAATTATTTTCAATTTTAAGCTAAATCTGTATGGAGCTCACTCATTCTACCTTGGAATGGAGAATTCAAGCAACAGTCATGGAGTATTTTTGTTTAATAGTAATGGACAAGGTAAGTTTTCTCTATAAGGAAAAATAATTATTTGTACCATTAGTTATCCTTAAATCATTCGTTAACAATAACTAATATTAACCTTTATTTAGTAATCAATCTTCTTCTTCTTCTTCTTTATGTACCCTCTCCATATCGGAGGTTGGCTATCATCATTGCTATTTTGACCTTGGAAGCTGCGGCCCTAAATAGGTCAGATGACGTGACATTAAACCATTTTCGCAGGTTTCTGAGCTAGGATATTCTTCTTCTTCCAACAGATCTGTTGGAGTAATCAATCATTAACAATAAACTTTAAATAAAAAAATTAAGGCAGGACTATAATGCTATCCATGTATTCATGCAAGGTAGACGGACAAAGCGCCCTAGGGTGGGGGTCCTTGACAGTCCTGTTTAACGGTTCATTTGACACGTTTGAATTTGATTTGAAATTTTGTGGATTTGCCAGTCTTTTTTTGTATATTTATTATTTATTTTACTACTGATAGTTGTTTAAAGATAGTAAATCTAGAAGGAAATTGTAGCAGAACTTAAATTAACAGTGACACTATTGCGATTTATGGAAAAAGACTGTAAAATAGTTGGTTGGGTAGCGTAAGGTAGATCTCGGTCAAAAATCGAAGGGATTAATGGAATAACTTTTCGCTAGAACCTTCGAAAATTATCTGTAACCTTCTTTTTGGTTCCAGTAATTTCCGCTGATTGGGAATTATATAACTCACTTTTCTTCTACCTGGCGCGTTCCCTGACAGATGTCGCCATACACCTTAACAATGTATACAGGGTCCTAAAAATTTGAGGTACGAGCAATGGTATCTCGGAAACTGTAATAGATACCAAGATGGTTAAATTGTGGCAAAGTTGCGCCTTGGGCTGTTCACCAAGATGCCGGAGTTTTTTGGAAAAAACTGATTTTTTTGAAAATCAATTTTATTTTTTCCTATCGTTAATTTTTCGAAAATCAAAAAACTAATTGCACATTCTCATAGCCACTTTATTAGGGCTATCTGATAGTATTTTTAGATTTTCAAATTAGCTGATAGTTTGTAAGATACAGAGGCCAACTTAGTTTTTTTAAATACGGACCTGCATCTTTTATTTCAGGTTTTGAAAGAACTCGGTCTCCTGAATACAATGATATGCCACACTTTATACTTTTTTTTGTTTTGGATACCTTAACAGCAACAAAACTATTTAATTAGTATTTAAAATAATTCAAAACGACTCTGGTTATAATATAAAAAATATAAATTATTTAATCTGATTATATTCATCGCAACAATATTGAGCAGCGCTAATTAACATTGAATAAGGAAAATCGAGCCAATTGGAAGATTGAAATAAATAATATCCACTATTATTTTTAACTTTTTTATTGTGAATTTGAAATCTCAGTGTGCTATCTAATAATATGCATAATATTAATTGTAGTTAATATAAATAAATCAACTTCTACAAACTAGTTTCTAATGTTCTACATGTTCGAAAGGGTTACTATGGCACAAATTTATTTTTCGCTCAATTTTATTTATAGCTCTTTGAACTTTTTTCTTATACTTTCGAATGCGTTTTGTACTCTTTATTGTAAATGTTGAGATTAATTGATTTCGCTTTTACAAATGACGTCAAAAGTGCATATCATTGTACTCAGGAGACCAAGTTCTTTCAAAATCTGAAATAAAAAATGCAGGTCCGTATTTAGAAAAATTAAGTTCGCCTCTGTACCTCAAAAATTATAAGCTAATTTGAAAATCTAAAAATATTATCAGATAGCCCTAATAAAGTGGCTACGAGAATGTGCAATTAGTTTTTTGATTTTCTAAAAAGTAACGACAGGAAAAAATAAAATTGATTTTCAAAAGAATCAGTTTTTTCCAAAAAATTCAGCAATCCTTGAAATTTTTGAAACTTTTTTGATGTCATCTTGGTGAACATTCCATAGCGCAACTTTGCCCCAATTTAACTATGTTCGTATCTATTACGGTTACCGAGATACCAATGCTCGTACCTCGAATTTGTAGCACCCTGTAGACAGGGTGAGTCTTAAATACGTGCAAGTCTTTTCAGGGCTGGTAGATACTCTTTACTGTTTTTCGAATAAGTCCAAAATAACCTAGTTATTCAAGTTTGAAAATTAAAAAAAAATATTTATTTTTAAAAACATCTGACAGCCACCGGATTTTCTTCTGTATTTGTATCCCTTTTAGTACCGTAACCATGGTAGTAGTAGTAATATCTTTTATTTTTAAATTTGAGACTCACCCTATATAGATTAGATTTATAAGGTAGCTGTTTGCGTGTCCCGCTGCGACCTTTTCAGATCTATGGTAGTTATAACGATATTATGAACCAAAATCTTAATATATATTAAAGATTTACAATTTTTTTTGATATTTATAGTATTTCAGAAAAATATTAATATTGTACATTAAAATTTGAATAAACAAATTCCTAATAAAGAAAAATGTGAGAATTTCCGTATTTATCAATCAAATTCCAATTTAGATGATAAGAAAATTAACCTACGTGGCTTATAGATTATTAATTTTTAGGTAAATTTACGTGATAGGGCATATTTCATATCAAAAGTATTGTTCTAAATAGTTTTTCAAAATTATATTTATCATTAAAGAAACAATAGAAAAAATGAAACAATAATATCGAGATTTTTCAATATTATAGAAATTTTGTTCTTCCTTTATTTATTTATCTGATCCTGATAAAATCAGCGGCGAAGCTTTAGTTGATGCGGGTGATGCATCGCATCCCTTCACATTATTGTAATACGTTTTTATTTAAAAAAGTCGCAGAGATCTCCTATAATAAATTAAACTTTTCAGTAAATTTATTCAAATAATTAAATTCAATTTCAATTATTTAATGTGTGTATTGATCGAGCTTATACTATATGTCGCAGGCGCATAGAATTATCCGGCTTTTTGCAAAAAGACTAGGCATATTATAAAACGCCGGCTTTTTAAACAAAAGAAGAAATTTTTACAAAAAGCTTATCAGCCTATCTATTTTCAGTCACTTTGCAAAAAGCCTAATCAGAGTCAGTCATATTAAACAATGACGATATTTTCTGTACACTTCTGCAAAAGACTGCCTGTTTTCAGTCGTTTTACAAAATGCCAAATCGAGGCCAGGTAGATTAAAAATGATCAAAATTTACTTAGCTATATGAGCATAAGCATATTGAATAATTTGCTTTAATAAAAATACCCCATATTTTCATATACAAAAACAATAATTTATGTCAAAATTTTATTTTGTTTAGACGAAAACAGCTTGAACATTATTTCATAAATTATAATTATAAGTAACATAATTTTAAATAAAAAAATATATTAAAACCATAATATTAATATCTCGTTTAATTTTATTATACTTTGTAATTTCATTCTGTGTACTGGGCTGCCTCTTTTTGGAACTTTTATACTTTTAGAATAAAATGAATTTTGATCTTTATAATAATCGTCCTTAACCATACTCCATTTAACAGAATTATTACTTTTTGTGCTATTATTTTCTAATTTTGAAAGAGGAGTTCAACATTTTTTGAGAGAGGTTTGGGTTTGGTTTTGAAAAAAAAAAAGTTGAACCAATATTTCTACACGTTTTTCTTCATTTGAAAAATTCATATTTACAATTTTTGTTTATTTTAATTTACAAAGTTTGGATGTGACCACATTTCTGAGGGCAACGACGATTGAACTTGTTTCCATTCGTTAACTAAGCGAAGTTGTATAAAAATGATAATAATTAGCTTAAAAAGTCGCGTTTTTTATGAAGTCATAGCCAACTATGGTTTCCATTTAAAAAAAAACATATGTTTATGTCATATGTCAAAAATGACAGGCTTTCGAAAAAATACGGAAAAAGGGACACAGTCTCTTTAAGAATGTGATTATCTACAACTTTTATTTGAAAACTAAAATAGATCTAAAATAGATTATAATGAAACTAGGGACCATTTTTAAAATATCCGAAATTTGTTTTTTTTTCGAAATATCTATAGTAAATCATGAACTTTTTCAAAAATCTGAAAAGTGCATATTTATGACTCCGCAAAACTGCAATTCTTTCCCAATTCGAGATACCCATAGAGAACATCGTAGAAAACTCACCCTGTATATATCGCTAAGACCTACGCTAAACGCTACAAATAAAAATATTTCGACAGCGCTTTTTTTGGTGCGACTGTCCTCGTTACATCTTGAACGCCGCCGAACGCGAGCCGAGGTCAGCGAACTTTCCGGCCGCGATTGCGTCTCCTGTTCGCCGTTTTAGGCGGTGAGTGATGCGGTTTTTGAAACACATCTCGTTCGTCATATAAAATAGTCGTTCCAGAGATTGAGTTAGTCTCTTCCCTAACATAATAAATTCGGAAGTTGTTGATTTGATTCTTCATCCCGTTTGATTGTTCCGAATAAAATTCCACTTGTATTTTTTTAGCTTCGCTAAATTTCCAGATGTTTTAATTATGCTCTCGATATATCAATTTCTTAACATCATAAATCGAGAATCAGCTTTCACAGGATAGAATGTAACACATTATCGATTATTTTATCTTTTCAGATATTCTGCTCCAACCTGCACCCGCCATCACTTTCCGCGCTATCGGTGGTGTGTTAGACTTCTACTTCTTCTTGGGTCCAACCCCCTCTGACGTCATTGAACAATACACCGATCTGATTGGCAGGCCTTACATGCCGCCCTTCTGGGGTCTTGGTTTCCATCTGTGCAAGTACGGAATTAAGACGCTCAACGCAACTAGGGAAACTATGGAGAAAAATATCGCTGCTGGTGTACCTTTGGTAAGAGATATTTAGTTATCCTGTTTTATTTATTAGGGTCCATGGAATAGTTAAGACTTTGTCTCTTAATATTTAAACCTGTGGTTTGTTTTCTATTGCATGAAATAAAGATAAATAACAGTTGATACAGACAGAAACACAAAGAAATGAAACGTTTTATAATAAACAAAAAGGTGCCATAGTTTCGCTTGACCTTCGGAAGGCATTTGACACTGTGGATCACGAAATTCTTCAATCTAAACTAAATAATCTAGCTTTTGTAAACATTACCCAAAAATGGTTTAAAAATTTCATGGGTCCTAAGAAACAATATGTCTCTGTTAATGGGACCTCTAGCTCTGAAAAAAGTCTTTGTTGTGGCGTTGCCCAGGGATCAATCATAGCTGCAACACTATTTTTAATTTATATCAATTCTATCTCAAATTTAAAACTCTTCGGAATGCTACGACTCTACGCTCATGACACTCTATTAATCTATTTTGGACAATCCTTTGACACTTTAAAAACTCTAATCAAAAAAGACCTACAGCTTGTATCAAGCTGGCTGGACTCTCACAAGCTTAGTTTAAACATAGAAAAATCAAGCTAAACTTAAATTCCGGTTTATCAGTGCCGTTTTAATTTTATTCAAAACGTGTAAAAGTATGATATAGGGTAGACTCAATAATTTGTTGATTTATTTTACGTTGTCAATAAATTTGGTAGTTATTAAAATTGTTATAAAAATATAAACTCGCCGACGGCGGCACGAAAAACGGGTACCTTAAAATTTTAATGTATTTTAAAGTTTAATATATTTCGTTCTAGTGGGTCGATTTTGATGATTTTTTAAGCAATTTGTAGCTAAATTATTTGTCTTTTTAGTATCTCTTTCTAAATTAAAAATGAAAGTTTCCATCTGTCAATTACACCAGGGTAAACAAAATGTTTGTATTTTGATGAAAGTTTACAACACCCTGTGGAGTACGGTAACAAAGCAAGGAATTTAAAAATCACTCTATCATCTCACAATAGTTTGTTTTTTGATTCATCGCAATAGCTTTATTTTTATTGGAGATATTCTTTTGAATAAGACAGTAACGATTTACAGCAATCTTAGCATTGATTTTGGATTCTCATCACCACACTTATAAAATAGTGTTTATTGTTTTTGTAATGTCACTATCATTGAAAAGTCATATTATTATTGTTTATTGCCGTTTACTCTAGTAGAGATAGTTTTAACTTCTAAAGTATCGGCTATTTGCTGCTTTAATTGATCATGGCAGAGATCAACTTTTGAACTTAAAACCATATCTGCTAGAGTAACTGCCTAACAGACAATAATATAATATGATTTTTCAAAGACAGTGATATTACATAAATCATAAACACTATTCTACAGGTTTGTTGACTAGGACCAAAAGGGCAAGGGCATTGTTTTAATGTAAAAAATACGGAAAAATCTTAGTGTCTTCTTCAAAAGCGAATATCTCCAATAAAAATAAAGCTATTGGGATGAATCAAAAAGCAAACTATTGGGGAAAGATATACCTAGATGACAGAGTGGTTTTTAAATTCCTTGCTTTGTTAACGTACTCCACAGGGTGTTGCAAGCTTTCACCAAAATATCAACATTTTGTTTTCCGTCATGTAATTGACAGATGGCAATTTTCATTTTTAATTTAGAAAGAGATACTAAAAAGTCAAATAATTTAGCTACGAATTGCTTAAAAAATTATCAAAATCGGCCCACTAGAACAAGATATATTAAACTTTAAAAAACATCAAAATTTTAAGGTGACTGTTTTTCGTGCCTGTGAGTGTATAATTCTAGATAAGTTAATAAATAAATAAGTAATACATAGATAATTTATTACTAAGACGCCTCTTCTTTTATTTTATATAGAACTCGCACTTTGCTTTCAGCTCCATCTACGGTTACGTAGACGAAGCAAGCTTGTTTGTTTTAATAGGCCGCTGGTTTTATTTGGTGGTACGATTCGTACGGTTCTGTACGATAGCCGCCAGGTGGCGAGATTGTTTAAATCTTATCATTTTTGTAGTACTTTTGGTACTCAAGTGCGATTTTTGCGTTTAGTTTGTCAGATCGAGGGATCCAGCAGAGTCGGGCTGATGATAGGAATAAATTAAACTATATTAAAAAATTGGTCAAGTGCGAATCGGACTCGCGCACGAAGGGTTCCGTACTATCGTAACCACCGTAATAATAAGGCCGCACAGCTTATTCGTGACGTCATCAACTGGAGGCCTAAACTTTGATTGCATTTGATACACTTTATACGTATATAATGGACATAAACTTTAATTGCATCAAATTTGTAATAAATAATAATTAAACATAAAATTTAAAAAACATCAGATTGATATCCCACCTCACATTATCCATCGTCATTGTATTTATTTATGCTGTAAGTTTGTCTAAGTTTTTTTATTTCCTTTTCCAAGTCTATCATGTTTTTACAACAGTAGTTTTTCAGACGTGTATTTCTAATAGAATTTATGACAATATTTACAATAACTTAGCATTATAAATAGTACATTACGGAAATTTTAATAATGTCATTACTTCTAATGTAATCCAAAGATATTTTTGATAAAAATATTTTTTTATTATGAATTTTGGGAAACTCCTCATGGCTTTGCAAAACTTTGTTAAAAATTATATATTCAAATAAAACTATATTAGTTATTTCATCTTTTGGAAACCCAAGACTGCCTTTAGTAAGGTTTTTTATAAGTGAATTTTGTTCAATATCAGTGTTGTCTGAAAATGTTAAATTATTCTTACATGTATCGCATTTAATTTCCTTTAAAACAATATAACAGCAATATCCTTCTAAATAACCAATAACAGGCCTTTCTTCCTTCACACTTTCGATATCTTGTTCAGAAATAGTAATGTCGATGTTAAACCAATCTGATTCGATATGGTACTTGTATCGCGTGGTATTTCTTTAGACAAGGTATTGTCATTATAAAATCATAAAAAGTATCGATTTTTATAGAACCAAAACAAGTAAGATTTTAGGGACATTAAAGACTGAATCCTAAGTTTCTTTTCGCCTTCATATAAATGTCGAACACAAATACTGTACTGACCCCCAGCTACTTTTTCTGAATAGAACTTTTTTCACCCTTCTATTATCGATTATAATTACCACGTCCACACACCTACCGATAAATGGATGACTGTCAACTGCGGCAATACCAGTGGTGGTTACCCCTGAGTAGGGGGCGCAAAATATCGATGAAGTACATAATATATACTATAAAAAGATCTATTTTTTATTGTTTTTTTCTCATGTTATACACTATTGTAAACTTAAAATATTCCTTTATTAAATTTGATTGACAAAAAAAATGAGAGATAAACATTTATTGACTGGTATGATTTTTTCCGTATTCTATTAAAATTATTTTTATATACTATAATATTTTTAAAAACTCAGAGAAAGACATTTTAAAACTTCGAAATATATCTGAAAAAAGATCCACAATTTGAACTTTTATCGTGTAATTATCACCGCTGCTAAATAGAGTTGAGCCTCCAGTTGGTGACGTCACGAGATTTTTACGTCACAGCTGTCCGGCCTTGTTATTACGGTGGTTACGGTACTTATTCATTATCTATACAACATTAGACACTATATTATTATAAACTTTTTTTCGGATTTAGCTGAAATTTTGAATGCGCGTATAAGTAATTTTTAAAAAAAATGAAGAAACACATCACTAAAAATTGTATTAATCAATAATAAATATGTAAAAAGTAAAAATAAATATGTAAAAATATGTAAAAATTAAAAAAAAACGATTAAAAAAAGTCGCCTTGACTAGGATTCGAACTTGCCTTACTACGGCTCCAACGTCATAGCAGCGTAAAGTCCTAACGCTTTAACCAGGGGGGTGACAGTGAAATAGGAAAATTGGAAACAGTCATTAGTGTCATTCCTGTCATTCTCCTCACGACAAGTATGGCCGCCTAGACAAGGACAGCATTGTTTTTGTCTAACTATTATCTAACTTCACAGTTTAGAATTGACAGATTTCAGTTTCAGAGACAACTTCAGATTTGTTCTAGAACAAATTCGAAAATATTCGACGCCATTTTAATTCATTCCGTTTAGTTTCGTTTTGGAAGTCCAATTTAAAATTTCGACTGAAATTTATAAATATAAAGGTAATAAAGTATATAAAATATATATTACATGAAGAATCCTGGAGAAAATGTCGTTTCTGCAGTAGTAGGTATGTCCCATGTATATGAAAAATAGGTAGCAAATAAACACTGTTTTTACATTTTTTAGATGCAAGAAAATGGTGTTATAATCTCTTTGATCGGCGATTTTTTTGAAAATGGAAACAATTTACAGCAAGGTAAGATCATTTTTAACTATAGCCAACATTAGTTATCTCCAATATGTGCGATTTATTGTCAATAATGCAATAAATCTGACTGATAATCTGATTATGTTATCCGACTAAAAGTCTCTTTTTGCATCTTTTGATTTATAAGCCAGGTTCTTTGGGAATAATGGACGCTTTTTTAAACAGTATATTTATATTTTATACCTATTGATATTTTTACATTGTTAATTTTAGTATAAAAAATTGTTTTTCTGTTTTCAGGTTTTTGTATAAGGCTCCCGTTTTCATGTTCCTGTGTCCGTTTTCTGTCCTTGAAGTTTGCTAATGTGTGTGTTTATTTACAAATTACTGTAAGTCATGCTTATACCTTAACTAATTTACGTTAAAAGTGCATATAATTAACTAATTGGTATTGAAACAATACAATCCTCTATATTTTTATATTTATTTAGTCACGTTGTTCCATATTTCAAATAAATATATGTGAATAAATTATTTTTTGGTTTTATTTATGAAAAGAAAAAATACAAAATACATTTGAACTGAAAGAGGGCCCGCCATTGAATAACCGGAAACGGAAATGAAAATTAAGCCATCATGTCCTTATCATGTCAACCTGTCAATTGGAAAGTTAGTTCTCCAGACGACAACGAAGACTTTCGGGGGCGTATCATGTTTCCACGATTTAACACAGAGTTGACACTTCTTTCTAGTTAATTATTTTATGGCTTTAACCACGCGGCCACCGAGGACTTGAAAGATTCTATGTAAAATTCTTACTTAAAAGATAATGTTTAGTGAAAGTACTTTTTTATTTATAAACATTTATTTAATTCTGTTTTTAGTATTTGTTCTTATAGCGGCAACATAGATACATTATCTCTGAAAATTTCAACTGTCTAGCTATAACGGTTCATAAGATAGACCTTTGTGACAGACGGACGGACGGACAGCGAAGTCTTAGTAATAGGGTTCCCGTTTTTACCCTTTGGGTACGGAACCCTAAAAATTGTTAATGGTGTTTGAAGAGGAAATCAATTTACTTTTTTACTACTTACTTTTAAGTATTACTATTGAAAATATTTTTCAAATAAAGAGGATCACTTTTTAATTTTTGAGTATACTTTAAATTCTTAATAGCAGTTCTTATGCTATGGTTTAAAGTGTCCTCTAAATAATTAACTTTTACAAATTGGCCTTTTTATTGCTTTCAATGACGGGGAGATATTTATGCCCCTTGAAACGTCAAGTGATTTTTGATAATGGGTCACTTTATATTCTAGTAAAGAATCATTGAGAAAATAATCTTCATTGATTTCTAATCCATTGGCTTTTGTATAAAAACGTGTTTTTAGTAGCGATGGGAACTATCGAATGAATTAGACTATCGAATGGTTACTGAATGAATGATTTCAACTATCGAATGGTTTTATTCGAATAAAATCATTCATTCATTTGTATACTAAAGCATATGTGACAACCTCGCCGTGCAACTAAATGGTTATCGTTGAGCCACGACTATCGAATGCTTTTGATAAATGAAATTTAGTATTCGTTTGATTTTTGTGTACGTCAGTGCATTATTAGTTCTTCCAAATTTTATAACTTCACCTTATAAATACTGTGCTATTTTTGAGTTTATTAAAATATTTAAAATACTAAAATAGTAGTTTTTTTAATTGACGATTGTGTGCGTGTGCAGGTGTCAAAATTTTTCCGAAAATTTGTGTGATTTTCCGTAGCCCGATCTTTCAATTATTTTATTTTATATGGTATATATGGCCTATTTTTTAATGGGAAATTTTGAGAAGTAGCAATTTTTAAGAGAGATGAGATGAACTTAGAATTAATTTTAAGAATACGTATTTGTATTTTAGATGTTTTAATAATATGAATTAGTTGAACTTAATAATCATATTTAAGTAATGTGGTTAAGTAAATGGTTATCGAACTCAAACTATGGGGTGTGAAAATTAAATTGAAAGTTTTACACGTGCCAATTTAAAAAAAAGTTAACGATGTTTGTATTTTGTTTATGCTAATTCTCTTACATGTAGTTTTTTTTGCGAAGAAATATTTCATTTATTTTTAAAGTAAATGCCAGTAAAAGTAAATATTATTTTTAAATAGTAATAAAAAGTACCTAATATAAATAATTTTGATTTCTAATTTTTTATTTATATTTTCCTTCCATTACACTGCATGCTTAGAAAATTAATAAATGTTTATATTTCATGATTTTAAAGTTTGTTGTTAATATAACAAATTAGTTCTGTAATTATTATTATTTAATAAACCAACGTTGCCAAAAAATTTAAAGACTATATTATTTTTAAATAGGATCTAATATAAATAATTTTTACATCTAATTTGTTGTTTATATTTTGCTACTACATAAAAAAAATGTTTATATTAAATTATTTTAAATTTTGTTTTTAATAGGTATAACAAATTATTACTGTTATTATTATTTTTATTAAACCAGTCTTTGCTTAAAAACATTAAAACTCATTTTCCTACATCCAAAATAACAAGTATTATTGCAGTGTAAGAACAGAATATTAATAAAAAAAATGCAAAATATATAGACATACTATACCTAACTAACTAAAGTCAAACAATAATATTCTTTGCTAATATCAACTAATACCAATATATGGCAACAGCGCCCTTCATAATGTATTTTCTGTGTAAATACTAGCACCTCAATAAAAAAAATAATGTGTCCTTATCTTTATATGACTCCGCAAAAAATCAAAGATGCCGGCTTCTTTCATAGCATTGCCACCGACCGCTGTCGGGTTTCTCGGAAAGAAACACAACTAAAATCCAGTTAATATTTTATTATAATCGATCCTGACGAATAAATGAATTTCATAAATGAATGAATTTTATAAATGAATGGTTTTTGCTGCCGAATTACTAGAATACAGTATTTTAAGGCAGATGACGCATCTATTCGATAATTTTTATTCGAATAGTTTTCAACGAATGTTTTTTTACTAGCTATCGAATTATTCGAATGAATTGCAACTATCGAATGTTTCGATAGTATTCATTCGATAGTTCCCACTACTAGTTTTTAGTAGTGTTATTTGCAGATTATCTTTTTTGTGCAGAATTTTCTCTTATTTATTTTTAAAGTATTAGGTACTGATATAATCTGAAGTGTTAATATTACGTGATGATTATACCTTTTTCAGCTGTTTATTTATTTGACTATTTAAAGATGTTATTACCCATTACTGATATTTTTTGCTTTCAATTTTATTTGTTTAATAATTATAAATATCTGAATGTCATTAAGAGGTTAAGATTAAAAATTTTACACGGGGATAAAATATGTTATTTATGTGTGTTACTCTAGATAAAGGACGTTAATTGATCAAAATAATCTGATAAAATTCATTAAAAAGCATGTGATTTTTGTTCCAGAGGTACTTCAATAAATTCAAATTAAAAAAAAACTACCCAGTAGGAAAATTTCTAGTATTTTTTATTAGACTCAAAGTTTATTACACAGGGTGTCCCAATATTTCGTGGACATAGAACTACTATGTATTTTTGGAATCAAAATAAATTTATTGGACACAATTTACCTCTATACAAAAGTGCTTTGTTTATCCGCTAGAGGGCATCAAATTGAAAAAAAATAAACACATTTTTCAGATATTTTAAAAACCGTTATTCCCTTTGAGTTATTCCGATTGGAATGAGATTTGGGTGTCTATGGTTTGCTAAGCGCTCTAACATTTGACTTCCACAAAAATAAAGAAAAAGTACGGGAAGTGTCAAATCTACCTCCACCCCTACAGAAGTTTTAGTATGAATATTTTCCGACTATTAACCTAACAAATTTTATTAAGAATTCTAGATTAATATAGCTATTCATGTTACAAGTTGCGAAATGAATGTGTTTTAAGCACGGGACGCAAAATTGTCCAACGAGGCGAAAGCCGAATTGGACAATGCGTCGAGTGCTTAAAACACTCTTTTCGCAACGAATTTCATACAAGATTTTTTGTGAAAGCGGATAATTTGAGATTTTAATGCTATTATTATCATAGATAAAATTATTATTTATTTTTAAACATTTTTTTAAATGTTCTGGTTATCGGTTTCTAAGGCATTGTTTATGCATTGTTTAATGACAAAGTTCTGTCAGGTTCAAACGTCGCCGTAATTCCTACAAAGTTTTGTGAAAAAATGGGTGATAATGACGAGTCTTTGGATATTCAACAAGCTGCTGAAACTACGCTATCCACGTTAGTGTCCGAGAAGTCAAAAAACTTATACGAGACCACCCACAACAACTTTGAAACCTGGGTCAAAGAAAAACATGTTGAGAGTTTTACAGAAAAGGTATTGCTAGCCTATTTCCTGAAGTTATCCACTACCTTAAAGCCGTCAACTCTGTGGAATAAATATTCGATGCTCTCTCCGCACCATGATTTACCTGAACAGAAACGTAGATATTAGCAAATTCACAAACCTTATTGCATTTTTAAAAAGAAAAGCTTCCGGATATCAGGCAAAGAAATCAAAAGTATTTACAAAACTGGAAATAGAACGCTTTATGAAAGAAGCCGATGACAAAGAATTCCTGTTAGCTAAAGTTGTCTTAATCGTTGGAGTATTTGGAGCATGTAGGAGGGAAGAAATCACGTTTTTGAATATGGTTTTTGACCGTAGATGCCATTAAATATTGTCAGTCATTTATTAGTGTGAAGATTCCGAATACAAAAACTCATTTTCCAAGAGTGTTTACGATTACTGAGGGACCAATAGATGGTATCAATTTATTACCTGTATTTCGTAGATGTAATTGTACCTTTAAGATTTATAATTAATAAATATTTTCATTGTTTCAACAATCAACAATCTACTTTTAAACAAGTGTCACTTTTAGATACTAGTGCCTAAAAGAATGTCATTTCGAATTTCAAATAAATATCAAAAACTGTCAATTTCGAAACGCTTTCACAAAAATGTGTTTTTTTCTTGCTTAAAAACACTTAAAAAATAGTCTGGTTATATCGTGACGCTACCGTATCCCATTACGGCGCTGGAAGAAAAAAATTGTACAGTGGCGCCATCACGTTAAGAACAGATTATAAGTTATTTTAAAATTAAAACCCAAAGAAGTTGCAACCAACGCAATCAAAACTCTTAAACTCAAAAAAACTAAAACTTACTAAGTTTGATTCAAACCATTATTCATACCAGCTTTTGTTGCAATTTGTAGGACACGCAATGGAACGATTTGGACTACATGAACGCGAACAAAGATTTCACCTACGACAAGGACGCTTTCAACGGTTTACCCGAGTTCGTAGAGGACCTTCATAAAAGAGGAATGCATTACATCCCATTGATAGACCCTGGTGTGAGTGGCAGCGAAGAGGCTGGTACCTATCCTCCCTACGATGAGGGAATTAAATTGGACATTTTCGTACAGAACAGTTCAGGACAGACATTCATAGGAAAGGTAAGTTTGTTGAGTAATTTTCTTCTGTTGTTTATTTTATACCAGTTAAGGCGGATTTTCATGCGTTTCCGAGAGTGAAACACGCATACCATAAATGTAAAATTATATATAAATTGGAAAGAGAATTTGCCACTTTCCATATGCTTCCCAATATCCCATAGATAAATGAAACAAGTTTAGATTGGAAAGTGCCCATAAGGACAATGTAAACACTATTTGGCGCTATTCTTGTAACGGTCGCGACCCTAAGCTTTTGATAATTTCGGCAATTATGTCGCCAAATGTTATTTATTTAAATTTATTATTATTATTTTTTTATTTTAAATAAAATACATTTTTTGGTTGCATACAAGAAACTTTATTTTATATAATGACATGTATGAAATGCCTATGAAACATTGGAAATCGACGTTATGCCACGATCCACGATGGTTTTGCAATTCACAGCACGGCTTTTTAAGTTTTTAATGCCACTTTTTACAATTATCACGGGTTTGAGTAAATAAAACTTAAATTAAACTCATAAGATAGCAATAATTACTTTGAAAATGGGCGCTTTAAACGCTTTACGGAATTTTTTCAATGAGAGCGGTTTAGATTTTGAAAGATTTGATAATTTTTGAAGATTCTGACTTTGACAAGAGATAGGGCCAGGAGAAAGTTATTTTTGTTTTTGTTTGCGGTTGTTCTTAGCAACCTAAAATAGCAACCGCTATAGCAGCGCCAGATCGCGTATAACGGTCGCGACCCAAAACAATTTTGCGACTTAAAATTTTGACGGGCATTCCAATCTAAATTTATTTCATTTATCTATGAAATACACCAGATATTTTAGCAAAAAAGTAAGGTTACATTATATTTGTCAAAAAAGTGTCAAACATCCGTTATTTTACGAAATTAACTAATTTTGGTTAATTTTATTGTAACTTTTTCCGTTGACGGCCAGGAATTAAAAATTTTTGGATGACAAGTGGCAGGAATCTGTATCAAAGGATGATACCTATAGGAAATCCCATGTAAATTTTAAGGGACAGCCTTAATGGAACTTTTTAAAGTACTGGATGGAATACCTATCAACTTTAAAACTCTTCCTCTAAGGGTATATTCCGTTGCAAAACCAGGCGAACCAGACCGGTAAACTACGGTAAAGAGAGGTTCCTGAAAAACATCGGTTTGATACGGAACGGCTTGGTAAAATTCTGGAAATTCAAATGTTGACGTTTTAAAAAATTGACGTTTTCTAAATTTCAGTACCTTTATTATAAAATGTATCTTTTATGCATTTTTAATGTATCTATTCCCTGCTTTTACGTTTGCTTCTTCTTTTCAATGGAGTTTAATATTGAAAAGTACTTTATTAATAAACTGTTAAACTCGTTAGACAGCTGAAGTGAAGATTTGCAGGTCCAATTATAAAACAGATCAATAATAAAGAAACAAATCTAATCAATATTTATATTTTTATAGCTTACAAAACATTCACGATTACTTGTTGTCTTGTTTTTCATGTTTTCTTTAAATGTTCTTGACTTTAAGAAACAACGGCTGCATGATAAGTTTAAATGGTCCTAAAAAGCTATTTAGTTAATAAAATTTATTTACCTTTACTGCCTACCCCCATTGCTTTTGGATGTAAATACAAAATATAACAAATTTTAGAAATTAAATGAGAATTTCTCTCGAACTTCCAATATTTGCTTGATTTCTCTCACATAAATGACATTGATTGATAAACAAAACTAGAAAAACCAGCCTTCTCGCGCTGGTTATTTTGTTGACAGTTATAACCGAATTTTTCAGGAACCATGTTCCGTAATAAGAAAACTTTCAGGAAACCGATAGAAACGGAACATAAAACCATAACCAAGGTAAGCAACGGAATACACCCTAAGTAGTTTTTAAATTATTTGCAAAATTAGGTCCTTAAAAAATAATTTATAATAATTGTAATTTGTACAACGGTAAAACATCCCGGCCATCAGTAATTTATTAAACTTTATGACACTCATAGATAAATGCAACAAGTTTAGATTGGAAAGCCCGTAAAAATTTTGGGTCGCGAAATTATTTTGGGTCGCGACCGTTATACGCGATCTGGCGCTGCCATAGCGGTCGCTAAGAACAACGGCAAAAAAACAGAAATAATTTTCTCTTGTCAAAGTCAGAATCTTCAAAAATCATAATAATCTTTCAAAATCTAAACCGCTCTCATTAAAGAAATTGTTTGAAAGTGTTTATAGCGTCCATTTTCAAAGTAATTATTGCTATCTTGTGAGTTTAATTCAAATTTTATTTACTCCAACCGGTGATAATTGTGAAAAAGTGGCATTACAAACTTAAAACGCTGTGCTGTGAACTGTGAACTGCAAAAACCATCGTGGATCGTGGCATAACGTCGGTTTTCAATGTTTCATAGGTATTTCATACATGCGTCCTTATATAAAATAAAGTTTCTTGTATGCAACACACTGTATTTTATTTATAAAATTAAACGAAAATAATAATAAATTTGAATAAACAATATTTGGCGATATAATTCCGGAAAAAGCCGAACCGCTCCGAAATTTTCAAAAGTTTTGGGTCGCGACCGTTGCAAGAATAGCGCCAAATAGTGTTTACATTGTCCTTATGGGCACTTTCCAATCTAAACTTGTTTCATTTATCTATGATGCCACTGACATTGATAAATTTTTGAAGCCGATTGAAGTCTAACACAGTTTTGAACCTAAAGACGCTGTTCTGATTGAAGAACCTTATTCTTATTTTCTCCAAGGTATGGAACAGAGAGTCTACCGTTTGGCCCGACTTCACCGACCCCAACACAGTGGACTACTGGACCCTGATGTTGAAGAACTTCCACGACGAGGTGGCTTTTGACGGCGCCTGGATCGACATGAACGAACCCTCCAACTTCCTCTCGGGAACGGCCGACGGTTGTCCCGAGTCCACGCTGGAGAATCCGCCCTACTTGCCCGCGGTAGACGGGGGCGTGTTGTACTACAAGACGTTGTGCATGACGGCCAAACAGAAGGCTGGTCTGCATTACAATGTGCATAATTTGTACGGGTTCACTGAGGCGATAATTACGAGCTTGTAAGTATTTTTTGTTGGTTCTTGATAAGTTATTGATTTATCTATGGAAAAAGGTCTCCAGAAGGAATTAAGTACCATTTTTGCAATAAAGTCCTTAAAAAATGAAGATTAATATTGTTTATTGTTAATGATTAATTACTAAATAAAAGTTAATATTAGTTATTGTTAACAAATGATAGGATAATTAATGGGACAACTAATTATCAAATAAAGATTGATTTTATGATTCGATTAAGTCGTGTTAGTTCTACCATTTATAACTGATTCTAATAGTGATGGGATCACTCGGGTGAAAAATACTCGGACACTCGATTATTCAAATCCTCGGTATGGCTCGAGGATTTTTGTCGATCCTCGAGGATTACTCGACACGCAACACCATGTATGGCGTACACGTTGAATCGAAAATACAAGGCAATTTATGCTGAAATCGTTCCAAATGAAAACAACTAATTCCCCGAATTTCTTGTTTCCATTTAACCGAAAGATTGCCAGATAAATCTCAAAATCAGAGTTAAAGAAACAAAATAAGCACATTTAAAAAACTATTTAAAATGGGTAATTATTTATTTTTTATTACAATATAATTCAAGTTTCTCAGGTAGGTACATGCTAACAATGAATGAACAAACAAGCAAAACTCACCGAGCATTAGGGGGTATCGATCGATAAACTTTTATAACCGAAGATTCCTCGGATAATCATTAGATTATTGATTGGAATCGTCGAGAATTGAAATCATCAGCTTTCCCAACACTTGATTTTAATGATGTCTCTTTTGTTGGATTTGTCTCCTTCCCAAATAACAGGATAACTATTAAAATATTGAAAAAATTCACGGAAAAAAATATATTTATAGAAAATAAACATTTAAATAATTAGGTTTGGAACACTGCGATCTTCCGCAAGTGACAGCTCATGTTACACTCTTATGTATATACTTATATACTTATACTAGGGTCGGTATTTCTGGCCCTGGATGCCGATTTTCGTGTGAACGAAGAGTACGGTCAACACGCTTAGTAAAATAAGACGTACTGAATAAAGACAGAAGGCAAGTATTTTCCCAAGCGCATGGAATTTAGTGTCAGATTAAGTGGTTATGTAATAAATACTTTTGCTATCTCCGACTTACTAGATTGCCATAGCGATTCATTCCTATACATGTAAACGCCGATCCAAGGTTTCGCTTACCAGCAGGGTATAGTTCATATCAAATTTTACTTTGACCAACAGTTTTTTTTATGTTGGTTATGTAATAAATACTTTTGCTATCTCCGACTTACTAGATTGCCACAGCGATTCATTCCTATACATGTAAACGCCGATCCAAGGTTTCGCTTACCAGCAGGGTATAGTTCATATCAAATTTTACTTTGACCAACAGCTTTTTTTTAGAAAAAACTTTTGGTCACGTGATTAAGCTTGACCGGTACAGCGTTGCCCACTTTTACATTTTTTTTACAGCTATTAAGCTATCTTGTACACTTCGCACTAAAAGAAGTTCTAAAAAGAACAATGTTCGACTGCAAGGTCGGCTAGTAAAAATCTTTAAGCTTAAGGTATCACAACATAATTCATTTATACCAATAACTCGTAATACAAAATTAAAGTGTCAAAACGAATGACAATGTCATGAAATAAATAAATAAATGTGGCAACTTGATATTTTTACCTACCTGAATCCCCAACGGGAAATTTAAATTTCAGTTAGTCAGCCCGCTGCCCGGCGCCGAATATGTCCATGGTTGCCAACAATGAATTTAAAAATCGCGCCCTCGATTACGTAACTAAAAGTTTAATTGGTTTCGAATATAGCTTATTTGTAACAGACCTACTGCGAATCTATGATATACTAGACATTACAGAATAGAAATTTAACAGACCATAGTTGGGAAAATCTAGAAAGATATTTAAATATTTATATAGAAAATATACTGATATTGAGCTAAAATTAAATTTACATTTTTTGTTAAAAAACTAATTGGTAGTCAATCACTAATTATTGGCTGGAGATTGTGATAAAATGTGTGTGTTTGTTTTGTAAAAATAATTAAGTAAACGTTACACAATACGATAACATAAAATAAATTGATCGTGAATTTTGTTTGTCTGTTTTACAGATAAGTATTATACAATAATAACAAATTTATTTTATCTAAAACAATAGGTGTAAAAACAAAGAATTTATTAAAATAAATAATAATTGTGATATTCACTTTTATTTATGGAAACGTTATTTTTATTGAAAAGGTGGTCATTGTCTGATAGAGGAATATTTTAATTATTTTGACATGTACATTAATCAAGAAGTGTTATAATCATCCCTTGAATTGGCTGTTGAGCGTGTATCTTTTTTTATGTAATTTGTAAATGGGATGTACTTGTTCATACCTAATAAATAATATTAGAATACTTAGGACATCTTGGACATTCTAGAGATAGGAAATGTAATGTTTATCAGCATGATAGGATCGCCCTTTACTCCTTCGTAAAAGAAGATTCATATAAAATGCCATCTTAAGAGAGGATCGGAGCAAATAATTGAAACAGGTTTTCTTTTTGCCTAAAAGAAAGCGATTATATTATTATTAAAAAATTTAAGTCATTAAAATTACAAAAAGAACATACATGGACAATAATTGCAGAACAATAAGCAGTAAATAGATATAATTTTAAGAGTTATAAAATATTAAATACTTGACCTTTGACCAGTGTGTGAGATGATCTAAATTTTAAAATTCAAAATTGTTCATGATTATCCATCAACAAAAAAGTCGTTTACCGCATACAGGGCTCTCTCCAGTAAGTATGATTTTAGAGCTTTGCGAAATGCGGGAAAGAATGAAAGCGACTTGATATTCAAAGGCAGATGATTGTACATTTTTTTGGCACTGTACAGTATTGAATCTTTAACTAGTTCTGAGCTCGGGGTTGGCAGATAAAGATCGTGCTCCGCATTCCTAAGTGGATAGTTATGAGATGGCCTTTCGGGAATAGCAGATATGTGCTTGCGGATTAAGCAAACGGATTCAAAAATGAATAAAGAAGGAAGAGTCAGTATTTTGAAATTTTTAAAGAAATTCTGGCAATGAGTTCTACTGTTCAGTCCCAATAAATATCGAACTGCTCTCTTTTGAAGTCTGAAAATACGATCAAATTTTGTTGCACAGCAAGTACCCCAGAATGGAAGGGCATAACGAAGATGTGACTCAAAAAGGGCATAATAGGCTATTCTAGAGGTTGATAAGTTAAGTTCCTTAGAAACTGATCTTAGCGCAAAACAGGCAGCGCAGTTTCTTTGATAGAGCTTCGATGTGAAAGTCCCATTTTAACGAGTTGTCTACAACAAGTCCTAAGAATTTCACAGAGTCCACGACGTCAATAGTGAAGTATTATTCTAGCTTCTACGCTATATGAGGTTCTTGAGCTATCTGAATACCTAGTTACCCCAGCTTGAATGCGATTTTCCAATCTTCCTACCTGGTATAGTTATTTTAAATAAATCGAATTACTACATTGATTATACTGAAAGTTTGCATAATCTAAAAATTATTTATACTTAAAATATTATAAGCTTTTGACTAATAATTTAAACATTTTTTATTTACATAATATGTCAATGATTTTTTTTTTCAGTGCTATGGCTGAAATTAGAGGTAAAAGACCTATGGTCATTTCGAGATCCACCTTTGCCGGTCATGGACACTACGCTGGACACTGGAGTGGAGATGTATTTTCCACTTGGGACGGTTTGAGACAAAGCATTCCCCGTGAGTAAATTATTTAATACTACTCTTTTTTGCCACACAACCAGTATATTAAAATTTATTTAGGATCAAATATTATTATATTACATCAACATATTATTTACATCAACAAAACTCACGCTTCTTAACAGCACTTAAGGGGTCTAAAGGGCCATTACTACCGCTTTCCCGTTCAAAATATTCTAATAAAGTTGCCATGAGTTTTTTTACGGCTATTAAAGCTATCTTGTACACTTCGCACTAAAAGAGGTTCTAAAAAGAACAGTGTTCGACTGCAAGGTCGGCTACTAAACATTTTCAAGCTTAAAGTATCACAACACTATTTACTTAAACCAAAAACTCGTAATACAAAACTAAAGTGTCCTCGATTACGTAACTAAAAGTTTAATAGATATTAAATATACCATATGATCGAATAAAAAAGGGCGTCAGCGATGGCTATGAAATAAAGATCGCTGTCATTTTATATGTAAAATTATATGCTCATTTCCAAGCCAGCTAGACGCCGTTTTTTTTCCGATCATGCGGTATACAGGGTGTCATTGAAATGGTGTAAAAAATCGGGGGGTGATAGTACTCCTAAAAATAGTAAAAAAAGTTCCTATAAGTATAGGGCGGAAAATGCATATCAAGGGAGTTAGGGACACTGAAAGGGTGAATTTAAAAAACGGTTGTTTTGAAATTGCAGGCTTAAAAAACGAGATAAAATTTCGAAAAAAAATGCTCTGCCATAAATTTTGACCCTAAATTAAATGGCGATACTGAAAAATTATTTGGAAAAGCGGAAAGGGTAGGGGGTTGTTTCGTGAATAACTTTTTTGAGGTTATTTTTTTGCAACGTGGGTTCATTTTTTGAAAACTGCATACTTTTTCCTACAAAAAAGGTACTCTTGTTGCACATCGCCCAGAGCGATGGTTTTCGAGAAAATTGAAGGCAAAGAGTTTGCTCTGATGGGTTGCTAACTGGTTAATCAACATAAACTTATGAAAGTTACGGCGGTTCAAAAGTAACCAAGTAGTTATCAAATAATTAATTGAAAAATCAAAATTTCATGATTTTTTAAACATCTTATTGCTTTAAAAAACGAAATAATCCACTAGATTTCTACTTCTGGGGCCACTTGAAAGCTTTGGTTTACTCAGTGCCGATTAATACTAAAGAGCAACTACGGCAACGCATTATTGACTGTTCCATTCAAATTTGGACAACACCAAGGATATTTCACAAGGTCTTGGAGCAGATGTCTGCATTGAAATGAATGATGGTCACTTTAAACATTTACTATGAATTAATTATTTTAATAAGGAATTTTGGTAATTGGTTTATTTCGTTTTTAAAGCAATAAGATTTTTTAAAAATAATGAAATTTTGATTTTCCAATTAATTATTTAATAACTACTTGGTTACTTTTGAACCGCCACACGGTGGAAAGACCCAATATAAAATGTTGGACATTGACTTAAAAATAAAATTTTAAATTAAATAATTTTGGTAGAAGATTTTAATTACTTAAAGTCCAGACCGTTATATTTTATCCAACTCAAAAAAATATTTTTAATTATATGTCTGTTTGAAAAGTTTCAAATGAAGATATTACACTGACTTAATAATTATGGTGTTCATTTCTTGTGAAACAACCTAGTTTTATAAAAAGTGGCAAAGACATTAATACTTTTTTTTAACCATACATATTAGTGCAAACGATTGTTTTCACTTTAAAATAAAAGATATATATAGTCACAAAAGTTTGGGAGAACAATAATTGTATATAAGAGACACATAAACATTTTTTTGCTACTAAATACTATATTTAGTAGCAAAAAAATGTGTATGTAGAAAAATAAAAAAATGGCCAAAGTTGGCCAAGACTTTATATATGTCACAAGGTAGATTAAGCCTTTCTAATAACGAAACTAATTTAACATCTTGCCCCAGCTTGCCCCCCTCTAAACATTTTCATTTTATATATTACTAATACATGCTATACTAAAATCAAAAAAGTTTTCAATTCCAATAAATTAATTTAAATTTAAAATTTTTAGAGTCAAATTATCTTTATTTTTTTTATAAATTCATTAATATTTAATTATTAATTGGATAAATACAAAATGACGCTTAAATCAAAAACAGATACAGGGTGCTACAAATATATGGAAAACTTATAAACTGTTGGAAAAAGAAAGCGGGTTAAAGTGCAGTGTTGAGCTTTTTTATTTGTGATAAAAATATTCTAGTGCGTTGATTTACTGTTATATTCTTTGCTTATAATAAATTGTACAGGGTGTCCGACTAAGAATAGCTTTCGGCTATATCTCGGAAAGTATTAGCCGTGAGGCCGGCGGAAAAAAATATTCATAACTAAAGAGGCCATGAGAAATTGCTGGAAATTATTTTCAAGTTTGTAGAATGGCCGCTAGAGGGCACACCTGCTATAAAAAATAAGAAAATGGAGTTTTTACACAATTTTGCCTAGATAAAGGGTAGTATAAATATTAGCTTCATAATCTTCAGTAAATTCTGAATATTTTCTGTTAGCCATGTAGCTATATGCCAAAATAAAGTGGTGGGGGAAAGTTAGATCTATTTTTATTTAAATATTAATACCTCCGGACTGGATGGACGGAATCCAACTAGCGGGGGCTCATTTAAAAGAGCGTTTCTTACTCTATATTATACCATATAAAAAATAATAGTAAGCTTTTGAACGTAGACGCTACGGGGCGCTGTCTTACAATTAACAAACATTGCGCGTTTTTTCAAAAAAATGCGATAATATATGTAATTTTAGCTGATAGTAAAGAGTAATGAAAGCTTAAAAAGTCAGTGAAAACCGCATCTTGATATCTTTTTTCAAACCGAAGATATTATTATTATTATTAAAATTATATTAAATAGGAAAATATAAGCACTTAATTACCATATTTTTATAACACGGTATCAGTAGTCCTAGATCTCAGTGGTAAAATCTAACGCTATTTCTTTTTAAAAAGATTAAAACTAAAACATTCCACGACAGTTTGGCAAAGTTTATAAACATTTAAAAATTCTAAGACTTTTCCAAAACATACTATATTTTTAGGTCACCCTGTGGATGGTTTGTAATGAGCCAACCACTTTCTTTCATTAAAATTTAAAATTGTTCTGTTTATACATTATTACGGTATATAAAAATCATTTTTTCGTCTTTTGGATTAAAAGTGCTGAGAAGAAAACCTCATGTCCAACCGCTCCCATAAGCTCGTTCCACTGTGCGCCATAACTTTCATAAGTTTATGTTGATTAACCAGTTAGCAACCCATCAGAGCAAACTCTTTGCCTTCAATTTTTTTGAAAACCATCGCTCTGGGCGATGTACAACAAGAGTACCTTTTTTGTAGGAAAAAGTATATAGTTTTCAAAAAATGAACCCACGTTGCAAAAAAAATAACCTCAAAAAAGTTATTCACGAAATAACCCCCTACCCTTGCAAAAACTACCCTTTTCGCTTTTCCAAATAATTTTTCAGTGTCACCATTTGATTTAGGGTCAAAATTTATGGCAGAGGATTTTTTTTTCGAAATTTTGTCTCGTTTTTTAAGCCTGCAATTTCAAAACAACCGTTTTTTAAATTCACCCTTTCAGTGCCCCTAACTCCTTTAATATGCATTTTCCGCCCTATACTTATAGGAACTTTTTTTACTATTTTTAGGAGTACTATCACCCCCTTTTTTTACACTATTTCAATGACACCCTGTATGTATTGGACACTATATTTGACTTGAGAACTCATGGGAATTTTTAGAAAAAAAAAGGAAAATGTTGACCGTCTTTGTGGGAAATTCTATTTCAGAAAGTTGGCAACACTGGGTTAATCTCCTTAATTTTTTATAACTGATTAAATATTGCACAGTGTGTTTATAAAAATGTGAATAATTCGGGTTGAAACAAAAATTACACTAAAAAAGTTACAAAAGTCGACCATTTTTGTTATAGATCTTCTCAGCTTCAGTTTGTACGGTATTCCTCTGATGGGAGCGGATATTTGCGGATTCAATTACAACACCACTGTCGCCCTCTGCAATAGGTGGCAACAGCTGGGCGCCTTTTATCCGTTCTCTAGAAACCACAATACCGACGACGGCATTGTAAGTTTTTAAAAAACAATTTATGAGGTTTCGTTTAAATTATATTTTTTAGCCTCAAGATCCCGTCTCTATGGGAGAATTGGTAGTTAAATCGACCATCAAAGCTCTGACAGTTCGTTACGAACTACTACCCTATTTATACAGTCTGTTCTACAGGGCACACGTTGATGGAGATACAGTAGCCAGACCTTTGTTCTTCGAGTATGTTGTTCTACAGCAATATTTGGTTTTGATGGATTTTAACGCTTGTTTTTTAGATTTCCCAAAGACCAAAATACTTGGACAGTCGACACTGAATTCTTGTGGGGTGGTGGACTTTTGATAGTTCCTGTATTAGAGGTTAGTTTAATTATGATATTAAAAATGTTTCACCGGAAATGACTACAACTTTTGATTTTTAAATGGCACCCTCGGTATTTTTTTACTTTATTCGATAGAAAATGACATTCTGAATAGAATGACATATCATATGTCAACTTGTGACATTTTCGCTTAAAACAAAATTGAATTTTAAATTTCAATCTAGTGTGCCATGGCTGTGTTAAAAAAAATAATTTTTAATCAAGGAGCCTTGGAAAAATAGATTTGATCGTCTAATGTTTTAGTGTCTTATCCTGGCCGGTTAAAAGATGCCTAAATCGTATTTTTAATCATATCTCATTTTTTTAAACGGAACGAGGGTGGCTCATTAGCATATTTGGAAAAATAATTTTTTACTAATAATTTGGTACCACACACTTGGTATTTCGAGTCAAATTGTCGAGTCAATCGCATGTTGCAATTTCAAAGAAAATTCGAAAATGTCAAAAGTTGACATATGATATGTCATTCTATTCAGAGTGTTGTAGCGTTTTTTTAAACCACTCCCGCAGCGAACGGCAGCTTTTCATCGGAGAGCAGTCGTGGATAAGGTATTTCACTAGAGAGAAAATTAATCAGTAATAATTAACAAAAGATATATAGATATTGGGCGCCAGGCATGTACAGAGAAAGAAAACACAGTTGTATAATACTTAAAACTAATGACTATATTTATTCATGATGAATTCTGATGGTAAATAGCATTGTACAATTTTAATAATTATTATAGTGGTTATTTGTTAAGTAAAACTATGTATGTAAATAATATTAAATATGTTCTATGAAAAGACTATGAAAAAATACAATGCGTGTAACGTTATAGAAAATATAAGAAAAGTAGCATTACTTTATTTAAATTGTTAAATTTTATGCGGTGTTAAATCTGATGTGTTGCAACCTGTAGATTCTAGAATCTATGTCTCGTTATTCATCTGTTAATATAGCGCAATAATAATATCTATAGAAAGTAATACTATTACAAGGCGTAATATAATGAAACCTAAAATCTAAATCACATTGTAACTACTGCATCGACATAAATGTTCTTAATATGGAAATATGTGACATTCTGGAGGACAAAAGAAAAGGGACGCCAACGTGCCAGCAAAACACAAATACAAGTTGGGACATCCGTAACTCTACCCTAAAAATATTCAATAATAATATCGAATCTAAAAGGATAATATTTCATCTTTACCTGTTGCTTTGAAATAGCAGCTGATTCAGATTATACAGCAAGATTTAAATAATCACCATTTCTAAAAGCTGGGATACAACAGAGCGTCAAAACAAAGTGAGGTTAAGCACGGAGAGAGTTGACAGAAGCGATGTTGACAGCGCCTCCTCAAAGCGATAACAGGGTTGGCGACTAGGGAACGTAAAAATTACGCGTCAAATAAACTATCCGGCCTGAACGAGAGGGAATCCGGTGATGATAGGCCAGACATCATATATTAAATATAAAAAAGACATGTAACGAACTAAAAACGTTACAGTGTCATTTTCTATCGAATAAAGTAACAAAATACCGAAGATGCTATTTAAAAATCAAAAGTTGTAGTCATTTCCGGTGAAACAGGAAGTGACCGAAAACAATTGAATACGTCAATTAATTCTAATTTATGTCATATTAATATACCAAATCTCGATTTTTTATCTGCAAAAATAAAAAGTTGTAGGGGTGAGTTTGGTTTGGTTTGGTTTAAAATAAATTAATTGTTGGTAATAACGCGTTTTGTTGTATTGGGTACAATTCTGTATAAAAAATTCTGTTGTAACTTCTAAGGTTCCACACAATCTAATTTTTTTTGTAGATTGATGCTACTTCTGTAGTAGGGTACTTACCTGAGGGCATCTGGTACAACTATTACACCAACAACTCTACTCAGAGCAAAGGAGAAAATGTAACTTTGGATGCTCCTTTGGACACTATCCCTGTCCTAGTGCGTGGAGGTTACATTCTACCTCAACAAGATGCTAAACAGACCACTACAGCTTCTAGAAAAACTAAATTGAAGCTGCTTGTGGCTTCCAATGAAGACGGAGAAGCTTCGGGAGAACTTTTCTGGGATGACGGAGATTCTTTGAGTGAGTATAGCGGAGTAGTTCAAATGTCCTATCAACTATGTGCATTGAATGGCATATAAATACTATTTAACTGCTTGATCGTGTTTCATGCTGTGTTCTAAATAAATTTACTTTATTTTAGATTGTTTGCCAAAAAAAATTATAGTATTTCTGTCATACAATAAAAAACGGCGTCGCAGTGACCTTAGAAACGTATTGAGTAAAAAAATTGAAAGTAGATATTTGTCTGAAAATGTTTACTTTTACAAATCAAGTACCAAAAACCAAAAAATCGACTTTCAAAAACCAAAAAATCGATTTGAAATTGCAACATGCGATTCATAACGACAACTTCACTCAAAATATTAAGTGTGTGGTACAAAATTATGTCTAAAAAAATGCTTTTTCCTAAATATGCTAATGAGCCACCATCGTTCCATTTGAAAAAATTGAGATATAATTGAAAATACGATCTGGTCATCTTTTAAGCAGCCAGGACAAGACACTAAAAACATTAGAAGATGAAATCTATTTTTCCATGACTGCTTGATTAAAAGTTAGTGTTTTTAACACAGCTATGGCACCCTAAATTGAAATTTAAAATACAGTTTAGTTTTAAGCGAAAATATCAAAAATTGACATATGATATGTCATTATAGTTCAATCATTGGGGATCCAAAAAGGGGCCTGCTTGGAAAAAAGTCCGGTAGTTTTGAAACTTTGCAAGTTTATAGGTTTTGGGGTCCCTAACTAAAATCCATAAAATGCACATTTCCAGACATGCCGCCGACGCCGCCATCTTGCCAAGATGGCGCCCAAAATAGGTATTTTGTGAATATCTCGAAAACTATGCGTTTTTCGCGAAAATTTGAGGAGAGCAAAATTAAAAAAAAATTCCTATAAAAACGGTTTTATGAAAATTTTCGCTAAAGTCAACCGTTTAGGCACAAAATCCCTGGAAATTTTACAATTTTGCGTAAAATATGATATAGTCGATTTTCCGAAATTAAATGTCGATTAGGGTTCACTAAAACTGGTTTTAGTTTAGTTTCTTTAATTTTTTGTTTAATTAATTCGCTCATTAATTTATGAATAATTAATTGTCGTGCTGGACAGCATTCATTGCGAACTTACCACCAGGTTCAGCATTGGTCTGGTTGTACCAAAGATGCCGAAGTATGGGGTTGGAAGAAAATAAAAACAGGCATTACTCCAGTCACAATGTTGAAAGATCCAGCTCCAAAATCCCTATTGGCATTTTTATCCTGTAAATGTAAAACCAACAACTATGGTAAAGCCTGCGGATGCAGAAAAGCAGGATTAAAATGTTCAATGATTTGTGCATACTGCAATGGGAAATCCTGTGAAAACGTCACTGAAATGTCACTCGACGAATCCGATGAAGAGGAGTTGAACTTGCCTGTAGATATCCCTCTGGCGGCTGAAGATGAAGAGTTGGACGAATTGAGAGACCAGCCTGATGAGCCCAGCACAGCAGACACGATCGACTTTGACATCAACGAGCCAGATCCGTCGGGCTTGTGCAGATAAGTTAAAGTTTTTAATTTATCTAGTGGAGTAGGCCTCCGGGGAGACCACGTTAAAATAAACGCGTCATATACTTTACCTCTTGGGTGGTGTGGAAACAAGTACACATTTTCAATAACTAAAAATAATTATTCATAAATTAATGAGCGAATTAATGATACACCACTGTTTTATGACAAAATTGGAGAAACTAAACTAAAACTAGTTTTATCGACATTTGATTTCGGAAAATCGACTATACATAATATATCATATTTTACGCAAAATTGTAAAATTTTCAGGGATTTTGTGCCTAAACGGTTGACTTTAGCAAAAAATTTCATAAAACCTTTTTTATAGGAAATTTTATTCTCCTTAATTTTGTTCTCTTCAAATTTTCGCGAAAAACGCATAGTTTTTGAGATATTCACAAAATACCGATTTTGGGCGCCATCTTGGCAAGATGGCGGCGCCGGCGGCAAGTCTGGAAATGTGCATTTTATTGATTTTAGTTAGGGACCCCAAAACCTATAAACCTGCAAAGTTGCAAAACTTCCGGACTTTTTTCCAAGCAAAAATCCCCAATGACTGAACTATTATGTTCAGAGTGTCATTTTCTAAAAATTGTCTATACCTATGTGACGGATTCATCTCTCCAAAAAATCCTCTATGGGTATTTCGCCACTGTAAGAAAATCTACAAAATAAAATAGTTATTTTGTTAACACTGCTGCGTTAATCCCAAACGGAAACTACCTGTCAGAAGTTAGGTTTACAGTTTAAGAAACTTTTTATGAATGAGAAAATTTTGGACCATTGGGGACGGACAGTTGAACTACTTTATACCGGTGCTTTATTGTCATTTTCTATCCAATGAAGTAAAAAAATATTGAGGGTACCATTTAAAAATCAAAAGTTGTAGTTATTTCCGGTGAAACAGGAAGTGACACAAAACAATTGAATACGTCAATCGATCCTGATTGATGTCATATACTAACGTACCAAATCTCGTTGTTTTATCTGAAAAAATAAAAAAGTTATAGGGGTGAGCCACTTTTGAGACGCACCCGGTATAAAGTAGTTCAACTGTCCGTCCCCAATGGTTCAAAAATTTCTCATTCATAAAAAGTTTCTTATAAGAACAAATAAAAGATATTAATTTTGTTGCCATGCTGTGTAATTTTAGGTTTATTTTATAAATATATTTGATTAAGTACTTATACGTCAATAAATAATTATCGTGGAACAGATTTCGGATTTTTCCTAAAATATGTTATAAATATGTATTCAAGAGAGAAAAACAGAATAAGTGGCACTTGATTAAATTATATGTTGATTGCTTAGGTTATTTATGATTATTAATAGACACGGTATCATTGGTTGTCTAAGGGGGCGTGACATAATACTTGTGACTGGAGATTGGTAACTTGTATATAAGTCTCCACAATTGGAAATTGGAATTCATATATATATATATATATATATATATATATATATATATATATATATATATATATATATATATATATATATATATATATATATATATATATATTTTTGTTTTTGTAGTTGTTACAGCAAAATAAAAAGAAAAATACGTTACTTTGGTAATAAAAAAATCATATAGATATAATGGTAATGTTCCCATATGAAAACAAGAAATATTATGATGATACAACTTAATTATGAGAATTTCTATTATGTGCAGGGGGAGACTGCGGCACCGGGTGTTTTCCAGAAGTGGCGTTGGTTTGGAACTTATTAAACGCCAAAATTATCATCCCAGCCGTCTTTTTTTTCAAAAATTTTCTATCCGTTATAAGTTAACATTCATGTTCAATATCCTTTCACTCAAACTCAAATAGCTCACACAGAGAAGGATAGCTTTATATGTTAACCTTGTCCTAGGAAGAAATAAGTAGAAAAATGCGTGTCGTTCGCATATAAACAAAGTTGTGTGATATAATTTATGGCATATCATTATTCACGAAGTTTGGTGCATTCTCCGCCGGTGCTGCCACCGCTGGAGTATATCGTAAATAACGAATACATACAAATACACGGGTTTAAATGGCGAGTAAACGAAAAAATTAGTATATAATAATCATTCTAAAACTGTTAGAAAGTATAATTTGTGGAAAGTCAGTTAAAAAAAATTTAGATGAGTTCAACTACGGTAGCGAGCATAGTTTTATCTCCGGTTTTGCTAGTGTGGCATAACTGGAGCTATTTCGGCTATAACGAAATTTTTTAAAGGTACATAATAATTTTAGAAGATGTTAATAAAACATTTAATCACTAGTTGATTAAAAAAGTATATCATTAATATTGCAAATTATATTTCATCTTCTTATGGTATATGTCTAATTAATTTTTTGATTATGTAAGGAGCACTTTGTTTACTCACTTGTTTCGTAGAACTGCTTGAATCCATTTTTGCTATAGATCAAATCGGTGTAAGAAATGATGAAGCTATAAAATGTTGTTTCGGGAGAGTTGAATATCCGGAAAAGTTGAGTTATTGAATGTTATATTGCACCCAACAACGCCCTAATTACGCTCTCCTTTACGCGTTAACATTTTTTTGGGCAATTTTATTAACATTTGAAATTGTCACAACACAACAAGACGCCTAGTTCGAATTCTTTTTCGCTTATTTTTTACTACCCGAAACAGAGTTACATCACACAAACCTCGTACCTCGTGTTTTATAGTCTCAATAACTGCACTAGCAACAAACTAAAATACTTTAATATTATGACAAAACCCCGATTTCAATATTATTTTAATGCGATTGACATGACGGCTGGCGGCGTGAACTATATATTGATAATTTCTGATTTCTGCGGTAGAGTGCGCTGCGGTCGGAATTTGATGAAATCAACTGAAATGCACCAAGTCTATAGGCATCTAAGATTTTTAATGACGCGTCAAAAATACGAAGTAGTTCAAATGTACTTTCCTGTTATTTCAGACACGATCGAAGAAAAACTCTACACTCTCGTACAGTTTAATCTGCAAAATGGAACGTTAAGCAGCGAGACCGTTCAATGGACTGGCGAAGAACCTCCTCACTTGGGAGCAATTACTGTACTGGGTGTTCAGAAGCCAGTATCGTTAGTAAAAATAAACAACTTATCGGTGAATTTTAAATTTGACACAATTAATAAGGTAAGTGGTATGGAAAGACAAAAATGCTTTTATACACATTTTAAGGATTGTCATTTCGAGTGACAACTTTACAATTATTTTTGTCAATCATATGTTTTATTAAAAAAAAACGCAAATTACATACAGGAATGTTTTGTTAAGTTTTTTTTACACATCCTGTATATATCAACTATCAATTGAAAATGTTATAATGGCATTCATGGTTTCCTGACTAATATACATTTCTTTTTCTAGTATTTGCTCATTGACGAGCTTGATATATCCTTGGAGCAATCTTTGGTGGTAACATGGAATTAAGACAAGACAACCAAACTTATACGTCCGTTACAATTTACCTATTAAGTTTAAAATCGTTACCTTCATATGTATATTTAGGGAGTTAAGATTTTTTGAGACTTTTTTTTTACCAAAGTTGGTGCAAGTTTGTTTTGTTCGGTAAACCAAATATGGATAAAAAAATATTTTTTTGAGGATTACTCTGTGATAATTTTACTCTGAAAAGTTTGTTACTTTTTTACTAAGTAATATTCATTTTAATTGATGTGCCAAAAATAGAAAAGATGCCATATTAGATAAAGTATCTAACTTCCTGTTAGTTGTTTTTAAAATTACTACTTAAATATATACAATAAGTTTTAAAAATGGGCATTACGTTTGAAGTTATCTTCAAAAGCTTTAAAGTGATATGTACTATAGGGTGCACCAAAAGAAATAAATATTTTTTTCTATAAACGTCAAAAAATGACAAGGTTCGCGAATTGATGGCAATGTGCGAAGTGACACTTTTTTTCATTTTCCTACGTTACCATTACACGGTGCGCGAAATAATGCGCGAAATGCCTATTTCGCACACTGCATGTAAATTATATGAATTTTGGAATTTTGAAAATGAATTGATTGATTTCTTCACGAGTTAAAACCTTGGATTTCTTAGGATGACGGTGTCCAACCGACAGTTTTTTCAAAAATGGATCCAACTTTGTAAAGTCCACGTTTTCTCTGACATTAAGTGTCAATTTTAGCATGGAATATACGGCCCACAACGTGGAAGACTTCACCTTTTTGGATTTCTTAGCAAAATATGCCAATAGCACGTTTTCAGATATATTATTAGCCCCATTCGCTGTACACCAGTCTTTGAATTGTTCATACGTCTTCTCATACTGACGTTTGGACTTTTCTGGCAATAAACTCGAAATTGCCGCTTTCGCTGTAGCTATTAAATTAGGCGGGGTATTGCTTAGTTCTTCATCACTTGAAATGTCCATCATCAGAAAATTATTAAAAGCGCGTTAAACGGTAGCCTACTAAAATGCCGTTAATAGATATTGTGACGTCGTTCATGTCGGCGGAAAGTAATACCTGGCTATAAGCATTTTGCAAGAGCACCTGTGGCTCCGTGGCTGAGGCTATCGCTCCGGGAGCGGACGGTCCGTGGTTCAAATCTCACGTGGACCAAGACTTTTTTATATTTTTTTTTTGCTTACAGCGTGATCTTATTGCATTGGTTTCACTCTTTTTGGTTGGATTGGTTTAGTTATTTGGCGGGTTGGTTAGCATGGTTATTTGGAGGGTGTTAATTCATTGGTTAGTTGGTTATTTGGTGGGGTTGGTTGGTTTTTACTAATTTATATTTGTTTTTTATATTTTTTATCAGTGTCGAGGTAAGTTGCGTTGGTTAAGTTGGTTATTTGGTGGGGTGGATAGCGTTGGTTAGTCCTTATAAAATTCCTATATTTCATAAAGCCGTCAAGTGCGTCACATCAACGACGTCATACCTATTAACGGCACTTTAGTAAGCTACCGTTTAACGGCAGTTTAAGTACAGCCTAATTATTATTATTATTTCCAATTTATTTCCATAGTTACAGTGACATGTTAATTCGAAATTAAAGCTTCATTCAGAACCTAGCAATTAATGGAATAAATTAGTGGTTTCAATTAGCGTAGAAGTTTGTTCCTTTAATTTCAATGTAAGCATTCAGAACGTCAATATTAGTGGTAGACATTTTCAATTAGTAGAAAAAGGTATCAAACTTTTGACTTTTCCACTAATTGTACTTCAACATTTGTGAGAAATGTCATTTGGGCCTTTGATTATCTTCCTCCAAGAGAAATTTTGGTTAGAAATCAAAAGTTGATTGTCTTATAAGCTTAATATTAGATTTTCTCTGTGGATACAACTGACAACCGCAAGCTGTTGCTGGGATATTCTATTAATTTTAATTGTGTTTTTTAGACATTGTGAATGATCGTAAACTAAAAAGTATAAAGTGTAATTAAAACCACTAATTGCGAGGTTCTGAATGAAGCTTAAGCCATGCTCACGCTATTTTTTCGAAGCAATAATATAATAATAATAATTTTTAGGGATATCCCGATTTTAACGTTTGTAGAAAAAATGTTGTTTGCAACTCGTGCGCGGACTACTTTGGTGATGTCGACTAATTTTTCAACTCGGCTACGCCTCGTTAAAAAATTCAAGTGTCAATCACCAAAGTAGCACTTTGCGCACTAGATACAAAAATAACTATTTTCTTTTTAGTTACCGCGAAAATATCGTTCAGAATGATGAAAAAAATTCTGGTAAACTTTGAGGTTTTAATATTAATATTAAGGGGTGTCTTATCGTGATTTTCTATTTCTCATTATTTTTTTGGGTGCACCCTAATGTGCTTTTTTTTTAAAAAATAATTATTCTAAAAATGTATTTCTTCTAAAAGTTATAAAAAATAATGTATTTCTTCTGTGTAACGCCTATTTTATTTGAAAAGCAGTGCTATAAAAGAATTAGGCTTGCTCAGGAAACGTGATAAGTGTGAACATGAAGTGATCTAATAAGGAAATAATGTTTATTAGTAATATTAATTAAACAAAAGTCTGGTTAAAATTTCGATCTCTAGTAACATACGATATTAGCAGCACCGGCGGAATTTTTGTGCACCCCATATACGTCCATTTTATAGCTGTTGAAATGTATGATCGATAAACAAAGATGTTAAAAAATTCAAATCATTAAATGTGATAAAGTTTAGATGTAAACTAGTTACCGAACTGTACTTAAGCCAAAACTAATTGTAATGCTTGCTGTGCCACTCGTTTTGAGATAATAATAAAGTATTATCATTTGAAAGGTGTGTTGTATTTTTCCCTACACCCTAGATACCTTTATAAATAGTATATTGTTTTGTTAGTAGTAAAAATTGTACTTTTTGTGGCGAGGCTGTACGTTTGAGTTACAGCCGAGGCAAATAAAATCATTTTTACTCCGAATAAAACATGCTATTTTTTTCAAACGCCTCAAATAAATAATTTTTTAAACAAATTCAAACGTTCCAAATAATATAAAAATATTTCAGAAGTCATATTGTAATTATATATCGAAAAACTATGGTTAAGCTCGTTGAATTTGACACTTTATGTCAGTTTAATAATATATTTCGTACTTTTGTGCTTAGGCGTAAAAGTGTTTTATATTTATGACTAGGCTTTAAAGTGACTTTTATATTGTCAATCACGTCGCAATTAATAATTTTGTGACGTTTGAAAAAAAAACGTGTTTTTTTCAGTCCATATAATACAATATTTTGATGATTTTTCAATTTAACCTAGTTGTGTTATATCGGGCGTTTTTCAAAAGAGACTCACCCCTATAAATTATCTATTTTTTCAGACAAAAAAACGATATTTGGTATGTTAGTACACGAAATAAATCAGGATTCATTGACGTATTCAATTATTTTCGGTCACTTTCTGTTTCACCAGAAATGACTACAATTTTTAAATGGTACTCTCGATATTTTTTACTTTATTTGATAGAAATAGTATGACATATGAATGACATATCATATGTCACCTTTTGACATTTCACAAATTTCAAAATATTTTAAATTTCAATCTAGCGCAATGGCTGTGTTTATAATGAGGCTCTATTACTATACTATTTTTTGGCTCTTAATATCAAGTATGTAGTACCAAATTATTCGTTAAAAATACCTTTTCTAAATACGCTAATGAAACGTCACAAAAAACATTAGATTATCAAATGTATGTTTCCAAGGCTCCTTGATTAAAAATTAGTGGATTTAACACAGCCACGTCACTAGATTGAAATTTAAAAGTTGACATATGATATGTCATTCTATTGAAAATATCATTTTCTATCAAATAAAGTAAAAAATATCGAGGGTACCATTTAAAAATAAAAAGTTGGTCATTTCCTGTGAAACAGGAAGTGACCGAAACTAATTGAATACATCAATTAATCCTGATTTATGTCATATGCTAATTTAACATTAAAAAGTTATAGGGGTGAGCCACTTTTGAACAACACCCGGTTAATCTTTGATTAAAACTAAACTTTATTTGATCTGTCTTCTTATTCAATGGACAATAGCTCCAATATATTCATATTTACATTCTAAATCGTAAAATTCGCCTGGTTTAGTCATATGAATATTCACACTGAAAAAAAATTACAGTGGAGTTTTACATACATATTTATACAGGGTGTTTCAAAACAAATGCGAAAAACTTCAGGGGGTGATTCCTTGTTCAAAATAAAGGGTAGTTTGCTTTATAAACGTTGGGTCAAAAGTCAACCATTAGGGAGATATTGCGGTACAAAGATGGCGGAAAAATAATGTTTTTATTTTTTATCTTGAAAACGAAAAGAGATAGACTAATGAAATTTTACGGAAGCATTACTGTTATGAAAACACACTTTCTGGTAATTTTTTCACTTTTTTAAAATGAGTGGAAGGGGTTGAAATAAACTACCCCTATCATTCTTGTTAACGAAATTTAAAGAAAAATCTTATCAAACACATGCAAAAAAATTAATTTGGATAGTTTAGTTTATTTAGAAACTTTTTTATCTCTTGTGTTTTTTTGATAAAACTCACTGATTTGAAATTAAAAAATAAAATGTAAAGCATTACATGTCAGGACAAAAAACATTTTTAGATAAAGAATCTAGTGGGCAGCTGTAATTTCTTTAGGAAAAAATCTAGTCGGCCGCTGTCACTTTTTAGGATGTTTCTAATATTGTTTTATTTGACATTACCCTACTGCAATACGTTATATCTAGATTATTATTGTCATTATTATACTTCAGTTAATCTAAAAATATTTTAGGCTGACGTATGTGCCCATTTTATTTTTTAATTTCAAATCGGTGAGTTTATAAAAAATACAAAAGAGAGATAAAAAGTTTCTAAACAAACTAAACTATCCAAATTATTTTTTTTTCATGTGTTTGATAAAATTTTCTTTAAATTTCGTTAACGATAGGGAGTGGTTATTTCAGTCTATCTCTTTTCGTTTTCAAGATAAAAAATAAGAACATTATTTTTCCGCCATCTTTGTACCGCGATATCTCCCTAATGGTTGACTTTTGACCCAACGTTTATGAAGCAAATTACCCTTTATTTTGAACAAGGAATCACCCCCTGAAGTTTTTCGCATTTGTTTTGAAACACCCTGTATACAGGGTCGCTTTTATGTATGGAAACGGTCGATTATTAGGTAAAATATAGGAGGTACCGCAAAAAGTTAAATATAAAAGTTATAGGGTTTATAAATATCTATTACCGGGTAATAAATTTAAGTATACAGGGTCGCTTATGAAGTCGTGGCACATCAAAGTTTCATTTTTTTTAAATGAAACCCCCTGTATATTATTGAATATATCGGTTCTTCCTTCAATTCTAAGCAAAAGTCGAAATACACACAATGTACCTCATCTCATACCAACCGTTTCCGAGTTATTGACTTTTGAAAATATCACTTAAACAATTTCATTTAATTAATTTCGATATTTTCAGTTTCATTTAACGATGCCATTTTGCCGAAACTGTAATACTTAATAATATTTGACATTAGTTCTCAAGTTAGCATTTATAGATGTATAAAATGAGAGTATAGCAAGCCTGGAACTTACAAAATGTTCGTTTAACATTTCAATTCTTCAATTTATGTACATTGTGTATTACGATTATTGATTAAAATTGAAGGAAGACTTGAAATATGCAATAATATACAGGGGGTTTCATTTAAAAAAAATAATGTTTGATATGACACAACTTTATGACCGACCCTGTATACTTAAATTTAATAGTATTAGCCTTCTAATAGGAATTTAAAAACCCATTACAACAGTATCACAGTTTTGGCAGAATGGCATCATTAAATCAAACCAAACACATCGAAATTAATTAAATCGAATTGTTTAAGTGATATTTTCAAAAGTCAATAACTCGGAAACAGTTGCTTTGAGGTAAATTGTGTGTATTTCGATTTTCTTTAATTCAGTTTTGTGTGTTTTGCAAAACTCTTCCCTATATTATGGGAAATATTTCGAAAAATAATGTAATGTAAAATATGCGAGATTTTTTAAGAGTCTAGTTTTTTTAGTTCCATGTATTCTGTAATATTATTTCAATAAATTTAAAAATGTAATGTTTACTGTATGCACAAAAAAATTATAAAGTAATTGGCATGATTTAAGACATCAATACATACTAATTTTGAAAAAAAATGTTTACCCAACAGCACACCCAAAAAACATACCTCGTCCGCGAATGTTTTAACAGACTGAAAAACAATAATCATATGACCAAACAAAAGTATGTCCTAATGTGGTAAATAATTTTTAAAGTACTTATAAAAATAACAAGCACGAAATTAGGCTTAAGTGTGCTGTTGAACTTCAGTTTTAGAATGAGTGTTATTATCTTTTAATATTTACTTTATCTGACCGTTTTGAATTGCTGTTGTTGTACTTAAAAAACCGAGTATATATAATCGTCTCATTAGCCTTTCAGAGCTACGAAGTTACGGTAGTGCCCCCAAAGCGCTACCCGAGGTTTTTTATATTTCTCCAGTAAAGAAAGGGTAAGTTATACTTAAATGTATTTAATTATTTAGCAATAAAATTTAAAATTGTAGCTCACTAATTAAGAAAAATTTGCTCGCGACGAAGATATGGCGATTACATCCTCCCGTCCCAGTTTAGCAACCGTGTTGCTTTTTATAATTCTTTCGGCTGTATTCAAAGATTCTTCTGAATTGAAACTGAGTAATCAGGATGCTCTTCAACTGAGAAAACCCGTATCTTTGCCATCACCACCGGCTCCAGATTATGATCAGTGTGGTTTGACGGCACATGAATACAGATTTGATTGCTATCCAGAAACAGCTTCTACTCAAGAGAGCTGTGAGGCAAGAGGCTGTTGCTGGCTATCGACTGAAACCCAAGCAAACGCCAAAAACACATCAGGAAGCTTGCAAAATATCGGAATGCCGTACTGTTTCTATCCACCAAACTATAATACTTATAAGTTTGTAAATGCCAGCGAAACAGCCTCTGGTTTGGTCGCTTACCTGCAAAGGTCTTACGATAGCGGATATCCAAACGATGTAGAAGTTATTCAGCTGATAGTTACATACGAAACTGAAAATAGGCTACGTGTAAAGGTAATCTTTCTTTTTTTTTACAATTTCTAATAATATTTTTAGCACTTTTTTGAATTTGAAAATAATTTTTTTATATGCAGGCTTATTCTCTCTCTCTAGGCGGGTTTTTCGATTTACTAAATTTTTGTTGCAATAATAAAAATAATACTACTTTATACAGAGTGACTAAAATATTATTTTAAATAATTACCAGCTTTAAACGGCAATAACTTTTTTAATTTAAATAGAACACCCTGTATATTTTACGAGCACCAGATGCACAATTTAATTGTCTATCAAATTGTATTATACCATTTTTTACCTATCTCTTCAAGTTTTCTTTGACAAATGCATATTCTTGTAATTTAGGTCATATTTATTAATATACCTATGGAATATTGACATTTTAGATTATTTTTAAAGATGCAACAAATTTTCAAAGACTACAGATACTAATATTGTTTTTGTTTGCTTATTTCATTAAAAAATATAAAAAAAACGGTTTAAATATTTGTAAAAGAGGACCAATTAATAGGCTCCCAGTATTTGAACTACATAAATTGACTGTTTGAGCGGATTAATTTGCTCCAAATACTAAAAAAACTGAATTTGCGGTAAAAGGTAACACTATAAATTTTATTTCATTTTTTGACGAATGCTTTTTTATAAAAACAGAGACGTCCACATTCATACCTTATTATTATATCGATTTCTGATTCAAATCCACATTTACTTAAAATAATTTATTAACTAAGACAATTAAGTATGTAATTAATTAATGTTTGGGCGGAAATAATGGTGGTATATTTAATTAGTATACTCTTTTGCAAGGATTTACATAGTTTTCTTTTTTAAAGAAATAGGCTAGCCATATTATCGCTTTTAGCACCTGTACATTTTGTACATATTTTGTTTTAAAAAAAGCTAAAATAAGCATAGGTAAACTAGGTAAAAAATGGTAAAATACAATTTGATAGACAACTAAATTATGCATCTAATTCACATAAAATATACAGAGTGTTCCATGTAAATTAAACAAGTATTTGCCGTTTAAAGCTAGTCATTAATTAATATAAATTTTTAGACGCTCTGTATAAGGTGTATAATTTTTATTATTGCACCACAAAATTTAGTAAAAAGAAAAACTTCATTACAATATTTGGTTTTAAAAATTAAATACGCCTTGAGAAATAAAGCATTAAAACTGTTACTGCATTTTCACAAAATCGTAAATATTTCAAAAACGGTAAGATTATAGTGCGCTAAACCTTAATCAAATTTACCTTTATTTTAATTGTAGAAACTAAAAATGTAATAATATACAGGGTGTTACATTTAAAAGAATACAACTTTGATAATTTTTATTTATTTGGGACACTGCACCTTTTGAAAATTGTAGTCCTCCAATTTCACAATTTCTAAAATCATTTGGCTATAGTACTCCGTGTTGAATGAGGTGAATAACCCTGTATATTTTTTAGATTGTTGATCCACAAAATAGCAGATATGAACCAGCATATCCTGAACTACCCACAGTAGACACTGCTCCTGAAAACGTGAACTATATCTTTGACTACGACACATCTGCTGCTGGATTTAAAATTTTGCGAAAATCAGACAACACTGTACTGTATGTAAATTAAAGTTATACCAAAATTGCCTACTAATATTTTTATCTGGACGTTTTTAGATTTGATGCCAACAATTTCGTAAACTTTATTTATGCCGATCAGTTCTTGCAAATTAGTAGTAATCTTCCTTCGAAGTATATCTATGGCATAGGAGAGCACACTTCAACTTTGCTCTTGGATGTTGAATGGAACAGATTTACACAGTGGAATCACGATATATCACCAGGTGAAGGTGTAAGTAGAATTTCAAAATAATTTAATTTGTGTTTATGTAATTTTGGTCAGTCTTTAGTGAGGATTTAAGCAATAAAAAAAGTAGGATGTCATTATAATTTAATAGCAAAAATTACACAATTCTAGATTGAAGCACATATACAGGGCACTTATTAAGATAGATACAAGCCAATATCTTGGTTGTTTGTTGAGCGATATTTTTCATTTTTGGCAGGAGGCTGTATGGCTATAAGACGTACATTTTGCCCAGGGTAAGAAATGCGATACCTCATAGACGTACGTTTTAATGGGGTTTGATATTTTTCGAGTCAAGAGTGAACTACCCTTAGGACAGTATTTATTTCAAATCTGATAAATTATATTGAACCCTCCTTACCGAAGATACTTAAGTTCTAATTTTGATAAATATTGATACAGGGTGTGTTATTAAAATAAGACATTTTTATTTTTATTATTATTTTTTTAAGAACTTATGACGCCGCTGGACAAACAACTGGTTTATTGTCAATACCAATTATAACCAATTATCAATTAATAATCGATTTAAGTTTTCAGATAGCTTCCATAATAATTAAGATACGATACAAAAAACCTTGTTTAGAGCATATTTTTCAAAGTTAATAGTGATTGTTTTAAATATCTAACTATTTGGATTTTTTTAAATATTCCTCAATAAAACGAACAAAAATCATATTTCAGATTCCATTGAAAACTGGGTTTTTAAATTATTTTGTAACTTATTTTATTCATTTGTATTAGGAAACTTAAAAAACAATTTTTAAAGTAAACAAAATAAATTGAAAATATTTAGCTTTTTTGTATCGTATCTTAATTATTATGGAAGCTATCTGAAAACCTAAATCGATTATTAATTGATAATTGGTTATTGATAATAAACCAGTTGTTTATTCAGTGGCGTCGTAAGTACTTAAAAAAATAATAATAAAAGTAAAAATGTCTGATTTTAATAACACACCCTGTATCAATATTTATCAAAATTAGAACTTAAGTATCTTAGGTAAGGAGGATTCAATATAATTTATCAGATTTGAAATAAATACTGTCCTAAGGGTAGTTTACTCTTGGCTCGAAAAGTATCAAACCCCATTAAAACGTACGTCTATGAGGTATCGTATTTCTTACCATAGGCAAAATGTACGTCTTATAGCCGTACAGCCTCCTGCCAAAAATGAAAAAGATCGCTCAACAAACAACCAAGATATTGGCTTGTATCCATCTTAAGTGGGACACCCTGTATATAAACTGTAAAAATATGTTTTTATATAATAATATTCTTTGTTTTATTTAATTTTCAATTCTGATTTTTGCATTTTTCAGAGAAATCTGTATGGAACCCACTCATTCTACCTTGGAATGGAGAATTCAGGCAACAGTCATGGAGTATTTTTATTTAACAGCAATGGACAAGGTAAGTGTTAACAATATGTAAACATATACAGGGTGTCCCAATATTCCGTGGACATAGAACTACTACGCATTTTTTGGAATCAAAATAAGTCTATTGGACACAATTTACGTCTATACAAAAGTGCTTCGTTTGTCCGCTAGAGGGCATCAAACTTTAAAAAAATAAACACATTTTTTCAGATATTTTAAGAACCGTTATTCCGATTTGAATGAGATTTTGGGTGTCTATGTTTAGCTAAGAGCTTTAACATTTGACTTTACTATAAATATTTTCCAACTCTATCGACAACAGATTTTCTTTTCGTAAAATGGCGCCTCTAGTATTTACTACATTTTTTGTCTCTTGTAAAAAACGCCACATCGCATAGCTTCTGAGAAAATTTTTTTGAAGAATTTATTTTTCCACAGCAGACCTATAGTAAACGCCACGAATCTTTGGGAGTGATTCATCGGTCGCTACCATGTGAACTAATCTGTTCAAGGTCACATAAAACTTAGTTCCAGTGCCGTGGTCTTTCAAGTCATATAATAATCAATATATAATCTGTTGTAATTTGTTGTTTTAACTGTCAAAGTCTTTTTAAAACATATATTTGGTTATAAATATAAAATGGAATGCCCCATTGGTCGCACTGCGAGCACACCAATGGACTGACGCACAAAAACGAATCAATCAAAGAAACGCGATATAGTATCGTCTTTGTCAATCACGCTAACATTTTAGAATAAGTAGGAGGAGCACAGGCAGATGATTAGACCGGGCCTTTAAAAACCTACGTCTGCGGTAAAAATTTACGTTTTAAATGTAAAAATGATAGCGCGCGTGTCGATTCTAACTTCATCAAGCGATGAATCCACTCCCAAACATTCGTGGCGTTTACTATACTACGTATTCTTTGGAAAATATACAGGTTGTTTCAAAAAACATGTGCCATCTCTCGTGGGGATATTCCTCACGAAAAATAAGATTTATTTTTCATATCAATATAGGTCCGATTCTGCTTTGTTTCGTAGCTACAGGGTGTTAAAGACTTGATAATTTTTCGATTTATTATAATTTTCTTCCACGTACTTTTAGTGATTAAATTAAATTTTGAGGGTAAAAATTACTATAAGTGTTAAATATTTTTATGCTAAAAAAGTGTCGATATATTCATCAGGGACGTGCATATGGGTTAGCACTGGAATATTTTTCAAAAAAAAAAGTATGTGCGCTACTGACTTTTTTGTTTTGATATCAAAATTGTGTATGAAGTTTAATTCCAATTAAAAGTTATATCTTGATATTTTGTCGATTTCGGCCTCCTTGATGAGATAAACGCAATTTTATTAATCACAATTAATAAACTTAAAATAAAAATTAACTTAATAAATTAATTATTTTACTTAATTTATTATTAAATATTATTACTATTAGTTATTATCACTATTAGTCCAACATACAGCAATTTTAAATAATAAAATTATGGTATTTAAGATAATTACATAAAAAACTACTTTTAAAAAGTTTTAACATCCTGTAACTAAATAACTAAAACTATGCATTTCCATACCCATGTTTATAGGAACTTTTTTTCATATTTTTTTGATGAGGAATCAATGAGTACTTATTTAAAACTTTCTCAAGTTAATGATAATAAATTTTTAAATTTTTTTTAAAGATTGCTATTAGACTTGGATCAAGGCAAATTAATAAAATTGCGTTTATCTCATCAAGGAGGCCGAAATCGACAAAATATCAAGAGATCTCTTAATCACAACTCTTAATCCGCATTAAACAGCTTACACTATTTCGCTAACAAAAGAAAAAAGTCAGTGGCGTACATGCTTTTTTAGAAATATATTCCGGTGATAACCCATATGCACGTCCCTATGGCGGCACTTTTTTAGCCTTAAAATATGTCGCATTTATAATAACTTTTACCCTCAAAATTTCATTCGAAACGCTCAAAGTACTTGGAAGAAAATTATAATAAATCGAAAAAATATTAAAACTTAACACCCTGTAGCTACGAAACAAAGCAGAATCGAGCCTATGTTGATATAAAAAATAAATCTTATTTTTACGTGAGGAATCTCCCCACGAGAGATGGCACATGTTTTTTGAAACACCCTGTAAAAATAAAGGTGGGATTAATGAATATTTTTATACCTATATTATGAACCAAAGTCGTAATATTCATTTTTTTTTTTGAGAAACGGTTAGGTTAGGTTAGTACGTGTAAATGATTACCAATATTTTACTATTTTTTATTATATTACTTGCAGTATTTAACCATAATATTCATAACATTAACAAAAAGTACATTTAATTTTTACCTACGTGCTTCGATTGTTCTTTTTAAGACTAATTTTCGTTATACGACATATTTGATATCAAATTTATTGTTCTAAATATTTTTTCTAAATTATTTGTCATTAAAGAAACAATAACACCGAGGTCATTTTTTGAAAAATAACTGCTATTAATGAAACTTAAATCCATGCTGTACCTATATTTCATTTACTTGTGTATTCTGTTTTACCTTGAAAATATTGTCAATATTATGGAAAACATTTAATAAAAACAACTTAACTTACTAAATTTATTTATTTTTAAATTTTAATAAATTATTTTTTGTTGGTTATGCAAATTTTTGTACGCGCGAGTAAAGATTGATTTCATGCGTCCGTTAAGCTTGATTTTCGTGCATCCGTTATCCGTTGATACGATGGTTCGACGGCGCTCTGATTGGTCATTTTTCATCCGTAATTTTTTTACTTCAACCCGTCAACGGAGAAAGATCGTACGATAATGGATGTTTTGATACTTTTTTGACAAATTTAATCTAACTGTAATAAAAATATATTAGTACAAGAGCTGTCAACGTCGGGAAAACGAGAATTTTAAGAAAGCTGGTTCTCTAATATATCTTTTGCTATACTCTCCTGTGCCTTCTTGATCAAAGTGCGGGCCGTCTGCCTGCCGGTAGACTACTGCGCATCACATCTGTACAGGGTATCCCATTTTCGTGTGTTTTATAGGATTTCTTGTTTATGAGTAGAGATACAATGATGCGATTTTCACATTACTTTGCTACTTTTTTATGAAACTAAATATGCTACACATATGTTTATCCTAGCCTCCTTAGTTCCTGAAATAGAGAGCGAATTTGTGACGCGCAGTAGTGAACAGATGTTGAATACAGATATGGGGGATGCGCAGTAGTGAACGCAACGTCTACCGGCAGCCAGATGGTCCGCCCTCTGTTTAGGAGAGCATAGCAAAAGATATATTATAATTATTTAAGAACCAGCTTTCTTAAAATTCTCTCTCGAAAACATTGCTAGCTCTTAGACTATAAGTAAAACAGCGAAATCTTTATGGGAATGAAAATATAAAATTAAACCAGTCACAAGCAAATCGTATATCCGATGAACGGAGAAAAAAATGGCTACTGGTAAATTAAATATTTAACACCGGGCTCCGTGGTTTTCGAACTCTATGCGTTTTCATATCGTCACCTGAAAGAATACAAGGACAAATAGCACCCGAGACCAAACTGTGACCATTCTTCCAAACAGTGCCGTGGCACATATTTTTCTTAACATAGCCACTTGAAGCGATATTTATATTTTTGATAAATGTTTTGACTACGCCTATGGTGTATCCAGTGGTATCATACTAACTAATTACGAAAAAAACGTATTAAAATTTTAACAAAAGGTACAAAACTAGTATCGACGTATAGCACATATCAAATACATATAATATCAGAAAAATAATTATCGAATTCAATAAAAAAAAACGCTAAAAAGGTGTAGTGGACTGTTTATTTCACTATAAAACGTAACTCCTGGCTCTTTCTTATCGTTGCGTCTTTTACACTTGAAAGCTGAACAAATTACCATTTTAATAAAGTTTATACAAAGTTCACCACACACAACCAACTATTAAAAATCGCTAAAATTGTCGGTGATGACCAGCTGATGATTCATTCGTTATGTCCAAAAAAATGGCGTCTAAGGTCACAAATTCTGCTGCAGCCCGTATATGGGCGTTACATGTCCTTGTATTCTTTAGTCATTGGTCACCTGAATGCAATAAATGGGTAATTCGAAATTGTCATGGGTTTTAAGTTACCTACTCGAAATTATGTAAAAGACCGCCTATAGAATTTATTGCATAAAATAGTTTTAATCTATAGACGTCTTTTACATAATTTCGAATAGGTAACTTAAAACATGAAAATTTCGAGTTACTCATTTCTTGCATTCAGGTGACGATATAATATAGATATATGTTGGTTTTTAAACCTTTTGTTGCAGTGACGAATTTACAAAAAATTATAGATAATCAAGATTTCAAAATACTCTATACTGTATAAAAATAATTTCTTAACTTAAAAAGACTAGAAAACGTATAACAACTGTGTCCTGTATTTCAGATATCCTTCTTCAACCTGCACCCGCCATCACTTTCCGCGCTATCGGTGGTGTGCTAGATTTCTACTTCTTGTTGGGTCCTACCCCCTCTGACGTCATTGAGCAATACATCGATCTGATTGGCAAACCTTACATGCCGCCATACTGGGGTTTGGGTTTCCACTTGTGCAAGTACGGAATCAAGACACTGAACGCAACTAGTGTAATTATGGAACAGAATATCGCCGCTGGTGTACCTTTGGTAAGAGATATTTAGTTATTTTGTTTTAATTATTAGTTCCATGGAATATAGAAAACTTTGAATCTGTGGTCTGTTTTTTTTAATGCGTAAGACAAAGATAAAGTCAATTTCGAGCGAACAACCGTTGGTTATGGTTGACAGATAAACAATACTTTTAACGTCAGTTGTCAACCAATTGGTAGACAACTGACGTTTAAAGCATTGTATATCTGTCAACCATCAACAGCAGTTGTTCACTCGAAATTGGCTTAAATTGACTTAATTTATAATTATTAGTTGAGAGACAAAAACACAAAGACATAAAATGCGGGGTTCAAAATAGTTTCTTATTGATTTCTTTAATTTAATACTAATAACTGTCTAGAATCTTTATTTGGAATATTGTGTTTTATCAACTGCACCAGACGATATCAAAATTATTCATTATGTTTGAGTGTAATAGATCATTTTGCTTAAAAGACTACTTTACTACTTACTCTATAAGTATGGCTATTAAAAATATTTTTGAGTAAGTAGGACTTTTAATTCTTGAGTATACTTTAAATTCTTAATAGTATTTTAAGTGTCCTCTAAATAATTAACTTATATAGATTGACTTTCAACATCGGGAAGAGATCCCCCTTGAAACTAAGTTCCCTACTTATAACTTATAACTTTCGTTATTTAGTCATTTAATATTCTAGTAAAGAACCATTGAAAAATTCATCTCCATTGATTTTTAATCCAGTGGATTTTTTTTATAAAAACATGTTTTTTAGTGATTATCTTTTGTCCAACTTTTTTCTTCTTATTTTGTTTTAATGTTAGATACTGATATAATCTGAAATGTTAATATTACATGATGATATACCTTTTTCAAGTGTTTATTTATTTGGCTATTTAAAGATGTTACTACCCATTACTGATATTTTTTTGATCTCAATTTTGTTTGTTTTATAATTATAAATATGTGAATGTCCTTAGTAAACCCTGTTTTTCCTTTATTAAAAATTTTACCGGTAGATAAAAATTGTTATGTGTGTGTCTTGATAAAGGACAATAATTGATCAAAATAATTTGATAAAATTGATTTAAAAACATGCTATTTTTGCTCGAGAGGTGCTTGAATGAATTAAAATAATAAATACCTACCCAAGTAGGAAAATTTCTAATATATTTTTTTTGATTATAAGTACTCAAAGTTCCTTATTTTTCAATAAACAATATGTATGTTGTGTAAATTTCTACTTTTTTATACGAATTTAACAATTTTTAAAATGATTTTTTTGCTATCAGTTATAAGATCCAATAAGCCATAATAATCCAAACAAGACAATTTTTATGAAAATTACATCTAAACTAAAAAATAAAGGCATTCACATAAATTAACAAGTTGCTATCTAGATATTGTAGATGTATATAATCTACATTTTTTTAATGAAAACTTACCAACAATATACAGATTTGTTCACCGTAGAAGAGTGGTCTGGATTTTAACGTGTAAGAGAGTGACAGGTTAATGAAAAATCAAATGCATTAAAAAGAGAAAGCAGTTTCTTCTATGCAGTATTGCCAGATTTTCATCAAAATTTCGAGCCTTCCAAGTAGGCGTTTGCAAAAAATGTTTTACATTTTACAACAACTGTAATAGATTCTTATGAAGCCTCAGTCTCAGACCTACGCTGTGTCGCTAGCAGTGGCGTAGCGACAAATTATGGGCCCCCCGCGAAACTTGGAGTTAGGCCCCCCCGGCCTCCTCTCCTATTCCTTATTTTGGGAATAATTCTATATTTATATTATTTTATTCCCGGACCTCAGAGGTTCCGGGCCCCCCCGCAGCTGCGGGGGTTTACGGTAGTAGCGCTACGCCACTGGTCGCTAGTGAAACTACCAAAAAACAATCATAGTTGTTAGTTTAATAACTAAAGTAAAAATTGACAGCTGTTTGAATTTAATACAAATTTAATAAAAAATTAGCTCTATGGCGTGTAGCCTGTGACACTTTGTAGTTTTAGAATGAAGCTTTACACCTTAAAATACTATTAGTAGCCCTAATTCTGATCTATTTGAAAGCAATGCATCTTTATTTCTATGGTATCTGTAAAGGGTGACTGGAGATATTTTTTTCCCATTTTTCAAGCAACAGAACTTAGCATTATTAAATAGCTTAGATATATTATATCTTTATTTATTATGTTATTTACGAACGAATCGACAACACTGTATACCACTTTTTAGGGTTCCGTACCCAAAGGGTAAAAACGGGAACCCTATTACTAAGACTTCGCTGTCCGTCCGTCCGTCTGAACGGTCTATCTTATGAACCGTTATAGCTAGACAGTTGAAATTTTTACAGATAATGTGTCGATGTTGCCGCTATAAGAATAAATACTAAAAACAGAATTAAATAAATGTTACTTTAATAAAAAAGTACTTTCACTAAACATTATCTTTTAAGTAAGAATTTTACATAGAATCTTTCAAGTCCTCGGTGACCGCGTGGTTAAAGCGTTAGGACTTTACGCTGCTATGACGTTGGAGTCGTAGTAAGGCAGGTTCGAATCCTAGTCAAGGCGACTTTTTTTAAATCGTTTTTTTTTAATTTTTGCATATTTTTACATATGTATTTTTACTTTTTACATATTTATTATTGTTTAATACAATTTTTAGTAATGTGTTTCTTCATTTTTTTTTAGCTTACTTATACGCGCATTCAAAATTTCAGCTAAATCGGAAAAAAGTTTATAATAATATAGTGTCTAATGTTGTATAGATAATGAATAGTACGGAAACCATCGTGCGCGAGTCCGACTCGCACTTGACCAATTTTTATTTTGTCTCTGTCAACTGGTCGTATATATTTATTTCTGTCTATGCATTAAAATACAAACCACAGAAATATAGCGTCCAATATTGTATACTACAATATTGTAGAAAATATGTATATGAAATAGGCACTTGTTAAAATTTATAGGACACACAATGGAACGACTTGGACTACATGGACACGAACAAAGATTTCACCTACAGCAAGGAAAATTTCAACGGTTTACCCGAGTTCGTGGAGGACCTTCATAGCAGAGGCATGCATTACATCCCACTGATAGACCCCGGTGTGAGTGGTAGTGAAGAGTCTGGCACCTACCCTCCCTACGATGAAGGAATTAAATCGGACATTTTCGTAAAGAACATTTCAGGAGATCCATTTTTCGGAAAGGTAAATTTATTCTATTTTTCTATTAGAATTTCGTCTAGAATCTCCTCGAATGTAGAATGTTTAGGAGGGGGTTAACCATCGCGATCTTACAGATCTATTGTGTATTCCCCTTTCTTGAGTTATAACTCATCATAGAGTCTTTTGTCAGGCCTTTGACAAAAGCCAGTATGATACAGCCAGGGCCCAGTCACTCTTATGGAGCATTAAATTACAAATTGACGATTCGGCCCACTATAGATGGTGCTAATTTACGTCGTGTATATATGGTTGCGGAACAGTTCTTCGTGTATGTATGGTTGCTTCAAACGTTACGATTGGCTCGGTCTTTAAATTCATATTATAAATTTTGCGATTGATTTCCCTCTTCCGTCCACACTGTACTTCAAATACTCCTTTATTTATGGTTCAAACTATATTTAAGCTGCCTATATTTTGTTTTTAATACAAAATGTATTTCTCGTGCTTTTTATTGTATTCCGACTCCAACTTTTTCATATTTTCACAGATAACACATTATGTGTTATCTGTGATATTATATTATTCAAAGATAGCCATATTTCTTAGTGCTTCTTGAATTATACAACTGTGATGAACTGCAACGAGATGAATTTTCAAAGTATAAGCAGCCTGTAGGATAAATTTTACATATACATTGTAGCAGGCTGAATTCATAATTTATTACCACAAAGATATAATTCTCGTAAAGGTATCTGGTGGTGTAGGGGATATGGCTCTCGTCTAGCAACACGAAGGTAGCCGGTTCGAGTCGTACCGCAGACACAACTTTTTTATTCAATAAATAAATTATTTTGACCTTGAAGCCCTGAGCCGCACTCGGCCCGCTATAGATGGCAGCAAAAATTTTGTTCGCTTTTTTATTACATTGACTGATCGTTCTGTAGTTATTCTGTGGATACAGCGACAAGATGTTCTGATGTTTTTCCATTTTTTTTTTCTGTCCCTAACATTTCTCTTCCAAACCTTTATATTGTTCAATACTATAGTCTGTCCAACGAGAAGATCCTTGACAGTGATAGATGTGTCTGTCATTTTAATTTCAAAGTAGTTTATTTTATTTTACAAAGGTAAAATATTTTAAGATGGTACAACTGGAACGCATAGCAGGAAATTAATATATGTATTTAAAATTTGACTGACAAGTAACTTCAAAATATTGTGAAAAAATCTGTATAAAACTGAAAAATGTAATCGAGTTATTTTATTTACTAAAAACCGGTATGTGTTAATACAAAACAAACAAAAACAAGACACCACATACCAAAAAATATAAAAAAGAACTATTTCTTACTTTCAAGCTTTATGAAACTTCCCACATTTATGATTATATTTATCAATATAGCTTATGTACAAATACAAATTTGTAATATTCCGCAGGAATAAGTAAAACAACATAAATTAAACAAACTATTTTATTAATAATAACACTAACCAAACTTTATACCTCACAGGTTGATTAATTAACTTTAATCTGAATTTTTTTAAACCAGTACTTTTTGACATTATTTTTCTGCAGTACTAAAATCCATTATTTATCTATCGTGTGATGTCGATATTTTATAGCTACTTCAGTTTTTAGTATGTGTTTAGTATGGTCCATCTACCATATTCGAGATGCACTTATCTACGATGAGATGGTATACGAACTTTATTGATAGTAACTTTATTGGTGTATCTGTATAAGACTTTCTGCCTGGGCAGCGAGTATTAACCATAAACTGTGCTCTGGGTTCTACAGTTAATTTTCACTCGATTTTTCCTCCACATGACTTCAAAAGACACAAAACACACGTAATAACACGAATTAAAATGCATCATCTTTCAAAACGCAGGGTATTTGACAAAAGTTGTGACAACATTATAACCTATGATTTGGCAAGACTTTGACAAACGTCAAAAATCTAAAGGCGAGTTCATACGCATCGGCGTCCGCTTGTCGTTCATCGTTTCGTCAAACCAATAAAACTGAAATACGATCTGTCATTTTTGAAATAAACCAATAAAACTGGTTAAAAACAACAAGTGACGACGCATGACGAATTTATATTTAAACCCATCCATCGTTAACTTAAAAATTCTTAGAAACTTTTTTTAGTAAAATAAATAGATTGGTATAGGACGTCATCTGCTTTTATTCTGTCATCGTCTGTCGAAATCTTACCTGAGAAAAAAGGTAGTATATAGGCGATTTTCAAAGTCCTTTTGATCTGCATACCCTATGCACTGTATTCCCGCTAGAGTTAATTTGTCTAATAGTTTGAGTTTATCCACTACCAAGATCCACAGTAAGGAGGATGGTACTCCACCTCGTGGAGTTCCTTGTGTTATTTTAACAACTACAGTTTTGGTGCCCATCTGAGCCCCTACTGTCCGTGTTCTTGACTACCTTGTGATGTATGTTGTCAAACCGCAATGTTCAAGAAAGCACAAATTGCTGTTTCTTTGCTATCCAGGCTTGCTCTATATCCATGCTGACTATCGTGCAGTGGTTTAACTTTTAGATTATTTTCTTCAATATGCTTGTTTACTACTTTCTCCATCGTTTTTAGTATGAACGATGTGAGACTAATAATCTTAAATGATTTAGAGTTGGCCCAGTCACTTTTACCTATTTTGAGTGTGAATATTACTTTCGCTCTTCTCCAGATGGTTGGTATATATTCTATCGCTAAACTGCTTCTTGTAATGTTTAATGTCAGGAAGACTCTTCTTTAGAAGGGTTGGAAAAATTCCATCTACTGTTGCTGCTTTATAAAGCTGGAGGGTGTCAATTAAATAAGCCCATTTCAGTTTTTTTGTTCTGCAGCTTGGCTTGGATTGTGGGGTTCGGTCGGAGCTATTTGCGTATCAATAGATATGCTATCTGGAAAGTGTGTATGAAGTTGGAGGTTAGCTCTCTCTTCATCTCCTTCCCTGTAGCTTCCGTCAGGTTTCTTAAGTGCCATGTTGGGGAGCGGCCCATTCATTCTCTCATATATAAGAATAATAAAACTTGCTATACTTTAAGTTACTAAAATTTTTATATTCTGTTATCTGAAATTTTTATATTATTGAAAATAAAAATTATTTTTATGTACGTTTATTTTCCCCAATTTTCTACAAGGTATGGAACAGCGACTCTACCGTTTGGCCCGATTTCACCGACCCCAACACCTTGGCTTACTGGACCCAGATGTTAAAGGACTTCCACGACGAGGTGGCTTTTGACGGCGCCTGGATCGACATGAACGAGCCCTCCAACTTCCTGTCGGGAACGGCCAATGGCTGCCCATCCGATTCCACGCTGGAGAATCCACCCTATGTGCCCGCAGTAGACGGAGGCGTATTGTACTCCAGAACTTTGTGTATGACTGCCACACAGAAGGCTGGATTGCACTATGACGTGCATAATTTGTACGGGTTCACTGAGGCGATAATGACCAGCGCGTAAGTTTTATTATGGTTATTGTTTGTTCCCAGTATCTAGTATGTAGAAAAAAAATCGTTAGTATTTGGGAAGGCTCAAAAGGCAACAATTATGTTTTTTGCGAATTATATGTTTCGTGACTTTATATGTCGCTGCTCAGTGCCTGCGCTCTAGTGCCCGAAGAACGAGAAAAATCAACAAGTAAGAACAATCTTCGGATTGTCACGGGGTTTCTAACAGGACACTGTCTCCTCCACGCACATCTCAGTAGATTGAAGCTGAGAAACAACGGCGAATGCAGATTCTGTGGAGAAAATGGGGAAACACCAGAATACCTTATTACTGAGTGCTCGGAGACGACAACTATTCGTGCCATAAACTTTGATACAGCTGTTGACAGAGATGAAGAGCTCAGATACTGGCTTTTGGGAAAGCCCTTAGACTGTATGATGAGTTATAACTCGTGATAACTCAAGACAGGGGAACACACGATAGATCTGTAAGGTCGCGGTGATTAACCCCCCTCTTAAAAATTCTACAATGCCTGAAGAAGCGACAATAAAGTGGCGAAAGGTCGCAAAAAACATAATCGTTTCCTTTTGAGCATTCCCAAATACCCACGATTTTTTTTCTACATACGTAAGTTTTATTTGTTGGTTCTTGATTTATTTTTTTCTAAGGGCAATTTTGTTTTTTTTTAACATTTATTACTACTTGTTAATGATTTTATGTCAAAAGTAACTACAATATACATTCACAATCTCATGCTTATACTAGCCCTGGGGCCCGATTCTGCAAACCTATTTCCTCTCTAGTGACTCATCAATCATATACAAATAGCATAGGCTAGACAGGAAATTTCTTGCTACAGAATTCCAGCACTGCTCACTTCATTTGCGTGGTCTGTATTTTAACGCATGCGACAGAGATAAATATAAATGACCGGTTGGCAGACAGAGAGACAAAATATAAAGCGGCATGCAGTGTTGCCGGTTTTTACGTTTGTAGGAAAATGTGTGTAGAAAACTAACCAAACCAACTTTTATCTCTTTTTAATACATTTGATTTTCCATTAAGCTGTCGACATCACTGTCTTACACATTAAAATCCAGACCAGTGTCGATGACCAGATCGGTATATTAAAACTCATTTTTCAATGGCTCTTCAATTTTTAAATGGCTCTTATAATTTCTCAATTAAATGAACTTATAGTGTTTCCTAAGTGAGTTGGAATGGTTTCGGGCTCTTAATTTCGACATTGCCTTTGGTGGCATCGTTTGCACAAATAAATTAAATCCTAAAGGCGGGCGGTCACTGCAAGCGAAACTAAACTAAGCCAAGCGAAGATAAGATTTGTAAAAATCAGCTCCCATACTTTTAAATGCATCAGCGGCCACTTGAGCGAAACTTAACAAACTTAATAAATATACGAACGAAGATTCAAATCGTAGTTTAGTTTCGCTTGTTTTAGTTCGTGACAGGTTCCAGCGAATTTTTCGCAGCGATTAATTCTATGATAGCAGAGACACAATACGAAAGCGCAACTAACTTAGCTGACTACTAAGCAAAAAATCGTTCCCAGTGGCCGATGAAACTTATTTTCGTTTAGTTACCGTTTCTCTTTATATTCTTAGCTTAGTTTAGTTTCGCTCGCAGTGGCCGCCTGGCTTAAGTCAATCCAACTGACTCAGGAATTACTATATACTTTATAAAAGCCTCAGTGAGACAAATTTAATTGTCCTACATCACAGTAACTTTAATCTAAAATCCTTAAAAAAAGAAACGTTTTGATCAAGATTTTATATTTATCATATTTTAGATTAGTATTCTTTGTAACCACCTGAATGGTGATTTTTATTTAATTTAGGTGTGTTTACATTTTTTTTTCCTTATCTGTTTTTTTACTTATTTTTCCTATCAAAAATATTTTAAGTACCACTTGAGCTAAAATTAAAATTACATTATTTGTTAAGAAAAGAATTAGGTAATCACTAATTACTTGCTGGAGATTGCAATAAATTTGTTTTCTAAAAGTAATTAAGTAAACGTTACACGTTAATACATAATACGGTAACACAAAATAAATTGATCATGATTTGTTTTCTGTTCGATAGATAAGTATTATACAGTAATAATAAATACATTTTATCTAAAACAATAGACATTGACGTTTATTTGTGGACAGTTAGATTTCCCTAGTAATTAAAAATTGCCTCAAAGAATTTTGTCAAAGCCTTGAGACTAAACCTAACTTTTACCCACCGCCCATCACTGCTACCAATTTATACTTTCTTCACTCTCCAGTTACCTCAACTTACCCCTCTCTAAGCCATTGGCTGGCGATTCTCTTGCTATCTGGTATATTTTAAACAAGGCAAATTACTACACATTTTCCTTATTGTATTGAAACTATTTTGGATGATCTAAAAATTATTTAGACTTAAAATTTAATAAGTTTTTTTACCAATGATTTAAACATGCATTTACATAATGTATTTTTTTCAGTGCTTTGATTGACATTAGAGGTAAAAGACCTATGGTCATTTCGAGATCCACCTTTGCTGGTCATGGACACTACGCTGGACACTGGAGTGGAGATGTATATTCCAGTTGGGACGCTTTGAAACAGAGTATTCCTCGTGAGTAAATTATCTAATTATTTATATTATTTAATACGGGACTTTAGTCAATAAATTAGAAAGTTAAAAATGTATTATATCGCAATAATCATCTTTTGTGAATCGGAGTATACAGGGTGGTTCGAATTGTAAAAAAGTTCGTATAAATTTATGTCCTAAAATGCTTCGTTTTGGAGATGCAGCGTGTATAGAAGTTTCGTTTTTATTTCGATTTTTTCAAAATAATTTCTGAAATAATGTCGATATTTGGTGGCTGTTTTTGGCATGAGAAATTTGATATCAATGTCAATATGGTTCCAACTTGTAGAGGGCGCTACCTGCATAGTTTTTAACTGGTTTCAAAGATGATCACTTTTCGTCCGTACCTGTATAAAACTACTGACTGAAAAAATATACATTTCCGTCACTTCTTTTCGTAAAAAAGACCTGATAAAAATTGCTACGAGTAACGAGTAACCGTTCTGAAGATATTTGGAACGTAAATTATCAATACATATGTATCATCATTAACAAAAAATAAACATGTTGATTAGATAGATATTTGACAGAAATTATAAATTTGGGAACTTTTTATCTTCTTTTAAAAATTAATAATTTTTTCTAGAAAAAATAACGATAAGACAGTTTCTGTCGAACCTTTGACACAAATACAACAATTCAACAAATTTCAAATTTTTTATTTCAGTCTAACAACTTTCTTGTCAACATGTTCAATTTTTGTCAATAATGACACGTATTGATTATTTCGCCTCCAAATATCTTTAGAATTAAAAAAAATAAAAAATTTAAATACAATCAATTACGGTCAATTTCGTTTAGTTTGCGCATATCACCTATGATGTCATACGCCATACAAAAAAATCCATATTGTTCAATTGCCACTAATAAAAAAAGACATAAAATAGGGAAGAATTAGGACATAACCTCAAAAGTTATGCCAAATCATTGATCTTGACATTTGAAAAGTAATTTTCACATTATTATGTGTCATATGTGTCAGTTTTACGATTTGAAATTGGCGCGCGGAGCTAGCCGACCAATGGCGCAGTTAGCACCTGTAACGTAGTGACCAAACCTGCACAATATCGTACCTTGTTTTCTTTGTATCATGTTTAGAACCATTATTCTTAGCGATTTTTACCAAGAAGCCATTTTTACGTAAAAAACGGCGGAAATGTATATTTTTTCACTCAATAATTTGATACAGGTACGGACGAAAATTATTACTCGTCAAACTAGTTAAAATGTTAAAATATATGTAGGTGGCGCCTCCTACAAGTAGGAGTCTTACTGACATCGAAATCAATTTTCCCAAAAACTCCCAGACACCAATTTTCATCCAAACGTCGACGTTATTTTGGTTTTAAAAAAATATTAATTAAAAAGAAATTATTTGGATAAAATCAAAATAAAAATGAAACTTCTACACCCTAAATCTCCGAAACGAAGCATTTTAGAACATACATTTATACAAACTTTTTTACTTATTTTTATCTGCAGAATATGCTGTGGATGTTTTTTCCGATCACAATTCGGACCACCCTGTATATTAAGTTTGTCAAAAATGGCATTTGCAAAGCAGAATAAATTATAAATTTTTCGACATTAATGCTTCTGTTATAAATCCATGTTGACCATCTTTAAGCGAAATTTTTCTCAACTTAATTTAGTTATTATACTATTAGTTCATAAAAAATGTGACAAAACTCGACTATTTTTGTTCTAGATGTCCTCAGCTTCAGTTTATACGGTATTCCTTTGATGGAGCCAACGAAGGCCTCTGCAATAGATGGCAACAGTTGGGCGCCTTTTATCCCTTCTCTAGAAACCACAATAACGACAACGCCATTGTAAGTTTTTAAAAGACAATTTATAACGTATAGTTATAATGTTTCGTTTAAATTATTTTTTTAGCCTCAAGATCCGGTGTCTATGGGAGACTTGGTAGTTAAATCGACCATCAAAGCTCTGACAGTTCGTTACGAACTACTACCCTATTTGTACAGTCTGTTCTACAGGGCGCACGTTTATGGAGAGACAGTAGCTAGACCTTTGCTCGTGGAGTATGTTGTTTTATAGGAATATTTTATTTTGACTGAGTTTAACGCTTATTTTTTAGGTTCCCCAGTGACCAAAACACATGGACAGTCGACACTGAATTCTTGTGGGGCGGTGGACTTTTGATAGTTCCTGTATTAGAGGTATAATATAGCATTATTTAATATAGCAATTTAAATTATAGCATGGTTAAAGAATTGTACAGGGCGAGTCCACGTTAGAGTAAGTCCATTATCTCATTTGTTTCGATTTTTACAAAAAAAATATTAAATATAAAAGTTATAGGGACGTTTAAGATACACATTTTGAAATTAGTATAAAGTATACAGGGTGCTTCAAAAAAGTGTGGCAAATATAACATGCAACACCCTATTTTTTATTTTATTCACTTTTTTATATATAATGTTATATACCTAAAGTTAATAGTTTTTGTAATATTTAAATTTGTTTAAACAAATATTAGATTGCAGTGTAGTAAAAAATTGTCAGTGATGCCATTGTTTCTGAAGTTGGACAACTAAAATTTGGTAGGAGAATTTTATAGAGATAGAAAAAGAAGTATGTAAAGATATTTTAGTTCATACTACAGGGTGTTCAAAATATATTTATGAATTTCAAGTACTTAAAATTAAGAACTTTCAAATTTTTTAAATGGTACACCCTATATATTATCATTTTTAGGGTTCCGTACCCAAAGGGTAAGAACGGGAACCCTATTACTAAGGCTTCGCTGTCCGTACGCCCGTCCGTCCGTCTGTCACAAAGGTCTGTCTTATGAACCGTTATAGCTAGACAGTTGAAATTTTTATAGATAATGTATCTATGTTGCCGCTATAAGAACAAATACTAAAAACAGAATTAAATAAATGTTTATAAATAAAAAAGTACTTTCACTAAACATTATCTTTTAAGTAAGAATTTTATATAGAATCTTTCAAGTCCTCGGTGGCGGCATGGTTAAAGCGTTAGGACTTTACGCTGCTATGACGTTGGAGCCGTAGTAAGGCAGGTTCGAATCCTAGACAAGGCGACTTTTTTTAATCGTTTTTTTTTTAATTTTTACATATTTATTATTGATTAATACAATTTTTAGTAATGTATTTCTTCATTTTTTTTAAATTACTTATACGCGCATTTAAAATTTCAGCTAAATCGGAAAAAAAAGTTTATAATAATATAGTGTTATGTTTTATAGATGATGAATGGTACGGAACCCTTCGTGCGCGAGTCCGACTCGCACTTGACCAATTTTTTCTGATAGATTTTACAACTCTTCAACTTTTATTAAACAAATTTAAATATTACAAAAACTATTAATTTTAGGTATATAACATTATAAATAAAAAAGTTAAGGAATTTTACGCAGAATCTAAAAATAAAATTGAAAAAACATGTTATATCCGCCACACTTTTTTGAAACACCTTATATACTCTATAATAATTTTAAAATGCGTATCTTAACCTTCCCTATAAGTTTTATATTTTTTTTTTGTAAACCTCGAAACAAATGAAATAATGGACTTTATCGTTGACACACTGTGCTTCCAGGAGAACCTGGAAGGTGGTGTTACAACTTAACATAAAGATGTTAAGTTGTAACACCTAAGGTTCCAATCTTAATTATAATTTGTTTATAGAATGATGCCACTTCTGTAGTAGGATACTTACCCGAAGGTATCTGGTACGACTATTACAACAAAAACTCTACTACTAGCAAAGGTGAAAATGTGACTTTCGATGCTCCTTTGGACACTATCCCTGTCCTAGTTCGGGGCGGTTATATTCTTCCCCAACAGGGTGCTAAACAAACCACTACAGAGTCTAGAAAGACTAAATTGAAGCTTCTGGTGGCTTCCAGTGCTGATGGAGAAGCTTCGGGAGAATTGTTTTGGGATGACGGAGATACTGTGGGTGAGTAATAGGCTTGGTACATTCTCCGCCGGTCCTGCCACCATCGGAGAATATCGTAAACAACAAGTATATACAAATATACGGGTTTAAATAGCGAGTATACGATAAAATTATTATTTAATTATTCTAAAAGTGTTAGGAAGTATAATGAAAATTCTAGAAATAAAAATAAAAAGTAAATATTTTGATATCTTCAGAATGTCTAACTTGTATTATAATTTATTATTCCAGTTGAAAAAACTGTTAATGACTGTTAATCACCGGTTTTGCTAGTGAGGCATAATTGAGACTATTTCGGCTATAACGAAATATTTTACAGGGACATAATTATAGTTAAAGAAGATGTTTATAAAACATTTAATCACTAGTTGATTAAAAAAAGTATACCATTAATATTGCAAAAAAACTATTAAACTAATTTTTTAATTATGTAACGAGCACTTTGTTTACTCTCTTGTTTCGTCGAACTGCTCGAATCCATTTTTGCTTTTGATCAAATCGGTGTTAGAAACTATGAAGCTATAAAATGTTTCGGGAGAGTTGAATATCCGGGAAAGTTGATCGAGTTATTGAATGTTATTGCACCCAACAATTCATTCACCCCTCGTTCACATAGAAACAAAATTTGCGATTTTTAATAATATCAAAAATACTAAGTAGTTCAAATGTACTTTTCTGTTATTTTAGACACCATCGAAGACAAACTCTACACTCTCGTACAGTTCAATCTGCAAGATGGAACTTTAAAAAGCGAAACTGTTCAATGGGCTGGCGAAGCACCTCCTAACTTGGGAACAATTACCGTTCTAGGTGTGCAGAACACTGTATCGTCGGTAACAGTAAACGATGCATCGTCGACTTTTACATATGACGCAGATAATAAGGTGAGTGGTATAGAAAAGCAAACATTGCTTTGAATTACATTTTAAAGATTGTTCTTCAATTGGCGACTTTGAAATTATCTTTGATCGTCTTTTGCTAGGATACTAAACCTTTATAGGATTTCATACCAAGATTTAGATCCAGTCCTATAATTTTCAAAAAGTGTAGCAACTTGGAGACTGAACCCTCCATATAGGTCTTTGTCAATGGCCTATCATTGCTTTTGTCAATGGCCTAGGTTAGGTGAGGTTGCTGGGGTTTGGGATCATGTTTGATCCCTCACTCGGAGGCCTTGGGCCCATTGCGATACCCCTGTATTATTTCACCAAACCTTCCTCTCATTCTTTCTTGGCGTTAAAGCACTTCCAGCTCCTTGCAAAGTTCTCGATGTCGCTGATGTTGGCTTCTGCTGCTTCCTCTAGTCCCTCCAAAAAACCTTGCCCTAAAGTTTTAAAGCACAGCAGGTGCTCTATGGTTTCTTCTTCCTCTCCGCATTCTCTGCAGTAGTCGTCGTGGGAAACTTTCCATCTCACGAGGTTTACCCCCGTGGGACAGTTTCCAGTGACGACACCTACAATTATGCATACTAGGTCCTTTTTGTAATGTCAATTGTCAATGGCCTATCATTTGCAAAAAAACTAAAATTGCTATAATGGAGTTCGTTGTTGTTACTAATATTTTTTTACTATTTTTTTTCTAGTACTTGGTTATTGACGATCTTGATATATCCTTGGAGCAATCTTTGGTAGTAACATGGAGTTAGGACAAGACAACCAGGCTTATAAGTCCATTACAATTTAACTATTAGTTTAAAAATGTTACCTTTATATTTATATTTAGAGACTTGAGATTTTTTTTACTTTTTTACCAAAGTTGGTGCAAGTTCGTTTTGTTAATATAAACTAATTAAATATTTTTTTGATTATTTTCTGTGATAATTTTGCTCTGAAGTTTAATATTTTGTTATTAAGTAATATTTTTTTAACTGACGTGATTTTTTTTAAATTATTACTACTTAAATACACAAAGTTTTAAAAATGGGCACTATGTGTGAAGTTTTCTTTAAAAGTTTTAATAGTGATACGTATTTATTTTTGTTAAAAATAATTATTCTAAAAATGTTTTCCTACTAAAAGTTATAAAAATTAATATATTTCTATGTAATGCTTATTTTATTTTAAAAGCTATGCTATAAAAGAATTAGGCAATGCTCATGAAGATACAAAAAATTGTAATGGTTGCTGTGACACTCGTTTTAAAGACAATAATAAAGTATTATCATTTGAAAAGTGTGTTGTATTATTTCCCTAACAATCAATATATATTTTTTCATTCCTTGTATTGTAATATCCCTCTTTGATATAAGTGTTTCTATTTATTATACAGGGTGAGTCTTAAATAAGTGCAAATATTTTCAGGGCTGGTAGGTCTCGATATAAGAAACTATTTTGTCTTTACCGTTTTTCAAATAAGTCTGCGATTATAGTGGAGCGGCGAGAATAGCGGAGAGGTGAGCGGCGCGGTTCGTCCTCTTTTAATCAAATCTATGACGCTGGTGCGTATAGTGAAAGCGGCGAGGCGAGAGTAAAGGAAGGCGGTGCACATAGCGGTGCTCAGAGAAACAAAAATGTTTGTTTTTAATAGCGTCGAGGATCGCGGTCAGGAGGGATCGTCAATATTCGTATAAGTTCGTAGCCACCTGAGGTATAGAAACACCTTCCACACTTACAAGAACCTTTAATGATATTACTCTAACATGGCTGAATTTTGGAGGAAACCATTTCTAAAATGCGATCAAAGATTTCAATGGACATTCTAAAGTACTGTCTGAACTTTTCCTCATATATAGTCTCAATAATTTAAAATAAAGACGACTAAACTCTCCGTTTTCTCTTCGATCTCTATTAGCGGGATGAACAGACCATCTCCTAATTCTTCTTTGCTGGGAATAATTATGCAAGATACAAAATTTAGCAACCGTATTTTCGGTAAGTAAGAGCTTTCGCTTGCGATTACTTAATCGGACTAGTGTCGAATTGCTACTGGAAAATATGTCGCACAATTTTTGCTCTATCCTCTCCGCTTTTACTATAAGTTTTGCGACGCTTTCCTCGCCGTTTACCGCATCGCTATCCTCTTTCCTCGTCGCTACCCTCTTTCCTCGCCGGTCCACTATAATCTCAGCCTAAGGCTAAGAACATATTGGAGCGACGAGGATAGCGGCGAGCAAGCAGCGCGACATCGCGTCCAAAACAAACCTGTGAAGACAAGTACGTGCGAACATAGTATAAATATAAAGTACGTGTTTTGTGGTATAAAGCGATCTGCTCGAGCGGTCAGATCGAGCGGCGAGATCGATTCAAATAATTTTGTTTTCGTCGCTCTGTCGCGCTGTAGAAAATGATAGATTCTCAAAAATTAATAGATTTAGTATTTGTAAGAGATATTTTATGGGATCAGAAAGGTAGTAATCACCATAACCGGTACATTTTCGATAAGTTATGAGATGAAGTGGCAACAAATTTTCGTAAAGGTTGTAGTAACTTGCCATACTTTCTCGGGTTTTTTAAAACTTCATCTAACCAAATATTTGCGACATTACTGCCCAGAATTTTAGCCACTATTAACATTTTAAATTATCAATAAGCAAATGAAAATAATAAATTTGCAGAAGTATCTCGCTATTCCTCGCCGCTCTACTATGTTTCAGCACCTCCGAGGCTTGCTCGACGCGGTATCGCGCTGCTTGCTCGCCACTATCCTCGTCGCTTCACTATGTTCTTATAGTCTAAGAGCTAGCAACGTTTTCGAGAAAGTATTTTAAGACGTCTGGCTCTTTGATATATCTTTTATTATGCTCTCTGGAACAGCGTGCAGGCCGTCTGGCTGTCGATACACGTTGCGTTCACTACTGCGCATCCAAAGAAGATTCTCTATTTTTTACTTAGCGCTTTAGATTCTAGTATTGAATAAAAGTCGAGTAAGGTTTGGTTTGGATGCATTATACTGCGCCCACTATAGCGCGTTGCATTATATTGCGCCCACTATAGCGCGCCTTTGAAACGCGGCAACGCTATTTAGTTATAGTCGAAGTGTTTTTTACTTACTGTAGTTTAGTTTTTAAAGCAATGAGTTCAAGTACGGACGAAAGCGTATTTTTTGTGCTCTTCTAACAGAGGAAGAGGAAGAGGGGGTGAGGAAAAGTTTGGAGTCATACGATTAACTAAAAAAGAAAGAAGTCTGGAGAATTTTACTATCTTTTTCCAGATTTAATAAAAGACAAGATCATTTTTTTCAGTATTACAAAATATAAAGGAAACATTTTACGTACTCCTCAACTGAGGGTTTTAGAAGCAAAACACCGGGTATCTCTACTCATCATATTTTTTCAGAAGAACAAATTACTAATACTTTTGATAATTCTTATTTATTCTGATGTGTATATTAGTTATGTGGTGAAAAAACCCTGATCTTTCTTATATATTTAGGTAATTAGAATTTAAAAATTGGAGATTGTCACTTTTGTTAAAAAGTGGAGATTGCCGGTTTTGCCTCTACACCCCTCAATTATATTAAATCTTTGATAGAAAGGCATTTCGTCCATCTGTCTCTAGTGAGCGAGGGAAGACTAAAAAAAATTATCATATTCCTTTATGAAAATCGATTTGCCTAATTTACCTTTAAAAATACAATTCTACCAGTGATACGTATCACTAGTTCCTAGTCAAAAAGCCAACTGAAAAGACTCGAATGCAAAATTATCTCCCTTGTGAGTACGCCCACTGCAACGCGTCAAAACGCGGGAGACGGAAAAAAGTTGTTAGAGAAGTCTTCCGACTTCTTGACGGAAATCCCGCGGCGCGCTTCTGCGCTGCGCGCTCTGATGTGCGTTGGTCCATTTAAATACATGGCAAGCAGACAAAAGAAATCTCCACATGGCGCCGCGCCGCGTTCTAGTGGGCGACAACCTTAAGTCTCCATTAGCTCAGCGCGTAGAGCTTTCGCCTATGAAGCGAAGGTCAGTGGTTCGATACCGGCTGGGGTGCAACTTTTTTATTTTTTTTTTCGTTTATATTCTGATAGCAAAGTATTTAATATTTGCTTTTTTATCACCAGAACGGATAGCGTTTATGGGTTTATGATCCGTAGTGTATATAAGTAGAATTTGATACTTTCATTTATTTTGAAGGATTATTGTAGTAATTAATTATTAGATAGGTTTATGATGGTCGGGCTGCCGCGCCGGTAGGTTGCGTTCACTACTGCGCATCACATGGGTACAGGGTGTCTTATTTTAGTGCGTTTTTTGGGATTTGTGTTATCTGGGATTTCTCGTTTATGAGTGGAGATAATTTTCACATTACTTTGCTAGTTTTTTATGTAACTAAATATTCTACCCCTAGATTTGCTCATTTTCTACACATTAACATTAATCAATATTGTTTAAAAAGTATTATTATTTTATTTAATTTAATTTAACCAGATAATTTTGTTTTCCATCGTTATCTTAACAAACTGAACTGAAAATAAATTTGTGTAGCTTTTAGATAACAATCTGTTAAAAAAATATTATTAAAATGATTATTGAAATAATAAACAACAGCTGAAAAACATATTTTGAAGAAAGACAGGTAGAAATTACTTTCATAAAGCATTAAAATGTTAATTTTTATATATTATGTTTAAATCTTTAAAATGAAATTATAAAAGAGAAATCCCAAAAAACGCACAAAAATGAGACACCCTGTACACATGTGATGCGCAGTAGTGAACGCAACCTACCGGCGCGGCAGCCGGACCATCCTAAACCTGTCTAATAATTAATTACCACAATAATCCTTCAAAACAAATGAAAGTACCAAATTCTATTTATATACACTACGGATCATAAACCCATAAGCGCCATCCGTTCTGGTGTTAAAAAAGCAAATATTTAATACTTTACTATCAGAATATAAACGAAAAAAAAAAGAAAAAAGTTGCACCCCCAGCCGGTATCGAACAACTGACCTTCGCTTCATAGGCGAAAGCTCTACGCACCGAGCTAATGGAGACTTGCTCGATTTTTATTCAATACTAGAATTTAAAGCGCTAAGTAGAAAATAGAAGATCTTCTTTGGATGCGCAGTAGTGAACGCAACGGGTATCGGCAGCCAGACATGATGTTCCAGAGAGCATAATAAAAGATATATCAAAGAGCCAGACGTTGTTTTCCCGACGTTGCTAGCTCTCGTACTATTAGCCTAAGTGGAAAATAACCGAGATATTTTACTTTGAAAATTTCCAAAAAAAAATATTTTTCGCTTAAAATTTAAGAACCACTGAACCTTTTCAGGGTTTTCTTTCTTGTAAATTTAATCTACTACTTATGTTGCCATATTATGAATATATTATGTTTTTTAACTAAAAACTAAAAAAACTCCAAAGAATTTTTCAAAAACTTTATAATTTTCATTTTTTTTTTCGTGGAAGAAACCTCATTAGACTCACCCTGTATATAAAATATCTACAGGGTGTCCCAATATTCTGTAGACATAGAACTACTACGTATTTTTTGGAATCAAAATAAACTTATTGGATACAATCTCTCTCTCTCTCTATTCAAAAGTATAATAGTTCATTTGTCCGCTAGAGGACCTCAAACTTTAAAAAAATAAACACATTTTTTCAGATATTTTAAGATCCGTTATTCCGATTTGAACGAGATTTTGGGTGTCTATGTTTTGCTAATGTTTCACTTTCACAAAAAGTTATGTCATTTAGTATAAATAGTTTCCAACTTCACCAACAACAGATTTTCTTTCGTAAAATGGGTCCCTCTAGTATTCACTAGTGATGGGAAAAACCGATTAATTTCAATAACCGGGTACTCGAGTTTCAAGCGATTGCAATAAAAGAGTGATGGCTAGAGCGAAATATCACTCGTGTTTAAATATACGGTTTTTCGTCCGTCCCTTGTTGTAAGTACTCGTTAACGCCAAGCAGTAAGTTGCGTGCGCAGGGCACATATTTTTTCGGTTAGGCCAAAACCAAACAAAATAACCGAAGTGTATGGGGGCCTTTAAAGTCAATTCGCTATAAAAAAAAAGATTTTGTTGAACTTTCATATCTATAGGTCCTTTAAGATGTCTCTTCTTTACCTCTTAAAAAAAACAATTACTTTATTTTAAACATTTTATTTTTACATATATATTTCATATATTATTCAGTACAAAAAAAACATGGCATTATACCGCAACAAAATGGCACAACGGCACAAAAAATAGGAAAATTTAAATAAAGAACACACTCTGTTTTGCACCACAGGAAAAAGAAACAATATAAAAATACGGTGTCCATAAAAATTAGCTGTATGTCAGATTTCAAAAAAAAAAATAGGTAACTACACTGGGTTTATTGTGCATATATTCTCTGGTGCATATCTAATTATAAACAGCTAATAATTATCAACACCGAAAATCTTTCTTTTTAATAAAAAGTTTGGCATATTACGATAGGGTAAAGTCAAATTCAAGAAAACAAAATTCTTTGGCCAGAATTCAAAAAGGAACATAACTACAAACTTTGGCTAATAGCTAAAATAAAAAAGAAACAGAATTAAAATTAAAGTAAAATAAGGCATTAATAACAAAAGTGAACAAAATACTTAAACTTTATTATAAATTACCTAAACGAGTGGTAAATATATTTTTAGATAAAACTCCTAAAAAAGCGATTATTTTTGTATATAAAAAATAAATTTAGACGTTTTATTTAGACATGCTATATTTTAAAATATACTCGTACAATCAAAATAATAAACATATAAAAAGTTTAGAAAGCAATACGATTAGTTTTGTATACAGGGTGTTTCAAAAAACGTGCCATCTCTCGTAGGGAGGTTCCTCGTGTAAAAATAAGATTTATTTTTCGTATCAATATAGGTCCGATTCTGCTTTGTTTCGTAGCTACAGGGTGTTAAAGTCTTAATATTTTTTCGATTTATTACAATTTTCTTCCAAGTACTTTTAGCGTTTCGAATGAAATTTTGAGGGTAAAAGTTACTATAAAAGCGACATATTTTAAAGCTAAAAACGTGTCGACATATTCACAATGGACGTGCATATGGGTTATCACTGGAATATTTTTCTAAAAAAGCATGTACGCCACTGACTTTTTCTCTTGTTGGCAAAATAGTGTAAGCAGTTTAACCCCGATTAAAAGTTGTCTCTTGATATTTTGTCGATTTCGGCCTCCTTGATGAGATAAACGCAATTTTATTAATTTGCCTTGATCCAAGTCTAATAGCAGCCTATAAAAAATTTTAATATCATTATCTTGAGAAAGTTTTAAATAAGTACTAATTGATTCCTCATCAAAAAATACGAAAAAAAGTTCCTATACACATGGGTATTGAAATGCATAGTTTTAGAGTTAAAGGATGTTAAAACTTTCTAAAATTAGGTTTTTTGTAATATTCTTAAACACCATTATTTTTTTATTTGAAATTGCTGTAGGTTGGACTAATAGTAATAATATTTAATAATAAATTAAGTAAAATATATAATTTATTAATTTTATTTTTATTTATAAAATTAATAATTATTTATGATTAATAAAATTGCGTTTATCTCATCAAGGAGGCCGAATTCGACAAAATATATAGATAACTTTTAATTGGCGTTAAACGGCCTACACAATTTTGATTTTGATATTAAAAGGAAAACGTCAGTGGCGCACATGTTTTTTTATTAAATATTCCAGTGATAACCCATATGCACGTCCCTGATGAATCTATTGGCACTTTTTTAGCATTAAAATATGTAGCACTGATAGTAACTTTTACCCTCAAAATTCCATTCGAATCACTAAAAGTACTTGGAAGAAAATTATAATAAATCGAAAGATTATTAAGATTTTAACACCCTGTAGCTACGAAACAAAGCAGAATCGGACCTACATATGTTCATATGAAAAATAAATCTTATTTTTACGTGAGGAATCTCCCCACGAGATTCCACATGGCACGTGTTTTTTGAAACACCCTGTATAATTATTCTAATTATGATAGAGACGTAATTTCTTAACCAAACTTATTAATTTTATTTGTCGCTACGAAGTTCTATAAATATGTTTATATTTATTATGCGTATGTAATGCTAAAATTCACTTGGTTTTATATAATTTTAATATTCTGTTTCAGTTTTCATAACACAATTTGGCTAAGAACACGAAATATGGCAAGTTGCTAACGACCTTAATCTATATTATTACGTTATTATACATATTATATATCTATTTGGTTTAATGTTTTTGGTATAAGAAAACTTTCAAAATATCTATAGGTATAAAAAATAAGCAACAGGGCCTAGTTTATTCAAAACAAATTTACTTAAAATTTCTCTAATATTGGGTCATAATATACTACGAACAACATAATAAATATGTTATAAACAATATAGTTTTGTACATATACATATTGCTGTTTATGTTGTCATAGATCAGATGAATTAAAAACTTCTCTGTGCTCGTGTGGTCAACATTATCATTAGCTGACTTATTAGAATACAATTATTTTTTTCAAAAGTTAAATTATAACTTTGGTTGTTGCTTATTTTTTGTCCTCTCGTCCCAAACAATCAAGCAATATATGGCAAGAATAAAATTGCAGCCAGCCCTATAAAACATTTTTGTACTATTCCGCAAAACAAAAAACGCTACCCTTACGACGTTAGTTCCTCCAACAACTCCTCCATAGACCTTTGTTCGTCCTGAAACTTCTTCATATACTTATCCGGAACGGTCCACTCTAGCAGAATCTGGATATTCGCCTTTAGTCGCATCGCAATACTTAACTTTTCATCCTGACAACTCTTCCTGCCAGATTCCTCTATGGAATCGATCAGAACGTCGTCAATCAGTCGTTTATTGAAGCCCAACTTTTGCAATCGGTCTTTGGTCGAGATCTTCTTAAGGAGAATCGCCAACAACAAGCGCATCTTGCTCAAAGACATCGGAGTTTCTATCTGATCCTCCTCCTCCTTCTTTATCTGCTTGTCTTTGCATTCGAGTTTGTGCTCTTCGAGATCTTTTTTCGAACTAAAAAACTCCGCGCAGGCCAAACAGCTGTACGGCTTCTTGCTCTTGTGGATGCAGAGCATGTGCTTCTTCAGATGAGGTAGCTGACTGAACCCGGTGTTACACACCACGCAGAGGAACGGTTTCTCACCTGTGTGACGTCTGATATGTAGTTTTAACGCCGTCGAGTGCGCGAAGGCTTTCCAACAGACCTTGCATCGATAGGGTCGTTCACCGGAGTGTATTCTTTGATGTACGATCAGCTGAGAACGCTGCGCGAATCTAGTACCGCAATGTGCGCAGCCGTGAGGTTTGGTTTTGGTGTGCGTTCGAAGGTGTTGAGAGAGATGACCTTTATAGTCCTTTTTGCAGATGGGGCAGGTAAAAGCCTTGATGTTCGAGTGGAAGCATCCCAGGTGTTTCTTCAAGGCGTCTCGCCTGAAAAAAGACTTACCGCATATGTCGCAAGTCCACTGCTTCAAATCGAAGTGCCTGTTTCGATGCAGCTTCAGGTTGGTGCTGCAAGTAAAAGCCGAGCCACACACGTCACAAGTGTAGGGTCTCTGGCCGTCGTGCACCCTCATGTGTTGGGTTAGCTGCCCTCCTCTAGCAAAATCCTTCTTACATACCTGACAAACATAGGGTTTCTCGCCGGTGTGCGTCCTTAAATGAAGCTTCAATCGGTCTTTAAGGGCGAAGGTTTTCTTGCATATTTCGCAAACGAAAAAATTGTTTAAACCGCCGTGCTTTGAAGCTATGTGACTCTTCAGAGACCCGGCTTGCTTGAAAGCCTGCTGGCACTCGTTACAAACATACGGGCGCTCTCCAGTATGTATCCTGAGGTGTTTCTTCAAATCGTTGGAACCGAGGAACTTTTTCGAGCATTCCTTGCATTGATGTTTTCGTTCCTTGTTCGCGTCTGCTGTCAGTTTCGGTCTAGTCAGAGTCATTATCACTCGATATGTACGATTATTTTCTTTGGTTTAGTATATATAGTATATAGCCTAGAAGGTGTTAAACTGTCATGCGAGTAGAAGATGGTGAAATTTAATTGCTGCCCTAGACCAAGTGTGCGAAGGCGGGTATAGTGGTTTATTTCTAGCTAAATCTACCTAACTCTTTGGAATTTAGGGGGAATAGGTGTACTCCGGCACCAGCTAAGGGTATTTAGGTATGTATTTAAAGTTAAAAATGGTTATCTTAGTGAGATCCGAAAGAGTTTGTGCGAATAACCATGGACCAGCATGATTGTTGAAAAGTTGTCCATCACCATAATACCTAGAAAAAGTATAGCCTCAACCATGGAATCTACTATGTTCAGAATTGCCAGACATTATTTTTTTTTTTGTAAAAATGTGAACATATTTTTACGTTTTTACAAATATCTATATACAGGGTGGCGCACCTCATTCGCCTCGGTTGATTATACGAAAACGGAAAGATGTAGAAACAAAATTTTTTATGGGTATATGTAGAGAGGCAATGTGCATAATTTAAAATTATTTTCAAATGTACAGGGTGTGTCAGAACTAAGATCCATACCAAAGTGATATTTTTTCTTATGGAACACCCGGTATTTTATTTCATAAAATTTGGATTCTTGGGCATAAAATAAGGAATTTATTGTAAAAGTTTAATATGTTTAAATGCTTTGGTTTTTGGGATATTTAAAGATATTTAAATATGCATGCTACATTAAAAAACTGTCTACACCCTGTACATTACTTTTCAGAGTTAATTCTTGTGCTGACTTTGAAGCCAGAGAAATAAACTTTACTAAATATTATAGCTTCCTTAAATGTATACAGGGGTATCAAAAATTGCTGGTCTATTTTAAATATTTATTTTACATAAAAACTTCGTAATTTCAAATATAACACTATGTATTTTTTAAAATAAGTCGAAGCAGATTTAAATACTCTTTCAAACTATATTAGGGTTTCCTATACCTATCTGGCTCAGATTATGAATAAAAAGCGATTTTTCAATAAAATAGCAATCAAGATAGCTGATGTCGCCATGGCAATTTGCTAGTGACAGCTATGAGTGACAGTTAGTAGCTATTTTCAAAATCGACGTTAGTTTATGGACTTAGCGAACATTCCCCACTAACTGGACCAGAACCGTTCTGTTTTCCAAGTGGAAACCAACTAAAGGTGGAACCTGGAAGACTCCATCCGTAGCCTGGAATGAGGATCCTCCAACGGACTCGAAAAAGTTCCTCAGAACTTACGACCGAGAAAAATAAAAAAAATTCCTTGATTTAAGTAAAAACAATCTTCGGATTGTCACGGGGTTTCTAAGATGACATTGTCTCCTCAATGAACACTTCAGTAAGCTGAAGCTGGGGAACAACGGCGAATGCAGATTCTGTGGGGAAAATGGGTAAACCCCAGAACACCTTATCACTGAGTGCGCCGAGACAACGACCGTTCGTGCCATGAATTTTGATACGGCTGATGTCAAGGATAGAGAGCTGGCCTCTGTGGAGCCGTCTCAGGTACTGGCTTTTCTTAAAGCCCTGGGACTGTATGATGAGTTATAACTCGGTATAACTCAAGAAAGGTGAACACACAATAGATCTGTAAGGTCGCGGTGATTAACTCCCCTCCTAAACATTCTACATTTTACAAGCTTTTCTCCATAATGGTTCTTATAACAGATTCTAAAATAAACACAAATGTGTATATTCTATGCTATAGTCAAGTACAAAAGACATATTTAGTGCACATGTTAATAAACACATTAGTGAAAAATTAATGGTACAAGCGGCATTACCAGAACACCTTATAGCTTAAAATTTATGGCTTTGTAAGTAATGCATGATAAAGTTTTTTTTTTATATATAAATCATCTCTTAATTCTTAATATATTTTACTGTATTATTTTACTTTAGCACCCTGTATATTTACCATCTTTTAATTTATTAATAATAACACAATTAGTTTTAAAACAAGTAGGATTTTAATCCCTTTCCCCACCCATTGAATTGATAGTGACAAAATAAACTACTGTATATTTAAAAGTATGATGGCATTTTTATAAAAACCTTTTTAACTTTCTTACTAAATATACCATAATATCTGGCAATTCTGACTTAACTATATTATACTCCTACTACCTTTAGTTGATTAACAGCTCATTGGAATGATAATAAGACTTTAGATAGCTGCAAATATTACTCACTAATGTCCACTGATGAATATGTCTCACCAAAATAAATAAGATAACAACCCAAATTAATTTTTTATGTAAAGAAACTGTTTTATCTGAAACGTTGTTCGGTGAAGAATAGACAATATGAAATCTAGAATAGTCAATAGTATGAGAAAAAACAGCCCATCCACCTAATTGTTATTTAAATATATACATTAGTTTACTAAAAGTATACTAATATTACTATAGTTCATAAATTATTAATAAGAATAGCTAATAATAATAATCTTTTAAACATTTGATGTAGCTACAAGTACCATATCCTTATCAATATTCTATCTAAAGTCCCATCAACCAAAAAAATAGAACCTTTAATACCTAGTATATATTCTAGAATATAAAAGGCTCGCTTTACTTACCTTATTTTCCATTGTTTTTATAAAAATAGTGCCCCTAAACCACTACACCTTTAAAAATTTAATTAAATATTATGAAAAATTGACAACTCCATTTATCAGTGACCTTGGTATGATTTTAGGGAGTTAGTTTTTAATGGCAGAAATCTGGCAGAAATGCTAAATAGGATCAAAGCTACCAACTAAATATTTTTGGAGTTGGTAGCATTAAAAAACTATTTAAACGTCAAAATTTTTGTGATCTAGCTGTCAAAGTGACGGAACGATTGTAAATAAAAAAGTCTGTTCGAGTTTATAAATATAACTTTGTAAATTGTTAATATTTTAAGGTTTGGTAGGGTATTTATTTATTGGCCGAAGAAAAAGTTAATTTGGACGGGTTTTGTTTATCCTATAGATGATACAAACTTAACCTATTTAATACAGCTTTGACAAGCCTCACTGCACCAATGAAAAATAATATTGCAATGGTTTCAAATGAAATCTTGAGGCCTAAAGAAGAAGTAGGATGTCGGATAGAGTCCGGAGGCTATTTTGGAACAGTTAGATATATAGGGAAACTTCCAGACTACCCTGGAATATGGTATGGAATTGAATGGGATGATCCGACTAGAGGAAAACATAATGGAACCGTAAATGGAGTACAGTATTTTCAAACCAAGTAACTATATTAAACGTGGTCTGTATTTTTGGTTTAGTATAGTTTTTTTTGTGTTTTAGGCATCTGACATCGGGTTCTTTTGTGAGAAGAGAAAAAATTAACTTTGGTAGGTCATTAATAGAGGCAATTATAGTTCGATACAGTGGACAGGAAAGTGATTTAATGAAAAGGATCCATGAACAACAATTAATAAGTTTACAAAAAAGTATAAAGGCTCCTTTTATTGAATTTGTTGGTTTCGAGAAAGTAAGCACAAAGCAAAGGTAATTTAACTTGTTTTTATTTATTATAAACTAATTAGTCTTTCTGATTCATTTTTAGCAATTTTGAGGCATTAGGTATAGTCAGTGTTAGGTTGCAAAACGTAAGTTTTATTGGAGAACCCAACGAACTAGGAAGATTGTGTCCAAATATTAGAGAAATTGATATATCAAGAAACTTGTTTACTTCTTGGGCCGATGTTTTAAATATATGTCAACAATTGCCTCAGTTATATTGGTTAAATATTAGTGAGAACTTACTAGAACTCCCTGAGGAAATTAATGATGTTTACCCTAATATAAGTGTATTTATTTGTGGCAATATGAATCTAACTTGGACAGACATAAAGAGATTATCAAAAATCTTTCCTAACATCAACGAGCTCAGAGCTAACAATAATTATATAACAGACTTAACTACAGAGGACAAAAATAATTTTAATAATTTAGAAATATTAGATTTAGAAGAAAACCCAATAAAGGATTGGGATGAAGTTAGGAAATTAAAAACGATTAAAAGCTTGCAAAACTTGTCATTGGATGGAACTGGTTTGGAATCAATTAATTTTAAGACTAAAGAACAGACGTTGGATTATTTTTTAAATTTATCCAAATTATGTATCAGCAATAATCTTATTAGTGATGTAAGTGAAACATTTATTTATTAGATAAATATATGTTATTTTACACAGGGTTGCCCAATTCATCTGAAAAGATTTAAAAAAGTGCAGAATTCTTTCAGATTATTCCAAAAATACGTAGTAGTTCTATGTTCATGGAATATTCGGACACCCTGTATACTTGGAAAATATCAAACTTTCTCATAGCAGTGGCTCTATATCTCTTTATTTAGAATGAAAGCATTTTGTTGCAATTTTCAATAAATTTTTAGTGGTTGTCACTGAGTGAATTAAACAAACTACCTAATTTAGAAGAGCTGAAGTTTATTAACTGTCCAATTTTAAAGTCAGAAAACGCTGAAACAGCTAGTGCCATAGTTATAGCTAAAATTCGATCACTCAAGGTAAGAAAAGTTAAGTTTACTTAATATTATAATTAAAATATGGCAATTTCTTTGCAGATATACAATGGTAGGATCATAAACCATGAGGACAGAAGGGGATCAGAGTTGGATTACATGAAAAAATATGGTTTGGAGTGGCTCAGAGTCAAAAATACACCTGATCAAGTCAAGTTCTTAGAAGAGCACAACCGCTATCTTGAATTGATTAAAGGTAAGGTAATATGAGAAGTGACCTAATCCTCAGAAAAGCCTCCATATCAAGTTTCCCATTGGAGATTTTCACATTAATTTTACCAATTTTCTTTATAAATATATGGGCGAGGGTAGCGCACATTTTAAAAATATTTTCAAGATATACAAGATGGTTCAACTATAGCTTCCTTCGGATTACTCTTATTAACAATTTTGAAACGTCCTAGAACTCTACAGCGCATGCGCATATAAAAAAGTTGCCGCATATTTCCCCCTGCGCATGCGTATCACAATTCTAGGGCTGTTAAGAATCTGTAATAACCTTTGAATAAGAAGACTAAGGAAGGAGCATATCAAAAATCTTAGGTACACCGCGATGGGCCTCAAATATGGCCGACTTAAATTCCGGTTTATCAGTGTCGTTCTAATTTTATTTAAAAAATGTAAAACTATGATGTAGGGTAGACGTGGAGTAGACTCAATAATTTGTTGTTTTATTTAAGTTGTGAATAAATGTTGGTAATTATTAAAATTGTTATAAAAATATATAATTCTAATAAAAATTGATAAGTTATAATAAGTATTTATTAACACAAACATCCGATACGCTACTGAAGCAGGTAAGTCAATTTAACGTATCTAAATTCTTTGACAAGTAATAAATAAAATCTAAAATGGAAGAAAAATATATAATTTAGTTAATTTAAGTGAATTTCATAAATGATCAGTTTACTACACGTATGTATATTATATAGTCACTTACTAGCGAAAAGTTGTTCCATTATTTCACTCAATTTTTGCCGAGATCTACCGCACGCTACACAACCAACTATTTTAGAGTCTTTTTCGATAAATCGCGATAGTGTCACTGTTAATTTAAGTTGTGCCACAATTTCCATCTAGATTTACTACCTTTATACAACTATCAGTAGTAGAATAAATAATAAATAACATAAAATAAGCTCCGTAAAGACTGACAAATCCACAAAATTTCAAATCAAATTCAAATGTGTCAAATGAATCGTCAAACAGAACTGTCAAGGATCCCCACCCTAGAGTGTTTTTTCCGCCCATCATGCATGAATGGATAGCATTATGCTCCTTCCTTAGTCTTGCTTATATTATTATTCAAAGGTAATAACATAAACCCGAAGTAAGCGTAAGCGGGGTTTCCACATGCAAGGATTACTGGCGCCAGTGTTCGCCAGTTTATAGGCGCCACAATTAAATGGCGTCATTACCCCTTTCCACAGGTCTATAGTAAATTTAAAACTGGCATGTCATTATGTTCAGTTTTATGAGATTTTAACACCTTGTTATACTCTAGGGTGTAAGCATTTATAATACTTCGAATTTTGGTCTTTGCGGAATTACATCAAAGTTGCTGAGAGAATCAGACATGACACCAACAATTTTATCCTTAAGGCTTCATCCCTTTTATTTCGGTCCTTATAATTACTTATTTTATTGTTCCATAAGCAAGGCTTCCAAGAACTTTATTATTAATCAATAGACCACTTTTTTGAAACAAACGACATTTTTACGACTGGAGATGCTCGCTGTATTGTTTACACACAAAACTGGCACCAAAAAGTACAGGAGCGTTGAACTTTACTGGCACATGAATTAGTAGCACCACTAAACTTGCGCAAGTCGATTTTACAGGTTTCCACATACAATAAAACTGGCGTCAGTTGAATAGCACCAGTAATCCTTGCATGTGGATACCCCGCTTAATATTTATTTTATTTTTTGTTTTTTTGAAAGAACGCGCAATGTTTGTTAAATTGTAAGACAGCGTCCCTTAGCGTTTACGTTCAAAAGCTTATTATTTTTATGGTATAATATAGAGTAAGGAACGCTCTTTTAAACGAGCCCTCGTTTGTTGGATTCCGATGATCCAGTCCGGAGTTATTAACATTGAAATAAAAACAGATCTAATTTTCCCTCGCCACTTTATTTTAGCAGATAGGGGAAAATGGTTCTAACAAAAAAAATCCAAAATTTACTGAAGATTATGAAGCTATTTGTAAAAGGCAAAATTTTGTCAAAATTCTATTTTCTTATTTTCCATAGCAGTTCCAGCAATTTCTCATAGCTTCTTTAGTTATAATTATTTTTTTACGGGCTAATACTTTCCGAGATACAGCCGAGAGCTATTCTTAGTGAGACACCCTGTACACAGTATTGCCGATACACAGTATTTCAATCATTGTTAGTTGCTCCGTAGAAATAAACGTTACTGTTTTTTTTTGTAGAGTATGGAGAATTGGAAGCTGGAGAACTCCAAATACCAGACACGACATTAAAGAACGCTTTAATAAACTTGAACTTAGTATACAATGAACAAACGGTGATTAAAAAGATATCACCCGCGATGTTGGTGCAGAAACTAAAGATTTTGGTGAGGAGGCTCTTCAAGTTGGACGATTTTCCCGAACTGGTATGCATCACTGAAGAGGGTCGATACGAGATACCGCTGGACGACGACACGAAAGAAATTAGTTATTTTTCGGTGAACGACAACGACACGATAATAGTAAAACCGGCGACAAACTAAATTGTAGCGGGTGGCCGCAAACAAATTGTGATAATTACGGTGTATTTATAGAAACATAATCTAAGTTTCTCTAAAAGATATTAAAAAATTAATAATAAACTACTTTTTTATTTCAATGTTTGTTTTATTTTAAGATTGGTGGTCCTTAATGAAATGCTCCTAAAGCTTGATTTTCATGCATCTGTTGTCCGACGATACGATGATACAATATTAATTTTATTGTTATCCGTTCATCGGATGTCCGTTACTTGTGATTGGTGCCATTTTACACATATTTTCATTTCCATAACAATTTCGCTGTTTTACTTTTATACCGAGTGCGTCTCAAAACCTCTATAACTTTTTGATTTTTTCAGATAAAAAATTGAGATTTGGTATGTTAATATATGACATAAATAAGGATTGATTGACGTACCTATTCAATTGTTTTCTGTCACTTCCTGTTTCGCCGAAAATGACTACAACTTTTGATTTTTTAAATGGTACCCTCGGTTTTTTGTTGCTTTATTCGATAGGAAATGATACTCTGAATAGAATGACATATCATATGTCAACTTGGACAATTTCTCATATGGTTTATTTGAAATTATAACATGCGGTTCATAACGATAATTTGACTCGAAATACCAAGTGTGTGGTATCAAATTATTCGTAAAAAAATGCTTTTTCCAAATATGCTAATGAGCCACCCTCGTTCCATTTGAAAAAATTGAGATGTGATTAAAAATACAAAAAATACAAGACACGAATAACATTATTAAATCTATTTTTCCAAGGCCCCTTGATTAAAAATTAGTATTTTAACACAGCCATGGCACTCTAGATTGAAATTTAAAATTCAATTTTGTTTTAAACAAAAATGTCAAAAGTTGACATATGATATGTCATTCTATTCAGAATGTCATTTTCTATCGAATGAAGTAAAAAAATACCGAGGGTGCCGTTTAAAAATAAAAAGTTGTAGTAATTTCCGGTGAAACAGGAAGTTCAATCCAATCTCGTTTTTTTAAATGAAAAAATAAAAAAGTTATAGGGGGTGAGCCACTTTTGAGACGCACCCGGTATAGTATCCTGAACAGAGTGCGGACCGTCTGGCTGCCGGTAGACGTTGCGTTCACTACTGCGCATCATATCTGTATTCAACATGTGTTTACTACTTCGCATCACAAATTTGCCCTGTATTTCAGGAACTAAGGAGGCTAGGACACATATGTGTAGCATATAGTTTCATAAAAAGTAGCAAAGTAATGTGCCAATCGCATCATTGTATCTCGACTCGTAAACGAGAAATCCCATAAGCCACACGAAAATAGGATACTCTGTACAGATGTGATGCGCAGTAGTGAACCGCATTAGTCTATCGGCGGCCAGACGGCCCGCACTTTGGTCAGGAGAACATAGCAAAAGATGAAGAAGTGAAACCTGGGTGAAACTTTATGTGTAGATGGGGTTTTATGTAGGAAATAATATAATAGGAAGTAATATTTTTTAAACGCCTCAAATGTAATCTATCATATAAACTGAGTTTTAAATTTTAAAAATTAATATTTAAATTATACTAAATAGAAAGAAATAAAACTTCATATCTTATTGTGGTTATTCTATAATTAATAATTAAATATTTTGTGTGTAAATTCTAACTTTGAATTCAAACAACTCTAATGCCGTTTTTTCTTTAACCATACAGTATACTATCGAGTAAAATAAATATCGATAGTTATACCCCCGACTAATAGAATTTTTTTTCGACCGCTGGTAGTGTTGGTAGTTGGTAGTGCTGTTTTGTTTTGGTGTTTGCGTCATTTCGTCAACCAAGCCGAGTCCGTTTTCCGATTTTCCGTGTTCGATTTTCGATTTATCCCAAAAAGACCGAAGATGAAGCGCAAAAGCAGTTCCAGAAAAAGGACCAAGGAGGACGAGAACGGTACGAGCAGCATGGACGAGAACGGCCAAGACGAGCAACTACTGGAGAAGAAGAGAAAAAGATCCAAATCCAGACGATCAAAGTCGAGAAATGATTCGGAACAGAGTGAAGAAGAAAGCGAAAACGGCGCACAGGTAATTTTGATTTGATGATCTTTGAGAGTCTTTTGTTTGGGTCCTTGTATTTTGTTTATCAGACATTTTTACCTTGTTTATATATTCCATTGCATCTGTTTATATACTTCCATAAATAAAACACAGAATGTTGATATTAATCATTTATTCTTCCAGTAAAATGATATTGGGCTTTGTTGACATTCAAACGTGCCCCTTGACGCGTCTCCAAAATAAATCAAATCGCGAATTCGATAAAAATTCAATTTCAGTGGTGTCAATTTGAATGTTTATTTACATAGGCGTACAAATTGATGTTTTGATTATTATTGATGAAAAAATCACACCTATAATAAATAGTAGGCATTTTTTTAACAGAAAAATAATTTTGATAAGAAACAAATTTTGGTTATTGAAGATTTTTAAATATAATCAGATATAGGATGTAAATAAAAACGGTTCACACTAGTTCAAACTAAAATGTTATAATTTGATGTGTCAATGTTATAAACCAAGTCACATTCTTACATAGTATGATTATTTGGATATCATACACAGGGTGTTCAACTGGTTCGTGACTACTGAACTATGTAAAGCTGAAATATTTTATTAAGTTTTTATTTTTTGTCTATTTTATTTTATAGGATTCCAATGACGCAGATCCTCTAGGCGAAGATGGTGAAGATGCAGAATATGAGGTAAAATGTGCTTTTTCATTTTCTAGCAATATAATATAATTTGGTCATCATTCCTTTTGTCTCTAGTTTTTTCAAGTTTAGATTTTCTTTAAAAATAACCCTCCTATATTAGTTACTTAATATACACAGTGTTTCAAAAAACATGTGCCATCTCTCGTGGGGAGATTCCTCACGTAAAAATAACATTTATTTATTATCAACATTGGTCCGATTCTGCTTTGTTCTGTAGCTACAGGGTGTTAAGTCTTAATAATCTTTCAATTTATTATAATTTTCTTCCAAGTACTTTTAGTGATTCGAATGAAATTTTGAGGGTAAAAGTTACTATATTGTGGGGTGGTCCGAACTGTATTCTGGAAACTTCGGCAGCATATTCTGCAGATAAAAATTAGTAAAAAAGTTTGTATAAATGTATGTCCTAAAATGCTTGGTTTTGGAGATACAGAGTGTAGAAGTTTAATTTTTATTTTGATTTTTTCCAAATAATTTCTGAAGTAACGTCAATATTTGGATGAAAATTGGTGTCTTGAAGTTTTTTGACATGAGAAATTTTATTTTGATGTCATTATGACTCCTACTGGTAGAGGGCGCCACCTACATATTTTTTAACTAGTTTGAAGAATAATAACCTTTCGTCTGTACCTTTATAAAACTAGTGAGTAAAAAATATACATTTGCGACGTTTTGGTTACGAGTAATGGTTCTCGAGATTGGAATCGAAATTCTCAATTCGTCATCATTGGCATAAATTAAACTTTGTTGACAATAGTTATTAGACTGAAATCATAAATTTGTAAAATGTTTTTCTGCCAACAGTTCAATAGAAACTGTTTTATCATCATTTTTTCGAATAAAAATTTATGATTAATTTAAAAAAATAAAAAGTTCACAAATTTATCATTTCAATCAAATAACTATATCTACTCAACATGTTTATTTTTAGTCAATAATGACATGTATTGACTATTTCCATTCTAAATATCTTAAGAACGGTTGCTCGTAGCGATTTTTACCAAGATACATTTTTTATGTAAAAAATCACGAAAATGTATATTTTTTCGCAAGTAGTTTGATACAGGTATGGACGAAAAGTTATTACCCTTCAAAACAGTTAAAACCTTTGAATAAGAAGACTAAGGAAGGAGCATAATGCTATCCATGTATTCATGCATGGTGGGCGGAAAAAGCACCATAAAAGCACTCTAGGGTGGGGATCCTTGACAGTTCTGTTTGACGATTCATTTGACACATTTGAATTTAATTTGAAATTTTGTGGATTTGTCAGTCTTTACGGAGCTTATTTTATGTTATTTATTATTTATTCTACTACTGATAGTTGTATAAAGGTAATCTAGATGGAAATTGTGGCAGCACTTAAATTAACAGTGACACTATCGCGATTTATCGAAAAAGACTCTAAAATAGTTGGTTGTGTAGCGTGCGGTAGATCTCGGCAAAAATTGAGTGAAATAATGGAACAACTTTTCGCTAGTAAGTGACTATATAATATACATACGTGTAGTAAACCGATCATTTATGAAATTCACTTAAATTAACTAAATTATATATTTTTCTTGCATTTTAGCTTTTATTTATTACTTGTCAAAGATTAGATGTCAAAGAATTTAGATACGTTAATTTGACTTACCTGCTTCAGTAGTGTATCGGATGTTTGTGGTAATAAATACTTATTATAACTTATCTATTTTTATTAGAATTATATATTTTTATAACAATTTTAATAACTACCAACATTTATTCACAACGTAAAATAAAACAACAAATTATTGAGTCTACCCCACGTCTACCCTACATCATAGTTTTACATTTTTTAAATAAAATTAGAACGACACTGATAAACCGGAATTTAAGTCGGCCATATTTGAGGCCCATCGCGGTGTACCTAAGATTTTTGATATGCTCCTTCCTTAGTCTTCTTATTCAAAGGTTAAAACAGATGTAGGTATTGCCCCCTACAAATAGGAGTCATATTGACATCAAACTCAAATTTGTCTCGTGTCCAAAAATAATTAGTAAAATGTTTATTACCATTTTTTACCACATTTTTGTAAACGTAGGTGGCCGGAACATATTTTCAAACTAAAGTTGTAGATTTGCCATTAAATTTCCATTCCAGAAATACCTAGGGTTGCCACCTGTCCTTTTTTGAAAAGGACAGTCCTGTTTTGGAATAACTTGTCCTTTTGACTTAAAAGGTCATTTTTATTTACGTATTTTCCCTGAGAAAATTACCTACAGCAAACAGAAATATTATTTTCGTCCAAATTTAATTAGAGATGTTATAAAACTTATAAATAATTTTTTCTTGTTTAGAATAGGTAACATTATTTAGAACTTCCCGTTTAATCTCAAATGATAATTTAGGTTTTAGTTTTACCTTTTTTGATCTTAAAAATAACTTTTTAAAATTAGTAATTAGTAACGATTTAGTTAGTTCGCAATCGATAGCTTCCTGTAAAGTACTGTGTAATAGTAGTAATAACTTCCTATACCTAAAATCAATATTTAATGAGAAAATTGTGTTTTTTTTGAAAATATAAGATAAGATTTGACTTTCGGTCTTCTTCTTGTATTATGATGGCTCTGATACGAGGCAATTACCTTTTAGTTCTCAATAGAAGGCATTTATCATCAAAAGCATCAAATCTGTGTGCTACAGTATGGGATTTCTGTCGCATAATAATGAATATTACGTTTATGTACAAATCCATTACTTTTAAAGGTAGCTTCATTAGAAAATCAAATTTTAGTTAAATTGGGACATTAACTAAAATTTGATTTTCTGATGAAGCTTGATTTTCTGTATTAAGCATATGTATAGCGGTTTGAATCACCCTGTATGTTGACAAAAATATTTTGAAAATGTGCGTTACAATGGCCCCCATCTTATGTAAAAAATTGAAATAAAAATTACAAACCAAAAACGTAATAGGTAAAAAGCTTTTTTGGAGGCCTGGGTCACTCTGTATATAGGTATGTATAAAACTAGTAGCCTAAGAATTATTTACAGTTCGTCCCATTCTAAAAAAAAGGTAAACACACCGTACAAATAACTCTAGGAAGAGGTATTTGTACGGTGGTAAAAAATTGTTTAAACGAGGCCGAAGGGGCAGATATAATAATGCAATAAAATGTAAAAAGGGCGGGTAAACACCTTTGTTTATTTGTTGAGCAAAATTCCTTTAGAATATCGTATATAATGACCAAAATATGACGCAATTTTAAGAAAAAAATGTCACTTTCTGGCTTATAATAAAGTTTCAAATGCAACGTTTATATTCAAATTTGTTATGATCTACAACACCTACACAGTAGTAATTGAGACGAATTATAATTCAATTACCGGCTACTACGTTCTTGTTTTAATAGCTCAAAATTCAACAAATAATTAGAAATTATTTTAATTATGAGAGGCTCCCTTGTGGGACGCCTATGTACGGCGATTACGGCGCGGCGGAAACAATACCTACCTGTGAAAAGACAAATTTAATTTGAGCTTATTTTTCCACACATTTGACACTGTCGTACCATATTGAAAATTCAGATTCAAAAGTACGTTAAACAAAAGCAAAAACTACTGAAAAACAGTGAAAAGTTCACTTCGGACTTGATTCCGACTACAAACACACCGTAAGCTAAACGTAGTACGATATAACGGACCAAGGGCCGTCGCGGGGGGTGGTGGGACGGACGGCTCATTTCATTCTGGAAGACTAGCAGCGACGTTGCCAATAGTTCTAGACGTTTCAGCACATTAAACAGTAAACATGTCCTTTAACAGTAACGCATATATCCTCTGGTTAATAACATATTATTACGCATGCTTCTTTAAAAATAAACTATTAATTTAATTAAGAAATTGGGATTTATTGATATCCGGTGAAGGTTTTAAAGTCACCTTTTCTGCAAATCAAACTAAGTAGATAGGCGCAAATTTGAGATGTGGCAATGTCGCCTTCTCTATCTCAGTTGGTTTTTACAGTACGTAATCAACCTCCGATTGTTTGATCGGGTTAAAATGCAAAATGTGATATCTGTTCTTCCTAAATCTATGGTTAAATACGATTGGGACAAATCCAGAACCATTCCTCTGACCATACTTTTTCCAGTTATACTAACAAACTTGCTATAAATTTTTTTAAAGGTCGAGGCCATATTGGACGAGAAAATGATCAGAGGCGTACGCCACTTCCTCATCAGATGGAAGGGCTACACCGACGAGAGCGACACCTGGGAACCGGAGAAGACGCTAGATTGCGCCGACCTGATCAAGGAGTACACGAAACGACAGAAGAAGGAGGCGAAAAAGAAGAAGTCGAAAAAGTCGGGCGACTCCTCGGCCACCTGGGACGAGAACGAGGACTTCGAGGTGGGCCGCATCCTGGACGTGTACTTCCACAAGGACGGCAAGCGGGACTTTTTGGTCTCGTGGAAGGGATATCCGCCGGCACAAAATTCCTGGGAGCCTGAAGAAAACATGGACTGCAAGGATCTGATCAATAAGTTCATGCTTAAGGTCGAGGCAGCTAAACAATTCGAGGTAAGTAATTGGTAGCGTGCGGTAGATCTCGGTCAAAAATAGAGCGAATAGTCTGTATGTAGTAATTTTTGTAATTTTTCGTTTCTATAATATTTGGTATATTTTTTTTGTTAATCCTTTTTCAGGGCAAAGAAACAAAACTAAGGACAAGCCGTAAGCCAGTGGAAAGACTCGAATTTTCGATGCATGAGCACAGCAGAAGACTCAGCAAGAGGTACAGAGGAAAAGAGAGGTTAGTACAGAAAAGCGCTATAGTCCCAGAGAAATAAGTGAACCTAGAGGGGTTCTAAAATATTCCAAAATCATAGACGCCTTTTACAATGATTGGAATGTGAATAAAACTTTATTAATGAAAAAAAGTTCTTTGAATTGACGATTTTTTTTATTTTGCAGGGTCCATTATTTCGATGCAGAATAACTTTACAAATACCAACCAAAAAACAGAAAAAAGTGATTCTTGCCATGCATCACACGCGTTTTTCGGGTTGTTCATCTAAGCACAATCCTGGTTGGTGAAAAAATATCCACTCCCCTATTTTGATTACTGAAAAAATATTTAGTATTATTTAATTAGGTTTAGTGGCAATAACGAAATGTTTCAGATTCAAATAATTCAATCATAGTAATTATATAAATATAATGGTTGATATACAGGGTGACAATTTGAAAACGAACAGTATTTAATATTACCTCTACCGGTGATAGTATGAAAATTTGGCGAAATACGTCAATTTACATATCAATTGGGACAATTTTTGAGGCATTTGTTGTCGTGTTACCTTCAACCCCTTGACCCTCAGGGCACCTACCCCTAAAATTTTAAATGGCAACCCCTATTTCTTTTACCATTTTCGTTTTCCATATAAAATTCTCAAATAAATAATGCAGTTTATGTAGAATTCTATAAGAAACACAAAAATGATAAAAGAAATAGGGGTTGCTATTTAAAATTTTAGGGGCAGGTGCTCTGGGGGTCAAGGGGTTGAAAGTAACACGACAACAAATGCCTCAAAAATTGTCCCCCTTGATATGTAAATTGACGTGTTTCGCCAAATTTTCATACTATCATCAGTAGAGGCAATATTAAATACTGTTCGTTTTCAAATTGTCACCCTGTATGTGACAACGTTTATTTCGAGTGATTTAAGCAAGCTCCACTTGAAGCAGACTTCATTCTCGACCCTAACCGTTTATTTCACATTAATTACAGGGAGATTCAATAAAAATTATAGTGGATTTCAAACCAGCTTCACTCAAGACAGTCTTAGAAAAAAGTTGGATTGACTTGAAGGTTCAAGCGCACTTTAAAAGGCTATACGATGGTTGTCTTTTATATTTTGCATATTTAGGTATAAAAAAAATAGTAGATAACTTTTAAAAACTATTGTTTTTCAAGTATTCTCCATGAAGAGAAATGCATTTTTGCATCTGTTGGAACCAATTCTGAAAACAGTCATTCTACTCGCTTGTTAGTACCTTCAAAATTGCGTTTTTGAAGGTGCTGACTGCATCTTCTGGGGTCTAGAACGTTTGACCACGCAGTTCATTCTAAATTTTTGGAAAAGTAAAGTAAAAAAGTTGTTAAGACTGTATGGAGGATGGTCCAACAATTCGACATTTTCTTGCTTTAAAAATTCAATTGTTTTTCGAGCTGTGAGGAAACTTGCATTGCCTTTGTGAAGGATCATTCATACTTAAGAAATACATGTAAGAAATTGATACCATCCATTGGTCCCTCAATAATCGTAACACTCTTGGAAAATGAGTTTTTGTATTCGGAATCTTCACACTAATAAATGACTGACAATCTTTAATGGCATCTACAGTCAAAAACGTGATTTCTTCCCTCCTACATGCCTCAAATACTCCAACGATTAAGACAACTTTAGCTAACAGGAATTCTTTGTCATCGGCTTCTTTCATAAAGCGTTCTATTTCCAGTTTTGTAAATACTTTTGATTTATTTGCCTGATATCCGGAAGTTTTTCTTTTTAAAAATGCAATAAGGTTTGTGAATTTGCTAATATCTACGTTTCTGTTCAGGTAAATCATGGTGCGGAGCATCGAATATTTACTCCCCAGAGTTGACGGCTTTAAGGTAGTGGATAACTTCAGGAAATAGGCTAGCAGTACCTTTTCTGTGAAATTCTCAACATGTTTTCCTTTGACCCAGGTTTCAAAGTTGTTGTAGGTGGTCTCGTATAAGTTTTTCGACTTCTCGGGCACTAACGTGGATAGCGCAGTTTCAGCAGCTTGTTAAATATCCAAAGACTCATCATCACTCATTTTTTCACAAAACTCTGTATGAAATTCGTTGCGAAAAGAGTGTTTTATAAAACTGCCTAACGCATTGTCGACGTATCAACTCGGCTTTCGCCTCGTCACAGCTTTAAACGAAGCGGTCTAAAACTTTGGTGTTAACTAAAGATGACAGGTAATTTTGACATTTGATATATGTTGACAAGCGTCTGCTATGTTCCTATGTTATGCCAAATATAAAAAACAACCCTCTTATCGGTTATTGAAGCCAGCTTAGCTTTTCAAGGGTGTTTGAAACACTCGAAATAAACGTGGACTGTTTCTTGAAAAATATTTTCATCGTATGTAGAAAAACATAGATTCACCCAAGTAAATATAAACTTCCATAGTCTTAAAGAGACTATATCAAAAGAGATTAGTTATAGATTGGATTTTATTTAAGCATTTTTTTACTTAAACTAAATTTTTCGATTTTTTTATACCTAGTGTACAAAAAATTACTGTCCATATGTTATGAAAAAAAAGTTTTTATGGACGAAAAAATTATTGGGACATGGAAATTTACATATTTCAAGTATTTTTTTGTATAGAAAAATGTTTATTTTATATTTTATATATTTTCTATCTTTAAAGAATAAATTTATTTAGTAGACTTTAAGTTGTATTTAAGTGCAATTGTCCAAATTAAAACGAGATTTGTTGTAAACAAATTTAGTATTTTTGCGGTTGTAAGTACATATGCTAAAAGATTTAACAATATAGATTGGGTGGATCCCCACATGTATATGTATATGTTTACATTATTTGATTATATATCTAGGATTATTTGTGTGAAAATAAAGGTATTCTATAAAATAAAATTTTGGGCCGCCTTTTTTAACCTATCACAATGAGAATATCATATAAATAATATTCCAGAAAATAGGCCAGCACAATTTCTTGTCTAGCCTATGCTATTTTGCCTATTTTTATACAATTAATTGATGAGTCACCAAGAAAGAAAATATGTTTACAGAATCGCACTGCTGATACATTATTCGCCGGTGCTGCCACCATCGGAGAATATCGTAAACAACTGGTGTATACAAATACACGAGTTTAAATAGCGAGTATACGAAAAATGTATTATATAATTATTCTAAAAATGTTAGGAAGTGTAATTTGTGAAAATTCTAAAAATAAAAAGTAAATATTTGATATCCTCAGAAGGTCTAATTGTATAATAATTTATTATTCCAGCTGAAAAACTTTTTAGATGAGTTCAACTAGGGTAGCGAGCATAGTTCTACGCACCGGTTTTGCTAGTGGGGTCATAATTGGGGCTATTTCGGCCATAACGAAATTTTTTAAAGGTACATAATTATAATTGTGGATGTTCATAAAACATTTGATCACTAGTTGATTAAAAGAGTATGCTTTTAATTTTGTAAATTATATTTTATCCTCTCATATGCCTATTTAATTTTTTGATTACTAAATGAGCACTTTGTTTACTTACTTATTGTTTCGTCGAACTGCTTGAATCCATTTTTGCTTTTGATCAAATCGGTGTGAGAAATTATGAAGCTATAAAATGTTGTTTCGGCAGGTTTGGTTGTTGAATATCCGGGAAAGTTGAGTTATTTAATGTTATTGCACCCGACAACGCTCTAATTACGCTCTCCTTTACGCGTTAACATTTTTTCGACAATTTAACATGAAATTGTCACAACACAACACGACGCCTAGTTAGGGTTCTTTTTCGCTTATTTTTTACTACCCGAAACAGCGCATTACATCACACAAATTTCATACCTGAGTGTTTTATAGTTTCAATAACTGCACTAGCAAAATACCAAAATACTTAAATATTATAACAAAGTCACGATTTCAATATTATTTTACTGCGATTAACATGAACTGTCACCGGGATGGCGTGAAATACATAGCGAAAATTTCTGATTTCTGCGTATAGAGCGCTACAGTCGGAATTTTTTGAAATCAAGTGAAATAATAAATGACTGGCTTGAACAGAATCTGGTTAGGTATTCAGTCTTGCATTGCGTCTCGTGTATGTTATCTGCTGTGTCTTGTTTTGGCAATATGACTGACCTGAGACATATACGGTTGCTCTTTTCTGCGCGAGAATTTCTCTCAGCTTTTATTTATTTGTACAAAGAACACGAATGTTTGTGGAAAATAAAAAACGAAGAATATTCTGACAAAAATAAAAAACGCTGCTTCTAGTATCTTAATTGAAAAACTGAAGGAAGTTGATACAGCAGCAAACAAAGATATGGCTGTGAAAAAAATAAATTCTACTACAGTTAAAAATATTTACTATAATTGGCCATTGTACTTACTTTGCTATAAATATCGTAATCTTAAACCATACAGGGTGTTTAAAATTATATGCCAAACTTCTAAAATATAAAATAGTGTCCTCATTTTTTTTAAATGGAACACCCTGTATATTATTCCTTTTAGATGAGAAAATAAACATATGTTGTGTTAAATATTATATTTACTATGCGGATATTCGTAATATTATAAGCAATAATATACAAGGTGCTACAAATTCGAGGTGCGAGCATTGGTATCTCGGAAACCATAATAGATCTTGGGATATGTTCACCAAGATGCCATTAAAAAAGTTTTAAAAATTTCAAGGATTGCTGAGTTTTTTGGAAAAAAAACGGTTTTTTTGAAAATCAATTTTATTTTCTCTTTTCGTTACTTTTTAGAAAATCAAAAAATCATTGACACGTTCTCATAGCCACTTTACTGGGGCTTTCTGATAGTATTTTTAGATTTCCAAATTAGGTGATAATTTGGAGAGCATTTGATTTTCCGTATTCAATATATATATGACACCACGTCATTGTTAAGTTTGAAGGCTTATCTCAATATTATAACGATGAATACATTAAATATTGGAAAAAACAGAGCCGAACTTGAAATTAGTTTAAATAAATTGTGTTCAAATATCCGAAACATTGTACTCAGGAGACCGAGTTCTTTCAAAAATTGAAATAAAAAATGCAGGTCCGTATTTAGAAAAATTAAGTTCGCCCTCTGTATCTCACAAATTATCAGCTAATTTGAAAATCTAAAAATACCATCAGATAGCCCTAATAAAGTGGCTATGAGAATGCGTAATTAGTTTTTTGATTTTCTGAAAAGTAACGACAGGAAAAAATAAAATTGATTTTTAAAAAAATCCGTTTTTTGCAAAAAAACTCAGTAATCCTTGTACTTTTTAAAACTTTTCTGATGGCATCTTGGTGAACATCCCAAGGCGCAACTTTGCACTAATTTAACCATCTTCGTATCTATTACCGTTTCCGAGATACCATTGCTCGTACCTCGAATTTGTAGCACCCTGTATACATATGGGCTTTTCAACAGTAATTTTTTTAGTCAGTGAATGATTGTGTTTGATTCAAACTAAGAAAAATTTTTTTGATAAGCTTATTACATAAATTATTTTACAAAAAAGTATTAAAAATGAAAGCGTTTTAATTTTCAGTCACATTTACAAGTACGATCCCGTTCCAAACGGAAATAACTCAAGCGATTTCGTTAGATCTTCCTCCGAAACATCCGAATCTATATCCACATCATCTTCGCTCTGCTTTTCTTGCGTCACCTTGCTCTTTTTTCCTTTATCGACTTCCACAGCCTGAAAACTATCTTGAGATGCTTCATCCGACACACTGTTGGATTCTTCTTTATTCGAATCGACAATTCCATCTTCGCCTTGTTCATTTTTCGAGTTGCTGGCAGCTCCATTCTCTTCGTTAGTCGGGTCATTTGAACTACCGCTAGGACAGAGTTCTTGTTTACCAAAAATCGACCTCGATTTCAGTTTTTCAAGGTACTTAAAATTTGTTTGTTCTTTTGGCGGCTTGCTAGAATCGTCTAATCTGCTGTCGTCAATCATGAAGTTGTTAAACCTCTCTTGGATTATAGCAGACCCCAGTTCCTCATAGTCCTGTCGAGTAACAAGATTACTTTTAAAATCGTGCAATTTTAACAGAGCTCCTCCACCTTTCCAAGCATATGTTATAGGATCCGAAGGCAAGAATACTTTAACATCCCATAAATCAGGTAACAGAGATCTTAATTCTGCGTATAATCGTTCTTTGAATCCGGGAAACTTACAATTTCCACCTACAATTATAATGTTTCTAGCTAGAGCTTTTCTATCTATTTTTGGACAGCTATAAATTGACTTAACAGCTGCCTCAGCAATTCCCATACTTTTCATTCCAATATCGGATGGATGAAATAAAATTTCAGGTACAACAAACCTCTCGTTATTAAGTCTGAGTATTTGGCAACTTTCTTCTTTCTCATCTGTCTTATTAGCTTGTTGAATGTATCCTCTACGGATGTTGTTAAAGTCTGGCAACACATAATTTTTCACTATAGTATTTTTGCTAAACGGTTTAGCTGCTTCTCTGAGTTCTGCTTTGACATCTTCACAAACATAACAAGTGTCTTCCTTTACTTGATTAATCACGTAAGTTTCCTCCATAACATTATACTGTCTATATGAAATAATGTCTTTTAGGTGGTTAGTTAATAATTTACCACCTACGTTTAGTCTTTTTGCTGCCTGTATAAATTTGTTGCCTTTAATATAAGGAATAATATGAGTGAAACTATAACCACTGTCTATGATTAAACATGCTTCATTCCTGCTAAGTCGGTTCTCTTTTGCATAATTTAAATATGCTAAATCCGTTGGATTACATCGAAATAAACTGGGGACCTCATACTCTTCAAAAAATATTTCATCCATGCAATCTTGGATTGATTTGAAATTAAATAGAGGTTGCGTAATTATCGTAGGATTGTCGTTGATAGGGCAAACATCTTTGCCGAATAGCTGGTCCCAGACGGGTTTCTGTACTTCCCACCGTGTTATGTATCCTTTTTCACACGGTAATAGAAAAAACAGACCAGAACAATCACGACATTCGTCTATCTGCTTGCCAATAAATAATCGCTTTCTCTCTGACTTCGCTTTCATGATGCAGTTCGGTATAATTTGGGGTTCTTCATCTCGGTTATAGCCGGCTTTAATTGTGTACCCTCCATTATCAATTATTAAGGCTTTTAAACTTGCGCTTTTCGCTGCTTTAGTAGGCACGTCTTTACTGGTACTGCTTCTTCGTCTTTTACTTATTTTCGGTGATTTGGAATCCCAAGACATTATTTTTAAATCAAATTTAAAAAGTTAAATAAAAGCAATAATTTTGAATTATCAACCTCACTTTTTGTTTTTATCAATAATTTATTTGGTTGGCATTATTGTGTAGAGATGTGGTGTTTATGCGTTTTGCGTTGGCTATAGTGCTTATTAATCAATTTAAAAATGAATGGTTAATTATGTTTTTAAATAATTTTGTCAGAGAAGAAACTATGCACGTCCAATTTGTAAATAATTTACAAATATTTGTGATGTATAAAGAAAAGTTTTCGGTTATTTAATTAGTGCTTTTTAGTTTCGATAATTGGCGAAACTGTGAAACATGAATTTTCTGTTCATAACTACCAACAGAATAAGAATGTCAACCATCGATTTTTGTTTTGACGGGATGTTTTTAATTTTTAGGCAAAAAGTAGCAATGAAAACTAGCATTTAAAGATAATGTTTGATATTCAACGTGACGTTTTAGCAATAATTAAGTTCAGGAAAAAAGAGGACATTGAAGAAACCACTTGTATCTTTTCGAGAGCTTTTATTAGGTGAGTTTAGTTTATTTCCCAGCTGTCATTTGTCAAATTATGTCATTTTAATTAGGTTGTTTTCAAATTCAATTAAACCGCCTTTCTATTTTTACATCTAAAAACAACCGAAATTACGTTTAAATAATGCGGTAATTAAAAGTTTTCGAATGCACTATAGTGTTGGTTAATTAAATATTCAATAATGAATATACCTAATGAAGAAAATAGTAAAAATGACAAAGTTACTAACAACGCGTCGTGTAAACCTCCAGATATCCACGATTTCTGTATTATTAAACCTATAAGTCGCGGAGCATTCGGTAAAGTGTTTCTGGGAGCGAAAAAAACTAATATGGACGTAGTGTACGCGATTAAAGTGATGAAAAAAACGGAAATGGTGAACAAAAATATGGTTTCTCAGGTCGTCAACGAAAGGAACGCGCTAGCACTTACAAAAAGCCCTTTCTGCGTCCAGTTGTATTATTCCCTTCAAACCACCTCTTCAATATATCTTGTCATGGAGTACATGGTCGGAGGAGATTTGAAATCGTTGTTAAGCGTTTATGGATTCTTTGACGAACCTATGGCCTTATTTTACATTGCAGAAGTATCCCTTGCCTTAGAGTACCTTCACCAACATAGCATTATTCACAGAGACATTAAACCTGATAATATGTTACTATCAAAGGAAGGGCATGTAAAACTAACCGATTTTGGATTATCGAATGTCCATGTTCATAGGGATTTAGAATTTTCAGATTTTGAGAATTGCACCCCGAACATGTGGGCGCGAACGCCTGGACAGCTACTTAGTTTGACGTCGCATTTAAGTTTTGGTTCGGGTAATTCGAAGTTTATCTCCAGCAACCACAATAATAGTTCAGTTTTTTGTAATTCATTTGATAATTCGGTTTTAAAAGAGAGTAATACTTCGACATTAGGCAAAGACAGTGTGGACTCGAATTTATCGAACGATAAGAAAAGTAAGAATCATACTGGTTTTTCTGGGGTGGATTTTTTATCTGCTGAAATAAACACTCCATTAAAGTTGTCAGAAAAAAGTGAAAACTCTTCGTACTACACGTGCGAGTCCAGTGCCCAGAGCTCTATACCTTATGATGAAAGTCATAATAGTACTCCTGGAGATAGCATAGATCACAGTGGAGCGTCTCCGATCAGTCGCAAAATACCGAGCAGATTGGGACTTTATTACAAAGGTCGCGAGACTGAGAGGAAAAGGAAGTATCGGAGCCCAAGCCCTAACCGTTCCAAGAAGGCCTATTTGAAGACTGGTCTGACCGGCGAAATGGAGATTTTAAGGCTGGATGCTGTAATCTCTCCGAAAGGTAATATGATTTTATTGATATACATATGTATCTACAGGGTGTCCAAGAAAATTATTCACTAAAAAATTGAAATAAAATATATCTTATAACTTTATTGAAAAAATAAAAACCATTGTTTTTTACGGAGAATTCAGTGGCGTAACTAGATTTTTGCTGCGAGTCGTCATTCTTGAAATACAACACAAACTTATGTTTTTATAAATAGGATACCCTATATATTATATTTTTATTTTATTTGCCTTCTTATGAGCTTTCTAAAAATATAACATACCGTGCTGGCAACTGTTACTTTTGGGTCTGCATTTACATGTGTGGAAGTAAATCGCATAGGGATCTTATTAAGCTGGAGTAAGAGAAATGCGATGGCGTGGTGTTGCCGGTATGCCTTTCCCTATCAAACTAGATAAAATTAGATATGTTTCTAAACATCTTAAATGGAATTATAAGAATATTGTTAGGGTGGCCATTTTTTTTATAACGAGAAAACGTCAGTAATCGCGATAATTTAAAAACTCAACTTTTTAACACATGACAAGCCATAACTTAAGAACCACTTTAGATATTGAAACTTTTTTATTGTGAAGATCTTTTATAATATGTGTAAATAAGAAAAATTCGGCAAGGTTGTTTTTTTCTTCATTCAAAAATTTTAAACAACCCATCCATTAACTTTTAGTGCATAGCAATTTTCAGCAATCGTGTAACTTTTTTATTTATAAAGATTTTCATATACAGTCTGGGAAGAGGAAGAAAATATAGCAAAAATGTTAAGAAAGTTATTGAAAACACTACGATCAATTATTTCTAATAGATTTCGAGATATCGATTTTTGAGTTCTAATAGCGCGACCACTGTCGAACACCAACTCAATTCCAGTTATTTTTACTAAAAGTGCAAGTGTTTCTAACTTGCACTTAAAAATTTTCAAGCTATAGGGAAAATTACAACGATTCGTTAATACATAAACAAATAAAGTATCACGAGACGTAATTAAGTCGTGAAGCTGAACGCATGATGTACACCTCTTCCTAAAACTTTATGTACTGATAGAGGTACTTAGAGGTTGACCGGTCGACTGCGACAAATCTGCTATTCCCCTTCCCCGTCTCTTAGCAATGTGCACAATTTCTCGGTTTTTTGTTCAAAAATTTTAAATATTTTTTCTCTCAAAAACGGTCAATGTTTGATATAGAGTGTTTAATATCAAAATTTATAAAATTTTACAGGGAATTTAAGTGTGCAATAAAAAATGGCAGCATCCATTTAAAATAAGAAAGTTGCTGTCAACTTCCGGTATTTCCGGAAGTGCCACCATATTGAAAGTATTTTTAATCGATAAATTTCGACAAAATAAAACACGAAATCACCACAATACACTTTATAAACTGAGTAGTAGTTTATAATCATCTGCTGATGATGCTAACATGGGTAGCGAAACGCGCGTCCAGTGTAAAAGTGTTTTGGTGTATTATGGTGATTTACTGTTTTATTTTGCTGTGTAACACCAAAGGTTCCAACCCTCAACTGTAATGATAAATCTCGATGTGAAACTATGATGTGTAAAAAATCTCCGAGCTAGATGTTGTAGTTCTGTAGAAACTTCCAATGCACGCTCAGCCTGGGACACCCTGTATATGAAAGAAAATTATTTTTTATTGTTCGCGTGCATCTATTTATCATATAATTATGAAAAATTTTAGGCGTGACATTTTCTACGCCAGTCTCAGCCCAGAAGACGTCCAAATCGAAAACCGCCAGGTTCGTCGTGCCCAACATAACCCCCGACCAAAAACGTCCCGAAGTCAGCCCCATAGTCAACGAAGCGCCCAAGAGTGAGACCCCCAAAACGCCCAGGACTCCATACAGAACGCCGAAATCGGTGAAAAGAGGTCACTGGAGCTCCGACCAACGCATACTGGGCACCCCCGATTACTTGGCTCCGGAACTACTGTTAAAAAGAGGCCACAACCACGCTGTCGATTGGTGGGCGCTGGGAGTGTGTCTGTATGAATTTGTGACCGGAATACCACCGTTCAACGATGAAACGCCGCAGCAAGTGTTTAAAAACATACTTTCTAGAAATATAGAATGGCCTACGGATGACGAGGCGCTTTCTGAACCGGTTGTGGAAGCTATAGAAGCGTTGCTAGTTCACGATCCAGACTGTAGGCCGGATGCTCAGAGATTGAGGAGCATGGACGCTTTCCGGCATCTGGATTGGTCGAATTTGCTGAGCGTGGGTCCGCCCTTTGTGCCTGATCCTTGCGATCATACGGACACGGCTTATTTCCAGGCTAGGAACGAGCTGTTGAACTTTGACCTGTCTAACTTCGATCTGTAACGTTACCAGTGTTTGAATTGTCTGTAAATTTATCCCAGAAGTGATATTTATTTTTAGTGCTTTTATAGTTTGAAATGTAATTTATTAGCATTTGTTGAAGTAAAAGACTTAGTTCATAATGTAATCTTTGATGTAATCTTCATACATCATTTTTTATCCTGCGCCTTACAGAAAGTATGATTTCCGTTATTTTTCAAAATCGTTTAGTCGCAAGGCGTCGCAGTAAGCTTAGATTAATATTTTAGTTTTAGTATTTGGATAAAAAGATTAAAGATAATTAAGGCAGAATTAAGGCTTCTGTCTCTCATGCTTGAATACATGGATAGCATTATACTCCTTTCTTAATCTTTTTATTCAAAAGGTTATATCTCTCTCTCTTTAAAATTACCGGGGGCGTCTCAAAAGTGGCTCACCCCTATAACTTTTTTATTTGTTCAGATAAAAAAAATGAGGTTTGATATATGTTAGTATATGATGTAAATTAGGATTGATTGACATATTCAATTGTTTTCAGTCACTTTCTGTTTGGTTTGGTTTGGAAATGACTACAACTTTTGATTTTTAAATGGCACCTTTGGTATTTTTTTGACTTTTTCAATAACATGACATATCAGTCAACTTTTGACATTTTCGCATATAGTTCATTTGAAATTATAACATGCGGTTCAAAACGTCAATTTGACTCGAAATATCAAGTGTGTGGTACCAAATTATTGGTAAGCAAACGCTTTTTCCAAATATGCTAATGAGCCCCCCTTGTTTCATTTGAAAAAAATGAGATATGATTAAAAATACGATCTGTGCATCTTTTAACTGACCAGGACAAGGCACTAAAAATATTAGACTATCAAATCTATTTTTCTAAGGCTCTTCGATTAAAAATTAGTGTTTTTAACACAGCTATGGCACTCTAGGTTGAAATTTAAAATACATTTTTTTTTCAAGGGAGAATGTCAAAAGTTGACATAGATATGTCATTCTGTTCAGAGTGTCATTTTCTATCGAATAAAGTAGAAATATACCGAGGATGCCATTTAAAAATCAAAAGTTGTAGTCATTTCCGGTGAAACAGGAAGGGGCCGAAAACAATTGAATATGTCAATCAATCCTAATTTATGTCACCTACTAACATATCAAAACTCGTTTTTTTATCTGAAGAAATAAAAAGTTATAGGGGTGAGCCACTTTTGAGACGCGTCCGGTATATGATAAACATTCTAAAAACGTTTTGGGAACTATTTAAGATGCGTATTCATTATCCGAACGAACGAACGAATGTTCGCTAGTGGTATGGACGGGGACCGTACGATAGAACCGCACGAGAAGACCGGACGCGAACGCCTTTGATGTACCGACTCGAAACGGATGGTCGAGCGAACGAACGAACGAACGGCCGCATGCGTTCGGTCCCCGTGTAAATATACCGCACTTTCATTCATTCGTTCGTTCGTTCGTTCGGATAATGAATACGCACCTTTTTATGTGTTGTAGTATAACGTTTAAAGGTGCGTATTCATTATCCGAACGAACGAACGAATGAAAGTGCGGTATATTTAGACGGGGACCGAACGCATGCGGCCGTTCGTTCGTTCGTTCGCTCGACCATCCGTTTCGAGTCGGTACATCAAAGGCGTTTGCCATGAAATGCGTCCGGTCTTCTCGTGCGGTTCTATCGTACGGTCCCCGTCCATACCACTAGCGAACATTCGCTCGTTCGTTCGTTCGGATAATGAATACGCACCTTAACAATATTTAGAACCAGTAATTCCCGATATAGACTGCCTGTCAAGAATTTTAATGTAAATATACGCCTATCGTGACATTATTTTATTTCTATCAGACGTCATTTTTCCCAGTATCAAAAATAGTATCGTATGATAAAAAAAAACGGCGTTAGCGGTGGCTATGAAATGAAGATCGCCGTCATTTTATATGTAAAATTATATGGGGAATGTCATCGATCGTCATTTCCAAGCCAACTGGACGCCGTTTTTTCGATCATACAGTATTTTACACTTTTACAGTACAACCAATAAATAAAGTTTGTCCAATGAGAAAATTCATGACAGTGACAGTTGTTCATTTTAATTCATAGACAGATTGTATTTTCTATTTCCTGTTGTTTTTTTATGTCGCACAGAAAATAATATACTCTATTTGCGCCGGATCAATAATTATTTGCAAACATATAGATATATCGTGAATGGTTAAAAGGTATTGTAGATTTTAAGCTCATTGATTTTTTTTATTAAAAATTTTCATTTTAATTCAACTTTATTACTGGACATTTTATTCTTGTTTCAAACTTTTATAATTTTTAATTTTCATTATTTCTATATCGCCCTGTATGACTATTGGCGTCTTTGGTGGTCTTTCACATCAGACTCATTTATGCTTTTTTTTCTCTATTTTATAGTATTTTTTATTGTTAATTAATTCCAAATACGTAATTCTTTCTCAAAATTATTTTTTTTATAGAATTTAAATTCAAATGTTGGCTACACTGCTTATTCTGGCCTATTAGTATTGTACAATATCGACATTGAAAATTATCGATACTAGATGATATTTTCTTGTTGACTTGCCGTAAAAATTATTATTTCTTTGTATTAAAGATTAACTTAATATCGTAACTATTGCTGTGTTAATTTGTCTAACGTGAACTATTAATTAGTAAATAATATTTCTTTTAAATAATTAAAATATTTTGTATATTTTTGTGAAGGCCCATAGCCCATTCTTAATATTCTGACATTTAGACATTAGTTCCCGCCTTTTTTAACCTTACTTTTTTCGTATTTATTAAGAATACTAGTGGGTAATTTTTCATTAAGTTTTTAAGAATAAATAATGGATATAACAAATATTTCCATTGAAGATTGGATAAAAGACGAGGAAGCTCATCTTAAAAGCCTAGAAGAACGTGATGTCTGGGAGAAAGTACCCCTAATTAACTCAAATCCGATACACGAATTTAACGATGGAACTTTACTAAGATTTCGTGGTATGATTCAAGATATGCACGGTCCAGAATATTACATGGTCGTGTTTAATATCATAAACGAACAAACAAATGAAAAGACCGTAAAAAATAGCAAGTATAGGGACATCATTCCCGATTGCGCCAAAGGGGAACAAATTGATATGGAAAATAATACTCATTTACCTGAAGAAAGACATAGTTATGCTGTGGTATCCGTTCCTGGTGTTAACTCGTGGGTTACACATTATGAATCTGTTAAATATAAATTGGAAACTAAAAGTGATCATATTGAAAGTACATCTAACCAAAATAAACGAACATACAATGAAGCAATGGAAACTGATGCACCTACAGAATCAAATCTAGTTAAAAAGCCAGTCAATACAGAAACTGCTACGCCAAAACCTGAGAATTCACTTTCATTATCTCCAGAATATATTTTAAATCATCCTTTAGGCGATTCAAAGGGAACAGTTTGCCATATGAAGGTATACAAGGAGAGTGAAAACTTAAAATTGAATGATGTGTGTGAATTTGTTGGTTTCTTGAGTTTAGGTTCTGTTCAATGTGATGAGGATGATTTGGAAATGCAAACCCATCATCCACCAACTAGCTTAGTTCCAAGAATTCATGTAGTGCATTTTAAGAAAATGACCCACTATAATCCTTTGGTAGATTCTGAATTATCTGGAGATGTGACTAATTTTGTTAATATAAGGAAAGAATTGTTAATAGTACTTACACAGTTATTACTTGGAGATGTTTTAGCTGCAGAATATATGATTTGTCATTTGGTTTCAGAGATCTACTTACGTAAAGATTATATGGCTCTCGGACAATTCTCATTAAATATCTCTAATGTCCCTAAATTGGAAAACTTTGATTATGTTAAAGAGGTATATAAGTTTCTGGAACTGTTAGTACCAAAAAGTCATTATTTACCGTTGACGTTAGAAAATATGAACACTTTAGAGTTTATTCCAAAAAAAGATTATGAATCTAATAGATTGAATAGTGGTATCTTACAGCTCAGCCAAAATACTCTTTTAGTATTAGATGAAACAAAACTTGAAGAAGGTAAATTAGATGTTGCAGGTGTAAAATCTGTAAAATGCTTAGCACAAGCCATCAAAAACCAAAAAGTATCCTACGACTTTAATTATTATCCTTTGGAATATGATTGTGACATTCAGTTTCTGATTTTTTCAGAAGGTAAAAGTATGTTACCTTCGGATGTTCTCTTACCTCTAAAACCTGATGATACTTGTTTAAACACTTTTGGAGAAATACTGGAAGCGGCAAATCATTTTTTGAAACCTGAACTGTTGAATCAAATAAGAATCTATCTTACTAGAGCAAGATTGATTCAGTATGAGATATCTGATCAGGTCCAAAATTTGGTGCAGCAAGAATTTGTTAATATGAGACAAAATGGAAATGTTACTGCTCAGGATTTACATGGTTTGTTGGTGTTATGTCGGTTGATCTGTATATCAGAGGGGAAGCAAACTTTGGATCCAGAATGTTGGAAGAGAGCTTGTGAAATGGAAAAGGAAAGAAAAGCGAGAATTCCAAAGTGATTTGTTATATAAAATGTTTTTCATTCATGTTTGTATTTTTTTTATTTAATAAATGTCTGTATATTTCTGTAGTTTTTTTTCAAATTGTATCTTACCCATCTTACCTAGGCATTTTTCCCCAAAATTAATGTTCTGTCTTTGTTTAAAAACTTGATAATTAGTTTAATAAAGAAAAACACAATATAAGTTGTTCAATAAGGCAATATAGTCTCTAGTGGGAGAAGATATGACGGTGACAGTTGTTGACTGGGCATTTGAATTTAAAATGATGTATAATTTCTGTAATTTTTTCTTCATTGTCACTGGACAGACATATTATGATTTCATTTACAGACATTATGATAATATATAGTAAATTATAGTCTGTCTAATGGGAGGATCCGTGACTGTGACAGTTGTGTCTGTCATATTAATTCCCTGCAAAAGTGTATGTTGTAATTTTTCGGATGTCGTCTGTCGAAATCTTATCAGAGTCGTTGGACAGACTATATATATATATAATATAATAATATATAATATTTCTATAAAAATGGCATTAAATACCAACTCTATAGTCTATCCTATGAGAGTCTCTCTAGACATGACAGTGACAGCCTATAATTACACCTTATTTATCAATATACCCATGGAATATTGACATTTTAGATTATTTAAAAGCAACCAATGTACAAAATGTACAGGTGTTAAAAACAATAATATTGCACACAAAATACAAAAATAAAACTATTTAAATCGTACCAGAGCTAGCAACGTCCGAAAAACAAGTATTTTAAGACGTCTAGCTATTTGATATATCTTTTACTATGCTCTCTAGAACAGCATGCGGCCCGTCTGGCTGCCGGTAAACGTTGCTCTGAATCATCGGTTCGTTGTCGGAAACTCTACGCACTGCGCTATGGAGACACGTTCGATTTATATTCAATACTAGAATTTATAGGACTAAATTAATAAAAAATATAGGATCTTCTTCCGATGCGCAGTTGGGTATCGCAAGTTGGGTGAACGCAACGGGTATCGGCAGCCAGGCGGGCCGCATGCTGTTCCAGAGAGCATAGTAAAACATATATCAAAGAGCCAGACGTCTTAAAATACATTCTCGAAAACGTTGCTAGCTCTTAGACTATTAATATTATTAATTATTAATACAATTAATATACCACCATTATTTCCGCCCAAAAATTAGTTAATTATTTACATATTTGATTGTTTTAGTTAAAAATTATTCTAAATAAATGTGGATTTGAATCAGGAATGAATATAATAAGTTATGAAAATGAACATTAGTCACAAAAATGAAATAAAATTTATAAGGTGTTACTTTTTACCCCATTGTACACATACAAAATTCAGTTTTTTATTATTTGGAGCAATTATTATTAATCAACCCAAACAGTCAATTAATGTAGTTTGAATACTGGGACCATTTTACTTCGTCCTCTTTAACAAGCATTTAAATATATTTTTTAATTTTTTAATTAAAAAAAATAAACGAATTATATCCTTAGATTAAGAATAAAAAATTATATCCACCTGTATCTGTGTATATTAGTATCTGTACTCTTCGAAAATTTGTTACATCTTTAAAAATAATCTAAAATGTCAATATTTCATGGGTATATTGATAAATGAGGTCTAAATTATAAGAAAATGCATTTTTTACGAAAACTTGAAGAGATAGTTAAAAAATGGTATACTACAATTTGATATACAATTAAATTGTGCATCTGCTTCTCGTAAAATACACAGGGTGTTCCATTTAAATTAAAGAAGTTATTGCTGTTTAAAGCTGGTAATTATTTAAAATAAATTTTTAGACACTCTGTATAAGGTAGTATAATTTTTATTATTGCAACACAAAATTTAGTAAGTAGGGAAACTTCAGTGCAATATTTGGTGTTAAAAACTTAAATACGCCTAGAAAAATGAAGCATTAAAATACACTAACAATTTTAACAAAACGACAATTTTGACAAAAACGTAAATATTTTAAAAAGGGTAAAATTAAAATTCGGTAAACCTTAATCAAATTTACCTTTAGTTTAATCATATCTCAATAATCTTCATCGCTGTAAAGACCAGAGAAGAGTATGAATAAAATTAAACGTTTTTAGAAACAAGAGTGTTCAATGTGTTTTGCCAATTGAATACAAAGAGGAGGTTACGAAATCTTCAAGTGACGGTGAAATAGAGGTAAATTATTTATGAAATTGCTGAGCTTGTTTAAAAATAACTATTTCTTTTATCTAGTTGACTGCTGAAACTAATAGAAACAGTAGTGTAATTTACAATGCTCAATCAGAAAAGTACCAAGGGGTACAAGAAGATGAACATGTTCCTATTCATAGAGTTGAAGTAAGTATAGCTTATTTGTTTTATATTGAATTTCAAAATTGGTCAACAAACTAGCCAATGATAAAAAATCTGCACTCTTAAACATGCGAGAAATAAATGTGTGTAATTCAAACTTGTATTTATTTTATTTAATATTGCGTTGTAGACAAAAAGTGTAAATTAGGTAATAGGAAATAATCTAGATGAAAGCTGTATAGGCTTGGTACATTCTCTACCGGTGCTGCCACTATCGGAGAATATCGTAAACAACTGATATTAGCAAATACACGGGTTTAAATAGCGATTATACGAAAAATTTATTATACCGGGTGCGTCTCAAAAGTGGCTCACCCCTATAACTTTTTTATTTTTTCAGATAAAACAACGAGATTTGGTATGTTAGTATATGACATAAATCTGTATTGATTGACATATTCAATTGTTTTCGGTCACTTCCGGTTTCACCGGAAATGGCTACAACTTTTGATTTTTAAATGGCACCCTCGGTATTTTTTTACTTTATTCGATAGAAAATGACACTCTGAATAGAATGACATATCATATGTCAACTTTTGACATTTTCGCATATGGTTTATTTGACATTGTAACCTGCGGTTCATAACGAAAATTTGACTCGAAATACCAAGTGTGTGGTATCAGATTATTCGTAAAAAAATTCTTTTTCTAAATATGCTAATGAGCCACCCTCGTTCCATTTGAAAAAATTGAGATATGATTCAAAATACGATTTGGGCATCTTTTAACATGCCAGGACAAGACACTAAAAACATTAGACTATCAAATATATTTTTCCAAGGCTCCTTGATTAAAAATTAGTGTTTTCAACACAGCCATGGCACCCTAGATTGAAATTTAAAATGCAATTTGTTTTTGAGCGAATATGTCAAAAGTTGATATATGATATGTCATTCGATTCAGAATGTCATTTTCTATCGAATAAAGTAAAAAAATTCAGAGGGTGCCATTTAAAAATTAAAAGTTGTAGTCATTTCCGGTGAAACAGGAAGTGACCGAAAACAGTTGAATACGTCAATCAATCCCAATTTATGTCATATACTAACATACTAAATCTCGTTTTTTTATCTGAAAAAATAAAAAAGTTATAAGGGTGAGCCACTTTTGAGACGCACCCGGTATAATTATTCTAAAAGTGTCAGGAAGTATAATTTGTGAAAATTCTAAAAATAAAAATAAAAAAGGAAATATTTTGATATCTTCAGAAGGTCTAACTTGTATTATAATTTATTATTCCAGCTAAAAAAACTTCTTAGATGAGTTCAACTACCTACCGTAGCTTTCTGGGTAATAATTGGGGCTATTTTGGTTATAACGAAATTTTTCAAAGGTACATAATTATAATTTTAGAAGATGTCCATAAACATTTAATCACTAGTTGATTAAAAAAAGTATACCATTAATATTGCAAATATGCAATCAATCATAAACAGTAACCGGGACGGCGTAAAATACATAGCGAAAATTTCTGATTTCTGCCGTATACAGCGCTGCGGTCGGAATTTTTTGAAATCAATTGAAATGCATAAAATACTTCCATTTTTTATTCGAGATTCGAGTATTACTATTCATTTTCAAATGTTTCGTAATAAATAACATCCACCAGGCATAATCTCAAAGCAGTTTTACAGCAGACTGAAAAAAACTTATCTCGTTTGCTATTCACTTTAAACGTAGATTTTTGGAAGAAGATTAAATATTCTTTTCCACTAGTTTTTAAAATTGGAACGTTAATATTTGAATATTTTTGGCAAGTAGTATATCAGTATATGCATTTCTTGAAATAAGCCTGGGTAAAATAATCAATTGGGGGGTTCAATTCTTGAAAAAAACTCGGCACAGCTTTCTCCAAGAAATGTACCCGCCACAAAGGCCACTATTAATCTATTAGATTTAATACAGCTTTATTTTAAGGCCGATCACGAAAATTTAAGTTGCTACTACAGCGCTTCCCATACTGACAATCTGTCTACGGACGAACACGATAGTTTGAGAGACGTCAAAGAACCCAGTGAACCTACCACGTTGCTCAAGGAGTTGCACATATCCGACAGCGGTACCGATTTGTCAGAAAAAGGCCGATCCGAAGACAGTGACACTCATTGGCAGAAATTTTGGGCTGAGCATGGTAAGTTGAAGGCAAAGATGATTGGTTTAGAATGAGAATAGGTATGTTGGGTGGCATGACAGTGACAGTTGTGTCTGTTAGTTTAATTCGTAGGTAAATTGTAATTTTCTGTCATTTTTATGGATGTCGTTTGTCGAAATCTTCCCTGGCTCGTTGAATATATTTTAGTTGAAAACGATTGCAGAATAGTTGAAACGATTGCAGAATAGTTGAAACGTTCTTGTATTTTGACTAGCCATCTACCGTGTGATCGAAAAAAAAACGGCCTCTACTTGGCTGGGAAATCACGATTGAAGACATTTTCCATATAAATTTACATATAAAATTTGATATGTAATGTATTTGTATATTCTTTTGTATATTGCGAGCCCAAAGAATTCAAATTAAATGAAGAATACATAGGTATAATTTGTACTTATGTATAACTAAAGACAAAAGCTTTATCAATTTTTAATAAGCTGTTACATAATGCTTGTTTTAGGTGAAAAACTAATATGGGAATCGTGGATAACTAAATACAGCGCCTTTATCAATCCCAGTTACTTAAACTACGGAAATACCGGGGAATCACCCCTCGAAGACGCTAGCGGGAGCCAACCTGAATCCAGGTAAGATTTTATGTTTGATAAAAAAGTTACTATAGGTCATTCTTATGGAGATGTCGCCACTAGACATCAAAGCTATCTTCACTTACTACAAATTCATATAAAAAAAAATAATTTTCTTATAGTGCATTGAATAAGAAATTATTTTTTTTTTCTATCTATAAATGCCAAAGATATGTATAAAAGATAGACGAACTATATACATTGGTTTGTTTTGGCACAACCACGGAGGCTAAAAAGATGATTTAAATCGCAATACAAACATTTTGGACTCAGATTTCATAAAGTATGAAGTAAATCTTCTTTCTCTCCCTTCTTCATACTAGGCGAATCGCCTGTTTGGTTTCGTCGTCTCTACCGGTTAGACTGACAAGTTGTCGCTCCATCGTTTTCGTGGACGTCCTAAGCTTGTGCGACCTAGCGGTGATTTGTCGCATGCAACTCTCACTATTCTTCTGTTGTCCATTCTGCTGATATACTCGTTTCATTCTTTCTTTCTGCTGAGTACCCACTCATTTACTTTTTCCACCTTGCATGCTCTTCTTATGCTTTCATTTCTCTCCCTGTCCAGAAGCGTCTTTCCAGCTATTCTGCGTAGTACTCTCATTTCGGTTGTCTCTAGTAGTTGTTTAGTTTTCGCTGTATCAGGTAGAGTTTCTACAGTATATGTTATTATTGGTCGTACCATTGCCTTGTAAATTCTTGCTTTAGTTTCCAACTCAATGTTTTTATTTCCCATATTGTGTCATTCAAGCATCCTGCTATTCTGGTTGCTTTCGTTGTTCGTTCTCGCACCTCCGCCTCTACCATCATATCCGGAGATTTCTATGCCTAGATACTTAAACTTCATTTCTTGCTGGATAACTTTGCCCTCGACTTCCAGTTTGCATCTTAGTGGTAGTTTTGATGTCGTCATGCATTTAGTATTCGGGGTCGATATTATACCGAGAAGCAAATGAAGTAAAATGAAGTTTGAAAATCGTCGTTAGAGGCGCACGTGTCGCTCTACGGCTCAGAAATATACAGCTTCTTATCACAGGAATAACTATTTTGTTAAAAATTATAAAGTCAAGTTAATATTTCGGCATATTTTTCCAAGATTTAGCTTTGAGAAACGTGCTTTTTCTAATTGAGCAATGTGCGTGGCTAAAATTTTGAATACAAAACCTTAAATTCGAGTTTGAAAAGTTAGTTAGGTTATATGATATGCCAGATTTAGATATTCTTTTTCTAAGTTGTATCCTCTTTTAGTGCACACACGTGCTGAAATAATACCTTCCCTAGAACTGTTGTACAAAAAAGATAGAAGTTCTAGCAAGAAATGTATCACCAGTTCAACCTTTGATTTTATGTAAGCAGTAATATTGTTTAAATAAATAAATAAAAGCCTTTATTGTCAAAAAATTTTTCAATTTGTAGACAAAGGTAAACTAACAAATAAAGTAAAAAAAAACAAGGTACACAAACAAACAAACAAAAGATAATACAAAACATTATACAAATAATATTGTCAGTCTTATTGTTAAAATAAACATTTATAAATATTTACAATGTCAAAGAATAAAAAAATTAAAATAATATTCAAAAATATTTAGCCAGTTTATAGCAAAATATCGATGACCTCTAAATAAATTAATTTCGATGTCATTAGTAAATATAGCAATATCAAACATTAGCCCAGTGTTTTCAAGATCAAATTCGATTTTCAATTCAAATATAATTCATTTACGGCGTAGAAAGCCTTGTCTAGTAAATAAGAGTTCAATGCTCTGCGAAATGAAAAAAATGATGTTATGGATTTCATTTCAAATGGCAGGTGATTGTGCATTTTTTTCGAGTTGTATAATATTGAACTTTTAACTAACTCTGAGCGTGGGGTAGGTAGATAAAGATCTTGCTCCGCGTTCCTGAGTGGATAAGTTTAGTGTGAGATGGCCTTTCTTGAGAAGCTGATACATGTTTACGTATTAGGCAAACGGATTCAAATATAAATAAGGAAGGAAGAGTCAATATTTTTAATTTTTCAAAAAAGTCCCGGCAATGAGTTCTGCTGTTTAGTCCCAGTGAATATCGAACAGCTCTCTTCTGGAGCTTGAAAATGCGGTCAAATTGAGTCGCACAACACGTACCCCAGAATGGAAGGGCATACCTGAGGTGCGACTCAAAAAGTGCATAATAAACAGTTCTAGCCACTGACAAGTTAAGCTCCTTAGAAACAGACCTTAATGCAAATGTCCTTGTTGCTCCAAGTGAAGCTAGCGTCGTCCGCAAAAAGACATATTTTGCCACTGATGTTTATGTTAGCAATGTCGTTAATAAAAAGAAGAAACAAAATTGGGCCTAGTACTGAGCCTTGTGGTACTCCACATTCTATTGGCTTGCTAGAAGACAACGTGGTATTGGTACTAAAGACAACGTGTTTCTTGGTGAGAAATGCGAATTAAATAGTTTATGGTGTGATTGTGTTCATGGTTTTCACAAAAGTTTCACGGTTTTTCACAAAAACATTGAGAAGTTGACATGTTATCTTATCAATATCTTATCAAGATAACTTAATCATTAATGTATAGTGGATGACATATAAAATATTGCACCTTTACCTTTTGATGCTGTTATGTAACCTGAACTTTTTTTTTGCTGAAATGTTTTTGTGTTTATGTAGTGTTCTATGATTTTTACCAAGAGACATTTTGTACGTAAAAAATAGCGGAAATGTATATTTTTTACCAAGTAGTTTTATACAGATACAGACGAAAAGTTATTACCCTTCAAAACAGTTAAAAACGTGTAGGTGGCGCCTAGGAGCGGTCGTATTACAGGGAGCAAGGTTTAATTATTAGGATTTTTTCAAAAGGATTGGGCATGCTCAAAATTGCCGCCTTTTCATAATTTAATTATCAAAATGTCTTCAGATATTTTCCTAAATTTGCCATTTTTGTATTTCCACTTATTCTGTTCTTTTTACAAATACTAATTACCGATTTTAGACCGAATAGTTTAAATAAATATTTTTTTCAGGCCTGACCGTTTTTCGTTCGAAAAGAAAGACCTCAGGAACCTCATTTCCGAGTCGGTCACTAAGAGCGACTCCGAAAAGTCCGCCAGAATACCGATACTGACTAGATTTCTATCGACCAGCGACGACGAAAAAATATCCGGTGACGTATCGGAAGGTTGGAACCCTCTCTCACCCATAAGTCTCGATTGCGAGACAGAAGCAGAACGACTCCTGAGCTCTCGTTGCGGCTCGCACACCAGCAGCAAGTCCCACAGGTATGTATCGTAAAGTAATGGACAAAACTCAAATGGCGGACACAAAAAATTGTCTATATTATATCATATTTGTGTCTAAAAAGAGAGAAACTTGTGTTTCGAAAATGAATCGACAATAAATGTAAACCCTGTTTCCAAAATGTTTTGATTTAGCGCTATCTGTGTAGAAATTTCGAACTAGTCACCTGTCAACAACGCCAATCAAAACTTCTGATCAAAATAATTAAAACATTTTTATTTACTTATTAGAGAGCTTATTATAACACAATTAAAACATAAAAATATATATTTCATTGTGGAAAAAAGAGAAAAAAAACGTTTGCTGGTAACATTTTTCTTGTTTCTGGTCTCCTGTTGGTCATGAGTAGTAGCTGTTATTACATTTAATCCTAAAACAAAATCATCTCTATAATGCATATAATAAATAATTATAAAATCGCATAAGAAAAATATTTGTATTTGTACTCACTATATGTCCTTCCTTCTGCTTTTTTAATTCTAGGACTATAAAAACTGGAAGAATGCTTAAATGCAAAAACTGCAGAACAAAATCCAAACAATTAAACTACAGTTATGTTCTCATATTTGACAGAATATCAAATATATTATGTAAACATTTCAGGCACAAAACGGGTACGAAATCTGTAAATGTGAGCCACATCTGTTTCTTAAAAGTTTCGAAAAATTTGTAACACTAAGATCTTTATTGTTATAGCTTATGTAGCGAAACCATATTTTGGTAAAATGTTTCGAAACAAAAAGCTATTTATGTTACGAAACATATGTATCAAAAATGCTACAATGTTGTAGTGTGCTACTTGTGAATGGAACTGTTACTGTTATTCTGTTTTTATTTCTACCCACAGAACGGTGGATTCTATGACCAACGTCACTCGACTGACAGTCAGCTCTTTGGAGTTCGTTCACAGTTCGAGTTCAGACAGCATATCAACCGTCAGCTCAGTTCCAAGTTCAGATAATTCTGAACCCTCGGAAGAGGACTACCAGCACCAGTGGAACGAGCTGTGGAGGGATCACTACGAAAAAGAGTACTTGTTCCACTATAACCAGTTCCTAGCGCGGGAGATCGAAGCAAGGGAAGATAAAGGTAGCGATTCGGAAACGGTCGTAACATTGGGCGACTTGATTGAAGGTTTGAAGATGACTGAGGAAGAGAATCAGGATCAGGACGAAACGTTAGCGATGGAAGCGATGGGGTTGCCTGCCGCTTTCGGAAGTGGACAGAAGTCGAGCAAGGTGTCTAGAGATGGAGAAGGTGGTGCAACGTAAGTAAATTATATTAGTTGCATATTAGTAGCATTGTTTGCAAGTCATGACGACAGGTCGAAGGCCAGGGCTTAACAGTCTTTTTGAACAACGTGGTAAATACAAAAAAGGCCATCAGTAATTTTACGACTTTCTTTTTTTCATTTTCTGTGAGCAAAGAGAGTTTTCAGGTGTTTTTTAACAATAACGTGTGCTGAAAAGGTTTTTTCATAATTTGATAAAATTATATGCCATTATTATCAAGATACGTATTATTATCAAGATACGTAAGAGCTTACACACTGTACTTACGAAATACATTTACTCTATTAATAAGTACTGTTGGCCACAAAATAAAACAAAATCCTGACTTTTACTTTTTAACTAAAAATTTAAAAAAACTTCAATTTTTTTTTTATGAAAAATAGCTCATAGATGTGTTTCTGGGGTCAAAATATACTACCCCTAAAAATATTTACCCTTATTTAAGATTCACCCTGTATGCTAATAGAAAAATTTATTATAAAAAAAAATATAAATCAGTAAAACAATTATAAATTTAATTTAAAAAATTATAAACATTTAATCATCTAAACTAATGTCGTCTTCCGCATCAGGGGACTCGTGACCATCTACATTTTGAGATAAAGTACCAGAAGCAGGTGTACATTTCTTATTCTTATAAAGCTGGGTTTTGATCATTCTATTCACCATATCTTGTACACCACAGCTTACACACTGTACTTACGAAATACAGTTCCCAGCTAAGTGTAGTACTTCTTCTCATTCATAGATGGCTCTCGTAATGAAATTAATTACATTTACTCTATTAATAAGTACTGTTGGCCACAAAATAAAACAAAATCCTGACTTTTACGTACGGTAATAAATTTGGACTGTGTATTAGCGGAAATTACCCTATGGTTGGCAACCCTGAAAGGAGCCAGGAGCGTCATCATCATTTTGCCGGGCACACGCCTCCTCGACATTAGAGAGTGCCGCGTGAAATAATTGGAAATATTATTGTTGCGAGCCGGTGTGGACTCGACCTAACCTCACAATATGGCCCGCCCTCGGATGACCTTAACATCGCATAGACACCGCAATGATTCATTCGTTCGAGAAGAATCGAGACCCACTAGAATGGACTAGAACATTCGAGAACATTCGAAAACCTTCTCTATGCGCCTAACGATCTATGGACTATTCTAGATTTCTTTTGCTGTAGGTATAAAAGCCGGCGGCAGTGGCCTAGAGAGGGCAGTTATAAATATACAGTTGACGCGCTAAAATTCAAAATAAATTCTTAGTTATAAATCGTTTGTAAATAGTTCTATAAGTCTTTTATCGTTATTATTTTTGTTCATTAGTGTTAAATAAATTGTGACTTTCTATCCACACGGAACCGACGAAAAACGTAACATTATTTTATAGTGCTAGAATAAAAGTTTCTAAGCTCGCGCTCATGGATAACCAAACCGTCGAATCACAAGCAAGGGGCGGGCGCTATGCGGTTCCGCTCCAGGCTTTTTCTTTGGCTGCGGCCACTCTAAAGAGACAGTCTACGCCTTAGCGTCACAGTTAAAAGTCCATAAGTAATTTATTTCAATATAATATAACCTGTGGTTTTAAATGTTTTCCTATAATTTGATAAAAGTAAGTCTAGTTTGAACATTCTCTAGTAGAAAAAAATCCTATATGAGTATTTCGCCACTGCACTGCAAAAAAAATCTACAAAATAAAATAGTTTGTAATTTTTTTGTAAACACTTCTGAGAAAAAATGCCTAACGTTTCAGAAAGTTTATCTCTTTCCGTCGTCGGAACCAAAAAAAAAATACGAAGAATAACGAAAAAAACTATTTAAAATATTTAAATTCAACCATTCGAGAACACTCTACTTTTTTAAAACAGATATGTCTACAAGATTTTTTTGGAGAGACTCTCTCTCTCTCTCTCTCTCTCTCTCTCTCTCTCTCTTCTATACCTCTATTCTCTATACTTTCCCGCTTCGTTTTTGAAAATCGGTCGAGTCATTGAGAAAATATGAAGGATTGAAATTTGAAAAATTTATTTAAACATTTATCAGAGAAAATGATAAGGATAAGTTCCTTCGACTAATTTGCTGTTTTTTCTTATTATTTCTAGATGTTTACGCATTTTTTCACTTGCCATAAGGTTGAACAATCATGTGCGATAGATAGCTGTTCTGTGACTTGTGCGTTGAAGTTCTTCTCAATATCGTTAAACTGACCTACAATAGGATTTCCAAAAATACCAGCCCACACGTTCAATTTCTGAGGGTTTTGTGTGTGCACCTCGTGAAAAACCCTGGGATTGTCCTCAGCCCAGTACCGACAGCTGTGCCGATTAACTACACTGTTCAAAAAGAAACTCATCCGAAAAACACACATTAAATAGGAAATTATTATCATTCGCCACTCATAGTTTCACAAAATTGCAAGCGACGATCAAAATCGTCTTCGTTAAGTTCTTGTACCAACTGAATTTTGTACTGGTGGAACTTGTGTTTTTTTAATATCCTGTGGACACTTGTACGATTCACGCCGGTCTCATTGGCTAATTTTCCTGTACTCAGCGTACTATCCATGGCAACTTGGCCCAATACGAATACCTCCATAGCTTCATTTACTACAGGATTTTCCCTTTTTGCCTCTTTTTATTCATAACGGAACCAGTTTCGCAAACTTTTGTTACTAACTCGCGAACAATTTTGCCATAAAGGTGTTTGTCAGGATAGCGTTCATTGAATATGTGCGCAACCCAATACATTCATTATTTATAAAATAAAGTTCGATTATTTCCACTTTTTCTGCAAGTGAGTACACCATAATTGTTAAAAAGTTTAACGATATTGAGAAGAACTTCAACGCACAAGTCACAGAACAGCTATCTAGCAACGACCGCACCTGATCGTTCAACCTTGTGGCAAGTGAAAAATGCGTAAATATCTAGAAATAATAAGAAAAAACAGCAAATTGGTCGAAGGAACTTATCCTTATCATTTACTCTGATAAATGTTTAAATAAACTTTTCAAATTTCAATCCTTCATATTTTCTCAATTACTCGACCGATTTTCAAAAACGAAACGGGGAAATATAGAGAATAGAAAGCTCTTTTCATTGAGGTGCCACTTGACCCCCCTTCCCATTTAAAAAAAGCTGGGGGATGGCACCCCCGCTTAGAGGGTTGAAAATTTTGCAATCATTTTTGGGGCAAAAGTTGTCCCCCTCACAAACAAAATTGACGTGTTTTTGAATTTTCTGAAAAAAAAATTACTCTGGCCGTTATGCCTTGCGGAACGTTTTCGATGAACCACCCTGTATAAACCTTTCCTATCTAAATTGAATTAATTGTTACCATATAAATATTTTTTGGCGATTTTAATTTCGCTTTAACTCATTTTCCAGCCTTACAAAGATGCCATCTTTCGAATCGGGAAGACAGAAAATCAAGGCCGCCATGAACCTAATAATGGCTGAATTTTCCGAAGGTTCCGACGAACACATGACCGGCGAAGTCGAGTACCGTACCAAGCACATCAGGCATCAAAACAAACACCTGAAGTTCTCCAAGGAAGCGAGACACGTGTATTTCGACGAGGACGGCGAACCGATCCCGCCCTCTGAGGGTTTACGACATGACGTTTCGGTCGAGGAACAGGCCAACGACGTGATACTGTCAGTGTTGAGCGACAACTCGGAGGATGACAGGTCCGATACGGAGGTGGTAGAGAAGGTGGAGGAGATTCCTGCGCCTGCGACGCAGAAAAGGAAACGGAAAAAGATGAAGAAGAAAAAGGTGATGTATCCGCCGGAGGTGAAGGCCTGTCAAAAGATAAAGAAATATTGGTCGAGGAGGTTTTCCTTGTTCAGTCGGTTTGACGAAGGGATCAAATTGGACGAAGGTAAGATATCATTTTATGTACTTGTTTCCCTTATTTTTTTATTTATTTCATATACACCAGAGGCATTTCACAAAAATTACAATTAGAATAGATAATACAGATATAATATATAGTCTGTCCAACGACAAGATCCTTGACAGTGATAGATGTGTCTGTCGTTTTAATTTCAAAGTAGTTTATTTTATTTTACAAAGAAATAAGTTGGTACAACTGGAACGCATAGCAGGAAATTAATATAATTTAAAATTTGACTGATAAGTGGTTACTTCAAAATATTGAGAAAAAAAAAACGGTATGTGTTAATACCGTATGATCGAAAAAAAACGGCGTCCAGTTGGATTGGAAATGACGATCGATGACATTTCCCATATAATTTTACATTTAAAATGACAGCGATCTTCGTTTCAAAGCCATCGCTAACGCCGTTTTTATTCGATCATACGATACAAAACAAACAAGAACCAAGCACCACATACCAAAAAAATATAAAAAAGAACTATTCCTTACTTTCAAGCTTCAAGAAACTTTTTGCATTTATTATTATATTTATCAATATAACTTATGTACAAATACAAATTTGTAATATTCCACAGGAATAAATAAAACAACATAAATAAAACGAACTATTTTATTAATAATAACACTTACCAAATTTTATACCTTAAAGGTTGATTAATTAACTTTAATCTTAATTTTTTTAAACCAGTACCTTTTGACATTATTTTTCTGCAGTACTAAAATCTATTATTTACCTATCGTATGATGTCGATATTTTACAGCTACTCCAGTAGTATATGTTTAGTTCGATCCTTGTACCATATACGAGATGCACTTATCTACGACGAGATGGTAATCAAACTTTATTGGGGTATAAGACTTTCTGCCTGGGAAGCGAATATTAACTATAAACTGTGCTCTGGGTCTACAGTTAATTTTCCTTCGATTTTTCCTTCACTTGACTTCAAAAGATACAAAACACACGATTCAAAATTGCTGTCCTCCATTCACGAACTTCAAGTTCTAGAGCTTTACGCCCTGGGCTACGCGAGAACGGTTCTGTGCGCGATAGCCTGTGGCGTTCTGACACAGTTCTGAATTTTATGACTCAATTGAATGGAGTGAGAGTATCGCGTTCTTGAACAGTTAAGAGCTGCACAACTGCGTGAATGGAGGACAGTAAATGCATCATCTTCCAAAACGCAGATATTTGACATAAGTCGATACAAAATTATAACCTATAATTTGGCAAGACTTTGAAAAGCCTTAAAAATCTAAAGGCGAGTTCATACGCATCGGCGTCCGTTTGTCGTTCATCGTTCCGTCAAACCAATAAAATTGAAATATGATCTGTCATTTTTGAAATATACCAATAAAATTGGTTAAAAACAACAAGAGACGACGCATAACGGATTTATATTTAAACCCATCCATAGTTAACTTAAAAAATATTAGAAACTTTTTTTAGTAAAGTAAATAGATTTGTATGGGCCGTCATCTGCTTTTCTTCTGTCACCGTCTGTCGAAATCTTACCTGGGAAAAAAACAGGGAATCATTATATATTTCTTGTGTTATAAAAAGTAAAAATAGTTAAATAATAAATTTTTAACAAATAGCTTAAATAATAGTAATTTATGCAGTTGCATAGTTGGAAAAAACAAAATAGATGTTGTTCAGGTGCAACGATATAAAACTACCCGTCTTATACCGAGTACACGGTTCGCAGTAAATAAAAGTCGCGATTTTATAAAACACTAACTTTTACTTATCACAAAAGAACTAGTTAAGTGAATAGAGCCGACTTTGATACAGTATTTAACTATAAAATATGCTATAAAAGTACAGAACGATCGTTTTCTTACAGCTCTCATCTACATTGTAATATGATTGTACTATGATGTATATAAAGTGGTACCGTAATATAGTACCATATTACGATACCATTTCATGGCGTTCGATTGTTTTTAAATTTGGTATACTACGGATCTTCGGTGACATTGCAATATTATGGTACCTTAAAGCATATCAAGTTGTACCATAATATAGTACACTATTATGATATCATTTCCTGGAGTTCGATTGGGCCCAAATTTGGTATACTTGCGTTTCTTTATAAAGATTTGTTTAATTAATAATTTTAATTTATTTTACGAATTTTAATTTATTGATCGATGTCGTGACAGCAACTTTTATGCCGAACTAATATATTATTAATTGTACCTGTGCCACTTTTTAAAATCTACCTAGGTCTATATAAATAACGTGGCAAACGGAAGAAATTTGTTATTATAGTATTTTTTAGTCAGTTAACATTTTTGTACTGCATTTTAATAAATTATTTCCATTATTATTAAACTTATATTTCATTACTAACGTTCCAGCATTAATAAATATCACTATCAATCGCCCTCTATATTATTAATTTTAAAGGTAATTAAAGGTATTTTTTTAGTCAACATTATAAGGTAGTGTATATTAAAAATATACAACAAAATATATTACAAAACATATATGTTTTGTAATAATATACTTAAAACTATTTTAATAGCCAAAGGAATAATTAATATAAGTGTATCTGACAAGAAAAGAAGAATAGAAAGAAACACATACTGCATTATACACAGTAAAAAGAATGGGATGCCAATTCAAGTCTTTTTGAATCTGGCAACTGTGCATATTTAGCCGAGCTACAAGGCAGTCGACGAGCCGTCGATCCAAAACCGAAAGTTCAAAATTTCTAATTATATTCTGATTATGACATTGTCGCGCCATCTAGTATTCTATTTGTGCAATTTTAGCTCTTTCATTTCGAGTATTTTTCTGTTGCGTAGCTAGATATTCTGTGCTACAAGTAAAGTGGCGAATCTTTTATTTTATCACCAGTTCGCCAATAATATTTCGTAGCGTAGTTGCGAAATGAAACATTTTTCAAACTTAATGATTGTTTATTCTAACGTTAATTGTACTTTATTTTTAGAAAGTTGGTACTCTGTGACACCGGAAAAGGTAGCGAAACACGCAGCTGAACGATGTAGTTGTGACGTCATCGTAGACGCTTTTTGTGGGGCCGGCGGAAACTCAATACAGTTTGCTTCGACTTGTAAAAGAGGTAATAATTAATTTAAATAAATGTTTGATAGATGTTACTATTTTAATAATTATTGAGTTTAAATTGGTGGTCTCTGTATTTGTACCGGCTGATTTTCATAAGTGGCACATCTCTATACCTTTTATATTTTTGCGGATAAACGATATTTGGTATGTTAGTATGTGACATAAATCAGGATTGATTGACGTACCCAATTAGTTTCGGTCACTTCCTGTTTCACAGGAAATTACTACATTTTTTGATTTTGAAATGGTACTTTCCGATATCGGTCCTCTTTCCTATATGGTCCTTCGATATTTTTTTACTTTATTTGATAGAAAATGACTTGAGATGATTTGATAGATTCTGAATAGACTGTCAACTTTTGATATTTTCGCTTAAAGAAAAATAGTATTTAAACTTCAATCTGCAGTGCCATTGCTGTGTTAAAGCCACTAATCTTTAATTAAGGAGCATTAGAAAAATAAATTTGATACTGTAATGTTTTTTCGTTGCGTTTCTTGGCCGGTTAAAAGATGCCCCAATCATATTTTTAATCATAACTCAATGTTTTCAAATGGAACGAGGGTGGCTCATTAGCATAATTGGAAAAGGAATTTTTACCTAATAATAAGGTACCAAATATTTTCGGTATATCGAATCAAATTGTCGTTATGAACACAGCCATTGTACTCTATATTGAAATTTAAAATACTATTTTTTAAGCGAAAATGTCAAAAATTCACATACGATGTGTCATTCTATTTCAGAATGCCATTTTCTATCAAATGAAGTAAAAAAATATGGGGGGTACCATTTAAAAATTAAAAATTGCAATAACCTGTCTGAGAACATGTGTATTAAATGCTCTACCTCTAATTTTTTTCCTTTTGCAGTCATAGCAATCGATATCGATCCTAAAAAAATCGAACTGGCCAGAAACAACGCCGAAGTGTACCAGGTGGCCGACAAAATCGACTTCATAACTGGCGATTTCTTCCAACTGGCTGACACCTTGAAAGCTGACGTAGTATTTCTCAGTCCACCTTGGGGTGGACCAAGCTACCTGAAAGAGCCAGAGTATGACTTGGAAACCATGCTGCAACCTTTTTCGTTTTCGAAGTTGTTCGCTGCCGCTAGTTGTATATCGAAGAATATAGCTGCTTTCTTGCCGCGAAACTCAAATACTTATACGGTAAGATCCGATTGTAATTAACTTTGTAATATTTTTAACCATTATGTTCTGTCCAATGGGGGGATCTCTGACCATGAGAGAGAAATAATGGAATAACTTTTCGCTAGTAAGTAGTAAGTGACTATGTAATATATGTACATACGTGTAGTAAACCGATTATTTATGAAATTTACTTAAAATTAACTAATTATATACTTTTTCTTGCATTTTTTTATTTACTACTTTTCAAAGATTAAAAGAATTTAGATACAGGGTGGTCCGAACTGTATTCCGGAAACTTCGGCAGCATATTCTGCAGATAAAAATAAGTAAAAAAGTTCATATAAAGGTATGTCTTAAAATACTTAGTTTCGGAGATGCAGGGTGTAGAAGTTTCATTTTTATTTCAATTTTTTCCGAATAATTTCTGAAGTAACTTCAATATTTGGATGAGAATTGGTGTCTGGGAGTTTTTTGACATAAGAAATTTGATGATATCCAAAAAATGACAAAAAGTACAGATATCCTTCTTGGACAGATTTTAAATTTGTGCTATATTAAAACTAATCTTTTTTTTACATATCAGAATGTAATAATATTTTATTATATTACTTAATTTTAGTTAGTACATTGTGCTGGACCTGGAGGAAAAGTGGAGATCGAACAAGACTTCATCAACAACAAGCAAATCGCAATCACAGCCTACTATAATGATTTAGTTAAAGAATAATCTATCCTAGAAAAATAAATACCTATATTATTGTACTGTAACGAGTATATTACGTTAAGACACTGGTGGTTCAACCGATTTGCTCAATCTGTTCACTGTCACAAGTTTCACAAGAGTTTTTGATTTTTTTAAATGTACCAAGAATGCCAAGTTATATACAGATTAACTTGATTTTTCCACCAGTCGTTTAATCTAATACAGGTCAGATCAAAAGGAAATTTCGTCAAATCAACCATGTTATTTTGGAACATTTTGCAGATTGTCAAATATTCCGAAAGATCAAATTGGCTTTCAACATTGACACAGCCATAAAAACTATTTTATCATCTAAAGCCTGCTTTATTAGCTTTGTTCGGGTTCTTGTTATTACCGATTCTGAACCGTTCTAGAACTGTGATGCGTATGCGCAGAAGAAAATATGAAGACATTATTTCATTTGCGCATGCGCTGCAGAGTTCTAGGACGGTTCAGAATCGGTAATAACAAGAACCCGAAAAAAGCTATTATAAACGCTTTTCTGTATGACCAATAAGTTTTATGATCAAGCTGGCGTTGGATGTTCACAGTTAGCTAAATTTTAGTGTAATTTCAGATAAGACTTCAATCTGTCATTGTCTAAAGTTCTCTTCATTCAAATTTTGATCAAAATTCATAATGCAGGTATCGTTAAACAGCAAAATGTTGTTTTTATTTTATTCAGAATATTGAGGATATTTCTTTTAAGTCCAAAACATTTTTAGAAATCTTATCTGATATTATTTTAACTCCTTAACAAACTACATGTATAATCAATATACATATAGAGATAAGAAATAATATTTTATTTATTTTTAGGATTATTGTTAAGATATAACTCTTTTTTCAATATTTTTTAGTTTATGTCGCAGTAGACAAATAATTAGACAATATATTTTACAGTTCTCTTGGTTAGAGTACACTTCATTATAACTTTTGATCATACTACATTATAAGGATCTAACATTGATAAGATTCTTATAATTATTGCTATTATAGGTATATGAAGGGTAAGGCAAAAACTGACGATATCTATTTTATGGAATTTTTAAGTAACACATCATAAATTGTAATTGAATATTATATATATATATTATATTGAATATAACAAATAATGTCCAAATAATAACGTTTACAGTAATAAATTTTTGTATCTTTAACATGGCATTTGATAATATTAAATTATCGTTTTCTCCGTAAGTCGGTTTTGTGACATCGTCGGTTTTCCCCTTACCCTTCATATGTGGTTGATTTTATCGTTTTTTTGGTCAAGCAGTATAATATGGAATACAGATGGAATATATTTGAAACTGTCGCTAAAACGATGCGTGTCATTTCCTTGTGTTCACGTTAATTTATATCGGTCTGTGATCACTTTCGTGTAGCTTTTAGGTGTAATGCAAAGTAATTTGTATTTACATTATACGTATTCAAACTCCTTTTGTTTTTATAAATCCCCCAAAATGTTCCCCAATATCTGTTCAGTCCCAGAATCGTTAATTTTAAATATTTAAATTTTGAATTTATTTTGTTGGTAACATTGCTTTGTAAACTTGACCGTAGTGATGTGATATCGATGCGAAACATCGATATTAAAAGATCGTCGCGGAGTAATCGATAAAAATTACCCAATACTAGTTTACGGTTGGTATCATTAGTTACTTATTCAATGGTTGGTACAATGCCGTCTCTAATAGAACAGCCTTGGGGCGAGATTTATGACGTCACGCTAGTTAGATACTACGGATTAATAAATATGTTGTAGAATACATGGAAAACATAATTATTCCTCAGATTTTTGGTTTGTATTTTAAAAATTGTATAGTTCACATGAAATATACATAATATACAGTTAATAACTACAACATATATACCTATTTATAGTAATAAATACTTTGGCAAATAAACTATGAACCATACAAATGCAGCAAATGTTTTACAATATACAAATAATGTATTACATAAGATATTGGGTAAAATGTAAATATATTTTAAATTTTGTGGTTTGAAAATCGATCTAATTTAACAAAAACATTCAATATCTACTAATAGTGATGTATTATTATTTGCATTCACAAAATTTATATGTATATTTTGCAAGTATCAATGTTCGAAAAATTATATTTACAAATAATACAATATCATCTAAAAAAGGCGTCAGCGATGGCTATGAAATGAAGATCGCTGGCATTTTATATATAAAATTATTCTAAAATTTTTGATTTTCTTGGGATTTTTTAGGTTCGGGGAAAAACGCTGATTTAAGTTTTCTTTTGGGTTTCATTATTTTTATTTGGTTTAAAAAAAAACGTTTTGGCTAACTATAGCCTTCATCAGTGTTGTGTCATATGAAAAAAATAGTGTCGAATATAATCCAAAAAATTACATATGAAATATTCACATCACATAATGTTTACTGCAATTAATAAACTAATATAGACTTATCAAAAGATGACCACATATTTTTTAGAATTATTATTCTTAACAGTAAAACTATCTACATTCATTATGGAGACTATGGAGTACACAGTAAACATTATGTGGTGCGTGGTGTGAATATTTTATATGTAATTTTTTGGATTATATTCGACACTATTTTTTTCATATGACACAACACTGATGAAGGCTATAATGTTAGCCGAAACGTTTTTTTTTTAAACCAAATAAAAATAATGAAAAACCAAATGAAAACTTAATCAGCGTTTTTCCCGAACCTAAATCCCAAGAAAATCAAAAAATTTAGAATATTTAGAAACAAGGTTCAAGAATATCAAATTTTCCAAGATTGTAAAATTCTAGTTAATTTTTTTATGTGTACAATTATTTAGGGAATGTCATCGATGTTCATTTCCAAGCCAACTAGACGCCGATTTTTTTTTCGATGATACGGTATAATTCTTAAATAAAATGTAAATAACATTCGACCAATTAAAACAAAGAAATATGAATTTCTTAGTATTTTTAGTAACACCTTTATTCTTAAAACTTAATTTTGTATTGCAAATATACCAATTTTATTGTTATTTTATTCATATTGTATTCAGCCATCACTTAAATATTTGATATTAATTTGGTATTATAAATAATCGACACTATTCAGTAAAAATTACTGAACAAATAGGTATATGTTATGCTTTACATACATTATATTATCAAACAAAAACACATTCTTCATTTAAACTTTGTCATTCTTGTCTTTACAAAAATCTTTTTTAATTTTGAACTCAAAATAATAATCTTTTTCATGGTCTTTAATACACATATTCTTTATTTTTCCCTAGATCATAATACCTACTTACGTGTTTATCTTATGTTTTTGAATCTATCGAAGCTGAACCAACAACACTTGGAGTGGAGATTCCACAATATGAATAAAATAAACATAATTGTCCAGTTTTCTTTAATACCATCCTGGGAGAATATTATTTTTAAATTTATTTAAGATATTTTCAATAGAATTGTCTTACATACATTATATTATCAAACAAAAACACATTCTTCTTTTAAACTTTATCATTCTTGTCTTTACAAAAATCTTTTTTAATTTTGAACTCAAAATAATAATCTTTTTCATGATCTTTAATACACATATTCCTTATTTTTCCCTAGATCATAATACCTACTTACGTGTTTGAATCTATCGAAGCTGAACCAACAACCAAACCAACAACACTTGGAGTGGAGATTCCACAATATGAATAAAATAAACATAATTGTCCAGTTTTCTTTAATACCATTCTGGGAGAATATTATTTTTAAATTTATTAAAGATATTTTCAATAGAATTGTCTTGATTTATAACTCGTACCCACTTTTCTTGCTCTTCCGGATACTTTAAGCTGCCTAGTATAACTATGATCCTTTCCACCAGGAACACAACAAAGATGAGGCATAGCACCAAAAACACACTCCACTTAAGCTTTATTGATGAATTGTTGAGTCTTAAAAAACACACACAAAAATCACGATAAATAAAAAATTTATGGGCACTTTTAGGTTAAAGCACTTAACAAAACGTGTAATATTTCGTGTTTTTTTATGAGAAACAGATTGACCATCATAGTAACCATATATCTGGTAGTACTTTATGTCACTTAAACACCAAAATAATTAGTTTTTTGCACTACAATAACAAATAATACCAAAAATCAACCGACAAAATATGAATACAGAATCTAACCCAATATCTAAGTATGTACAGCTGATGAAGTAAACAAAAGTCCGCCCGTAGGCTGATCTTTTATAGAGGGCATTGGTTGGTACTATGTATTATGTTGTCATTCCCGATTTTTGACACTTGACACTTCGTTAATCGATTGTTTTTTTGGTTGCGTTGTGCCGGTTTTTGGTGTGATTTTTTACTGGAAGAGAAATTAATTTAAGCGTAACAGTTGGAAAATTTTTGCAAGGAGGTTTTCTGGCGACTTGAGCAAGTTTATATTTAGTCGTTGATAGTCATGGCTATGAATTCTTCACAAGTTAAAGCGGCCCATCTTCAACAGCAACAAAACAACATGGCGGGACCAGGAGGAACCGGTTGGCCAAGACGAAATAGCCAGAACGCTGCACAAGAGACGAAATTCATTGCGCCCGTAGTTGCTCCTCCATCAGCAGCGATTAATAGGATCATTAAAGTGTAAGTTTTTTTGCTCTTTTCGAAAATTAGCACTGACCATGTTCGTTCCCCGCCTGTCTGAGAACAATGAACTCTAAAAATGTTTTTTTTTTCTTTAACTAGGTAGTTAGGTACTCAACTTTTGATTATTACATGTATTTCAGAATTATAAACATAACACACATTATCACAAACAAATACGATAAGTTTATTTTTAACCAAAATATTTGTTTTATTAAAGGTATCCGTTAACAAACTACATATTTGCTACCAAAGAACATCTTTTTGAAAAAGATCCCTCTGTACCAGCTAGGTTTCAAAGAATGCGCGATGAATTTGAGAGAATTGGAATGAGACGAAGTGTAGAGGGTGTTCTATTAGTACACGAACATAATCTTCCACATGTTTTACTACTTCAGTTAGGGACTACCTTCTTTAAGTTGCCAGGTGGCGAGTTAAACCCTGGCGAAGATGAAGTTGAAGGTTTAAAAAGATTACTGACAGAGGTAAGTGGAATCATATATATTTTCATTTATTTGTATGTTTTTGTAAATGTAATTATGGTGGATAAAATTTATTTTGTATTGCGAAGAAAGAAGAATGTTAATTAGTTAGTTAAATAAAACTAGTTTGTTATTTGTTAAATAACTTTTATATTTTATTAGTTCTGTTTATTTAATAAATAACAAATTATAGTATTTGTAAACTCAATTTTTGTAAAAGAAAAAGAATAGAACATTTTATTGTAAGGTTTTGTAGATTAACTAACTGATTTATTTTTTTCTACTATGTTTAATATACTATTAAATATTAATACAAACTTATTGTAGTCCGTTTCTAATGAATTTTACTATATATGAATATCAATTTTACTATAAAAACTAACTTGAAAAAATATAGAATTAAGTTATTTTAAGCATTAAAAATATTTCTTTTCAAAATTTTCTTATTACTATATATCAGCAACTTTGTATACATAATTGTAATTGTTGCTGGATATTCTTAAATCAGAATATATAAATATAATTTATTTTTATTGAATTTTTTAGAAAAATGCTAACAAATTTGGTATCTATTTTATTAACATTGTTACAATAACAGTAGATGTGAAGTGACAGTCTGTGTAATATTGTAACATTGGATTAAGTACATATATTGATTGTGATATGTTTTTTTTAATTCTATTTCAGATATTTGCAAAAATATTTGGTTTATCATATAAATTTATATTCACAGATATGTATTTTATGTATAGAAAGAAACTAATAGATCAAAAAGAATATATTTTTTAAAAATTATAAAAATTTGATGTGTCAGTTTACATAATTTTGATTTTGTCATAACAGAAACTTAATAATTATATTAGTTTTAAAAATTATGAAGTATTGAAAGATTGTTTTAGTTACATTTGTGGATTTGTGTGTCTATGGATTAATTATACTATAATAATTAATTATATTTTTGTACCACAAGTTTAAGTAAAATTCATATTTATAGAAATATATTTGATTGTGGAAATAAGCTATCCTTTTTAAAATTCGATCTTAATATTATAAATTACATATTATTTTTATTCCTACTTATTAGTTGCGTACTATTGATATACTAATGATATAATGTACTTTATGATTATTTCTCTTTTTATTCCTTATTCTTATTTAGTTTTTATCCAACTTTGTGTAATATGGTTTAAACATTTCATATTACCAGTTATACATAAAACTATATAACAATTATCGAAAATTGTTTAGCAATGAAATATATACTTTTTATAGTTAACATCTAAATATGTGTAAAATTATTAAAATAATTTTTTACCTGATTTCGGTTGTATAACTGTAATTTTGTCATATATAGCGCTAATTTACACCATTTGTGAAAAGTACAAATCAGATTATGAATACTATATATGAGTACTATAAATTTATTAATACATTTGGAGGTCTATTTTAAATACTAAATTAAATAAGTTGAGTTTTGTAATCTGATTGTGATGTTATGAGGTACAGTTATAGTCATACATATACTAGGGCTACGAAAAAAAAATGAATATGGGATTTTTACTAGTTTTTTTATATTTTTCTTTTGTGGAATATACTGTTTCAAAAATAAGGTAATGTCTAAAAAGGACTATCTGGACTTCCCTTAATGCATTAGATCCTAAAATATGTTTTAAAGTAGGCAAACAGCTAGAGATAATTGTATTTACTATTTACTAGGTTCTTCAATATATTTTTATTTTCACCTGTGCAAATGGGTAAAGATTAAAAAAATCCTATATTTGTGACATTATACCTACCTTTTATTTAAATACCTGTTAAGTTTCTGCTTACTATGATCCATAATTAAATTTTTATATTATGTGGTAATACAAACAGCACTGTGATTTTCTAATCACCCACGCATTAGCCTCAAATCGTAAATATTTTCAAAATATTTAGAGCTCTGAAATATCTCTAAGAGGGATTCTCTAAATTTCTTAAGATTTAATTCACTAATTTTGCCAATTTTTTTGATAGGTTTTGAACATCAGTAATATTTTGTGCTTTGTAAATTTTTTTGATATAACAACTTGAGACATCTTTTTTTTGCAACAGGTTCTAATGCAAAATGAATGAAAAAAATACAAAAAACTTCTGTTAAAAATCCCATTTCTATGTACAATGTGATACTGTATATTTTTACAACTTGTCAAATATAGGATGACATCGAGTTATTATTGCTACCGTTGAGAAGATTTGCCAAATATGCTTACAAAACATAAACACATAGCTTGAATGTCTAGACCTAGTAACAAGTTATACCCAACCTTTTAATTTGTCAAAATAAGACCGTTTCCCATTTCTAACCACAAATAACGTTTGTTTTTCAACTTTTTTATTGAGTCATCCAATTAGTTAAAATTTATAACATTTATCTTTGTTGTAATTTCAAGATGACCTTATCTGTTAAAACATAAATATATTTTTTATTTAAAAAAAATATATATTTGGAATATAGTCCTTAACACAAAACAGTTAAAATTACTTGTCTAAATACAAATAATAAAAATTGCTTCATACAACCACCAGATTCGAGGGATGAGCAATGGTATCGATAAATTTGCATATCATCCTATATTTGACAAGTCGCGAGTACGTCGGTAATGTTGGTAAGCGGTACTACGATGATGTATTTCGGGATGAACAATGTAACTAAAAATAAAAATAAGCAAGGCGCACACACAAATTTATGGTTCCGCCCCTTTTTTTCTGTGGCATGTTGCAGACGCTCAGCCACATGGACGGCGCTAAGCCGGATTGGCACGTGGAGGACATCATCGGCAACTGGTGGAGGCCCAACTTCGAACCGCCCCAGTACCCCTACCTTCCGTCGCACATAACCAAGCCCAAGGAGCACAAGCGCCTATTTTTAGTGCAACTGCCAGAGAAGGGTATTGTATTCCATTGTAATTTTGTAGTATCTCTCTATATATGTATTTATTGTCGGGTGATTTTGGAATCGTGTCGAGAAGATTGTATTAGTTTTTCCGTTTTCGGTATTATTTTTGGAATTTATTTTTCTTATTTTTTTTGGCGGGTGGCAGAATGAAATCAGGTTGAAGTTGCGCGTCTACCATATTTATTTTACTTACAGTATAACAAGCAAATTATAATTGTCATGACATCTTTATTAGTTTTCCTAGGCATAAGTAAAGTTGGTTTTTGTGCTTTGGATAAGAAGATTAAGGAAGGAGCATATCAAAAAACTTAGGTCAAGTGCGATAGGCCAAAAACGCCCGACTTATTCCGGTTTATCATCAGTGCCGTTCTAATTTTATTCAAAACGTGTAAAAACATGATGGTAGACTCAATGATTTGTTGTTTATTTTACGTTGTCATTAAAGGTTGGTAGTTATTAAAATTGTTATAAAAATATATAATTTTAATATATCTATTCCGTTACAATTGAAAAATGTTTCTGTACTATAATTGTGAGTGCACTGTATCTAAAACCGATTTTAACAAATTTTTGTACAAATTTTCCTCCCTTATTTTTTAGGGGATGCATGTCCAAAATTCGCTTTCATCGCTTAAGGGACCTCTGTACAAAATTTCATTCTCCTATTTCTGGAATGGGTTTTACATAAAAAAATTATACAAATTTTTACCCCTAGTTTTACCCCCTTAAGGAAGGAATCCAAAAATCGCTCTAATTATTCAATTACGCTACATAAGGAACCTCTGTGCAAATTTTCATATTCCTGAACAGGATTGTTTCAGAACGTCCAACCCCTCATTTCAAACCCTAGAGGGCGAATTTCCAAAAATTGCTTCTTAGGCGCAAAATTTATACTTCTAAAACCGATTTTAACAAATTTTTGTACAAATTTTCATCCCTAATGGTAATATGTAATTTACACAACATACTCACGGGGGCGCTTCCGTTTGTTTCGTTTCATGAATATGTAAGTAGTCAAAGGTCTAAAGAGGGATGTTTTTTGTTATAATGTAAGGGGGTCAGATAGATTATAGATGTGTCTTAAGCATTAAAACATTGATTACAAATGTTGGATGTGCATGTAGTATATTAAGGCGAGCCAAAAAACTAACTTATGGAATTTATGAGTTAAAATGAACCTAATAATCGAGAAAAAATATATCCTCGGAAGACGGGATTTTTAGCTCAATTTAAAAAGGTGTCGGTGAACATTCAAATTTTTCCATTTAAATAACACGTAAAAAAATCTTTTTCCATTAAATTTACGATAAAAAAATTTACATAGCGGATTCTTGTAGAGCATAAAATTTCTTAAAGCCGCGTCCAAGCTACTCGAACAAAACGTTCGCGAACATATATAATTCACACTATATACTCGTAGCAGCAGGTCGTAAACGACGGCACAGCCCATCGCATCGGTCTCGAGGACTGAGGTGCGGGGAAGAATACGACAACCAGTTTGCTCTATAGATCTAGGATGCGTTTAGGTAGTCGCTGTTTTTTCGAGTGCCCGGATTTCGAGTGCAAGCATTTTATTAAATAAATTAACCGGTAAACAGTTTAAGAACTTTTGTCGTTGAAGAATCAATATTTAGCGGGCGGAGGGTTACAGGGGTCTTTTGGTAGATTATTCGTTATAGTGTATTTTTAAGACCTGTATTCATTTTCAGCCGATGCTACCAGGTCTTTCTCAAAAGGGGCTCACTTTTTTACTTTTTTATATTTTCAGATAATACAACGAAATTTGGTTTGTTAGTATATGACATAAATCGGGATTGATTGACGTATTCAATTACATTCGGTCGCTTCCTGTTTTACCGGAAACGACTACAACTTTGTATTTTTAGATTGTATCCTAAGTACTTTTTTACTTTATTTAACAAAAAATGACATTCTGAATAGAATGACATACCATACGTCAATTTTAGACAATTCCAATTAAATAAAAATAGCATTTTAAATTTCAATCTAGAGTGCCAAGACTGAGTTAAAACTATTAATTTGTAATCAAAGAACTTTGGAAACATACATATATTTGATGTGTAATTTTTTTTCATATCCTTTCATGGCCGCTTAAAAGATGCCCAAATCATATTTTTAATGATCACTCAAATTTTTCAAATGGTACGAGGCTGGCTCAGCATATTTGGAAAAAGCATTTTTTACGAATAATTTGGTACCACATACTTGGTATTTAGAGTAAAATTGTCGTTACATTTATTCACGGCCATTTTTAAATTGAAAATGTCAAAAGTTGACATAATATATCATTCTATTTAGAATGTAATTTTCTATCATATACGGTAAAAAATACCGAGGGTACCATTTAAATCAAAAGTCGTCATTTCCGGTGAAATAGGTAGTGACCGAAAATAAATGAAAACGACGATCAATTCTAATTTATGTCCTATACTAACATACCAAATCTCGTTTTTTATCTAAAATATTAAAAAAGTTATAGAAGTGGACCACTTTTCAGAAACACCCGGTATATTTATTTCTATAAATGTAATGGTAAAATTTAATTTCCGGTGTCAAACTTCCTATTAAGTAGTAATTTTTAATTTCAGAATCCCATAATAATTCCGGTTTTTAATAAAAATAATCATAAAGGTCTTTAATAACAAAAATGAAATTATATGGACGAAGTCTAGCTACTAGCTATTCACGCTTAACCCACAATAAAATTAAAATTATAAAATCTTTTCTTTGTGTAAACAAATTAGTTGTAAATGTTTTTCACGATCCCAGTCAATAACTGCGTCTCCCATTGTCGAATACTCGGCAAAAAGTAAAAATCACAGATGGACGCCCGCAATTAAATGAGACCCTTCCAAGTGTCCGGTACAATGTCCGCCGAAATGCACGCCGTTCGCTCTAGCATAGGCAGACGCGCGCTCTAGCATAGGCAGACGCGCGCTCTGGCGTACAAGCTAGCCGTTCGGCGCTCCGCGCTCCTTAATAGGCCTAGGCTAGCTGTACTTGTTGGCTTTATTATTTATAAATGTACCTATATCACAATTTTCACTTAGTATCTGTTTAATTATATATGTTCGCGAACATTTTGTTCGAGTAGCTTGGACGCGGCTTAAGAAATCGTAAATAAAAAATAAAAAGGTTAGTTTTTTTGGCTCACCGTAATGTCTATTTAACAAAAAATGTCTTGCTTTAGAACGGCTCTTATATGTTTTTATTTTTATGAGTTAATAGGTGTTTTTCTACACTCAAATGTCAAATCTAAGTGATGAAATTATTGTTCTATACATGCTGTTATAATTAATTATAAGTTATATGGAATTACCATGAGTGGGATAATTCAAAGTAAATTTAAGTGGTTTTAGAAATACATTTAGTGATATGTTTGTATTTTATCAGCATTTTTATTTGTTTTATTGACATCTAATGTTAGTGTCGATTTGTTTTATACACAGGAAATATGATGTATCAGAGATGGTTATTTTTTAAGCTAGACGCGATTGGCTGTTGGTATATAATATAAAAACATATTTTTCTTTGTAAATTTTATAATATTTTGTATATTCATAAATTAAATCGGGTTTTCTACAAATAACCTGATCTCATTCTGTTATCCCTGATTTAGAAATAAAAGTTTGTGTATTTATATTACTACCATTTAATTCTAAGCAAGTCTTTTTAATTCTACCTTATTTTTATACAAGAACTGTATATAACATTGTAAATAGGAAAAAAAAACAGTGTTGAATTATTTAAAATTATGATACCGGTATTACTTTAACTGGGAGTTTTATATTATAATTTTATATATCATACAAGTACTGTATTTAACATTGTAAATAGGAAAAAAAAACAGTGTTGAATTATTTGAAATTATAACGGTATTACCTTAACTGGGAGTTATATTATAATTTTATATATCACTTAGGACTAGTGAAACTGTATTGATGACTGATTGTATGGTTTTCTACATATTTATATTTATTTAATAATAAAAAAAGATAGCTGTTTGATAATGTATTTTTTTCTTGACTTGCTATATATTATATTTTCACTGTAATATAGTTCTTTATTTCTCACTATTTATAGAGTGAATATAAGTTTAATCCTCAGATTAAAAATAATAAAAAGATACAGTACACCACCACAAAGCATTGGAAGTTTTGTCTTTGTAATATACTCTTCTCTATATGCTATATCTTTTTTATATTTAATCTATGGTTTAATCGATGGAAGTATATAATTTAATAATTTGCTATTATTGATTTTAATTGCATTTGTGTCATTTACAGCCACGTTTGCCGTACCTAAAAACTACAAGTTAGTCGCTGCTCCATTGTTTGAACTGTATGACAATTCTCAAGGATACGGACCAATCATATCGTCCTTGCCACAGTCATTGTGCAGGTAAACTTTTATTCTTTTTTTATTAATAATACCAAATGATCGAAAAAAAAACCGGCGTCCAGTTGACTGGGAAATGACGATCGATGACATTTCCCATATAAAATGACAGCGATCATTTGATAGCCATCGCTGACGCCGTTTTTTTTTTTCGATTTCTCATACGGTACTTTGATTACAAAAGAATATACAAAGCAATCCAAAACGATTGAATGAGTCGAATGTACTGATTTTGCTGATTTGGTTGGCAAGAATAGTATATTTCTACCCCAGAAACACGATTGAGGTTTTTTCGCAAAAATCTTCTTTTTTTTTGAACTTTGGAGTTTTAAAAAAAATGGAAATTTTTTTAGTTTTTAGTTAAAAAACATAATTTCTTTATAATATGGCAACATAGGTAGTAGATTAAATTTACAAGAAAGAAAACCCAGAAATGATCCAGTGGTTCTCAAAATTTAAGCAAAAAATATATTTTTTTTAAAATTCAAAGTAAAATAACTCTATTATTTGTGGAGATGTGCAAATTATGCATTTTACAACCCTCTATTTTATGCGAACAAATTTTGTTATATTATGCGCCCAAAAATGGCTCATTATGCGGCTATTATGCGTTAAAAAGTTACTTATTATGCGAAAAATGCTCCTAGAAAAGTAATTTTATGTTTTTACGTAAAAAAGTGCATAAAGGTCGGTATTTTCGTTAAAGGTGTTGATAAAGGTGTTGAAAATGGTTAGTTTTTTCAAAACTTGAAAAAAACACAAGATTTGACACACAATGTCATTTTTTGGTAACTATATAAAACATCTTAACAAGGTAACAAAAGTTTAATAATATTATCAAATATTAATCTCATTAAAAAAGCTAAAGAAAAAAAGCTAAGTTTCAACATGATCTTTGACAACCCAATCCGAACAATCATCTCCAAAATACATACACATCATAACTTCAACGTTTTCAGGAGAAAGTCTGCAACGTCTAGGGGAGAGAATATCTCCATAGGCTGAAAAAGCTCGTTCGCTATCGACATTTGCCACTGGGATATGCAAAACTTGCATGCAGTATGTAAAAAACTCAGGATAATTGGGTCTCAATCCTAACAGTACCTTGCATACAAAATCTGTTATCTTTATTTGTTTTGGAGTTCTGAACTGCCTCTTTCACTTCATCCGACATTATACCATGTTAAACTCTGAAATCAGCCGTAGGTACTTTGTGTAACAGATAGTGTTGTAAATGGAAATATTGGAAATTTCCAAACGTGTCTCGGAAATATTGGGAATATTGGAAATATTTTTAAAAATACTTAAATCTTGTCATTAACGATTCAAGCCCGATGTTTATTAATATATCTTTCATATTTTGTAACCCTATAAACATTAAACTTACTATAGAACAGTTTTACAAACATATAATATGGTGAATATATCGAGTTTGAGGATTCACCTACTTATTTGCAACCTCGCATTTCTACGGGGAAGTCCCGAGCTCGTAGGTGGTAGCGTAGGGGAATCCCTGATCGACATTCATTTTGCTGTAAAAGCATTTTGTGATATTAGAAGGGTAATTCAGAATAATCTTGTATTGTCCTCACTTGACGACAAAGAAAAATCCGAATTGTTGGAGTTTGTTGACAAAAGAGAAAAATTTGCTATTAAACTCATTCATTATGCTGCAGAATTACTAAATCCAAAATCACAAGGTTCTGAACTTGATGAAACCCAAATTCTTTCTGCCATAGAATGCATATACTTAATATGTCAAAAAATAAACTCAATATAAAGGAGCAAGAAATAATAGATGAAATAGCAGATTACCGTTGTAGAAGTGGCAAGTTATTTGGAAATAACTACATATGGAAAAGTAGTTTTGATAACCCAGTCTCCTGGTGGAAAGGACTGTGTTCTTCATCTTCATTATCACACGTAGCTTCACGAATTTTGATGATGCCAGCATCTTCGGCTGCCACGGAACGCAGTTTTAGCGTTTATAGTCATATTCATTCAAAAAAGAAAAACAGGCTTACTAATGATAGAGCCGCTAAGGTACTCTATGTATCCCACAATGAAAACTTGCTGAAGAAAATAGGAAACGGCAATAGACCAATTTTTATTTCCGATACTATTGAAGATTTTGAGGAAGTAGACTAGCAAGAAGATGTTACTGAATGTGATGCTGTTGACAGCGATGAAGATGCCTCTTGCTCGACTAGTGTGTCAAAAATATTTTTTTTGTACAAATTTAACCTTAATTTATTTTTTAATTTGAAGAATAATCCACTTTGTGTTTTGCGATGTTTTGTTATGATTTTTATAAATAAATATTTCAGATTTTCTTATTTTTTTAAATATTTCTTATATTTCCAATATTTCCAATGTTTCAGGAAATATTTCCGAAAATATATTTCTGGAAATTTTACATCACTAGTAACAGATGAATCTTTTCCTTTTCTTTTCCAATATCGTCACAAGTCACCACAACAATTTTAATTGGCTCAAACAATAGTCTTCTTAAATTGTAGAAAAAAGGAAAAAATGCCACTTTATGCGGTAATTATGCACTTTGCCCATTATGCTGCAAAACGACCCGATTATGCGTTATTATGCGGGGTGTATTCGGAAGGTTTAGTGATGACTCAGGTATCAAGTTTGAACCGTTTTAAAGCCTTTTTAAAAATTATGCAATTATGCGAGTGCATAATCTGCACATCTCTAGTTATTTGGACGTATTTGAAAAACGGTAAAGAGAAAATATGTTTCTTTTATCGAGATCTACCGGTCCTGAAAATATTTGTACTTATTTAAGATTCACCCTGTATAATATAATAGTTTTTATGGAAGAAATCTAAATATTTTATAAGTCTTTGATCTAATTTCATTAATTTTCAGATTTGAGTTCATATACATGTGATGTTTGAAGTAAAGAGCGAAAAAAAAATTTGGGAACAACAGGTGGTTTACAGACACATTTCCTTCATTATTTCCAGTTCAATTTTTTTACCAAGCTGTTTGATTTCTTTAAGACCTAGGTTATGTATTTTTTTTTCGGGGGATGAAACATCAAAGAAACATAAAAAGGCAGTAAAGTTAGATCTCAACATTAATTACTAAGATACAAATGGTATATTACATTTTAATAAAAAAACATTCATGAAAATTAATTTTAATTTAGCCGTTCATAATAAAATATAAATTTCATAAAATTAAGGAATGTTCCTAATTTGTCTGTTGTTACTTAGGAAAGCGAATACTGGCAGTTTACTGATTAACTAATTGTATAGGGACAGACAAATTAGAGAGAATTTTGAACTGTAATAAAAATAATAGATATAAGCTGTAAATTGTTTATTATAATAAATGTATAATAATAAAAACGGTGCTATTTATTTTAGAATAGAATATTTTTGTTTTATCAAAAGTAGGTAGCAGCTCTATTTTAATAGGTTAATGTTATTTTCAAATTCTGTAAGTTCCACATTTGGTAAGTTTGATATTTTATACTACTGTGCATTTATAGAATAAAGAAATAACGGGAAACCCTTTCATTTACTTCTTAAAAATGCGGACAGTTTCTGAAATGTTTAATTTGGCGCGTTTAATTGACTACAGCGCCATTCTTTTTTAGTGAGAATCTTTGGAACTGTCCTCTAAGCGATTATAGCGCCACAATACGGGAAGTTTCAAAAGTAGGTAAATGCAGGTTTCTATTTTTAGTATGTGTATGTGGCGCCATCGTCTATTATGTATTGAAATTAGTCATTTATAGAATTCTATAAAAAAAACATAACTAGTGGAATCTATTGTTTTACTTGTAATTTTCTTAGAAATTTAAAGAAATCTACAATTTTTAGTTTCAAAAAAGTGTTGAATAAGAGACGTCTATGAATTAAATTTTATACTAATTGTGATTCTAACCTTAGAAAATGTATTTTTTTATAAATCTGTTAAATGTAAAATAAATAAGTTTATTTTCAGTTTAATGGTTTAATAACAAATCTACAGCTTAAATTAAAATGTACGATTAATATAATATACATTATGGTCATGGTATGATAATATTATACTTTAAACTTGCGAAGACTGTATACTTAACGTTTTTTATTACAGATATGTATTAACTCTGATAATAATACAGTGAAGAGAGCTTGCTATGAACAGGAAGGGAGAATACACCAAAAAAGATAAAAAGAAGTACGATTTTCTATTGGGAATATGTGTACTTGTATAGGATTCGTAAGAAAATCTCACCGATTGTACTCTGCTTTTCAATGGGTTTGTGCCAAAAAAGAGTAAATCTGGAGCAACAAGACTGAAATCAACAAAACTGCGAGATAGTTTCTACGTTTAATTGTTGCCTTCAAACATTACTGCAAATACCTCTTCAGAAAATCATACTCTCAAACGTGCAAATCAATGGATTCTATGCTGTACCTCCCAAACCCGCTTTTTACTTTGATATAAAGATAATTTGAAGTTACTCTTTTGGAAATGCATTATTGTGATCAAGATATGATTGCAATGTATAAGGTATTTTATTAATTTGTTCCGTTTTTCTTTAAAGTAAATAGTGAAAAGTCATAAAGGAGATATTAATAATGTTAAAAAACATGCATATCTTTATGTTACTTTCCTGTATAAATATTTTTTATGATATTTTAGTATAGTAATTGATTCTGTATTTGTATAATTATCTTCTAAAAAAGGAACAATCTAGGTACATATTTTTTAATAGGATTTAATGTCACAACTCGGCATTTAAATACTTATTTGATACAATAGCTGCTGTTGATTGGTTTTCTTACAATAATTGAATAAAATTACAAACAAGTACTTAATAAATAAAAGTAAAGTATTAACAAGTAAATAATTTGATATCAAAAATCAAAACCTGAATTAAAATTGATTTTCAATGTTTTTTGTAGAATTAAAATAAAGTCTTAAAAGTCCACTTCTCTACTGAGATTACGTTTTGTAAAAAACTCATGCATTGTCTTAACATTATTTGCATTTTCCCTAGTCATTTTAAAAAATGATGTTATAGCCATAGTGTTTGGAGGATGTGTATTCTGTTCTTCTTCCTCTTCGCATTCAATATGATATGCTACATTTTTCAGCATATTCTCTGCAGTTGACCAGCTGAATCTTACCAATTGTGGATACCCAAATACAGGCTCAAATTGATCTGTTAAAAACTGTTTTGTGTGGGGATCTGCAGGATATCCACTACCAAATTCAGCGACTTCCAAATTTTCTGTAAAATTCCACACTTTCAATGAATGATCCCTAGTTACTTTGGCACAGATACTAGCGGCAGACACAATTGGATATGTCGAGTCTGCCTTTTTAGCCACAGTGATTTTCAGTTTTGGAAATATAGACTTCAGATACTCTTGATACTTCTCTGGCTTTCCAACTGTGTCCACATAAACATGCTCTATTTTCACGTTCAAATTCACTGCAGCTCTCATTAAACCTATAGCTGCATCCATGGAAACCTGATTCAATGAATATTTGGACCGACTGAGCATACTGTTGCATATTGAATTTGGAGCTATTATTTCTACTCCCCATCCAATTTTGCCTGACTGATCGCATATTTTCTCAAAAATCTTGTCTCTCTTTTCTTCATTCAGTACTTTGGAATCTGCACATTCTAAAGTCTCTAGTAATGTCTGTTCGTTAATGGGGATAAAAGCAGTACCATATACCATAGGGCCTAAAACTGGACCCCTTCCTGCTTCATCTATTCCCAAAATACAGGGATATTCCCTACATACTTCCGGAATTTCAGACATATAGAAAACATTTTGCCAATTATTCCTATCTTTAATAAACGTCTGCAATTGAGATAAATTAGTTATTGTTACTGTAGGTTCTTCATTTTTCTCCGATTTCATTTTAATTGATGAAAAAATGAGTAAATTTTATTTTTGATTAAAATCACAACACAGATCACAAATAAAATGTTTTTGATTTTAAAGTTAGGTTTTAGGTTAATGGTTATAAGAAAAACCGCCAAAAAAATCAACTAATCTAGGCAACTAGATATACTAATAAATTAATAATAATTATCGCACTTTAAATGTGTAGAAAATTTAATTATAAATAGCCATATTCCAAAAATCACTCAGTATATAGTCACAGGTATAGTTTATGGAATAAGAAATTACTTTGCGAATCCCACTCGATCAAAAAAATACAGCATTTCGTTATTTAAAAACTATGATTTTAACGTACAAATATCTTTGATTCGCTCTGTATATCTACAGTTTATTGTGTTTTCTTTCTAATTTAACAAATAAAAAATTTCAGGTTTTCCACTACTTCTCAATATTAAAAAGAATATTCTGTGGCAATGTGCAGTTGATTTTCAACAACACTTATAGGAATGGAATGTATCAACAGTACCAAGCAGGTACCACTTTGCTGAGACATTGACTGGCTTCAGGCAACTATTCGCCTTAAAAAAATGTAAGTTATGTTTTTTTTTTGTAGATTTGATGTATGAAACAAGGGTGTGAGGTAGTCAAAAGTTTATGTTTTTAGTGTTATTGAACAAATTAAACTTATTATTTTATTATAAGAAATTATATTAATAAAATTTAGTTCTGGCTTAGTACTAGTATTTTTATGTTACACAATTGCACAAGAATATAAGTACAGACCATCTAAACCTTTTAATCATATTTCTTGGAGGCCGTTAAAAAAATTTTCTGCTTGGATGTTTAGTAAATATTGTTTGTACGATGGAAACAATATTATACAATTATTTCTGTTTATAGGTTTATGGTACTGGTTCTTTAACAACTGCAGCTGTTATTGGTACTCCTACTTATTTGATCCTCCTGTATATTCCCCATTGAAGATTTAGAACAGAAGGCAGACTTAGGATAGGGAGACTTCATTTTGATCACACTGATCTCATTTTTTTAATTCTATGATTTTATTTTTTTTTAAAGTAAAATTTAGATAAAATGATTAAATTCTGTTATTCGTACATACATTCTTAGTACAAACGCAAATGTTTTATATATTTTAAGTTAAAATTCAAATATTTATATTTTTAAAACTAGTATCACTTCAAGAATATATATTTTAGTTAATTCTAATTGTAAAAAATACCGGAATTTAAAATTATCTAAATTTTATTTATTGATTATTTGCAGTGTTAACACGACAGTGTTCCACACAACCTGTTCAGAAAGTGGAAAATATATTTCAAAATACAACTTAATAAAAAATAAATATTTTAAATTGGATTCCAAAATAATTTTTAATGAACCGATTGTGTGGGCACTCTGTATGTCATATACCGTTATATTAATGTTTCTCTCTTTAAAAAAGGATTTTAAATTGATATTTTTTTATATCGGCATTATAAAAGCAAAAGTGTATTAAATGATTCATTGTATTTAATTAATAGATTTTTAAAAAAAATGTAAAAGTAAAATTGAGAAAAGATAAATTCTATAATTTAAATATTAATTTCAGTATAAATACGTTTATTTTTATATATTTTAATTCAACCCTTTGTATATTTTTTAAACTGTGTCTTCTGAAATACGTCTTAGTTATAAAAAATTACTGGATTCAAAATGATCTAAATTTTATTTAATGATCATTCGCAATGTTAATGCTCTATAAAAGAATGCAGAGTTTTCCACACAACTTGTTCAGAAATTGGAAAATATATTTCATAATACGACTTTGAATCCCGAAATAATTTTTAATGGACCGATTGTGTGGACGCTCTGTATGTTATATACCGTTATATTAGCGTTTCTCTCTTTAAAAAATGATTTTAAATTGATATTTTTTTATATCGGCATTATAAAAGCAAAAGTGTATTAAATGGCGAACGCGCCAGGAAAATAGAATATTAAAGTTAATAGAATTTTTAAAAAAATGTAAAAATAAAATTGAAATAAGATAAATTCTGTAATTTAAATATTAATTTCAGTATATATGCATTTATTTTTATATATTTTAAGTAATATTTTAATACAACCGAAATAATATTTGTATATTTTTTAAACTGTGTCTTTTCTGAAATATGTCTTGGTTGACTTTTAGTTGTAAAAAATTACAGCATTCAAAATTATCAAAATTTTATTTGTTAAATCATCTGCAATATTAATGCTCTAAAAATAATACAATGTTTCCTAGCAAAATAAAACACTAATTCGCCACAATAAATCAAAACACTTTACTTTTAAACACTGGTCGCGCCTTTCGTTAACCGCGTTAGCATCATCAGTAGATGATTAAAATTGAACTATTATCTGCAAATTAAGCGTTTTTATAGTCGCTCGGTTGGTACTGACCAAGCCTGGCAAAATTAATTTGCGAGACTAGAGCAATAAGAACAGGGTACTGAAAGGATATATTATCTCTGTTCATATTATCTTTATATTTATTTATTTTGACGCTCTCATATGCATCTAATTGCCTGTAATTTGAGACTTGTTTAGATTGACACTAGAGACCTGTAATTTGACACTAGGTCCCTGCAGTGGCAAAATCAACAGGTCTCTGCAGTGGCAAAATCACCAGGTCCCTGCTGTAGGCAAAATCACCAGGTCTCTGCAGTAGCAAAATCACCAGGTCTCTGCGTTGGCAAAATCACTAGGTCCTTGCAGTGGCAAAATCAACAGGTCAAAAAAGAAAGAAAGAAAGAGGTGAAGAAAGATACGTCAAACTATATTTCATTACCGTTTGATGAGCTTATCCTTTGGTTAAAAAATATTTATGAATGCCAATTATAAATTTGTATATAGCGCTAAAAATAAATTACATATATTAGGTAATCCTAAAGATAAAACACCTCCACTGGAAAAGTCGGGTAGGTATTTATGAAATTTCATCTATCAAAAATTCAATCAAAAATATATTGCGTTAACTAGACGATCAATATTAACTAGATTTAAAGAACACATGACTCATATATGGGTAGAGCGTATAACTCTTGCGTTTCTCAACATATTTTTGGTACAGATTATTTTATAGACGTTAATAATTTAAAATTAATTAAACAAGTCCCAAATTACAGGCAATTAGATGCATATGAGAGCGTCAAAATAAATAAATATAAAGATAATATGAACAGAGAACTGAAAGGAAATATTAATTTCCTTTCAGTTCTCTGTTCCTACTGTTCTAGTCTCGGTAATTAATTTTGCCTCACTTGGTCAGTACCAACCGAGTGCCTATATAAACGCTCAATTTGTATATATTAATTTAGTTTTATTCATCTGCTGAATGTTAAAAGTAAAGTAAGTTATTGTGGTTAATTAGTGATTTATTTTGACAATTAAGAATATTACTTAATCTATTATATTAATTATTTAGTGTAATGATCATCTGGTTACAGATATAAGACTTGTATATAAGCTACCGTATGATCGAGAAAAAACAGCGTCAGCGATGGCTATGAAATGAAGGTCGCTGTCATTTTATATGTAAATTTATATGGGAAATGTCATCGATCGTCATTTCCTAGCCAACTAGATGCAATTTTTTTTTCGATCACACAGTATTTATTAAATGTAATGAAATATTTAAGTAGGCCATGAAAGCCATTGCTACTGCTGAAAATAATATAGAGTCTTAAATAAGTGTACCACCCTGTATAATAATTTTGTAGTACATATCCAGAATACTGTCCACGTCAAATATATTTATACTTTTTATACGAATAAAGAACTTATTAAAAATAATTGTGGTTTTATTTCTCCAAGGAAAATAAACAATGTCGATGAAAATCTCGGATTTGTATTAGGAGTGCATAAGAGCGAGGAGATGAATACTATATCTTCAAAGATCAAGGCGGTAAAAACTACCTCTTCGCACTTATGTGTTCCTGATAGAAATGTGTGATTTTAGGCAAGGATTAAAAATCTTACTCCAATTTTAATTAAAGACTGAAAAATTGAGAATTTGTATCAGGAGTACATAAGAGTAAGGAGGTAAAAATAAACGAAATAAATTCTTGACAAAATGGTGAATGTAACTGACGGCTCCTGGTATCGAAAAATACCTCCTCGCACTCATATGTTCCTGATACAAATTCAAGATTTCTCCGTTTTTGACAAAACCGACCAAAAATAATTTCGACCTGGCAAAAATTGGAGTACCCGACCAACGAGTTAGAATGAGTTAGATTTTTTCGAAAAACGGCCATAACTTCTAAACTATAAGAGATATCGAGGAACCGAACTCGGCATTCGATTTGCCATTCAACCCTCTATAAGGGTGGAAAATTAGGGCGCGATCGGAGACAAAAAAAATTTTTCGGCAAAAATGAAGGAAGGTTAACCCCTTACCTCATTTTTGGCGAAAATTTTTTTTTGTCTCCGATCGCGCCCTCGTTTTGCGCCCTTATAGAGGGTTGAAATGCCTATTGAAAGCCGAGTTCCGTTCCTCTCTAACCCTTATAGTTTCCGAGATATTAAGGGTTGAAGTTTGGAAACGAGGTCGAAGTGCTAGAGATAGCAGAAATATCGTTGATCGATGCTTTATTTAAATGTGGTACTAAATTTAATCCTTACCTCTTCACCCCGATAAAAATCGGCGATATTTGACCTGGTTTAAAAATTTTCGTGCAGTCTTTGACAATAATTGAATTTTCTCGGATATGTATCAGGAGTACATAAGAGCGAAGAGGTAAATATTGGTACTGAATTTACTCCGTACCAATTCACACTTATGGGTTCCTGATAGAAATTAGTGATTTTGGAGAAGGATTAGAAATTTTCGTTCAATTTTTATTAAAAACTGAGTTTTCTCGGATTTTTATCAGGAGCGCATAAGAGCGAATAGGTAATTGTAGGGTATTATTTTTATATAAAATACTGTCTATTCCAGAACAACTTGTTAAGGTGTTTAGTGATTAAAATATATTATTTTTGTGATAGTTAAATGGCTTTTTCTATTAGTTCAGGATTAGACAGTATATTTTGGTTCAATAAAACTCATTTATTATCAAGTATTATTTATTTTAATATTGTATCTTATTAACAAAGGGTAACTTAAAAAGTATAATCCAAGGTGGCGATGGACGCTGCTCTGATGTCTATGTTGAGGTAAATAAATCTTCTGCCTACTCTTCTGGAAAGTCTTGGTTCTGTAAAAAAATATAAATAAATAATTAATTGTTCACTAACAAGCTTGATTACTATTACTGCTATTACTTGTATAACTTTAAAAAACGAGTGAATATTGATAGCTTACATAAAATATAAGAGAAATCTTTGTAACACAGAGAACTATTTTTAAAGTAATACAGGAAAAAAATATAGGTAAGTTGGCTATATCTGTAATTATGACAAAACCCGTATGATCGAAAAAAAAAATGGCGTCAACGATGGCTATGAAATAAAGATCGCTGTCATCGATATGGGGAATGTCATCGATCGTCATTTCTAAGCCAACTGATGGACGCCGATTTTTTTTCGATCATACGGTGTTTTAATTATTACAGTTGGAGGTCGGAATCTTGAAGTTACAACAGCAGAATAAAACACTAATTCAACACAATACACAAAAAAAGTAATGTGTTTTGGTGCATTGTGGTGAATTAGGATTTCATTTTGCTTGATACCGATAATTTAAATATGATATTAAAAACAGAGAACAACTCCGATTAAAAATAAATTAAGAACCCCAAAAAATACAATTCTATTTAGTATGTAGAATAAGTGGGAGGGGGGTTAATCACCGTTAATCAAGATCTTTGTGTCCCCCTTGAGTTATAATTCGTACATGGGAATGGTACCGTCCATACCGTTATACAGTCAAAAATAATACTGACCTTCTTGACAAAATGGTGAAGGTTCCTAATTTAAAAGAGCATGTTTCTAAAATAATTAATTTAAAATATAAATTTTATTATTTTTTACACAACGTCAACAGTTTTTGTAGACGTAACTGTTTAAAAAAAACTAAAAGTCTTCTCGAATAGTTGCATTTAGATATTTTAAATAGTTTTTTCTTTCTTCTTTGTATTTTCTTTTTGCCTCCCACGACGGAAAGATATACTTTCTGAAACGTTAGGCATTTTTTTGTCCGTTCGGCAAATTTGTTTATTAGTTGGTCACAGCTGACAATTAGTCTCCGTTGGATTAACTCAGCAGTGTTTACAAAAAAAATATAACTATTTTATTTTATAGAGATTTTCTTGCAGTGGCGAAATACCCATAGGACTTTTTTGGAAATATGAATCCGCCACAGAGAGAGGTATAGGCATTTTTTTAATTTAAAATACATGAATAACTCTGATTAAAAATAAATTAAGAACCCCAAAAAATACAATTATATTTAGTATGTGTCAAGTACTTGTCAATAAATATTTTGCAAGGAAGCAGTTTCTCTGATTCCTACATAACGAAAAAATGTCTATAAAGTAATTATTTTCTTTCTGTGGCCAGAGTAGCCCTAAGATGCTCCAGATGCTGTTGCAAAGAAACATTATTCTTTTCCTGTTGTGAAATCTCTGTTTCCAGCTTAGTTATGGCCGTTTTCATGTTTTAAATGTGTTTAGTCAGAGTGGCGTTCTGTTGCTTGTAATCTGTATTGATTTTTCTGAGCTGCCCAAAACCAAAAAAAAAGAACAATCTAAAATACTACTCAAAAAATTATAGCATTAACGTACCTTAATTCTGCATCTCTTGTTTTATTGTGATCAAGGAATTCTTCAGTAAAAATAGGAATATCAAAGTTGCCAAAGTCCATTTCCTGGATGTCTTTAGTTACAGGGGGTTGAGATGAATTTACCTAAAATTAGAAATATTATTTTTTTAATTAGCTATTTATTAAATGTACCTAAATAGTATACAAACATTTGAAACTATAGTTTTAACATCTTCTTTTTCTTTTTCTTTGTTATCTTTGAGTTTCTTCTCATTCTGGAGTTGGGTAAATTGTTTGTATGCCTCAGTCTGTTTATATGCTTCGTATTCTTTTGTATACTTTGATTTAGACATAAAAAATTAGATTAAAATATGAAAATATAGTACTTTTTACCTCTCTCTATCTTGTTCAGCTGCATCCATGTATTGCTGCTTCTTATCATCAGAAGGTAAATTACTCCACACTTGCTGACTATGATCTTAGTAATATCAGCAAATGCGAGCGGTTGATTGGAAGTCCTGACAGCTTCCCTGCGGTCATTCAAATATTGAATATATCAAAACATTGAGCCACCATCTCTGCAGAACCACGGTTTTATTTCTTTTAACTATTCTACAAATGTGAACAAAAATTCTTCCAATATTCTACCTGGTTTAGCTTGTCTTTCACTCATTCAGTATTAAGTTAATTTTCTTCCGCAAACCAAGTAACAACAACTTGTTATATCCTAGTCTAGAAACAAGAAATATTAATGTCTGGCATTATATAGATCATATTAGCACTAAGTAAAATTGTCTTACAACAGGACTAGCTACAGAACTTTTTGAATTTGGCCTCAAATCTTGTCCAATCCTTGCTGTAAATTTGTTAAAGTCACCTATGTATCTTCTACTAACTTATCTTATACCTAAAATATATAAGTTTTGTTAGTGTATTCTAGACACGTTTTTAGTATTATAAGAAAATGTTCGTATCTTGTCTGTATAAATCAGTAAGAGTATTATTCATCCCTTTACAACATTCCATTTTTGAGCATCGTGCTCCAGTATTTCCAAACATATCTTCGATACAACAAAGGGTACATTTTATTTGTTGTAATGATAAATCAGTCTGTTTTTGAAAATTTACTAAATTCTCTATCTTGTAACTTGTAAGCGTTTCAATTAGAAATTCAGCATTAGGATATAATAAAGCTAGTTTGAATAATTTTTCTTGAATATTGAGTGTCGTCGATATCAAACGGTTGGCTTCTAGGTTGTAAACGAAAAAGATTTGCATTATCTGGAAGATTTAGTGAGTAAATATCGATAATATTTATCTGGATCACGAAATTTCGAATCGTTATATTTGCTCTGATATTTGATTTAAATCACAGAATATACTAACGAAAATTTAAATCTTTTAAACGTATTTTCATAACGTATTTTATTTGGTTTTGCTGTCCTTGTTTATTTTTGTTGTTGTCTTTGTCTAATAATTAACCATAGATTATAAATGTCCGATCTACAGGCCGGATAGTCCTGGAGCTGCGGCCGAAAAAATAAAAAAGAAGAAAATCTAAATCAAATCTGTGGTTGCACATGATTGGGACCAGAAATATTGAAAAGAAGAAGAATATTACTTTGATTCTGTGGTTACTGGTTACTGTTCAGGTTTTGACTTTTGACATCTATATTTTTTCTTCCGACCGGTTTTCGTTATATTTTTTAAGACAAAACTAATTTAGACGCAAAGCGAATACTTTATTTTAAGGACAAACATTCTAGCCATATTCTAGCATTAAATTGCAATCCTACATTTAATTCGTGGCAGTCATGGCTATGAATTCTTCGCAAGTTAAAGCTCTTCAACAGCAACAACAGAACATAGCGGGACCAGGAGGAACGGGATGGCCGAGACGAAACAGCCAAAATTCTGCACAGGAAAAGAAATTCAAAGCACCGGTAGTTGCGCCTACATTAGCAACAATGAACAGAATCATTAAAGTGTAAGCTTTTGTATTTGCAACAACAAAACAACACTGGCCATGTTTGTTTGGTTTCAGAACGTAGCTCACTAAATACTAAATTTATTTCCTTTTTCTCATTCACTAAGAACACTCTTTGTTTATATTATGTATTTCTTGGAATATTAAATCTTATTTATATTAATTTGTCGAAATATATTTCCTTACAAATAGCTTTTTTTTAGGTATCCATTAGCAAACTACATTTTTTGTTCAAAAGAGCCTCTTTTTGAAAAGGATCCCTCTGTACCTGCTAGATTTCAAAGAATGCGTGACGAATTTGATAGAATTGGCACGAGACGAAGTGTGGAAGGTGTGGTTTTAGTACACGAACATAATCTTCCACATGTTCTACTACTTCAGTTAGGAACCACCTTCTTTAAGCTACCTGGTGGTGAGTTAAATCCAGGAGAAGACGAAGTTGAGGGTCTGAAAAGGTTATTGACAGAGGTAAGTGGGACATAATTTTTTTCTGATCTGTTTCTTTTTTTTTATAACGGTATTTATGATAATGAAATAAAAAGAACTTTTATATATTGTTATTTATTATGTTTATGTGTATATGCTTGGTTTTAATTACTAAGTAACAAATTAAGAACTGTGTAAGATGTCAATTAGGTACACCTTAAAATTTATATAGAAACAAAGAAAAATATTATTTTTGGACTGTGGTTATTATTTTATGTTTTATATATCTGTTAAGTATTTAATTTGTTTAGTACTCATTTGATCTTCAATTTATATAATCTATAATAATCTGATAATAACCGAATGTATATAGTTTTTGGCTGTAAGAAAAGAGTGGGGCAAATTACAATCTTATTTGTATTTTGTTGAAAATATTTAAAAACTTTTATATTGTAGTTTGCTTCAATAATTGAGTAAGTATATGGGAATATATCAAAATTTAACAAAAAAATATAGGTTTAAGTAAGATATTTTAGTAATATGTTGAAAATTTGTTTTTTTATATTATAATATAATCCAGCAATATAGCTAGATATGTAATTATTGCTAGTTAATCTTACATTAAATGATTTTAGGTGTATTCTTAATAGAGTTTTACTTAAAAAGCTATAAATTTAGTACACAGATTTTACAAAAATTATTTCATCTACGTAAGTAAGTACCTATTTGGATATTTAATTTGGTTATATTGAGATTGTGGCAGTAACTACAATAATTGAGATATAACAATCATCTTTGAAATAATGTAGCTTTGTTTAATTGGATTAACAAATTTATTGTGATATAATTTCTCAATTTTATTTCTGGGTTTAAATAAATACATTCTGGTGATTATTAAAGTAAATTAGGTACTGAAAAATATGTTAAAATGTATACGTATATGGAACATAGTAAGTATTTTTAAAAATATATATAGATAACATTTTTGTATAACATGATAAAAAAATCATATTTTTTGCCAAGCTATATCCAAATTGTGTAAACTGTATTTGTTTTATATAAATTTAGTATATAAAGATTGTTCTGTTACAGTTGTAGACCTGTATTTGCTTTAAATAGTCCCATAAATGTATTTCCGTACGAAACATAAGGAAAGTTCACACTGAAACAAAACTTGCATTTGATGTTTTATATATACATATTTAAATTGAATTCTGTATTCATTTGGCACAATTTTAATTTTCTGATTACAATATTTATTATTTTAAGTATCAAAAATTTTACTTAATATTATTGCTTTCAATGCGTGTAATTAATTTAATTAATTACTTTTAATTTTAATTTAATAACTTTTTTATCAGCTTTGGTCTTACTTTTTGTACTATGGTGTATATTTTCAAAATTACCGTATTTTTTATCAAAACATAACTTATTACTACCTACTGGGTGTTTCTCAAAAGTGGCTTACACCTATAACTTTTTTATTTTTTCACATAAAAAACGAGATTTGTTATGTTAGTATATGACATAACGTATATGAAATTACTACAACTTTTGAATTTTAAATGGTATCCTCGGTATTTTTTTTTACTTTACTCAATAGAAAATTACACTCTGAATAGAATGACATATCATTTGTCAATAATTATTGACATTTTCGCTTGAAAAAAATATGTATTTTAAATTTTAATCTGGAGTGCTAAGACTGTTAAAAACATTAATTTTTTTAAGGAGCCCTGGAAAATAGTTTGAAGTTTGATCGTGTAATGTTCTTAGTGTCTTGTCCTCGATAGTTAAAAGATGCCCAAATCGTATTTTTAATCATATCTCAATTTTTTCAAATAGAACGAGGGTGGCTCATTAGCATATTTAGAAAAAGCATTTTTTACGATTAATTTTTGATGCCACACACGTTTCGAGTCAAATTGTCGTTAAGAACCGCCATGTTACAGTTTCAAATAAATCATATGCGAAAATGTCAATAGTTGACATATGATATGTCATTCTACTCAGTCATTTTCTATTGAATAAAGTAAAAAAATTGGCGCCGGGAGGCACGTATAGCCGCCCATAATAAAATATGTTAATAAAAAGTTGGTAGGCAGTTCTTTTAGTTTCAAAGTAAAGGAATTTTTCCAATTTTTTTTATCTCAAAAACTGCGACTTTGACTGATTTTGATGTTATTACAAATTTTGTTGCAAATATTATTCCTAATCTTAAATTGAAAACCGCGTTTCGCTAGCTACTGTAATTTTGGAGTTACAATTTTTTAAAAATTTTAACCCCTTCCCATACCCCTTAACACCCCCCCTCCCCCCACCCTCACCAAAAACTAATGGCCAGATTCTCGGGTGCCACAGTATTTTTGTGCCAAATTTGGTTAAAATCGGTTTAGCGGTTTTTGAGTTATCGTGTTACAGACAGGCGGACAGACAGACAGATACCACGAGAAAATATTTTGTATTTAGGTCATTTATGACCCAAATAACTCATTTTGAGTGAAATTAAAAAAACTTTTTTTGCCGATCTTAATAGCCTGCCATACCTGTTGGTATGGTCGGCTAAAAAATACCGAGGGTGTCATTTAAAAATCAAAAGTTGTAGTCATTTTGAAACAATTGAATATGCCAATCAATCCTGATTTATGTCATATACTAACATACCAAGTCTCGTTTCTTTTTATCTGAAAAATTAAAAAAAGTTATAGGGGTGAGCCACTTTTGACAAACACCCGGTATATTAAATCTTGTTCAGATTTAATGAAAATTATATATTTAAGTCACCATATAATTATGTATATAAAAGTGCTATTCTTGGAAAAAGCGACTGTATAGCTATAACTCTGCCACAGAGCAATATTTTACTGTTTTATTTAATATTTGTATAAATCTCCTACATCAGATTGCAAATCTATCATACTTTTACAGAGATTTTTCATTTTTTTGGTTTGATTTTGTTGGTAGTAAATACTATAGTCTGTTTAAAATTTAGGGATTATTAATTTACTATTATAAAAGTATGATATATACTTACATATTATTAATTATGTTATCAAATTCTATTAGGGACTTGTGTCACAAGTTTACAGAAACGTTACAAGTTACCAGATATGCAACTAATAAACGTTGGATGGTATGTAATGGTGGAAACATTACAAACTATACCTACAATTTTTGAAACATTTCTCTATATTTTTTTTTTACTTTTATATTATTTTATTTTTTTATTTATAATATTATAAAACTTTTCTCTATATTTTATCAAATATAGATATTCTGATTAATTTCAAAAAAATATTTTTGAACTCGGAAGTAATATTGTTTAGTGACAATGACATCTTGAGAATTAGCTTTCAATGAGTTTTGATTTACACGAAATATTTTTAATTGTAATTAATTTACAATAAGCAAGTTCATATTTTAGTGATGTAATCTAACAGTGATAGCTATTAGTTTTCCATAGTGTCATCGTTGATTGAAGAAATAAGAAGATGCGCAATCTTATGGGCTATTTCGTGGCACAAAACCTTTACCAGATATAACTGGCAATATCGTCGCCGCTAGTCAACCTGTCCTAGATTTAATTCAGCTCTGCGCCGCTGCGCACTGATAGTCGTTTACAGCGCAGCGGATGAAAAAAACTGTACCGTAGTTCTGCTTTCAGTCTACACAGTGGGTGGTTATCGCAGACAGTGTTTCCAGAACTACGGATTAATACGTAGATTTACGGATTTTGGGTACAGTATGTTTAGAATTTTTTTTTTCTAAATTCTACAGTATGTTAATAATACGGATTTTCTATCATTAAATAATTTAATATAATATTATATGATTAAACAAAGAACGGCGTCAGAGTTGGCTTGGAAATGAAGATCGGTGTTATTTCGTATGTAAAATATTATGGTAAATGTCAATAGTCGTAATTTCCAAGCCAACTTGAATTAGAGAAAATGATGTGTTTTATGCTGTACAGCACTTGAGACGTAAGGGGAAATGAAATCAGCCTTGTCACGAATTTGCCCATTAGGTTGTGTATCTTCCCAATAATTTCAATCAACGGTATCATTCAGAAATTCCATATATTATTTGGGATTTTTGTTTTAAATAGTTTTATTTCATTTTTATTTTGTGCAAAGAATTAGATATATGTAATATTTTTAAAACAAGACTGCATATTTTCCAAATAAACAATTATCGGGGTTTTAATAAATAATACAAATTATAGTACCCCGTTATATTACGATAAGTATAAAAATGAAATAAACTGTGATATGAAAGTCCCATTTAATATGGTCTTTATAGGTGACACTGTATATTATAAAGAATTATGTCTGAAATTTTGGAAAGCTGTAGAACGTTGATGTATTAGCGGATGAAAAATGTAACAAAAAAATAAAAATACACGCAAGGTCCCTTTTTTCTGTGGCATGTTGCAGACGCTCGGCCACGCGGACGGCACGAAAAAAGAATGGCACGTGGAGGACGTCGTCGGCAACTGGTGGAGGCCCAACTTCGAGCCGCCCCAGTACCCTTACATACCGTCGCACATTACCAAGCCCAAGGAGCACAAGCGCCTATTTTTAGCGCAACTGCAAGAGAAGGGTATTGTATTTTACTGTAATTTTGTAGAATCTTCCTATATATTGAGTATGTATTTATTGCCGGTTGTTTTTGAGTAATTTTCAAGAAGACTGTATTAATTTTTCGTTTCCGGTAATTATTATTTCATTTTTCTTATTTTTTATTTTGTGGATAGTAGAATGATAATCAAGATATATAATGTCAAATAAAACTTTGTTTTATTGCAAAAATCAAGTACTTTGCATTTTATATTGCAATAAAACATGTTTTTACCTATTTTGGAGTGTGAATAGTAGTCATTGTTCTGAGCATGAATAAAGCTCAGTTATAGACATTATTTTGAAATTAAACAGAATGTCAAAAAATTGCTTACAACAATAACATATCCCCCAAAAGTGAAAGTTAAAAATATCTCCTTTATATTTCCATAGATTTAAATAATATTTTATTTTTAATATAACTCACTTAAAAATAGATTCATGATGTAATGTTCTCTTAATAAAGATTTGGAATTACAACCCTGGGTAGATCTGTAATGTCAAAAGAAAAAAAATTATAAATGTAAAGTATTTTTTTAATAATTAGCATAATTAATAATAATAATAAATAATAATTAGCTTTATCTCTATCTCTTATCTGTCTAGAGAATTATATATGTCTATAGATAGTTCTGTAGATGGTCTTCCATCTTAGCCCCGACTAGACATAAGACTTTAACTGTCAGGTAAGACTGATTAAAGACTAGTGTACACACTGGAAGTTTTACCTTCGGTTTATATATCAAATTATAGCATTCACTGTATTTAGTGAAGTTAAAAAGAAGAAACAGGCAATTTCAGTATAAAATAATAATTGTATTTATGGTTTAAATTTCATTTGTAAACACGGAAAACTGTCTGTGAAAATAATACCGGATGATCGAAAAACATCGGCGTCAGCGATGGCTATGAAATGAAGATCGCTGTCATTTTACATGTAAAATTATATGGGGACTGTCATCGATCGATCGTCATTTCCTAGCCAACTGGACGCAGTTTTTTTTCGATCATACGGTATCTTTTGGTAATAATCATGAATATCTTTAAATAATTTTGTAAAATTACATTATTTTGTGAAACCAGGTGAAAATATTAGATTTTTTAAAGTTGTTTTTTAAAGATGCTGTTTTTTTATTGTAGGCAAAACGACAGTTTTGTTGTAAAAGTGACATCCCGTCAGTTCTCTAGACTTTCTTCCGTCTTAATTCAGTTAAAAACGTTATCTGTTAAGGGCGTTTAAAATTGTATATTGGCGTGCTTGTTTGCATTTGAAAAAAAGCGTATTCTACAATTATCCTTTGTATCATTCACAACCTCGAAATTAGTGGAATAAATTAGTGGTTTCAATTTTCAATTACACTTTATACTTTTTAGTTTACGATCATTCACAATGTCTAAAAACACAATTAAAATTAATAGAATATCCTAGCGACAGCTTGCGGTAGTCAGTTGTATCGATAGACTTAAAATAAAATATAGACTACACTATTTATATCTCAACGCGGTCAAACAATCTTTTTTGTACACATGTTTACTTCTGGGTACAGTCGACCGAGCCTTCCTCATCCAGCCTATGTTGTCACATCTTTAATATTATCAATATTTTTTTCTTGTTATACACATATATTGAGATATTAATACTACAGTTTAATAAAGTAGGTTTCAATATTCCATAGATGTATTAAATAGTCCTTATACTACTAAATTATAAGTCGGATACTGTTTAAAAAGGATAAGTTCTTTACAATATGACAACACCGATTAGAGGCGAGGGATCCTATTCATTCATTTATTACCTTGTAGTACGCGTCGCACGTGTGCGGTAAAGCTTTGTTGCCGCTATGTCCCCGGCTGTATTAACGCATTTTCTTAGCTTGTAGTCCTTAAGTGTATATTTTATTGACTCTTTCTGTGCAAGAGCTATAAAATATGGTTCGCCAGTGCCAAATTTGCAAGAAATTTGACTTAAATAATCCATTTAAGTCTTGAAACGACTTTCGACCGGTAGGCAACTCTCTTACCCATTAGGAGTCGGTGGAGTAGTTGTAGAAAGGCGCTTATTTAGATAATATTTTAGTAAAATGTAAAATCTGAATTTTTTCTCTTACTCTTTTATTATTTACTTACTTACATTGTAACAAAATCATAATTATAACCCTGTTAATAATTAATAATGTTTTTATTAAAAATATATTCCGGTTTATTCTAAAATTATCTTCAGAATCTAAAATAACATACAAGAATTTTAAAATGATATTACATTATGAAACAATATTTTTTAATATACCGGGTCGTCTCAAAAGTGGCTCACCCCTATAACTTTTTTATTTTTTCAGATAAAAAAAAACAGATTTGTATGTTAGTAGGTATATGATATAAATTAGGATTTATTGACGTATTCAATTGTTTTTGGTCTCTTCCTGTTTCACCGAAATGATTATATCTTTTGATTTTTAAAGGCACCCTCGGTATATGGCTACTTTATTCGATAAAAAATGACACTGTGAATAGAATGACATATCATATGTCAACTTTTGACATTGTCGCTTAAAAACAAATCGTATTTTAAATTTCAATCCAGGGTGCCATGGTGTTGTTAAAAACACTTTTAATCAAGGAGCCTTGGAAAAATAGTTTTGATCGTCTAATAGGTTTCGTGTCTTGTCTAGGCCGGTTAAAAGATGTACAAATCGTATTTTTAATCATACATATGTCAATTTTTTCAAATGGAACAAGGGTGACTCATTAGCATATTTGGAAAAAGCATTTTTTATGAATATATTGATACCACACACTTGGTATTTCGAGTCAAATTGTCGTTATGAACCGCGTGTTACAATTACAATTAAACCATATGCGAAAATGTCAAAAGTTGACATATGATATGTCATTCTATTCAGAGTGTCATTTTCTATCGAATAAAGTAGAAATATACCGAGGGTGCCGTTTAAAAATTAAAAGTTATAGTCATTTCCGGTGAAACAGGAAGTGACCAAAAACAATTGAATGCGTCAATCAATCCTAATTTATGTCATATACTAACATACTATATCATGTTTTTTTATTTGAAAATATAAAAAAAATTATGGGGATGAGCCACTTTTGGGACGCACCCGGTATAATAAAGACAGTACCGAGTTAAATAAATGTAGTTTTCATTTTATCCACTTCCTATCACCTTCCTTGCTTTAATGGAACAGATTTATGTTTTCTCTAATTTACATAATAAGACATCACTTAACCAGAAAAAAAATTACAACAATCATATTTTTTTTCTCTCCCTGTCGCCGATTCTATTATATCTGTGGAATAGATCCTGTTTTGATTAATATTAGGGGTTGTAAATGTTTGACTAAAATTAATAATTTATTATTAATTTCAAAAATTACTTTATTTCGATTATAAAATTTCTTCTATAACGTGTATTTTATTATTTTTATCCTTTTTGGAGTCTAAGACGTTTTTTCTAAACTTTTATTTAAAAAACCTGTCCTAAATCTTAATAAAATATAAAAAAGTTTAAATACGATATATTTTTAATTTAATTATAGCTTCATTAAAATAAAAAAATTACCCGGCTATGATACGGAGAGTTCAGGTGTACTTGAGAAACGAAAGACAGTGTTGTGTTTCTCGGCAGAGTCGTCAGCGAACGACCGTGATGACAGAGACAACCTATCTATCGCTCGTGTCGCACTCGTTATAACCTAAAACAATAACAAGACATTGTCTGACCGCATGTTCCAGCTATTTATGAATGAGATGCTCAGTCTATATTTTATTTTAAGTCTATGGTTGTATCCATAGAGAAAGCCGAATATTTAGCTTTTGATTTCTAACCACTTCAACTTTTGATTTCTAACCACAATTTCTCTTGACGGATGATAATCAAAGACCAAAATGACATTCTTCGCAAATTTTGAAGTATTATTAGTGGAAAAGTCAAAAGTTGGTTAACTTTTTCTACTAACTGAAAATGACTACCACTTATTTTGACGTTCTTAATGCTTACATTGAAATAAGTGGAACAAACTTCTACGCTAATTGAAACCACTAATTTATTCCACTAATCGCGAGGTTCTGAATGAAACTTATAAATTAGTGCAAATTGTAAAATAAAATCCGTCCTGTGAAGAAAATAAGATTTCATTCTGTTATCTACATCCACAATTTAGAAATACCATTTTTTGAATTTATATAATGACTATTTAATTCTAAGCAAGTCTTTTTCAAGCTTACCTTACTTTTCATACAAGATATGTATTTAATTTTATAAATAGGAAAAAGTACGATACCGGTATTATCAATGTTAAAAATAAATTAACTGGAATTGGTATGTTGTGTACTCTTGTAGGTATACCATTTTTAGAATTTTTGAAAGTGTATGTATTTTTTTACATGTATAATGCCTAAGAAAAAAAAACAGAAAACGAAATTTTCTTAATTATTTTTTATGTCAAATTTGGATAGATACCCAAGAATAGGATGATTTTTGTGTCATATTTTATTACATTCAACTTACTAATTAGAGTAAACTTTGCCTAAAGAAATTAATGAAAAAAAACCGTACAATGCGGATTTTATCTGTATATAGCACTGCTTAATATACCATACGATCAAAAAAAAAAACGGTGTTAAAAACGGCTGGAGAATGAAAATCGATATTTTGGCGAGGTCAAGCCCTTGATGTCATTTACTTGGTTCATACTCTTCTTTATTTTTTAATGGCTCTTACTGCTAGTTGGCCTTAAGAAGGTTGTATTTTATTTTTATATTGAGTAAAAGTGATTTATAAATGGTGTAGTTAAAAATTCGAGAAAAATAATTTTTTGAAAATAGATTTGTGTCCCATCTGGAAACGTTCTATACTTTTTAATCTTTCTATAATTACTTTTAATTTTTGATTTTGAAGTTTTATGTCAATTTTTAGTAAACGATGTCCAGAGATTGACCTCGCCAAAATTATTATCGATGATCAAGACGTCTTTGACGCCGTTTTTTTTTCGATCATACGGTATATCCTACGATTGAAAAAATACCGACGTCATAGAGGCATATGAAATAATAGTCGGTGATAATCCCTATATGTCATGTATTAAGAATTGATATAAAAACCTGTTAACATTTTAATTTTAATATAGAAAAAACTAAAAAAAAAAATAAAATCTCTACAAAAACAATTTTTACTGAATATAAAGTTTTTATGTTACTTTTTAATAAATGAATTAGGGGTCAACCCAAAAGAAAATCGATTGTATTTTTGGAGGCTATGTGTGAAATAAGATGTGTTTTTTTTCGGTTATATGGTAGTTTATCTTATATTGAATATTTATTACAACTGTATAATCGCTCCAATGTATAAATATTTTATAAATATATTTTTCTTTTTATTAAATCAGTACATGTATAATATAATGTTCACGTGACTTGCTATTTACATAATATTTACACTGTAATATACTTTATTTTACACTTTGTTAGAATAATATGTGGTGGTGTTTTTGTCGATTTTAATCGTTTTTTTACCATTTTACAGCCTTGTTTGCCATACCTAAAAACTACAAGTTGATAGCAGCACCCCTGTTTGAATTGTATGACAACCCCCAAGGATTTGGACCAATAATATCGTCCTTGCCACAAGCGTTGTGCAGGTAAGCAAATATTTATGAAGTTATTCCAAGAGTTTTAATAATTAAATTAAGAATAAATTGGACTTTTCAAGGCGTCAAAAGAAATTTTAATTAAATTTCATAACGACAGTTACCATAATAACGCAAACCTTGGCAACAGTTGCTATGGTAACCGTTTCTGCGACAACAGGTACTAAGTTTGCCATGACAACTGTTACTGACAACTGTTACTACAGTAACAGTTACCATCCCCAATAGCACAAGATATTGGCCCAATACTTAGGATATGTTGGGTAAAAATTGTAAGCTGGCCCAATATTGCCGATTTTTAGCCAATATTGGTAGTTGATTGGCAATAAAACTTTTTCCTTTATTATAATTCTATATTTTCATAATAACGTACCAATATTTAAATAATGCATAATTATTTTAATTTTTCAAAAAAAATCATTCATATTATTACAGTCATGTTAGTTTACGACATTATTCTTTTATAGTTTAATAATTCATTGTTTTTTTAATATAATTTCAATTTACTATTGTCATGCCAATAATTCATAATTTGTGTAATATTTTTGACTTGCAATTGAGTGCTAACTAATCAGTATACCCTGCAGAAATTCTGTAACGCCAGTGGTGAGTGCCAAACACAGTGCCAAATAAACGAAAAGCAATAAAGAAATCTGGTCTGGATAGCCACAACGTCATAAAACGGGTTCCTGTTGCATCCCCACTCTTCTTCCCTATGACGCATTCATTGATGACGCCGCGCGTGCGCCCGCCCGACTTATTTTATAATTTGTTGTGTTCTTTGCATCTCAAAATCATGATACATGCCTTAAAATTAATATCAAGTAAATAATTTGTGATTTATCTATTTGTGTGCAGTGTAATTTGGATCATTTTAAGTAAAGGTGAACTGGTAAGTACTTTATTTCAACAACTTTTAAATGTAGACTAGTAGATATTTCCTGTAAGAGGCATCCTAACCTAAACATTTACTCAACTACCAGACAATTTAGAAGTAAATAAAAACCTAAAATAATAGCCGTATCCTATCAATTCTCACTTGAATTGTGAAAACTGTTGAAATAAACCTGATGTTTAATTAATGTCAATATTTTTCATATTTTTACATAGGTAAATGGAAACGTTGGGCCAATATTGGCTAAATATAGAATCGAGTTAGCAAAGTTCTGGAGCATTTTAAAATCGCGCGGTTCCAAGTATGGTGAACCTATTGGTTTCCTAGATATTTCACGTTTTTACATTTGATCATTTAATATTTAGACCATATTAGATGTAAATAATTATTTATATAATTTGAAACGTCCTAACCTAAACATATTTAATACATTATCACTGAACTACAAAAAAGAGATTTTACTCCAAGCAAAAGGAAATCTTTATTTAAAGAAAATTTAAGTATCAAAAAACATAAAGTACGTTGTATGGCTGAATCACCATCGGTTTTGAACAATGGTCAAAGGGAATTAGACGCAAGTCCCTTTGAGCCGTCAGTAGCTTTAACAGGTAACATATATTGATGAAGATCACTTATATTTTGTAGAAATACCTACTTGAACCAAGATAACTTGGGCGTTTGATGTATATTTTTAGCTTCTGAGAGATTGATCTTAAAAGAAATAAAAAAGTTGAATTGGGAAATACAGGATATGAAAAAAACAGTAAACAAGATTCAGGACCTGTTGCTCACAATTAGCATGATTAATATTAAGTTCTAGTGAAGAACCTTTTCAACTACCAATTGAGAACCAGGCTTTACTAGAATCTATAGAGCAGCATTTAGAAGATGAAAAAAATATTGAACTTTTGGTAATAATAATTATTTGCAGATTATACTCGTATGAGAAACAAAATGTAAAGCTTATCAAATTGTTTATTTTAGGCTCAACGATTATACCTTTGTGGAGGGGACAATACCCACAAATCTGTTTTTTTATTAATGAAAAAACTGTTTGCCAGAGATGTAGCAATGCTCTATTCTGGATCAGGAAAGAAGGGAAAATTATCATTTCAGAAGTTGTCATGTTATAAGGCTATTATAAGTTTGTGTTTTATAGAAGCTGTTCGTTTTCCAGGCGCCACGGATGCAGGTATTAACAAATCCATATCTTTGTATTTGACAGGAGCAGCAGACAGGGAAGGAAGACATAAAAACAGAAATGCCCAATATATACAGTTATTTTGAAACAGAAAAATATTTTTCGTTTTTTTATTTATTATCAGGATAACAGCTTATTTTTCATTATTTTATTTTATATAGCAATATATTATGTTTTTATTGATGTAACGTTTTATTGAATCTTTCCCTAATATTTATTTCCCGAATCTATACAACATATTGGTTAAAAAGAAGTGCAGATTTTTTGATTTTTTTTATATTTCTTTTATTTTTAAAACATATTATATAATATATATAATATATATATATATATATATATATATATATATATATATATATATATATATATATATATATATATATATATATATATATATATATATATATATATATATATATATATATATATATATATATATATATATATATATATATATATATATATATATATATATATCATTCTCATTCGAAAATAATGTTCCACTGTATATATAAAACATACAATAACTTGCATAAAATGCATTGACTTTTCGAACTATCTTGATATTTTGATATCAAGTGACAATAAAAAGTTTCCAGGGAGTTTCCTATTCCGAATCTTGATTATGTGGTATGTACATAGATTCAATGTACAGACTAAATATTGGTCCAAGATTTGCGAAACAAAATGGAAAAATATATGTAAATTATGTTGGACCATTATTGAAAAAACACATTATGTCTATAAATATAGCAAATATAGGATAAATATTAAATATCCATATTGGATCAATATCGATTTTTAACAAAGGATAAATATATGAATGCTATATTTTACCATTAAAAAAAATCTCGCCTTTTCTTTATTGGGCCAATATGTAAATATATTATTTTACCAATGTTGGTGTGCTACTGGGGATAGTAACAGTTACTATAGCAAAGTAATTACAGAAAATTATAAGTCAATCGAAAACGTATTAGTTTATTTTTCAAAGAATAAAGGAATTTTCATAAACTCTATTAAAAAAAAATAATGAAAAACAACAGCATATTTTGATATTTTTGTGTGTATTTTAAGATTTTCATCTAGTATTACTTAATTTGCAGATTCGAATTCATATACATGTGATCTTCAAGATAAAGAAGGAAGAAAAAAATCGGGAACAAAATGTGGCGTGCAAGCACAGCTCCTTTATTTCGAATTTTATTTTTTTACCAAAACTTTTTACTGTCAAGACCTAAATTATATATTTTTTATCATAGGAAAAAGCAACAAAGTGAGACTAAAATAGCAAAGTTAGATCTCTGTATTAATTATTAAGAAATCAATGGGAAATTCTTAAAAACTTAATTTCTATTTTGCTATGTATTCAAAGCAGATTTTATAGAATAAGGGAATATTTCTAATTTGTTGTTAGCCAAGTGGATACCTTTTTCCTCTAAGAGTTTATTAAACAAATTGTGGAATTATTGTAATTGAAAAAACAAGGTTCCAGGAATCAATAAATTAGAGAGAATTGTGAACTGTAATAAAAATAATAGATTTAAGCTGTAAATTGTTAATTATTACAATAAAGATATAAAATAATGAAACCAGTACTTTGAATTTATATTTCTTTGAATATTTTTACGATAAACCTAAAATGTTCTTTAGCAAGTTTTAAAGTAAATGTATAAGTGTTGAGTTAACATCTTTTGGTTGCTAAAGCTAATCTGGAAAATATAACAGAACAAAATATCTTACGAAACAAAAATAAATTAATTATTAATATATATATATATTATATATATATATATATATATATATATAACGCAATATATATATGGGCCCAGTTTATATATATATATATATATAGTTATATAAATATATATATAGGGGCGCTGTGATGATTGGGATACTAAATATACAGCTTCTTATGGCAAGAATAACTATTTTGTTATAAATTATAGAGCCAAGTTAATATTTGGGCATATTTATACCAGAGTTATATATTTTAGAAATATGGTTTTTCTAATTGAGCAATGTGCGTATATATAAATGTGAATACAAAACCTTAAATTTGAGTTTGAAAAGTTAGTTAGGTTATATTAGATGCCGGTTTAATATATCCTTTTCCTAAGTTGATATTATAAAAAATGTTTTTATTATGTGGTTCTTTTTAGTGCATACACGACCGAAGAAACATATAAGCTGCTAAAATAAATCTTCCTAGAACTGTTGTACAAAAAAGATAGATTATCACCAGTTCAACCTTTGATTTGATGTAAACAGTAATTGTTCTTGATGTGGAAATGCGAATGAAATAGTTTATGGTGTGATTGTGTTAGTGTTTTATTAATAGTTTTGTTGATGCAGTTTAAAGGTTCATAGTTTTCATTAAAACATTTGAAATTGACATGTTTACATGCAGTTTAGTGTGATACCATTTTAATAAACATTAAAATCTTTCGAACTAGTAGTGGTTTTATGGCGATTGACCACCCTTGACCCTAGAAAGCTGAAATTTTGCACAGGGGTTCCTTTTATGATGTTTACGTAAATAAGAAAGGATTTTTTAAATTCATCCCCTAAGGGGGTAAAAAGGGGGTGGAATATTATTCCATATATTTTTTATTGAAAAAACGGTCAATTTCCGAAAAACGCTTAAACACGTATATTTTATTTTCTTTTTTTAGCGTTATTTTAAGATTTTTTAAAATATATGCAAAGTGTTTCCTGAAAAATCTTGTCATTGATTAATCAACGATCCTGATATTAAAATGCTTGACGTAATAAAAAGATGATTCTTGGAAAACGGATTGACTTTAGGGTGTAGAGGTTCGATAAAAAGGATTTTCCGAAACTCGAATTCTAAGGGTGTGAAACCAGCCTCAAATATTAGAATATTTTTTATTTAAAAACGGTGAGTTTTTTCATATAAAAAACTATTTAAACACGTATATTTTATTTTGTTGTTTTACATATTTTAAGATTTTTAAAAAAAATTTATACAACACAAAAATTACAATTTAAAAAAAAATGCATTCTAAAAAAATACCTAGCTACAATATACCTACATATTAATTTAAAGAGCTTATTCATATTCATAAAATATGGCCATTGAGTTTATACGATTCTGCTTAAACTGCTTAACGTTTAAAGCCGATTTTTGGCAAACGGATTGACTGTGGGGTGTAGAGGTTCGATAAGGAGGGTTTTTTTCTCAAGTATCTCAAATTCCAAGAGGGCAAAACGCCCCTCAAATAATCTATACTAATATATAAAATTCTTAAGTGACTCACTGATTAATCACTATCCTGTTCAAACCACTCAACGTAAGAAGCTCAATTTTGGCATATAGGTTGATTCTAAAGTGTCAGAGGTTTGATGAGAAAGGATTTTTCGAAATTCCAGTTCCAAGAGGGTGTAACCATCCCTCAAATATTATAACCTTTTTATTTAAAAACGGCCAAGTTTCCAGAAAAACGCTTAAACACGTATATTTTATTTTCTTTTTACATATTTTAAGAGAAAAATGTACACAGGGTGTTTCGAAAAATCTGATCATTGACTGATTTTTGGAAACGGATTGACTTTAGGGTGTAGAGGTTCGATAAGAAGGGATTTTTCTAAACTCGAATTCTAAGGGGGTGAAACAACCCCTTAAATATTAGAATATTTTTATTTAAAAACCGGTGAGTTTTTCGGAAAACTCTATTAAACACGTATATTTTATTTTGTTGTTTTACATATTTTAATTTTTTTTTAAAATTTATACAGGGTGTTTCATAAAATATGGTCATTGAGTAATCACGATTCTGCTTAAACTGCTTGACATTTTCAAAGCTTCTTTTTTTGGCAAACGGATTGACTGTGTGGTGTAGAGGTTCGATAAGGAAGGGTTTCTCGAATCTCAAATTCCAAGAGGGTAAAAACGTCCCTCAAATAATCTATACTAATATAAAATTCTTAAGTGACTCACTGATTAATCACGATCCTGCTTAAACCACTCAACGTAAGAAGCTCAATTTTGGCATACAGGTTGATTCTAGCTTGTAGTGGTTCGATAAGAAGGGATTTCGAAATCAGTTCCAAGAGGGTGAAACCACCTCTCAAATATTACCATATTTTTATTTAAAAACGATCAAGTTTCCGAAAAAACGCTTGAACACGTATATTTTATTTTGTTTTTTACATATTTTAAGACTTTTTAAAAATGTATACAGTGTTTCGAAAAATCTGGTCATTGATTAATCACGATCCTGCTTAAAGCGCTTGACGTAAAAAGCTAATTTTTGGAAAACGGATTGACTTTAGGGTGTAGAGGTTCGATAAGAAGGTATTTTTCGAAACTCGAATTCTAAGGGGGTGAAACCACCCCTCAAATATTAGAATATTTTTTATTTAAAATCCGGTGAGTTTTTCGGAAAAATTCTTAAACACGTATATTTTATTTTGTTGTTTTACATATTTTAAGATTTTTTAAAAATTTATACAGGGTGTTTCATAAAATATGACCATTGAGTAATCACGATTCTGCTTAAGCTGCTTGACGTTTAATGCTGATTTTGGCAAACGGATTGACTGTGGAGTGTAGAGGTTCGATAAGGAAGGGTTTCTTGAATCTCAAATTCCAAGAGGGTGAAAACGCCCCTCAGATATTGCAATATTTGTTATTTAAAAAACGGTTAGTCTTTCGGGAAAATGCTTGGACACGTATAATTTATTTTGTTTTTTACATATTTTGAATTTTTTTAAAAAATCATACAGGGTGTTCCAAAAAGTTGGGCAATTGATTAACTACGATTCTGCTCCAGTTTGTATGTTAATGGAAATTCTTGCTTTGCTTTATCATATCACCATTACAAATGATTAATTGACGCGAACGAAGTCGCTTGGGTACATGCTAGTATATATATATATATGTATATATATATATATATAGTTATATATTATATATATATATATATATATATATATATATATATATATATATATATATATATATATATATATATATATATATATATATATATATATATATATATATATATATATATATATATATATATATATATATATATATATATATATATATATATATATATATATATATATATATATATATATATATTTACATACATATTCTCACTATATTAGATATATGTTACTATTACCATATACATATATATATATATTGATATTACACTATATACATATATACACATATATATACATACATATATATATACATATTATACATACATTGCCATATATACATATATATATACATACCATATATACATATACATATACATACATACATACATATATACATATACAGCCATATATAGTCATACATTATATATATATATATATATATATATATATATATATATATATATATATATATAGTTATCATTTACATCAACAAAACTCACCTTCTTAACAGCACTTACTATTACCGCTTTCCCGTTCGAAATATTCTAATAACTAATAACGTTGCGATGAGTTTTTTACGGCTATTAAGCTATCTTGTACAATTCGCACTAAAAGAGGTTTTAAAAAGAATAATGTTCGACTGCAAGGTCTGCTAGAAAATTTTTTTCAGCTTAAAGTATCACAACACAATTCATTTAAAACAAGAACTCGTAATTAGGGAATGCAATCCCGCAAATGCTGGATCCCTCTGAGATTCCGCGGGATCAAAGTTGTGGGATTTACCGTGCGGGATCCGCGGGATCGACACATTACTACTAGGTAACCGAATTGATCTCGATTAAAATCAAACCGCTTCGTTCCGGGCCGACGCGTCGACGCTCGGAACCCAGGGGATTCCCCTAACGGCTTGGCCATTAAAACTAAGTGAAACAAACAGGCTAGTTGTTAGATTTCTTTCTGGCGTATGTGCGTAAGTGAAGAAAGCGTTTAACTAGTACTTGAGGACAATTTCGTCAAATAAATTGCCGGACATAATTATTGGGACAAGCAAAATTTTAGGGTAAATTTAAAGTTGAATATCTCTTGAACTAAAAAAGATTTTGGGATGCGGTTATTTGGACCAGGTTTTAGATGATTAGATTGCGATTAAGATGTTGATGTTGTTTTTGAAAATATATTTAGCGTTATTTTTTTAGTATACAGGGTGTTTTATAAGAGTGTGAAAATTTGATCAAGAATCTTTTTTACCGAAAATTTACAATTTTTAAAAAATCGAAATTTTTACCAAGTATGACTAATCTGTATTGAAATTAGAAAAAATAATTTGATAGTTTTTTAATTTTTTTTGTTTTAAGGAAAATACGACGTTTTTTCGAAAAATGTGCATTTTTAGTCATACATATTGCCCTAAATGGCACAAAAATAATAATGGCTGCATATGCCAAAAAATTATTGATATAGAGTGTATCTAAAAGCAGATAACTAACACAAGTTAAAAAAACTTCAACATCAGAATAATATTTTTATTTATAAAATAAGTAGATAAATTATAATAAAATTTAAGTTTATTTAATATTAAATATATTTTTTGAACGCCCTGTATATATCGTTCCAAATTTCTGTACAGCTAGTTTAAGATACACGCTATATCAATATATTGTGGGCCTATGCAAAATGTACAGGTGTATTTTTCTACCATTTAGGACCAAATGTATGACTATTGTTTACAGTCCCGCAATTTTGCGGATCCGCGGGATTGATTGCTTTAATCCCGCGGCTTTGCGGGATTGAGATTTTGGTGCGGGATTGCATTCCCTACTCGTAATACATTAAAGTGTCAAAACGAATGATAATGTCGGGAAATAAGTAAATAAATGTGACAACTAGACATTTTTTACTGCAGAGCTACCACCTGAATCCGCAGCGGGAAATTTAAATTCCAGTTAGTCAGCCCGGCGCCGAATATGTTCATGGTTGGCAACAATGAATTTAAAAATCGCGCCCTCGATTACGTAACTAAAAGTTTAATTGGTATCGAATATACAGGGTTGTCCGAACCGTATTCCAGAAACTTCGGCAGCATATTCTGCAGATAAAAATAAGTAAAAAAGTTTGTATAGATGTATGTCCTAAAATGCTTAGTTTCGGAAATACAGGGTGTAGAAATTTCATTTTTATTTTGATTTTTTCCAAATAATTTTTGAAGTAACGTGACTATTTGGATGAAAATTGGTGTGTGGGAGTTTTTTGACATGAGAAATTTGATTTTGATGTCAATATGACTCCCATTTGTAGGGGGCGCCACCTACATGTATTTTAACTGTCTTAAAGGGTAAGAAAGTTGAAGGAGTCGAGTAATAACTTTTCGTCCGTACCTGTATAAAAGTACTGAGTGAAAAAATATACATTTCCGTTGCTTTTTACGTAAAAAATGTCTCTTGGTAAAAATCGCTATGAGTAACCGTTCTCAAGATATTTAGAATGGAAATAGTCAATACATGTCATTATTGGCAAAAAATAAATACGTTGAGTAGAGATAGTTATTTGACCGAAATAAGAATTTCTTATTTCTTATTATTCTTCATACATTTTTCTACGAAGAAATGATGATAAAACAGTTTCTGTTGAACCTTTGGTACAAAAACGTTTCAAATTTATGATTCCAGTATAATAACTATTTAGTTAACATGTTTAATTTATGTCAATGATGACAGGTATTGATAATTTCGATTCCAAATATCTCAAGAACCGTTACTTGCAGCGATTTTTCCCAAGAGACAGACATTTTTTACGTAAAAAACGTCGTAAATATGTATTTTTTTACTCAGTAGCTTTATACAGGTACGGACTAAGTTAAAAAGTATGTGGGTGGCGCCCTCTACAAGTAGGACTCATATTGACATCAAAATCAAATTTCTCATGTCAAAAAACTACCAGACACCAATTTTCATCCAAATATTTACGTTGCTTCATAAATTATTTGGAAAAAATCGAAACAAAAATGAAACTTCTACACCCTGTATCTCCGAAACTAAGCAATTTAGGACATACATTTCTACTAACTTTTTTACTTATTTGTATCTGCAGAATATGCTGCCGAAGTTTCCAGAATACAGTTCGGACCACCCTGTATATAATCTAAGGTCGACAATTACATGACATTACATGAAGTAGAAATAAACTCGTTTAAAAGTTGAAATTAGCTTTTATTATGGACTGACGAAAAAAATATTTACAATCTAAATTGCACTTAATTTTTATCAATACTTTTATTATCGAAAGAAATAAAACTCCAAAATACAAATAAACTAGATATAACCAATTTGGTAATCTTGTCAATAACGTTTGAATATGTATACCTATTTAAAACCCATAATAATAATTCTTGAATGGAAGAATTTCTTTTTATTAGTTATGTACAATTCCATTATATTTTTATTATTACATTTTTATACAAGTATTAAATATCAGGCCAAGCGATCACCAATGCCAGTTAAGCTAACCGAAGAAAAAAAAAGTAACTGGAAGATACATATTATGTATATATTTTGTTTTAATTATATTGCCAACCCCTCCTGGTTAATCGCCAGACCTATTTTATTTTTCTAAGCAATAATAAATAACGATTTTTTTTCTGGTTAGAAATAACAAAATTAATTTGGTGTCCCATTTTCGTGTGTTTGACAGGATGTGTCGTTCTTTATAAAACTAAAGATACTACACAAAGATTGTCCTAGCCCTCTTAGTTCCTTAAATGGACAAGTTTGAAAATTTTGCATTTTTCGACACCCTTCGTCTATTTCGATTATCATATAATTTATGGGAAATGTGACAACTGAATTCCGCAGAGTTTTCAGGTAGAATCCAGTGGCGTACATACAGAGCACCTGCTCTGCCACTGTACGGCACTGAAATACCGACGCTTTAAAACTTTAGGGTAAGGGTTTTTGGAGGGACTAGAGGAAGCAGCAGAAGTCAACATAATCGACATCGGGAACTTTGCAAAGAGCTTTAACGCAAAGAAAGAATGAGAGGAAGGTTTGGTATAATAATAACAAGGGGTATCGCAACGAGCCCAAGGCCTCCGAGTGAGGGATCTAACATGATCCCAAACCACAGCAACCTAACCTAACTTAGAATTCAGTGGCGTAACTAGATTTTCGCTGGGAGCTGTCATTTTGGAAATATAATTTTTTTTAATGGGACATCCTGTAATCTCTGTGTAGCATATTTAGTTTCATAAAAAAATAGTACAGTAATGTGAAAATCGCATCTATGTACAGGGTGGGTCAAATTGGACGTTTTTAAAGGGAAACGCCTTTTTCTATAGGAGATAGACGAAAACTAATATCGGTGTCTGGAGCTCAATTTTTATCAAAAACAAGATGGTGAAAACTGCACATCGATATCTCGTTACCGTTTCGGAGTTACGGGGTGTTTTTCAAAAAATGTGCATTTTTAACAAATCGCTGTAACTTTTTTGCTATGGAAAATTTTGTATTTTTTATGAAAACATTTCCAAAACACCTTTTTACGTAGAATTTAATAGTTTAAGTATAATTTTTTTTAAATTAATAATTTAAGAATTATCAACAGAAAATTTGAAAATTGTTTATATGGGACACCTTGTATATTTTTATTTCATTGAAAATAATTTAAAATTACCTTTCCAAAAATATAGCATACTTGATATTTTGCTCGATTCCTCTTCGAGATATAGACCTTTTAAAAATTCGCCCACTTTGTATAAGTAGGCTTTGAACGACGCCAGCTGTAATGCAAAAAAAATTTTTAGCTGTGAGCAGCAATTAAAACGAAAATAACGTTTGCAGTGAGAGATGCAGAATATTATAACAATTTGAACTATATTGAACTTCGGTTATGGACAGATGGGACCATTTTTGAACATTTCTCTCATTAACTCAGTGGGAGTGAAAGATACCCTCGCATAACCCTACTAGTACTTCTAATTCTTGTCTAGATTATACTGACAATTTATAAATAAGAACATTTATTCTTCCGCAAAAATAAAAATCCGTAGGCACTAAGTCTGGCGGCCTCGACGGCCAACGAAATTGGCTGTAAAAATTTGCTAATAATTTCAGCGTTCTGAGGCGGTGCCTCGTCTTGCTGGAATAATATGTTTTCGAGTGCTATTAGGGACAGATCATCAATAAGGGATCCAAAGCCTACTAGTTAAAAGTGGTAAAGTTTTAAAAATTCTGTATTTCGAAGGGGACTATGAGAAAATATCAAGTTAACTATATGGAAAGGCAATTTTAAGTTCTTTTCCTTTAATTAAAAATATACAGAGTGTCCCAAATAAAAAATCTATTTTTCTGTTGATAACACTTAAATTATTAATTTTAAAAAAATTATACTTAAACCATTAAATTCTACGTAAACAGGTACTTTGGAAATGTTTTCATAAAAATATTCTAGCAAAAAATAGTCCATAGCAAAAAAGTTACACCGGTTTTTTTAAAATGCACAGTTTTGAAAAACAGCCCGTAACTCGTAAACGGTAACAGATATCGGTGTGCGGTTTGCACCATCACGTTTTTGATAAAAATTGAGCTCCAGACACCGATATTAGTTTTCGTCTATCTCCTATAGAAAAGGGTGTTTCTCCTTTTAAAAGCGTCCAATTTGACGCACCCTGAGAAACGGTGTAAAACACACGAAAATGGAATACCCTGTTCGTTTTTTTTCTTTTCTACCAGCGAAAAAGAAGAAGACTGTAATTTGGCTGAAATTATTTCAGTTCTGTTTGACGTTACACCGTTGTACATTAAAATACTGGAAAAAAGGGAGAAGGTGCGCATCGTGAACCGCCGAGTAAGAGTAAAAAACTAATTAATTATTTATAAAATCTACAGCAAAACATTCACGAGTTATTAAGACAACGCATCACAGAAATTTGCACCGAAAGCAGCGTTTTCAATGTACAAAGGTGAAACTGGTTCGGGGTTTCTTCGTTAAACCGACAGGGACACGAAGCTGTTGTACTGCGAAATGTTCCTCTTCAGGATGTCTGCGCAGGGTCCAAGAACTCTTTCGAATCTGAAGAAATAAATAGATAGTAAGTAATAATTCGTTAATGGTTTCAATAATGTCCTATCGTCTAAAATGATGAGTGAATTACGAGTAATACAACTAAATATGGAACTTCCAATTTGCTGTGGTCGTTTCTTTCAAAAAATGATAACCTATGATCTTCATCATCGAACAGAACAGAACACATGCATTCCTGGTGAAAATTTACTTTTTACTAACTACCCGTTCACAAGGTACTGTTCCGATTGTTTTGCCGATTCGATAAAAATATCGAATGTTACAGTAGCGCATGGTTTTTATGTGCCGTATACGAACCTTTTTCCGGATACGATCGTTTTGGACCAATTACGATTACTTCATCCAAATAATTGATAATCTAAATACAACTACTTTTATCAAAAGGTTACTGAATTAGAGTAATTCAATTACTGGGGAGTAATTGAATACAATTTTTTAATTACTTTAATTCAATTACCGAAAGCTCTGTGTAAAATCTTGGATTTTTCTTGGTCGTAAGTTCTGCGAAATTTTTTTGAGTGTCTTAGACCGTTGGAGGATTCCCATTCCAGTGTGTAAAAGCCTCCATAACAAGTCGAGAGTGTCACATCATGGATCACTGAGCGATCCCTTCCTGACAAATACAGAAGTAAGGCAGGGATGTGTATTAGCACCTCTCCTATTCAACTTATTCATGGCAGCGCTCTCTATTATAGTGGACAGCAAGCTGCAGGAAAGAGAGAGAGGAATGGGTGTTATATAGATACTGGCATGGACGGCACGGCGCCGGCGCCGCGGCGGTCTGTTCGACATAAAAAGACTTAGGGCAAAAATACGTATAAAATTCATCACAGAACTTCAATACGCTGATGATTGCGCTCTAGTTGCAAAAACGTTACAGCAATTACAAGAAATGCTGAACACATATATCTGGGCATACGAGGCTTTGGTCCTTAAGCTGAACATCGATAAAACTAAAATCATGTAACCTAACCTAACTTCCCCGGAAAATCATAACAGTGCTATAAAAATTGGAGAAGAACTACTGGAATATGTAGCGGAATTCAATTACCTCGGCAGTTTGATTTCGGAAAAGCAAATATCGACTCTGAAATTCAGCACAGAATTAGCAGCGCCTCAAGAGTAGGGTTCCCAACTTGAGCATCGGCGATTCCGGGACAATTATTTTTAAGATTTTAAATAATTGAAACAAAACATTAAATATTAGAAATTCAAATATATTATATGTAAATGTGATTTTTTTGGTCCCGGCCAAGGCAAAATTTTCGCCGGGACAAACTTTCTGATTCCTGGTTAACCCGGTCAAACCGGGGCGGTTGGGAACCCTACTCAAGAGCATTCTGAAAATTAAAAGACAAGGTTTTCTACAATCATGACTTGAGCACAAAAACGAAACTTGTAGTTAGCAATAATAATCCCCACCATGTTATATGGAAGCGAAATCTGGGTCTCCTACCGCCGCGCCGCGCCGGCACATGAATGCATTAAACAAGTTGCAACAGAGACACCTTAAACAACTCTTAAGAACAAAATGGTTCCACCATGTCTCAAACGTATCGGTCTTTTGAAATAATTAGTGCTGCGAGTGCGTTGAAGTCAGGATTACTAAATTCCACTTAAGATGGCCTGGTCATATATGCAGAATGCAAGAAAACCGCCTACCAAAATCTCTGCCTTACGGTGAGCTTGTAGACGTAAGAGGAAACCGGGTGGACAACTCAAAAGGTACACAGGATATTTTCCATGAAAACTTAAAGGGGATAAGCATGCAGAATCTATGGGAGGAAGAAGCGCACAATAGAACACAATAAAGAACAATTGTAAACTCAGTTAACAGCGCCAACCAAAAAGTAACGAGGCAACAAAGTAATGAGAATTTTTGAATGTCCTGAGGGCGGAAGAGGGATAACATCACGTATCGGGCTTGTCAGTCACAGAAAAGCTCATGAAAGAAAACGCCTGGCGTAACCATCTCCCGATGCGTGTTAAATACTCGTCAGCGAGTAATGGCAGTAAGTGGCAGTAATTCCGGGTTACGGATGGAGTCTTCCGGGTTCTTGAGTTCCGCTTTAAGTTGGCTTTCGCTTGGAAAGCAGAATGGTTCTGGTCCAGTTAGTGGAGTGTTAGCTCATTTTCTAGCTAGATTGTTTGCTTTTTCATTGCCTTTTATCCCTTGCTGAGCGGACACCCAGAGTAGGAGGACTTTATTTTCTTTGCCTAATTTGTTCAGCGCTTCTCCTAGTTTGGATAACAAGGTTGGGATTCGAAAAAATCATTGAAGCATGTGCACATACCATTACGAACACACCGATTTAATTATCGTATCGAAAATTAGCATGTGAACGGGCTGTAATGGCGAATGAAGAGTGAAGTATGAGGAGGATATTAAAAAAAATCTTACCTGGCTCTGTCCAACTTGACACACTTCAAAGGCCCGTTAGCCACCACAGTAGCCGCTCTCGGCCTGTCCAACAGCAACGCAATCTCTCCGAAATAATCGCTAGGTCCCAGCCTACCCACCTCGACAGCCTCTCCACCCTCCGCCTGCTTCTGCTTCACAGTAGCCGAACCCTCAACAATGATGTAGAAGTCGTCACCTTGCTCCCCTTGGCGTACGATCGTCTCCCCATCTTCGAAACTTACGGGTTCCAGAGCATCGGCTACCGTCAGCCTTTCCCACTTGTCCAGGTTCTCGAGGATGGAGACGCGCGACAGGAACTCCTCGTACATCTTGCGTTTGCGGATGGTGGAGCCCATGAGGATGCGGCGGTAGGAGTCGCGGTCGATGCCCCACAGCTTGACGTCGGTCTTGGCCTTGACGGTTGCGGCTCGGGGGGTGCCGTAGATGAGGGCCAGCTCGCCGAAGCTGCCACCTTCGCTGATGGTGACCACCAGTTCGTTATTCACATAGACCTGGAAAAGGAAATGGGTTGTTTAGGATATACCTTTTAAAACTGTATTGTACTAAGGGCTGGCAAACGTTAGTCTTACGTCGAGATTTCCGTATGTAAGAAGAGTAAAATGCGTTTATAATGTACTGAACAAAGAGAGAACAGTAAAAACGTTGCCAAACGTATGAAATAAACTGAAAAACTGTGCACATTGCTAAGAGACGTGGAAGGACATATAGCAGACCAATCAGTACCATATGAGTACTTAAAAATTTAGGAAAGAGTGTACATCATGCGTTCAGCGTCACGATTTAATTACGTCTCGTGATACTTTATTTGTTTATTTATTAACGAGTCGTTGTAATTTTCCCTACAGCTTGTAAATTTTTAAGTGCAAGTTAGAAACACTTGCACTTTTGGTAAAAATAAGTGGAATTGAGTTGGTGTTCGACAGTGGTCGCGTTATTAGAACTCTGAATTCAAAAATTGATATTTCGAAATCTTTCCGTTTTTAGTACTTTACTAAGTACTTTCTTTGCTCTAGGTGCTAACAGTGCTATCTTAAAAAAACTGGAAAAAGTTACTTATTGGTTTTGACATAGTAGCAAATTAATAGTAATTTTACCTCGACTTCTCCTTGATCGATTACGTAAAAATTGTCTCCTTCGTCGCCCTGCTGGATGATAACTTCTCCAGGCAGGAAAGTGACCGGAAACATGGCGTCGAATATGTCCGAGCGTTCGTTCTCGTCCAGATGTGAGAACAAGACGTTTTTTGAGATGGCTTTGGAGAGTGCCGCCATCGTCTTGTAGTCTTTGGGCACCACCTAGAAGAAAAGAAATAAATATCAATACAATTTGTGAATAAATAACCTTTTTTAAGTGACAATACAGTAATCTATGATTTGTACAGTAAGTAAAATATTTTAAGTTAACGTCTCTTTTTTATTGCTAAGGCTGTAAGAAATTGTAAGTTGTATATATTGTGTATTGTTATTGTTATCATTTTGTAGATTTTCTTGCAGTGGCGAAATACCCATATAGGATTCTTTGTAATTTTGATTACAATTTCATTTTTTTCAAATGGAACGAGGATGGTTCATTAGCATATTTGGAAAATCATTTTTTTTACGAATAATTTGGTACCACACACTTGGTATTTCGAGTCAAATTGTCGTTACGAACCGCATGTTGCAATTTCAAATAAACCATATTCGAAAATGTCAAAAGTTGACATATGATATGCCATTCTGTTCAGAGTATCATTTTCTATCGAATAAAGTAACAAAATACCGAGGGTGCCATTTAAAAATCAAAAGTTGTGATATAATTTCCGGTGAAACAGGAAGTGACAGGAATGTCAAAAGTTAGCATATGATATGTCATTCTATCAAAATGTAATTTTCCATCAAATAAAGTAAAAATAGCCCATATCCGTTTATTTTAGCAATCAATATTTCAGATTTATACTATAGGCACAGTATAGATAATAATTAGAATTTTCGATAATAACCAAAAAGAGAAAAAGAAATTTAATACAAACGCCAAAAAAAATTATTGGAAAAAATAGTTGATCATTGATCTACTAATTTTACCTTGTTTGAAAAATACCAACATACGTATCGTTAAATTTACTCTTTATTCTTGACGTGTGACTGAACCCTAGTAATAATTAATAATCCGTTTATTTTTAGTGGAAAAAAATAGTACACATTACGACAGACACAAGGTTAAATTTTATATATGGAAAATTATTAATTACATTTCAATACGATTTCCATTCAAGATTACAGGAAATAATTATAGTTCAGAAGCGGACTTTTATATATGGACATATATTTACAAATCTTCTGCGATTCCGGGTAGCAAAGTGAAAAGTCAGCTACCGGCCATATGATTGTGAATGATCAGGCATGGTGTGGAAAATTAGCTACTGGTCATCAGAAACTCCAGATGAGAAACACCGTAAACATTGGTACGTGGAATGTGCGGGGCTTGAAGACAATAACGAGTAAACTAGCAATCATCGAAAGCGATTTGTCAAGGTACAGAATCGAAATTGCGGCACTGGCGGAAACACACTGGCTAGGGGAGGGCTACTTCAAAACCTCTAATGGAAATTATGTTTCTTTCTCTGGCAATGACAAACAAACATTCACAGGCGTAGCCATTCTGATATCAGCCAGAATCCATAAATCCGTCATAGAATTTAGAGCTGTAAACGACAGAATAGTTCTCCTTAGACTAGACGGCAAACCTCATAAATTCAACATCATTCAAATATATGCACCGACAGCAACGGCAGAGGACAATGAAATCGAAGAATTCTACAATAAATTAGAACTTACCATCAGGAATATACCAAACAAAGACCTGACATTAATTTGCGGCAACTTTAACGCAAAAGTTGGGAACAACAAAATGAATGATGATCTAAAAAATATCCTTGGAAAATACAGCTTGGGAGAAAGGAATGAAAGAGGAGACCGTTTAATCGAATTTGCCATCAATAACAGCTATTCTATAATGAACACTAGCTTTAAACACCACATTCGCAGACTTTATACTTGGAGAAGCCCTGGAGACAGAACACGGAATCAAATAGACTACATATTGACCAACACCCGCTGGAAATCCTCCATTCAAACAGCACGTACGTTACCTGGGGCAATATGTGGATCAGACCATCAGCTACTATTTGCCAAAATAAAACTCAAACTCAAAACACCCTTCAACCACATAACACCAACAACATTAATAAAAAGAAACAGCGAAGAAATCCTTCAAGGAACCCAGGCTTTCCTGACTACCTCAACAGAAAATACAACAGCCCAAGAAATATGGGAAGCTTTCAAAAAATGCACAACAACTGCAACAGGGTCAGAAAAAGAAGATCAACCGATAAAACGAAAACACTGGTTATCGAACGAGACATTCCAGGTCATCGAAGACAGAAGACTTCTCCACGGGAAAGGAATACATACAGAAGAAGAGAAAGAAGAACTAAAATACCTGAATAAGGCAATAAAGCAAGGAGCAAGAAGAGACAAACAACAATTTTACTCTGATATTTGCAAAGAAATCGAGGGACACAGTCTAAATAACCAACAAAGCAATCGGCTCGGTCTGGAACTAAATACGCAAAAAACCAAAATCATGATAGTTGATAGGCAACATAACAACCATCCAAATATAAGTCATATCGACCGCTTTGAAGTCGTTAAGTCATACGTATACCTGGGATCACTATTGACAAATACAGGCACATCGGAAGAAGAGGTGAAGCGTAGGTGCAACATGGCAAAGGTAGCTGTTGGGAGACTGACCAAGATCTGGAAAGACCACCAGATTTCAAGAGCCACCAAAAACCGGCTAGTCAACTGTTTGGTACTCCCAATATTGACGTATGGCTGCGAATCGTGGACTCTCTGGCAGGCGGAACGTAAGAAGATCGATGCTACCGACATGTATTGTTATAGACGTATGCTCCGTATCCCATGGACTGAACGCCGTACAAACGTTTCCATTATAAATGAACTTAATATTACTAACACAGGCTTTCCTGTAAAATCCGACTAAAACAACTAAAATATTTTGGACATATAATGAGGAAAAGTCCGGACAATATGGAAAGACTCATAATTTAAGGCAAGGTGGAGGGACATAGACCACGTGGCCGCTCTCCAACTCGATGGATAGACCAGATCACGACTAGCTGTAGCAAGTCAATGGACGATGTCATCGAGATGACAAAAGACAGAGGCGCATGGATAAAAATCATCCATGATGTTACGCTGACCACTACACTCCCTAATGGGGGTCAGGACTGAAGAGAGAGAGAGATTTACAAATAAATCCATACTGGATATAACGCTCCTTTATATGTCTGTGGGTATGAAGTAAAAAAAAACTAATATTTTACTCGATTTATATAATAATAAATAGATGAACTTATATTTTTATAATATTTATAATTTAGAAGTGGCTTCAGCACGATTGATCACATACATACACTAAGTGTACGTTCACACAGAAAGCGATTAAGCGTTGGGCGATGCTATGCTATGCAATGCTATGCCTTTATCGCTTGCTATATTTTCATCGTGTTCAAACAGAAGGCAATGGAAAACGATTTAGTTAGTAGTTTGATGTGCAACAAGCACCATGGATGCTACAAACTTGACATTATTAGAGAATTCGCTTTTAAGATGCGTTTTTTTAAAGATTAACAAAAAAAGGCTATGGATACATGAAATTAATCGAGATCGGGTGATATACGGAGAATTTCATCATTTGTTTCCCGAATTAACCATTTACCCTGATAAATTTCTACAGTATTTCCGAATGTCATTAGAGACGTTTAGGTATATTGAAAATGATGTAGCGCTATTACTGGAAAGGCGACTAATAAATTGGAGGTTGATGCTAATTAGTATGCTGTTTACTTAGTTTATTACATCATTTACATATTTGTATAAGAGTGGTTTGTGTCTGAAGAATAAGAAGACGAAACCAATGGTGTTCCAACAGCTTCGTTTATTTGAATCTGTTGAGGTTGCACCGTAATATTATTTTGATAACGTAAATGGGCCATCGTGGCTTCGTACAGTGACTCCTGCATCTTGAGCGATCTAAAGACGCTGGCGATTAAAAACAAACATGTTTGAAAATCAAACCGACGCGACGCGCGATATTGCATAGCATCGCGAAGCATCGCGCAAACTCGCGCGTTTTTTGAACACCCTCACTAAAGATTATGAGTTTAAAATAAACGCGACGCGTCGCAACGCGCAGCATCGCATCGCATAGCTCTCGGTGTGAACTTACACTAAGAGAAACTATCAGCCGAACAAAAGAACACGAACTTCCACTATTCATAGCCTTTATAGACTTTGAGAAGGTTTTCGACTCGATATATCCTAAGGCAATAATAGAAGCCCTAGCGAAACGAGGTATTGACAGGCCTAGAAACTCTCGCCAATATATACAAACAAGCCAAAGCAAGAGTAATTATATAAAAAACAACCCCAGAGTTCTCCACTGGGAAAGGAGTACGACAGGGAGATGCGATATCCCCAAAGCTGTTTACAGCAACACTAGAAGAAATCTTCCGTCAACTGGATTCGACCAACAAAGGATTAAAAAAAAAATTCAGCCAGACTGACTTCCTCAATGGGACTATTTATGTGTCAGACGTCAGACTGTTACTTTTATATATTCACCCACTGGGAAGTACAAAAAAAATTGACTGTCTCCTGGCCTAACACTCTCTCAAGTTCGACGCTAGTTGGCGAAAGTATTAAAAGATGGTCATATACTTTAGTCAAACAATGCCCACAATCTCCTCCTCTCCCAAAAAGGGCCATTTCAATCTTAACAACAGGCGAGCTAAGATCATCTTTGCTCTTCGAATATCGCATTTTTTAATTATTGTTACCAAGTCCCAAAAGTACCGGGAACTAATTTCGAATCCTGGTTCTTAATGGCTGAAAAGAACCGGGAATACCCGTTACTTTCGAGACAGGAATTTTCCGGCTCTAAACCCTAGTGTAGGTACATCAAAAATAAATATCGATGCACTCATTTAAAAGACAACTTATTTAATATTCCATTAGCCTTCAGGACAAAAGACATTATTTTTTATTACTGTAACATTTATTTGAATTCTACGGCGATTACCACACAGGTCACGTGCCTATCGTGACAACGTTAAGAAACACAGAGTCGATTAATCTTGTACGAGACATTAGTAAAAAGTAAAAAAAGTCTGCGTCGTGTCTCTTTTACTAAACGATCCATCCTAAATTGCATTTTCATCTTCATTTAAACGTAAATTTTTGATCTTGCCAGCTCATAATATGCAATAATTTTTTCCTACTCTCTCCCAAGGAATTAGGTAGAACTAGAAATACTTTGTTGAAGTTTTACTTTTCCACACTCCATTGGCAAGAAGTTCGTTATGTATTTATTTAGTCCGGGGTAGTGAAAAAGTTAATTGTTAATTGTGTTACTATTTCAGCTCGTACGCCTTCTGACGTTAAACTCCTAGATCTTACACAATGGAAATAACATTAGCTTACTTCGGGTTTCTCCTATTACCGATTCTGAACCGTCCTAGAACTGTGATGCGTATGCGCAGAAGGAAATGTGAAGACATTATTTCATTTGCGCATGCGCTGCAGAGTTCTAGGACGGTTCAGAATCGGTAATAACAAGAACCCGAACAAAGCTATTATGACAATGTAAAGTTGGTTTCCATAACAATGTATAATTTGTACTTTCTAAACCGGATAAAATTGTGATTATTTTGGAAATACGTGCCACTTTTAATGCGCATGTGTAAAGACAGGTCCTCGAGAAAGACAAACCTATTGAACGTTTCATAAGTGCAATAAAGGTTTGAAAATGGCATGTCGTGATGTTGGAGACATATTTTTTAATGCTAAACTTATGGCGTTGATTTATCCACGTAACTATATATGATCTAGGCATGGTACAAAGAAAACAAGGTATGATCGATAGCGGCTCCAATTTCGTTAAGTTTGCGCATACCACCTGTGACGTCATGCGCCATACAAAAAAATATCCATATTGTTCAATTGCCACTAATAAAAAAAGACCTAAAATAGGGCAGAATTAGGACATAACCCTAAAAGTTATGTTTTGACATCGAGCATGACATTCGAAAAATTATTTTCACATTTTGACACAATCAAATTTCACAGATGACACAATCTGTTTGTGTGCGCAGAGCTTGCCGACCAATGGTGCCGTTTATCACCTGAGACGTAGTGACCAACCTGCGCAATATCATACCTTGTATTCTTTGTATCATGTGATCTAGGGTTAAACCACATGTACCAGTAAACCAGATTACCTCATATAGTGGCAATGCAATGGCATAGATTAACTTACAGATGTGGCACTTATTGACTTATTTCATCTTGCTGATAAAAGCTGCCGTGACCTCGAACCTTTAATAGGACTATACCATTATCAGACTCCGTTTTTCTTCTCGAATGCATTGTTGCCTTTTTAAAAAATGTATTTCCAACTAAAATACCTAATCTGTGGTACAGACTTTTTGTAGCGATCAATGATAGCGAGTGGCGATTCATCATACGCATGCGCTTTGTATTCGGTCCATTTAAATAAGATATTTAAAGGAACCGAATACACCCTTGTTTTATTTAGTTTCTCTGTCTTACTGATAAATCTGTGGTAATGGTATGTAAATGATAAGCTGTACTAAGTGGTATAGAGACAACTAGGTTAAGGTGATATTTCCATATTGGTAACTTACTGAAGAATATTGACATAAACTTTGAAAAAGTTGAATATTTTCGCTGACAGCTTAGGTAGAAAGGCGAATCATAAAATACATATTGTAAAATAATTATACTAAACTGTCGTTATTATCACGATATATAAATATGCCTACGTAAATCTACGGGGAGTTTTAAATTTCTTGGTAAAATAACACCAGTAAATCAGACGGATACTCAACGATAAAGACGGATACGGATAGGACTTTTAATATGGCTGACGAATTTCAACAGAGAACGTTTTAGCAAAGTCTGTCCAACCACTGATAATTCTCTGTCATTTTAATTGACAGGTAAATTAAATTTTCTGTCATTTTTTCGATGTCGTCTGTCGAAATCTGCCTCGAATAATCTCTCCTGAACAGATTTTATACATTATCTTACCTTTTTAACATAGCTCGTGGCATCTTCTTCGGTGACAGGTTCTGCCGAAATGCCACCTCTTCGTCTGACAGGGCCCTGGGCTTGTGAGGGAAGAGGGGACAGATCCTCGGTGTCCTCGGGGCTTTGAGCTTGATTTTTAGCGTCTAACGCTTGCTCCTGCAACAGAAAATTAAATTTAATAACGGAAATATAACTTTTGATTTTTAAATGGCACTTTCGGTATTTTTTTACCTTATTTGATAGAAAATGACACTCTGAATAGAGTGACATATCATATGACAACTTTTTACATTTTTGCTTAAAAAAAATCGTATTTTAAATTTTTTTAATCTACAGTGCCATGGTTGTCTCTGTCATGATTTGATTGTCTAATGTTTTTAGTGTTGTAACGTTTTTAGTTCGTTACATGTATTTTTTATATATGATTTATATGATGTCTGGCGTATCGTCATCGGATTCCGTATCGTTCAGGCCTGATAATTTATTTAGCACGCTTGGCATAATTTTTACGTTCCCTAGTCGCCAACCCTGCTATCGTTTCACTGTTCTGTGGAGGCGCGCGCTGTCAACTCCGCTTCTGTCAACTCTCCGCGCTTAACCTCACTTTTGCAAATCCCGGCTTTTAGAAATGGTGATTATTTAAATCTTGCTGTATAATCTGAATCAGCTGCCATTTCGAAGCAACAGGTAAAGATGAGATATTTTCTTTATTAGATTCGTTATTATTATTGAATATTTTTAGGATAGAGTTTTGGATTGACCCACCTTAACTCGTATTTGTATTTTGTTGGCACATTGGTGTTCTTTTGCTTTTGTCCTCCTGAATGTTACATGGAAGAAAGGACAGTTTCTTTGTTTATTATTGAGCCCTCGGAAGTAATTCGAGGTAGGTTCATTTTGTTTATTAGACCTTGTTTGGTTTTGAACAAGAGTTTCATATTTTTAGGGTCCAAGGTACGGACTATTTCCAAGGTGCATGCATTATCCAAGGTCCTAGTAGTGTTCCAAGGTACGGGTAGTGTTCCCTTGTACCATTATCTTATGGACGGATGTCCCGTGGACGAGTGTCCCCAGTAGGAGTGATTTATCTTACATATAAAGTGCCCCAGCGTGGATGTAGCTTGAGCCCCATGCTGCTTCGTTCCCATCTATAAGCCAGTTAGTAGTTACGGCTGTATCAATTCATCGTGTCCTCATTCTGGCCCCTTTTGTTGTATTGGATGGCCGAGTACAGAGATATGAGCCCACCTCACGATGCTACTCTTTGAGACAGGATTGCCTCAAGAACAGCTAAGTGTAGATTTAGGTTCAGATTTTCAGTTGATTTTCAGTCTTAAACAATAACGTACATTTTAAATAATATCGTACAGACTATATTTAGTGGTTAGATTATTAAGAACATTTATGTCAATTTAGTAGTTACAATATGATTTAGATCTTAGGTTTCATTACACTACGCCTTGGAATAGTATTTAACCACTATAATAATTATTAAAATTGTGCAATGCTATTTACCATCAGAATTCATCATGAATAAATATAGCCATCAGTTTCAAGTAATATACAACTGTGTTTTCTTTCTCTGCCTGGCGCCCAATATCTATATTTTTTTGTTTATTGTTATTGATTAGTTTTCTCTCTAGTGAAATACCTTATCCACCAGATGAAATACCATACCAGACTGTTCTCCGATGAAAAGCTGCCGTTCGCAGAGGTAGTTGTAAAAAAAACGCTACAGTGTCTTGTCCTGACAGATTAAAAGACGCCCAAATCGTATTTTTAATCAAATCTCAATTTTTTCAAATGGAACGAGGGTGGCTCATTAACATATTTGGAAAAATCATTTTTTACGAATAATTTGGTACCACACGCCTGATATTTCGAGTCAAAATCTCGTTACGAACCGCATGATACAATTTTAAATAAACCATATGAGAAATTGTCAAAAGTTCACATATGATATGTCAAAAAAAAACAACTGAATACGTCAATCAATCCTAACTTATGTCATATATGTACTATCATACCAAATATCGTTTTGTTATAGGGGTGAGCCGCTTTTGAGACGCACCCGGTATATGTATATGTTAGAGTGAAAGTTGAAGATCCAGTAAATATTAATAATCACTAGAAACTGCTAATAATTATGTATTGGACCAGTGAATGTTGCATTTTAAAAAAGTTTGGCAACTTGCTAGTAAATGTAAGCAGTCGCTAGAGAGAGTAACATTTACTAAAAGCTGTCAGTAAAAGTAAGTCTATTGAACAATAGAAAGCGCGTTGGTGGAAATTAGAAAAAAAATTCTACTTTTACTAACTTCTTACTAAACGCTATTAAATTAAAAGATTTGAAGGACATGTTTGAAAAAGTGTAGTTTGAAAAAGTAATAAATAAAAATTAATAAGTAATTTTATTCACTTTTACAAAATTTGCATTAAAATGACCGTCTGTCGGTAACGATGGATAATGTGAGATGGGATATCAGTCTGATATCGACAGTTGCTGAGTTTGGTTCCATCGGCCCATAATTAAGAAAAATCCTGATGATTTCGTCCATTTAGAGGCATCGTTTCGAAACGTCGAGGGCGTCATTCTGTAGCCCGTCCCCCGTCCCCAATTATGCCGAAATCAACTCACATTTTTCTTCAATATCAAATCCTGAGTCCCCCCTGATGAAGATGTAAACGAAACGTCGTTCCCCAAAAATGTTTCGCATGCACGCACTACAAAATAAAAATAGTCAACATAAATAACATCACAATTTCACTACAAGGCGTTATACCGCATATCTATTTTTTCTTTTCAATCTGATGCAAAATTAAAATCACGAAATATGTAAAAAAACGCTTGACGTGAAAAATAGGAATTAAGTAATAATAAGATGTTAATTAGGTTTCCGCTTGTCCGCTTCGAATTTTGTTATTTTTAGTCCATGCCGCATTCCTGCCGTCTTTTCTTACTTCCCTCGCATCGAAAATAAACTCTCGTTGTATAATTTGTCGCAGAAACGGCGATACTATCTGTTGCATGTCTGGCCGGTTATTTTTTTTGCGATTTCCGTCCAATGCGTACACGATAAAAATATTCTCTTGAATCAAGAGTATACTCTTGTCTCAAGACCATATATTATTGGGGGATACAAGAACTCCAAAATAGTTAAATATGCTTGATTTTGTACGAAAATAGCGAACAGGTGTGGTGGTAATTCTCACAATTATTTGTGTTAGAGAATATTCTGACTGTACTCGTTGAAATTTAAATGAAAATCATTATTACATATTGTGGAAGTACTGACTCTATTTTTCTGACACAATTTGCTGTTACTAGGCATTCTAGGCAATATTGTAAACTGAGTTGGGGAAGAATAATAACTAAGTTAATACAACAATTATTGTATCATATCGTCGGCTTTATGACGAAAAGGCGTATCTCGATTTTTGGCGATTTTGAGATATCAACGTCATGACATGCCCAATGGGTCATATTTTAACATAGCGAATTTGCGCATCTCTATATTGTACCCGAGGGGTGTCTCACTTGGGTAAAAAATGTACATGTACGGCCAAAATATCATCTTTCTACCAAGCGACTGCCAATCACATCCAAGAAGACTGCCTATGACTGCCATGTAATTATTATAGGTGACTGCCGTAAGACTGCCAATGACTGCCAGCGACTGCAAAGAAAATGTACATGTAATTCCAGTAGTGAGACACCCCTCGATTGTACCTTTTTCATTTTATATTAGTTTAAAAATTTGCCCCATCTTAAATACTACAGTTCTTCGTTATGACGAAGAGACGTATGTTGAGATAGGGCTCTTTGTTATATCAATTATTGTTATACCAATTGTTATACTACAAGAAAGATGGAATATGAGATAGGTCCTTTTGTTTTAAGTTATGAAAATGCATGCGAGAGAAAATCACACCATTCTACCTAATTATTTTCTGACGGTTGCTTGGGACAAAATTAAACTTCTATCATGGCAGCAGCTCTCTTTTCTACGAGTCTACTTTTTTGCCAAAACCCATTGTTAGAATGAGCTAGACTCTGCACATAGCTGTATCGGGTATGCAAAAGATTGTCCGAGAATAAATGGCCGAATAAAAGAAAAATTTTGATCGAAAGCAAAACAACGAAACGAAAATTGCAAAAATTATAAATGAAAAAAATTATAAATGTTTATGAAGATTTCTTTTTGGAGAGGCGACGCGCTTCGATTTTTAAACGATTTCCTGATATTTTTGATTATTTACTTCAAAAAGAGCCTCCGCACACACTTGTGTCTAGAGAAACCAATTCTACTTTCGCTTCCGAGCTTCCGCACATGCACAGAGATTTATTTCGCGTTTTATTGTAACCAATGATTTAACACCCTCCAATTAACCACGCTAACCAACCCGCCAAATAACTAAACTAATCCAACCAAAAAGAGTGAAACCAATGCAATCAAATCACGCTATAAGCAAAAAAATATATAAAAAAGTTTTGGTCCGGCGTGAGATTTGAACCACTGACCATTCGCTCACGAATGAAAATTCGATCCGTAGTATACCAAATCTAAGCACAATCGAACGCCAGGAAATGGTATCGTAATATGGTAGTATAAGTTGGTACCACTTTATATGCATCATAGTACCATCATATTACAATGTCATCGAAGATACGTAGTATACCAAGTTTAAGCCCAATCGAACGCCAGGAAATGGTATCGTAATATGGTACTACATTATGGTACCCCTTGATATGCTTCATGGTACCATAATATTGCAATGTCATAAAAAATACGCAGGTATAATCAAATATGAGCCCAATCGAACGTCAGGAAGTGGTATCACAATATGGTACTATAGAAAGTACCACTTTATATGCATCAAAGTACCATCATATTACAATGTCACCGAACACACGTAGTATACAAAGTTTAAGACCAATCGAACGCCAGGAAATGGTATCGTAATAAGGTACTACTATATTATGGTACCTCTTGATGTACTTCATGGTACCATAATATTGTAATGTCATCAAAAATACGCAAGTATAATCAAATATGAGCCCAATCGAACGTCAGAAAGCGTAATAAGGTACTATATTAAGGTACCAGTTTATATGCATCATAGTACCATCATATTACAATGTCACCGAATATAAA